CTAGGACCTGTTCTTCAATACAGGTCAGGTCTAGGACCTGACCTAGGGGCTGTTGGATTAATCCTTTATATAATCGATCCCTGGAGCTCTTAGGTAGCTGGGACTACGTAATCAAGAAACAGCCAATCAGATTGAGGGGTTCCTGGCTAAGCCGAATAGGGGCTTAGCGGCTCGTGGGACATTAGGTAATTGGAAAAAGAGCCAATCAAAACGAAGCTGAGCACTTAGCGCGGGGCTAGAGCGTAATATGGGTGGCGGAGGAGGGGTTGAGCGGGACAAGTACAGGAGTGCAACCAATCAAAGGCTTGTGCTGGGGACTAGCGGGGGCAATCATGCGCATTTGATTGGATGCAGTGCCTGGGTGGGCTTAGTCATCCTGCGTAGGGACCTTAAGACCGATTATTCAACTGACTTTTGAACTGATTATTGAACTGACTTAGGGACTGCTGGACCGACTGTTCAACTGACCTAGGGACTAATTAAGGGACTGTCCAACTAACCTTTGAACTGACTTAGGGACTAATTAGACTGATTTTGAACAGACTTTTCAACTGACTAAGGGACTGTTTTAGGGACTGTTGAACTTACTGTTGGACTGACTGTCCAACTGACCTTTGAACTGATTTAGGGCCAGGTTCGAAGAACCTGTTTAGGGGCTTAGAAATTAAGGGGTGTATTATATAAGGGATCAAGTCAACGTCTCCTAGGTCAGGTCCGTTGTATTATATAATCAGTTCTTCACCTTTAATTCGATTAATTAAGTAATCAGCCTTGCCTCAGCTTTGGACAACGCCTTAAGTAAGCAGCTGCGCGTGGACCACGGCTAAATATCGGAAAAACACCTAAAAGTCGGGTTATTGTGGCATCCCGACGGGGTGCCCTCCAGTATAGGTTCCTAGGAGGGGCGTAATCAGCCAGGCGGCAGAATTCCGGAGTAGGCAGGCGGTGACAAGTCGTCCAAGCTTAGGTACCTAGGTACTTCTCCTTATTCACCAACGCAAGGACAACCCACAAATTCTTTTGATGTCAACGACCCCTAGATCGTTGAATCAGTGATATTACTCTTGTCTGTAGCAATAGCGACAGTCAATATATCCGACACAAAATACACCTCTACCTTAGTAGCGCTTCGATATCATCGGAGTAAATTTCCGTAAATTGATGTACTCAATTCACCTAGTAGGATACACAATGTCTCGTAGTTCCAACCCACAAGACTCCCAAATTCATCCCCAATGCACGTAATAGCCAATTCTACGCATATGATGATATATCTCAACTAAGGGATTCATGCAGAAGCCTTAGATCTCTTTCCCCTTTTCACGCCCTTGCCCTTTTGCTTGCTCGTTGCCTTCCGAACGCCGTTTCCGTTATCCGCGTCTTTATCCTCGCCATTGGCCTCACCATCAACGTAGTCATCGTCGTCGTCGTCAATCGTAATCGTGTTCGTAGCCTTCCTCTTCCGCCGTCTTGATGGTGGAGCAAGGCTCTCGTTCTCAGGAGTAGCATCATCACCTTCTTCTGCTGCGGCTGGAATACCATCAACCACAGCCTTCGCGCGGAGCTTATTGACCGCCTGTGCCATCCGCTTACTCCCTTGAACCCTCTGCCTCGGGGCAAATGCCTCCTTGGCCCCCACACCAACACTACCTTCAAAAAATCTAGTGATATTACTTTGCGTGCCCTCTGCCTCACGACGGTTCATATCCCTTATGACCGGCACCAAGACCTCATCAGTGCGATCCTCACTCCACCCAATCGTACTCATTAGGAACTGACGCAGGCCTGCCACGTCCGGAACGCCCCACTGGAATTGTTCTGCGTCGGAGTCGACTTCGGGGTGCAGGTACGCCTCGAACACGGCCGGGCTCGGGAACCCGGGAGGAAGGAACAGCTTTGTACCTTGCGACTTCCGGAATTTCCTCCGAAACACCGACTTTTGGTCCGCTTCCTTGGGTCGGCCGTTAATTTGGACGTCCTGCCACCATTCTTTGAAATCTGCTAGCCCATCTCTACCGGGGAACTCGGAAAGGATCTCTACGGCGGTGACGGGTCCGACTCCTGGAAGGCCTTCCGTGTAATCAGAGCCTAGCAATTGGGCCAGTGAGATTAACTGTTCGCGAGAAAGAGAGAGTTCCTTTTCGAGATCGGACCCGAGATAACACTCAACAAATTTGTTACTATTGAACATGTTTTTGTATACTCGAGTACCGCCAAAGAGGAAGGTGTCTGAATCGTCTGTGACTATGCCGTCAACTAGGCCAAGTCGGACCAGCTCGGCACATTGAGCTTCAGCTTCCATTGGCGCGGTTACGTAAGGAATACCGAAAAATCGCAATAGCGCCTGGCATTCAGTTATCATAACCTGGGTGACCTCATCTGCATCTCTCCGGTCCTTCTTCTGCTGTGACCGTAACGCTTTGAGTTCTCGTTCGTAAGCTTCCTGGTTTTCTTTCTCAGATTTATGGTTTAGCTGACTGGCGAAGCGCGCATGTTCTTGTGCTTCTTCCGCCATTTGAACTAGTAGCTCTTCTTCCTCGGGATCACTGAATTCATTATCATCGAAGTCGTCACCGAAAATCATCTCATTACCATCATCTTCGGCTACATTTTCTGATGCATCGGGTTGCTTGACTACTTCTGGTTCAGGAGCATCCACATCTTCGAATACCGGCTCTGGGGACTCTGCTTGGGTAACGGTGTCATTGACGGTGTGGGTAGGCTCATCTGGAGGTTGCATTATCTCAACTTCTTCGAAGTCTGGTTCTGGCGACGCCGATTTGGACGGAGATTTTGCATGTACAGCGTCATCCATTGCCTCAACTTGAGAAGTAGTCTGCTCTTGTATAGCATCTGCGTGTCGTGTATCCTCGATTTGATCTTCCTCATCAGCAATTGGAGGATTAATTCTTGCTGTAGTAGCAGGAGACAGCCGTGGTGTACTTCGGTCTTCTCCACGTGGGGGACTTTTCTGACGAGGCGGTTGGGGTGCTTCAATGATCTGAATATCACTTTCGTCATCGGAAGATTCGATCTCAATTATCGCCTCTTTACGTCGTCGCTTCTCCTCTTCAAATGCGGCTTCTCGATCTTGCTCATTAATTTCACTCTCAATCGCTCTTTGGGCTCTGAGAGAGTCGCGGATGTCGGACTCATTTTGCATCATCCATGGCGGGAGGGGGCGGGCTTCCTCCCTTTCATGATTTACAGACTCTTGCGCTTTACGATCCACTATTTTACTTTCGTCGTCGTCCCGCACAAACCCGCCAGCAAGTTCATCGTCAGAATTTGGTTCCATATTAACATCCTTCTCGGCAACTCTCGTGGGAATCTGCTTATCCTTTTTTGCGAAAATGCTAGATCTCCAGTCTAATTTCTCAAACGGCAAAGGCCCATCAAACGGATTTTTCACATTAGGGACAGCAGGTACAACTGGTTGTTTGAAGATCGGAGCCTTCTTCTTCCTCTTTGATAAGGCTGCTCGTAGATCAACTTCGCTATCGCTACTCTCGTTGCTGTTTCGTCGTTCTGGCACGGGCTTAGGCACGGGCTTGGGCGCAGGCTTCGACACAGCCGCGTTGGCCCTATTGTTCACGATGTGTGCAATCATGCTGCCACTTGTAGTGGCAATCGGCTTTGATTGCTCAACGGCTTTTTGTGTCCATTCAGGGGCTAGAACATCTTCAAATGCTTCCTCCTCTTCCTCCATCTCTTGTTGTCCTGGTGAAGTTGCACCATGTTGATTCCTAAGAGACAGTGCAATAGCTCGGTTAAGATCCTCTTCCTCATCATCCACGAGAGGATTTCTCTCCTCATTCTGTGTCTCAAAAAGATCATCAATGCCGTTTGTGGTGTTTCCTCCGACAAACAACGAGTCTTCATCCTCGTCGACGACAGCTTGAGACTCTGCTCGGACTTTCGGCAAGCGGTTTATACCTTCGATAGGAACATCCTCAAAATCGTCTTCGTCCTCCCACTCGTCGTCCTCTTCCTTATTCTGGTATTGAAAATCCAGATTATCCACGTCGATAGGCTTATGTATCTCACCATGATCCCTCTCTTTACTGATAACACCAAGGGCCCATCCACCTTCAGCCCCATCATTCTTGACGAGGATGTATTCGCGATCCTTTTCTCCAGCTATTCGCGCGTTCTTGGCCAGAGTGAGATCAGTTCCCGTCATACCAGCTTCCTGCATAAGCCTCTGCGTCAAATGATTTCGCTCTCGCACTCTTTCGATCTGGAACCGCGAGAACGCCATCCTATCTGGAAACATGCCGTCTAATTGTTCCTTGCTTAAACCCATCCTCAACCGACTACGTATTCTAGCAGCATTTAGAATATTATACCTATCGACAGGTGGCAAGCTTTTGAAAAACTCGCCCTCGAAATCGATCTTGCTGAAATCGTAGACGTTGATATCCTCGCCGCTGTTAAATTGTCTCGCGTATTCTTCTAGCTCCTCGATACTCATGATACGTGGGTCATCCGGCTGACCCATGCCCTGGATGCTGTTGTTCAGGTCAGGTAAGTGGTATGCATCCTGCTTGAAGAACTTCCTGCTTTTTTGTCGTTCGGTCTGGCTCATCCCCAGCTCATCCACGTAGACCAACTTATCCGCATCGGGAATCTCTTCCACGGGCTCTTCCCTCTCTGTTTCTCTTTGCTCTTTTCTCCGCTTCCTCTTTTCATCTTCCTCTTCGATCATCCTCTGCATCTGTACCGCGAGCAATTTACCCGCAGTCCTCGCCGCATCCTCCCTTCTGCCCTCTCTCCTCTGTTTCCGACTCTTAATAGTCTGTCTCTTCAACGCGGGTGCGCCGCCGTCGAACACGAACACGGGGCGGATACCGAACCATAGTAGCTTGCATATGCGGCGGAAGAAGCCTACAACGTGGGAGTTGCGCAAGGCGTTACCCTCCTTGTCGCGCACGGCTTTGAGGAACTGGTAGATCCAGATGGAGGCATCGACGGCGAGCCGCTTTCGGTTGAGAGTTGCGAGGTTCGTGGGTCGCGCGCAGGGTTGGACCACGGTCCAGAGGCCGTTAACACCCATGATGTCGGAAGACTCGGGGGACTAGGGATAGAAACGCAACTTAATTCAATGATGTGAAAGGAAAAGGAACACTCATGTAAAAGTTAAGTGCGGACGCATGATGAACGGAGTTTATTTAAGTACTGCATACGAAAATTAAGTTAAAGGGTTCAGGGTACCAGTTGCCTTCCTCTGTAGGTAGCTTCTAGAGTTGTGGAGTTGTTGCCTGGAATTAGAAGCCATGGGTGAACAATGGCAATGACGATGACTCGACGCCGCACCGCGATGGCAACCGCGTCTTTAAAGTGCTCTTATCGATAAGCTCTACAACGCCTGCCCCTCTATATTCTTGCAGTTGTACCAGGGCAACTCTTCTAATTGCTAACATTTTAAACCTGTCCTCCAATAATCTTTCTTGATCTCGTGACGATCTGTCCGAGAATCAAAGTCTGTCGTCATGGAGGACAATGCCGAAAAGGCGGAGGCCGAGACATTCCTCAAGTCGCTTCTCAACAAGAACTTGCGCATCTACACGACAGACGGGCGCCTATTCATAGGGACGTTTAAATGCACCGATACCGTAGGTCCTAAGCTACCATATATACATACTGTAACCGCCTTTATGCTGATTCAAATTTTCACATACCTAGCATAGCAACGTCGTCCTATCGCTCTGCTACGAGTACAGGCAGCCGTCGCAACAGAAACTTGCCGAAGCTGCAGCCGCAGCAGCAGCCAGCGGCTCCGGCAAGGAGACGGTCACCGCGGACATGACATCGCGTTACTTGGGACTCGTCGTAGTCCCTGGTGAACACATCGTCAAGATGGAAGTCGAAGAATTCGCTAGCCAGGTTAAAAGCCGCTCGATATTCGACAGAAAGGACATTTACGGTCACCGATGACGAGGGCGCTGGTGTTAAGACGTACGGAGTGGAAACTCACGCCTTTGCATTACCTTCACGGCTGGTTAGGTCCTTATGATCTGAACCACGCTCAATCTTAGAAACAGCCCTTACCTAGAGCCAATCAACCTAAGAGGAGGTGCTCAGTCCAGGTAGGTGAGGTGCTTGCTGAGGACACTCGGTGATACAGCGAGGATGACTTGATGTCAGGTAGTGACATACAAATACCTATCTAGTGCATATGCTTGTCGCGTATGTGGGATCTACGAGGATTGTTGATGATCCCCCAATAGCAATACCCCAACGAAGAAAAACCATGTGCAGCGAGTTAGTTGCCTGGTTGCTTAATCAATAGAGCATATTCTGTACCATATTAACATAAGTAAACTCCCCATGAGAGACTGCAAAATGCATTGACCCGGCACCCTTCACCCCTATTATATCCTTAGACACATGTACTACCTGGGTCGTGTCTAATTGTGCTATTTAGCGTTACACAACAGAACCTGCAAACGCCATCTGCGCCTGAGACAATGATGGTTCCCAATTCTAGAACATCACCTCATAACTATGAAAAACTTAATGAAGTTTAATGAGAAATCCTGGCACCGTGGTGTCGTACTTAAGCTAAGGCAGCGTGAGCATGTTACTCAAGGGTACAATACCACGATTGATATTCTAATACAAAGTAGACTTCCTTCTCTCCGGTTTAACTAGGTCAGAATCTCGAACTGCCGAGCGAGACTAAGATAGCCAAGTTTGTCCTACGAAAAAGTTGAACCGTAGCTTCATAGCGTCTCCAGCGTAACCGTACTTTTAGGGTATAGCAGATGATCATGCTGCTCTTGGAAAACAAGAACTACTAGTTTGAAACTTTGCGGGGTCTCCAGACGAAGAAACATGCTAGCCCATTTTGAGGCTAGAAATCGGAGAAGGATGGTGGTGCTGGAGGAGCGGTCCCACGCTATGGTAGCTAGCCGAATTGTCCAAAGTGCGTCAAGGCTGAGCGTGGACGTTGATCGTACTTATTAAGTCACACCTCGTTATCGAATAACTCACCGAGTTCGCGAGACTACCGTGATATAGAGACCGTAACTCGTGGCAAAAGTCTAGAACATGGACGGATGCGACAATCGTACTATATTATGTAACAGCGATGTAGAAACAGATTGTCTCTGTCTATCAATAGGATTGGGACGAAAAGCCTTCCCTTACCTGGTGGTACACGAGTATGGATCCATACTCAGAGACACCATTAACCAGGACATGTTTCATCAGATCAAAAAATTGCGACAAAACACCGCAATGCCATAGCTCAAGTTCCACAAGTTCCCGAAGAGCCCGTGTACTCACCTACATCAGTGGAGTTCGGCTTATGTTAAAGTCACGTAAACCATAGAAATGCCGTAGGATAATCAGTATTATAGTACTAAATTCGTGTAGCTCATCTAGCTAGTGACGTATGAGCACAGCTCGTAATCAGAAAACCTCTGTTCTGAATGGTCAAAAACTCACCCAGTAAATGGCCGGTCTGAGGGAAAACATTGATTATCTCCCGCCTCAAGATACCGGAGGCTTGGGAGATGACAAATGAGGGGCCAATTGAAAGTCAGGTACAGGAAAGATCCAAGTCCTACCTGTATTACCAGGGTGCGTAGGAATATGAGGGGCAGGGACGCAATGTCAGGTGCAAGTGCCGACCAGGTGGTATCCATCAACGTCTGCAAGTTCGCCTATATAGATACGTCAGGAGCGATGCACCTGCATCGCTGCGTACAAAATCGAACCTTGGCCCCGGTTGTGATCCACAAGTGCGCTGGGCTTTGAAGGGTCTCATACTCGGTGACACTAAATTTATCTTTCCCCTTGTTAGTGTATAGCCGACAGGCTTGCTAAGGGTTTAGAGTTAAAACGGGCCAGCACCGCGCACACTCTTAATCAACTATTCATCAAGTCTCCCCCATCATGTCAATGTACACGGTACCGTTCGTCATTAACGGCGAGGAACGCCAAGCCGAGAATACCTTCGAGGTAAAATCCCCAGATACTGGCAAGGTCCTGCATCGATGCGGTATCGCAACGGAGGCAGACGTTGCCGCGGCTATCGAGGCGGCTGCAGCTGCTGGCCAGCAATGGGCAAATACGCCCGCGGCCGAGAGGCGGGATATTCTTCTCAAGGCAGCCGACATCATGGACAAGAGGCGAGACGAATTGGCCCAATATATGATGGATGAAGTCGCTGCAGCACGTGGCTGGGCTGACTTCAATCTCAACCTTGTTATCGACATGTACAAAGACGTAGCCGGACGAGTAGGAGCTGTAGAAGGAACCGTTCCGCCATGTCAACCCGGGCTCACTTCGATGGTGGTAAAGGAGCCGTATGGCGTCGTGCTAGCAATAGCTCCTTGGTATACATCTCCGAAATTATAAACTGACCTAAACCAAAAGCTAACCGCCCCAAGGAATGCGTCATACATCCTAGGTACTCGCTCGGTCCTCTTTCCCCTTGCAGTTGGCAATACAGTCGTCTTCAAGGGTTCAGAAACAGCACCGCGAACTCATCGTGCTATTGTGTCTGTCCTTAGCGAAGCTGGAGTGCCTAAAGGGGTGGTGAACTACATCGTCACCGACCCAGCCCATGCACCGGCAGTCACAGAAGCTCTCGTCACAAATCCGAACGTAAAAAAGATTAACTTTACCGGCAGCACGGCTGTGGGAAGAATAATCGCAAAGTTGGCGGGCCAGTACTTGAAGCCTGTCGTTTTAGAACTCGGAGGCAAAGCACCAGCCATCGTGTGGGAGGATGCGAATTTAGATCTTGCCGCAGAACAGGCCACGCTAGGCGCATTCTTCTTCTCTGGACAGATATGTATGAGTACGGAGAGAATCATCGTACATAAGAAAGTCAGCGAAGCATTCCAAGAGAAATTGCTCGGAGTTGTGGAGAAGATCTTCTCGCCCAAAGGCGATGCCTTGGTTCTAATCAATACTCAAAGTGTGGATAAGAACAAGAAACTCATAAAAGATGCAGTTAGCAAGGGCGCCTCAGTTCTGAATGGAGACGTGGACGCCGAAGAGATTTCCAAGACGAGGATGAGACCATTGGTGATTAGCAAGGTGACTCCCGACATGGATCTGTACAAGCAGGAGTCATTTGGCCCGTCCGTGAGCCTGATCGAGGTTGAAACCGAAGAAGAGGCACTACGGATAGCCAACGACACTGAGTACGGCCTGACATCCGCCGTTTTCACTGAGAATTTGCGGGTTGGCCTGAGACTCGCGAGAGGCATTGAAACCGGTGCGGTTCATATCAACAATATGACTATTCATGACGAGATGACATTGCCGCATGGAGGAGTTAAGTCGAGCGGATATGGACGATTCAATGGCTTGGCCGGGGTGGAGGAATGGGTTAGAACGAAGACCATCACATGGAGAAACTAGCTAGGTACCTGGCAGGGACTTTGAGAGTAGACGGGGAAATCATATTAGAAGAGAACTTAAGAACTGTACAACAACTTTCGAAAACGAGCAATTATTACTTATTACTATGATTCTCTTAAGAAGTGAAGAGAAAGAGAAAGAGAAAGGGAAAAAGAAAAAGAAAGGGATAAATAACTTTGAGTTTCAGCTGGTGCCTGAGAGAGTCTAAGACTAAAAACGTGCGTATTATCTACCTATACGGGTGGGGGGGGTTCCTTGACATTGTTGCCCCTTAATTGCATATTAGCAACCATTACCACTCCTGGCAATAGCTTCGACATGATTGCGTTAGAATAACCCTAAAACACCTTGACCCATCTAGTAATCAATTGATTAAAGTCAGGTATAAGCTGTAGTTATACTGGCCAGCCAGGGCTAAGATAACCACGTTGATATACTGTTCTTCTTAGGACACCATTTTACCTAGTTATCTATTACCTGCATACACCCATTATCTACGTAATATCATTATATAAAAGCACCATTATTTCTCTTATTGCAATAATTTCTTACTACTGCAATGATTTTCTCCCTGCAATGGTGGGTCTCGGCGGATCTCCGGGGGGTTTCACCAATCAAATCTCGGGGATTGAACCCAGGATATAAGCTCCAAGATCCGGACTTGTCCCACATGCGCGTAGATTCGTAAGCCAATTGGCCAAGTGGTCAAGTAGTGACTCGTAATACTGTAATACCCGTAGTATGCATACAAGACCTTAGGTTCGAATCCCACTTAGTGCATGTAAAAAGAAAATACTTAAATACTACAGCACCTTCCTTAATTAAGAAGGTGCACCTACCCTTTTTCCCTTTTTTCTTCCCTTTTTAAGCTAGCCCCACCATTGCAGGACAAAAACCATTGCACACCAAAAACGATTTTAGCTTAGTCACCCTTGCAATCAATTGCAATATATTCCTTTATACAATGGTCATTACTTAGTTATACATGTTATTGAAATATCCTGTTCGCGCTCCAAAACCCTTTTTCCTTAATAAGCATTGTTTTCCTACGTATATAATTGGTCGAAAACCCCTGTATTATTTTATAATGGATGTATATTTGATTACATATCATACTCAATATGCTGGAAACATCATTTTTTGCATTTATTATTTTAAGGATAATTTAGAATGTCCAGATCATTGCATAAGAATGTCTAGAAACCCCCCCCACCCGGGTAGGTAAGGTTTGAGACCACGATCATACGGCAGCCAGCGCTATTGAGGTAGCACCTGCAGTTGCAATCAATAGCGCGTAGCTGATTGGTCTAGGCTCCCCTTCCCACAGTACGTACATCTATAAATATGTCGGCATGCAAGGATTGGTGCCGGAACCGACATGTGAATTCAATTGCCATAATCATAACGTCATCTCGAAATATTTCTTGATATTCTATTTCCCCTCCTCAAACAACAGAATAGAAGGCGAACAATAATCTATCATGGGCGCGAAAGCATCAAAACCTGTTCAATCGGCGACGCGGAAGTTCCCCGCGAGGGCGCCCGGCAATGCCGCTCCACCACATACTCGACCACAGCCGTCGGCGCAACCTCGTGAACCCCGCCCTTCTTCTATGAAAGACGATGGTGAGTAGCAGTGCTTCAAGTGTCCCGCTATGCGCGTGGCTGACGTGCGGTATGCACTATGCGCAGCCATCAAAAGAGACAGTGTAGATCCAGACCCGAATCCTATGACAAACGCGGCGTTCTCGCAGCGTCTGAAGCAGATGGGCGTTGCGACACCAAACCCGACGCTATCGAATTCGTCAACCGCAACTTCTTATCCCGGCTTCCCAGAGCAAAAGCCTGGAGAACCTAGGTTCCCTCCATCAACCCAGAATACCACGTTGAACGCCCTCGAGGCGCGGCAGCGGTTGCAGGAACGTGCGCAAGCCGAGTATGAGGACAGGAGTCAGGGGAGTGAATTTTTAGACGTGGGGACTCTGACACAGGTACTCATCATGCAGGGACGAGGTGTCCCGCATGCCGATATCGAGAAGAGGTTTAGGCTTAAGAGAGGCGTCGTAGACAGATTAGGGCCTAAGGGAGTTACTGTGCCATATGGCCAAATCCTATGATAATACCTGGGAATAGATGGAAAAGGGGGGAAAACAAATCATAGCATTGCTAGGAACTTAAAAGTTTACTGGTTTTGGTGTATATTATGCATTCGAGATATATGAAAAGGTACGTAAAGACGCCGTCTTAAATACGCTCGAATATAAGTGCTTATCCCAACTCAGTAGCCTCAAACCCAGCCGCAAATGGTGTCCATTCGTTCATCGAGAAGGTCGCCCTCCAGCATATATCTTGTAAATCTACTTGAGATACCAATATCTATGCGCTCTACCAAGCGGAGTGCCCGCCATCGATACGTAAGTCGGCTCCAGTCATGAAGCGGCTAGCGTCACTGAGCAGGAACACGGCCGCGCCGCGGTAGTCCTCCGGTTTGCTCAGCTTGTTTAGCATATTCTGCTTGGGCCACTCAACACCTCGGTCCGGGAACTTCTCGAACAGTTTCTGGACCATTTCCGTCACGATATAGCCCGGCGAAATGGTGTTCACGCGGATGTTCTTGACTCCCCATTCCATGGCTAAGTTACGACTAAGTTGGAGTACAGCAGCCTTGGAGGCGTTATATACCCTAGTAGCCGGTTAGGTTTTTGGTGTTTTTAAGCATCTAATGAGAGGTCGGGACTTACGGGCAGATTAGGCCGCGGTTTGCGATACTACCGCTCATACTAGCGATTAGAACGATGCTTCCGGGAGTGTCGTTCTCGTACATGTATTTTGCCACGGCCTGCGCCGTCATCAACACGCCGGTAACGTTGACTCCTAACATACGGTTTGAATCCTCCGCCGTATAATCTAGAGCCGGAGTTTCCTGCTGGATACCGGCTGCTGCGATTAGGCCATCAATGTGGCCCTCCTTCTCGAAGACATCTCCAGTAATCTTCTGGAGGTTCGCGGCACCATCTAGCACGTCGACCTGATGGTAGTGCATTGAGGTGCCTAGCTCCTCTTTAGCTCGACGTGCTACTTTGTCATATTTCGAGCTTGAATTTGGTTCGGGTTGTCTGTCATAGACGTGCACTATCGTTTACTATACTCAGCTTTTTGTCGGAGAAAAAATTGTTCGTTGCTCATACCTGTAGCGCCTGCTTCTAGAAGAGCTTCGGCTTGTACGAGGCCGAGTCCTTGTGCTCCACCCGAGACGACAATAACCTTGCCCCTCAAATCGAATTCGGGCAATACCGATGGGCTTCCCTGAACCGGCTCTCGCTTAGAACCGAGTACAGTAGTGTTATGGAAGGATCTATGTGCTGGCCGATCTCCGGTAGGCAACCTGCAGGCCGCCGATCCCGTCGCCCTAGCGGCGGCAAGGCTGCATGCCGGCATCGCTCGCGGCGTGGCGCGGGCAAATCTGCCTATGGAAGGAGCAGCAGCTCGAGATATCCGCGGAGCTAGCGTCGTCATTGTGAGTAGATCCTGCTTTTCAGGTCCTAAGGTTCCTAGGCTTTGGAAGTCTCAAGGTACGTATAGGCCTAGGTACATAGAAATAGGTATATGTTCTCTAGCTGACTGAAGCAGGGAACCCCTGACCCAAAGAATGCAGGTTGATGTATGTCCTGTTGAAGAAAAATGACAACCTCCTAAGCTGAGAGACACAAGGAACCGGCAATGGCACGAGTATCCAAGAACAAGAAAAAGGGGTGTGTGAATGATGGAAGAATCCCATTGTGACTGAAGGTCTGCTCCCGTCGGGCTTCCTATATAGCAAAGTTTTACCCCCCTGCTCGAGAGAGCCATCGTGGGCCGAAGGCTCTTATCCGCCAAGGTGCTTCGTTACGCCCAAGCTTAGCCCCTCTTCCCCTTGTCTTTTCAGACAAAGCGGCGGACATACCTCCTAGAGCTACCGGCGAAGCAAATAAAAAAGACTGTGATGGGGGTCTCGCTCCGCTCCCCCTAGGGAAGAGAGGGGCCAAGAGCTCCGGTGTTGGAACGAGAGTTCAACGATTCTAGAGCTGAGTATAGCCATCCCCACTGGTACAGTAACATAGGAAATAACAGGCTTCGACTACCTAAGTAGGTAAATTGGGGTGAGGGGACCGGTGAGGGTATGAAATCCGATATGTGACTAAGACCGACGAACGTCTAAACCTGTAAGGTATAAAATCTGGCTCTCGGTGACACCGTAAGGCTATCAGAAACACGACAGCTTTGCTCTCGAAGCGTTACGAAGCCAGCATCACCCCCCACGTGCCTTTTGTTGAACAAAGAAAACCGTAGGTGAATCATCAGATAGACATCACGGGGGCAATAGTTTATAGGCTTCGGGTTGCCTATTCGGGCAATCCACGAAGGAATTGAGTAAGGTGGAGTTAATACGGAACCCGCTAGTCAACGTCAGGTTCATCCTTATTATAAAACATTGCACAAAGTTGACCGTATCCCGTAACAACTTTTATGATCACGTTTGAGACTAAGGTGCTTTAGTATGTTAGGAGATTAGGCTGGACCCTGCCTACATACACATCTAGTATCTCTACGGCCTGTCGACCGGACAAATCGGCGAGCGGTTGAGGGTATAATATTCGCTGATATCAACTCTACGCCACATGATCGCATTTTTTCGGTTCCGTTTCCATGCATCGCTGCCTCACCACAGATAAATACGACTGTGTATACAAGCTGCGCGTCCCCGCATTGCCATGCTTTTGCTTTTCCCCGCGATTTACTCTGGGGTCACAACGGTTGCAGATTGGAGGGTTCATGAAGAATGATCCAATGGCGTCTCCTTGTTAGGGAGTGTCAAGGTATCGGATAGGTTTAGCTCTGCTTACAGTTCCGCCACATTAGTCTCTTGTCAGACCGTTAGAAACAGTGATACAACAGCTTCTAGCGAGTCTTCGGCGAGATCTGTATATTCGCCTAGACATTATTTTCTGTATCCCCCCCTTCCGCGATTGGTAAGTCTGAATCTGACTCGCCTACCCGTCTGTTTGAGGCTTATACTTCGTTATTCCGGCTCCCCGTTGTTGACTTGTCAACTTCCAAGGCTAATTACCAAGATTGCCGGCCGGTTGCCGTCGAGGAAATGCGATAGATCAATTCGGCACTTGGCATAGTCATCGGAAAACGTAAGAATATTTTACCACTGGTCGGGTGTTTCTGGTACGGTCCCCCTACCCCGGCGCACATACAGCAAGGCCCCTACTGCAAGATATAGTTGACGAAAATGAGGAGTTTCTTTAATTGGGAAGCCGCTCGCGTTTTCAGGCTTCGAATCACGAGTCCTTCCTCGCAATCTGAGCTCCTGCTTCTAAGGGTCCTCCGGTTGGGTAGGTAACATTCAGGGTCTCACCTGTACTCAGAATGGATGCCTATCTCTCAGCCCTACACGCCTGCTGGGAGGGCAACCTATTAAGAATAAAAGCGCCTACGGCGGATGTCTAAATAATAGTTATTATCTACAGATAACCAAGTGAAGCCTCAATTGCCTCGGCCAAGAGGCAATGTCACTGTTTGTACATGCCTAAGCCGTTCAATAACCGGCAAAGACATTTAAGTGTCATGTGAATGAGAAGCACAAGGCCAGAATTGAAGACCAGATCGTACGAAAGTAGTCGAGGGACCAATTGCCGAATAGACGGAGCCTCGAGACAACTCAGAACATCGCCACCGTCGTGAAGTATTTCCCTTGAAAAGAGCGATTTTCATGATATCGGCCTCGTCGCTTGCTCTTTTCGTTGTCCCGGAGCACCAAGGTCTCAAATGGCTACAATTGCTGCCCAATATGTCGAGAAAACCAACATATCCAAACCCCAAATTCGCAGTAGACGACCAAGGCCCTCATCTAGAATCTGCGACATTCGGAACCCAAAGACGATCGCCTACAAGGAGTATCAGAAATCATCGTAGGTTAAAATCCAAGGTAGAATTTAAGATAATAGGGGGGTTTCTCTAGAACCCTAAGACTGACAGTGGCTACTACTGCCCTCCAAACATACATACCCCTTTACCCCTTTACCCCTTACTAAGTAGACACGGTAATCATTATATGGCCAATATCTGAAGGGAGTATGAAAGGATTCAAGGATCTGCGTAAAGAATGAGATGGGCAAATAAAACCATTGGATTGTGAGGAAACTTACGAATTCAGGTGGTTTGACAACATACGCACCTGGGCAACTAGGAATAATCTCGGAGTTGCGTAGAAGTATGAACAACAACGTGTTCTTAATCCATCATTTCGACCACGTTTTTGCCTAGATCGAAACACATATCTATTATTTCCGATCCGTAGTGCCGCTTCTTCTTAACTTGCATGTGACAGCTTTGCATGGGCTACGTATGAAGGTTGACCAAGGTACCTATAAGCCGGCTCAAACCGCAACCGCAGTTCCCCAAATCGTAACAGTTAACTGTTAAAAGCCCAATAACCGTCAACATGGGCGCCGTCCTCCAATGAAATGCAATACCAAACGGCTCAATTTATGGGGATGGCATTATGCCAGATAAGCTAACTACGACTCTCTCGAGTCTAAATTGACTCACCGCTATCACGGAAACCTGTTTTTTGATGACGTATGTGAAGACATGCTGTAATGTCTGCCAGATAAGACTCATCGTAACGTTGCTGGGTGAATAGTAAACCCGGTAGAAACTAATGTATCACTTAAGGGGATCATGTTGATGAATGCAGAAGGACCCAATGTCCCGTTGTTACAGCCAACACATACATCCGTAATCGTCCCGAAGTTGCACTGCAAGCATAGCGTCTAAAATGAGGACAGAAACTGAAGAGTTTCAGTATCTCCGCTCCTCAGATATCGAAAGAGGGATATTATTAAGGCAGTAATTAGTTCTCTAACACGTGAATATATAAATGTTCACCAGATTTGGTAGACGTAACCGTATACTCTCGTTCCTATTAGTACCTATATATGGATTTAGATAGGGTTTTCGGGAACTGTTCCTAAGCTTTATCCTTTCTGCTGGCCAATAGTTCCATCACACATGGTATATATGAATAAGTAAATTTTAGGACACGGTATTAAGTGAAGGTGTAGTTCTCTGGATGCCGTTTAAGGAAGGCGTACTTTTATGAGGCTAAATAGCTTGATACATTATAATTAGTAACTAGTGTATAGACAGGTCTAATGCGATCGATCTGCAAATCATGATCAAAGGAGAAAGGAAGTCGCCAATCAAACAACTTTATCTGAAGCCAAGCTCTAAGTATCCCCTTTAAGTGGTACATGACTGCAAGTCAGGGATTAAAGAATAGATATACTGCTGGTAGACCAGACCCATTATACTAAAAGTTTCAACAAGCCAATGGCATAGGAGATACATGGTTTCACACCTACTTTTCCTTGCCAGTCATACTGCCGATGCCCTGATCTACAACTGCCAACGTGGGATGAGAACCCTGCTTTTATGGGTATAAGTCCGTGTTTAGGTGTATTCTACCTACCTTCAAATCCCCAGCCACAGCCATTGACCAGTGGAGGGGATAGAGACTAGGTATTATTCCAAGGACACAGACCTTTATTCAATTTCACACTCATATGTCAAATTGAAGACTTGCTCAAGACTGTAACTGGGTTTTCGTATTTGAAAGTAGGATTGTTACGTAAAACGTACCGGAAAGACATGGTTCTATGAATGTTGCATAAGAAAATGGAACCGATAGGGGACGGATGGACATAATAGCTGTTGTAGCCGCTTTCCTTGCGAGCCTTCGTTGACAAAACATGTTCCGGGGTTTTGACCGTGCTGTCTGTCGTATGAAGAATCATAAAGCAACGTCGAGTACCCAGTCTGATTTTTTATTAAAACAAAATCCTTGTTAATACTAGCACCATGGAGGAGATACTGATATTGCCAGCGTGTTTGCTATGAAAGATATTTAATCTACTCTATTAACTTTATACAATAGTATGTTTAAGCTGAAAAACCTCGGACTTCAGAATTCAATATGACGACTTACGACAAGCCACACCAAACCTTTGCTTCACTAATTAGTGACTAATACTTTCTTATTGCATATTACTAACAAATCCGTTATTACAATATGGATTTAAGACTAGGATACCCGATAAATGCATGCATAGTCGACACGGTGGAGGTCTCAAAATTAGCCCCCACAATTGTACGTACTCCAGCTGCGCCACAGCAAGGCAATAGGGAAATAGGGATCTCCATCTTCAGCCCTTTTTGCGCGAGGCTCTGTTTTACTGTGTACTTACCGTCCGGTATCTGATTTTCAGTCCATTCCCTATTAGACTTTTCATAGGATCGAAGCCGTAGTCTTCATTGAATGGCTTCGTTGAGATTGTGGCCTTTATGCAGTCCCAATGGCACGTGATGGGGGCTCGAGGCTGACGGCTGTCTGGTGAGTTACATCGTGGCCCTGCTATACCTGAATACCGGCTAACCTTTGAGATAGCTTTCTTGCCTCATATATCTGGCTATCATGTTCCTTACAGAGACATTCATTAATAGGTGCGCTCTTCTTCGTGATGCCCCCTCACCGTAGGCGTTTGGGGACTTACCGCCTCACATAGATCAGCCACGGCTGTCTTCATTCTTACTCCTTTTCATTTCAGGCACCATAGCTTTCATAGCTAGCCTGTTTTCGAAATGGCTCCCCGGCGCAGATGGAAGGTTTGGTATGTTTGGATTGCTTTCTAGCGAAGAAACGACTTCTGACATGAGCGACAGATTCGGAGGCTGTTATAAAGGGAATGCAGTCCTCCCTTCCACACCGCCCTCGACGTTTTTATGTGCCTTGTATCATATTTCTCATCGTTTTTCGACTAGAGATCGTGCATAAGGTTATGCGCGACTTTCAATGTGCCGCCGAAGGCATAGAGGTAAGATATACCTCTAACCATCGAAGCAACGACATATGAACCTAACACTTTGCAGGCTTTTCTTCCTGTATTTCTAGCTGCTCACGAGTTCTTCTCGCATCGTACGAGCCAGGTCATGTCTGACGAACCGGAAGACATGTGGGGCAGCCCTTTAGAAGATTTCAAGAATTGGCTCATGAGCTCCCCGATCACTCTTCTCTTCAGCACTATTCTCTTTAGCTATGGTGTTTTCATGGTGGGAGACCTCACTTCAAGATCTACTTATTTTTGCTCCACCTTGGTGAATCAGAGCTCATTCACTATACTCATACAGTGGCTGGGGGTTTTCACTGACGCCGTTATCTTGATCATGTTATGGAGGGTGCTTTCGTGGGCGAGGACCACGAGAAGCCGCCTCCGAACTCTTGGCGGAATTCTAATTTTATCATCCCTTGGCGTCTCATCTCTATGGATGGTAGCGCGACTTTCCCAGCATCAAGAAATTATTGGTCACCATCCATTCAGGGGGATCGGTTCTCTCTACTTCTTTGACGTTTCTAGCACGGCACTCCTCATTTCTACTCTCGTTATATCGACGGCAATGTGGATCTGCGACGCGACAATATTAGAACCTACAGCTATCGCAACCTTTACCTCTGGCTTGCTTGGGAGTGTTCAAAATGTTCTGTTGATCGGAACATATCAACAGACCACGTCCGGCCAACCACTGTTGGTACTATTTGTTATCTCGGTTGGGTTCATTCTCTTTACTTATGCAAACAACATGAGATGGATTATCTTGTTCAAGAGGGTATTTCTCCTGCTGTTGCTTGCTTCTCTATTCATCACATCGGCTCTCTACGCTACGTTCAGGAGCAAGCATTTGGACCGTCACCCTGTTGACGATCTCGTCTATAAGAACAGGGTGGAAGCTGACCGTTGGCTTCGGCACGCAACTGTCAGTACTACCCTGAAATTAGCGGTCACCGAATACAAGGACCGCCACCAAGGGCGTGATCCACCGCCAAACTTCGACAAGTGGTTCGAATTTGCACAGCAACGGAAGTCTGTTGTGATCGATAGGTTCGACCAGATCGAAAGGGATATCTTGCCCTTCTGGGGCATGAAACAACAAAAGATTCAAGAGGGCCTGAATCGACTGAAAGTGTTACCTGATGTTGGGATCATTACCATTGCAGAGGGAAAGGCGTCTCACAACCAGCTAGCTGACCCTACGCACAATGTGATATTGGACGAAGCGGTATCGATGATTTCAAAATTTGTCGAATATCTTCCTGCTATGTCTATTGCTATCAACATGAAAGAGCGGCCTAGGATTTTGGTTCCTTGGGACGACGTTCACAGGTTCATTATGGCTGGAACTAAACCTCGGTTTCAGCTTCTTCACCCTCGCTCACGGAACCGCCTAGTGGACGAACCTAAGCTAACAGACAGTAATGCTGTTGATGTCTCCAAGGAGGTTCTGGGATCAACTACCCAGCCATACGTATCTCCGAAGAAGTTTAGACAACTTGAGGCTTTGGCATGTCCTCCGGGATCAGCTGCCCGAGGAGGCGTGCATTGGGACACGAGGGATTTCTGTTCCTCATGTGTCAGACCTCACTCGGAAGCGCAGTTCCTGCAGGACTGGGAAATGTTCCTTGATCCATGCCACCAACCGGACATATTCAACCTACACGATTTACATACTACACCTCATCTTCACGACCTACACCAAGATCTCTTGCCCCTCTTCAGCAGATCGAAGACGGATAGTTTCAACGATATATTAATACCGCTCATACGTCCGGTGAACGAGGAACACGACGAGATCGGCTTCGATCAGAAGAAGGAAATCGTGTTTTGGCAAGGGGATGCTAAAGACTCGCAAATCGTGACCCCTCAATCCCTACTCGGCGGGCACCGCCACCGACTAGTACATCTCGCCAACAACGCCAGCGCCGTGGATCAGGTGTCCATGCTCCTCGACGTTCAGGTCAACAAGAAGGACAAGTTCCAGTACGAGACAACGCAGCTCAAAGAGGCGAACGGTCCCCTGCCTTTCGAGTTCTCGTTCACCAACACCGAAGCCTGCGACGACGCTAACTGCCAGCTCCTGCAGCGGGAGTTCGGCTTCAAGGAGCCGGGCAAGGCCCTCGAGAATAGGTACGTGGTGCTGCTCGACAGCGCGGACGGGCCGCCACAAGACCTGCTGCCGACGCTCCGGTCTAATAGCGTGCCCGTACTATCCTCCGTTTTCCGAGAGTGGTTCACGGAGAGGTTGATGCCGTGGGTCCATTTCGTGCCTGTGGATCTCAGATACCACGCCCTGCACAGTACGATGGCGTATTTCATCGGCCTGAAGAACCGCGGCCCGATTAATGGGAGAGTCCAGACTACTGATGGTAGACACGAGGACGCACGGTGGATCGCGGAGCAGGGGCGTAAGTGGGCTGATAAGGCTGTTAGGAGGGAGGATATGGAAGTTTACTTGTTCAGACTCCTGCTCGAGTGGGGGAGGGTCGTCGACGAGAATAGGGATAACTTAGGCTTCACGCTGTAAGTGTAGCCTAAACTGGCGTACATAATTAGGGAAGGTGTCTGTAATTATCACACGCGTGTTCACAATACCTGGAATAGCTAAGTGGGTAATAAAATAGAGGCGTTTCGTGGGTACCTATATCAAACTTGTTCACATCGTATCATGTCAGTGGCGTCCTTGTTTGCTACGGCAATATACTTAGTACCTTTAGAATATCAACTAGCGGTTTCTAGAGTGTTGACTCACAGTCCCGGCGTTTGTACCCAGGCAACAGCCGGGAACAGACATAAGTGAAAACGCCACGATATGCATATCCGTATTGTTGACGGCTGTTAGCCAATATCACTCGGATAAGTGTGAATTTCCGTGTTTTTTATTCGTGAACTACAGGATTAGGAGACTAGGAGGTTTAGATTTGTGAACAGCGTTAAAATTGATTTGCTGGCGCCCAATAATATGGTCGTATGTGAACATTATAGTATATAGAAAAGCAAAACGAGAGAAAATTATCTAAGCTTGGCGCGTTGGGAATTCATAGTCAGTCTGTTGGAGTATGTGATAATGAATACTTAAGTAAAGAAATCTTGCCATTTTCTATTTTTTTGCGAGTATCATCCCCTTCAACTCTAGAGTTTTATTCTTCGAGGTTTTCTAACATGATGGGATTGAGCCATAGCAAATATACTATTGATGTTACCGTAGATGGTGACATGATCAATAAGCGGCCTCGAATTAGCGAAGAGGCAATGGCTACAGGGCCCAACAAGTCCACAGTCAGCCCCTCCCGTGTGGGCCTCGAGCTTCCAAGAGTCCATATCGAAAACGAAAGCAATAAGGGGAATTTGGCACCGATCAAGGTTGAAACTTTGGAACCCAGCCTAAAACCACCTGTACCACTTCTCCAACGGCTCCAAATCCATGAGTGGGACAATGACGAAGATAATATTACGGTGGTGGATACCGATACCTCTGAGCTCACATGGTCTGATTGCGGATCAGAATATAGAAGCAGGGAATCAAGCTTAGGTGAAAAAGACGACGACAATGACGACGACATGTATATGGTGATCCATGATGGTCCATATGCTGACAGCATTCGCGAGCTGAGACGGAAGGAAAAGTCCCGTTTCCCTGTCGCTTTGGTGGTAAAGCTAGAGACCAATCGCCTGAGAAAATTGAGCAACCCGGGCGTGCGAAACTCCCCGTCGACGATTGTCCCTCCTTCCAGAGGCTTTGTGATCATGCATGTGTCAGACCCATTGACTTCTCCTACTGGGGCAGTTCACGAACGAGAACGTGCAGTGGTTGGGATAGCCCAGAGTCTTGAGAAAGCCAATATCGAAGCTATGTCATACTTCTGCCACCATCATCACGGGCACATGTGTGGCTTGGATGTGATAGGAAATAGCCGACAGAACCGTGTAAAATCACCATTCATGGAGGTCAAGGAGTATAGTGGTATACAATCGTTTGAGGCGTTCCATCACGCCAGTGGCACAAGGGATTGTTCGGCTTGGGGTGTTGATCCAACGGGCTGCTTGGGACTCTTAGCTGTTCACGGTATGAAATGTTTTAGCATGGTTTATGTGAAGGAGACATACTGGTTCGCTTGAAGAGAATGTCTATTGGAGGCGTGAATTGAAGAATTAGGTACTGTGTTCCCTGAGGCTGTATGGTCGGGGTTTCAAGGTAGTTTTAAGTAGTTGGTTTTTGTATTCGCAGAGAAAGAAAAGAAAAAATGTTATCATATCAGAACACTTGCTCATGAGATGTATGTCTTCTAGCACCTGCTCTTTATGTTGTTGCAATATGAACCGTGATATTGGTGTGAAATGGTTGTTAATGATTGGTTGGGGGTTTGGTGTGGACGTAATCCCTGTTCATGCGGGAGGCGTAAAGACGATTACCTAACACAGTATTGTTTCACAAATCAATTCAATACTTGCATAAAGCTTCGTTTGTTGAATTATTGCATGATGTGACGTCGTGTACCTGACAGGCAGCTTCTCTCGACATTGCTCCCCACTTCGACCAATCCAATCCCGCATCACCAACTTCACAACTTCACATCTCTCACCTCCCACCTCGACGACGACATTGACGACGACTACTTTCCCCCCTTTTAAGAAGCATATTTTGGCGACAACATATTGCGACACATTTTAAACTGCTGTCCTATCATTCATGGTCATCAAGTCTCAAGTACCCCAATTACGAATTAGGCTGCGGCGATATTTGAACTGAGACCCCACCGACGATGGCGGTCATTGACGAAGATACATTCTCCAGCATTCCCTGGAATAGCAGTAACAGTGCTTCCGATGCTGCAGAATCAAGCTCTTCAACGCCCGTAGTAAATGCAGAACCACCGACCGCCGAAGACCAACATCATGGAGAAGACCTACAACTCCAAGACCCCGGATTGTCCGGTGACATATTAGAGTGTACCGTTTCGGAACCTCGCAAGGAGCAGGATGGCACCAAAGACGCTTTCGTATCATATCTGATTACTACTAACGTAAGTGATTCTATAGAATACTCATGGTCTTGGAAGCCATTGTACTCACTATTTTCTATAGTCAACATTTCCCTCCTTCCAGAAACCCACATTTACCTCCCGCCGTCGCTTTACCGATTTCGTTTTTCTTTACAAGTCTCTTTCTAAGGACTATCCTGCATGCGCCGTACCGCCTCTTCCCGACAAGCAGCGCATGGAATACGTGCGAGGAGATCGCTTTGGCCCGGATTTCACCAATCGCCGAGCCTATTCCCTACAACGCTTCCTGATGCGCCTCACTTTACATCCTATCCTCCGCCGAGCTCCTATTTTACACACTTTTCTGGAATCCCCCGACTGGAACGCGACTATGAAATCCCGCGCAGCTAGAACTAGCACAACCTCGGAGCAAGGCAGTAGTGGTGTCTTCGACAACTTTGCTGACACTTTCATCAACGCATTTACCAAAGTCCACAAGCACGACAAGCGATTTATAGAGGTGCAGGAGAAGAGCAATAAGCTGGACGAAGATCTAGGGCACGTTGAAAAAGTTGTGGCGCGGGTAGCCCGACGGGAGACGGACATAGAGACGGACTTGCGAGATCTCACGGAACAATTCCAGAAACTCATCACACTTGAACCGGGAGTAGAAAGCGCCGTTCACGGCTTCGCAGCTAGCGTGGAGGACACGGCAACCGGACTCAAGAAGCTGCGCGAGCACACGGATCAGGACTACCTCGGCAGCCTGCGGGACATGCAAGCGTACAGCCAAGCGCTGAAGAACCTGCTCAAGGCGCGGGAGCAGAAACAGCTCGACCACGAGCAGCTCACGGAGTACCTCAACAAGTCGACGGCGGACCGCGACGCGCTGGCCAGCGGGTACGGGTACGGCAGCGCGGGGGCGCTCGGGGGCGCCGGCGGCTACATCCGGTCCAAGATCGAGGACGTGCGGGGCGTGGACCACGAGGCGAGCCGGCGCGAGCGGCTGCGCAAGCTGGAGATGCGCATCGACGAGCTGACGACGGAGGCGGAGCGCGCGAAGAAGACGAGCGAGGCCTTCGACGAGGAGGTCGTCAAGGAGGTCGTCGACTTCGAGAGGATCAAGCGGATCGAGCTGAAGAGGCAGTTCGGCGGGCTCGCCGACGCGCACGTCGAGTTCTACGGCGGCGTCATCGACGTCTGGGAGCAGTACGTCCGGGAGATGGAGAAGGAGGGCCTGAGCGAGTCGGCGTATACGGGTTGAGGGGATGGCGATGGCGATGGTGATGGGAGGGAGCTTTGCCGGCATGCTATCGAAACTGGATGGCCGGATTTCAACTGGTGGGTGGTTTTGTTGTGCTTCGCCTAGCCCGACGACCTGCACCTCAATTCCGAGTAAGCTAGCGCTATTCACTTGATTACTTAAGTTGCGCAAAGCTTATCAATCAGGAATATCTTACGAACTTCCATCGATGTTGTTTCAAGGATCGAGATAGCAAAATCTGAGATGGCGTTGAAGAATATGGATTGGACGGGTGGATGGACGGATGTACGTACCTAAGCAAGCCGGAGTGTAAGCAAGCAATGGAACGGAATGAATGAACACTAGGGAGTTTAGGGGGGTTCATACGGCGTTGAAGGGAAATTTTGAGTCGTGCTGTCTCATAGAAAAAAGAGAGGAGCTTTCCTCTTGTTCGTTTACATATCTACAAGGTTACGCTCTACACTTTTGCACTCTTATGTGGGATATGATATCCTTCGGGGAACTGTGCTGTGCGATTGGTAAGAAGTTCACGTAATGGCATTTTGAACTCTGGGTGAAGAGTACTCAGTGGCCTCTGTCTTAATCTAATATATCCGAGGACAAGCAGGTAAGATACTTAAGATCTCATTGTGATGAAATGAACCAATTGAATACTTCGCAAAAAATACCCTACATCTATTTATACTCCCCAAACGCCGTACGGGACCATGCCATATGTCGATACTACGAAAAGTATGCCTTTATATACAGAACGACAGAACAGCAGTAAAAAAACAGCGATGCGGTATGCTATGATGAATCTAAGGGGGTTGGTTGATGTTATCCACATGCCATTTCCATGATTGTGATTTCCGAGACGAGTGATGCTTTAACTTTTTTTACCAGAATTCTCTATACCACCTGAGACCCTATCTACCATCACCTAGCAGTCTAGAGCTCTGCTTCTCGGCGTGACCCGGTCTTCCATCGTGGTCATCGTCGTCGTCGCCGTCTTCGTCGTGGCTGGCTATGCTAAAGTGATCGGTCCCTGACGATTCCTCCGCTTCGTCTTCGCTGCCGCCCGCAAAGGCATCATACAATTCGCCAGCACGTCGCTTCTGACCCTTCTCGCCAGCCGCGCCGAGGCCTTCACCGCCGTCATCGGCATTGAGGGGCTCGAATTCGTAGTCGTCACGCGGGTTGTTGAGGCGCTGCTTGCGGCGCACAAACCAGAACCACGCGCCAAGTCCGGCGCAGAAGGCGACGATCAAGCCGAGAGCGCCATAGATCCAGGCTTGGGTGCTAGAAGAGACGCCGAAGGTGGGGAGGAACGAGGGCAGCCAAGAGCTTTGCGTAGTTGTCTCCGCCGCTGCCTCGGTGCCCGTCGGGGTAGCGACACTTTCGCCGGAAGTCTGAGTAGGCTTTGTGGGTCGCTCGGGATGATCCGATGGCAGGGCAGTGGGCAAGACAGTGTTAGTGGCTTCCGGAACAGAAGGCAGGCTAGTCGTGGACGCAGGTAGAGTGGCGGTGCTAGTCACATCGTGGTCTGCGTCGTCATCCTCACTAGGCATAGGCAATACCGTAGCTTTGGAGGCATCGATACTCTCACCCCACAACTTGAGATGCCAATCGGTGAAGTTGCCTGTATTGTCGTTGACCTTGGTATCGCGTACAATAAGTGTCCATTTGCCAACTCCAGATTCACCCCTGAATTGCTGTTAGTCTCGAACATTGTCAATATGTATATGGAGGTAAGCAGCTTACCAATGAGCGACAGTCATGAAAGTCCAGTCATCATAGCCCTCGGTGCTAGTATCTAGCTTACGCGTGGCTGACAAGTGACTGATCACGTTGTTAGGACTAATAAGATCAACGCTTAGATCTCCACGGCGGGTATGTTCCACATTCATTGTTACGGTGACATGCTCTAGGCGCTCAAGATTGGCACCCTTGAGCATGTCTTGGGTGACCTCGAAGCTAACCGATAAACCTTGGTCACCTTGAGGAATCTCCTTGTGCACATGTAGCCACGGAGAGTAGTACCAGGCCTGAGGCTTAACATTCTTCCAAGTCTTCGCTACCTCCACAAGAGCCCAACTGTCAACCTTGCCGTAGCCAAAGGTGTGGCTGAACTGCTTGCCGATAGTGGTAGGTTGCCACTCGCCAGTGTCTAGGTCGACAGGTACCGCACTATGCAACGCGATGTATTGCATGTCTCTCCAGGTCAAGTCAGGACGAACCTCGAGGGCTAAAGCGAAGATTCCGGCAGCCAAAGGTGCGGCGGCAGAAGTACCGCCATGCCCATTATAGCATTGGTTTTCGCCGACATCAGTGGTGTGAATGGCGTCTCCACTGCCACTGCTGTAGGTAACGACAAGCTGGGCCGAGCACTTTTCGGAGTAGTAAGGATGTACACCTTGTCTATCGATCGCGCCAACAGTGATACTGTATATGCTATTCGTGTAACCATCAAAATTGCAGTTGTCTTCACTTGCGGCGCCGTTGCCACTAGCAAAAACGTAGATAGATCCTTTCTTGCCGCGTCCATTTTGCACTCCGTTCAGCATAGCTTTCTTGATTAGGATACCGGGGGCGTCCATCGATTTTCCATCATCCGGCGGACCCCAAGAGCAAGAGTATATATCGTTATGTTGGAAATCGTAGTTCATAGCCTCGGCCTCGTCCGCGTCGCTGATCAGCTTACTGAGAATTCGAATGCCCGCAATCTTGGAGTCGTACGCGACACCAACACCACAGACATCATTCCTAGCAGCACTGACTTCACCGGCACACCGGGTACCATGTCTGTCGTCGGATAGGGTCGGACGAGGCTCGGGCCTCTGGTCGTTGAAGTCGTAACTGCCCTCAGCGTAGTAGTTAGGCTTCAAGTCGTTGCTGTACATATCCAACCCATCGTCCACGATAGCTACTGTTGCGTTCTTGCCCGTGACTCCTGCAAGCCAGACACCGGTCACATTTACGTCATGGCCCAACTGAACCGTATTTAGAAGATGCCATTGCTCATTGAAAATCGGGTCAGAGATGCCAAGTGTCTGCATCACAGACTTTTGCTTTTCCACCGTTTTCGCATCGGCCTGGTCTGCTCGTATCGTGGGATAATGGCCGTTTGGAGGAGGCGGGATAACTCGCTTTTGCATAGGAGCCCGCAATTTCTGCTTATGAGAGGCCTTTACGCCGTCAATGATGTCTGCACCACCAAGCGAACGCTTCCGCCGACGTTCCTGGACTGCGCGCCGTACGACATCCACTTCGGCCTTGGAAGTGGAAAAGATGTGATGACCCGGGAGTTGGCCTAACTGGCCCTCGTGCCTCAAGCCCAGCCGGGACGCGATTAAGTCGGGTTGCGCATCGCGTTCGAGGTGAAGAACGTAGTAATCGTTGGAGTCGAAATTCCGGCGTTGTACGGATGCAGTGCCTAGTCCAGCAAGGCCGCCGACAACAAGGCCGACTAAAGGAGCGAGCTTCATTGCGAGATCGAGTGAGCGTTATTCAAAACACCCCGCAAACCTCGGAACGGGATCGGGATCGGGAATGAGTCGGTATGTATCGATACAAGGAGTTCGTGACGATAAAGAGATACAATGATAGGGTCGATAGAAAGGACTTGACGAAAACGAATCTATGTAGGTAGTTAAGCGACCTTAGGTATTTCGTAGGTAGTGGATATTGTAGGTATCCAGAAAAGGCAGAGACGAAACAAAACGCCTTCGCTCAAGGCCATGCACGAACCCCCTTAATGAAACCGTGAAAGAATATCTTGACGGATGAAGAAGTCGGCAGCTTCCCCCATCGAGCAACAGAAGAGAGATCTGTCAATCTAGTAAACAGTAAACTTGTTATGGCTTTTGGTGTGTTGGAACCGACAAAGATAAATTCGGTCGAGTGTAGGAACAGGTAGGAAGAGGAATACGTTGAACTCCTCCCCGTTGTTGTAATGTTGTAATGGTTAGGTTCAAGGGTGCAAGTGTGGCGGCGTAATCCAATCTTTTCCGCTCTTGCCTTGTAAGCTTACGGTTTACAGGCTAAAGAAACCTTACATAATGCGGAAGCCAGGTGTTCTAAAACACTACCAAGCCACGCGCCACGCCATGCTTCGGGTCTAGGTTGAGGAGCGTGTGGGGAACATCTTAAATTGTGATTGGCTATTACGAGTTCTCGAGACCCCTAAAAAAGGCCTACTCTTTCCCTACGCTGCCTGAGCCAGCCTTAACAGAAATTCACCTGATCGCATCATGATGTACCTCATAGTACATATAAACGAGGCGATTCGGAAGTATATGTTGCGCCATTCGATCATTGAACAACCTTGGAAATTGCATGATCTTAGAGAAATGAAATCAATTATGAGCTGCTTATATACAGCCCGTTGCAGATTGAAAATGTTTCACTAATAGAATTAGCATTCCCCTTACAATAATGAAGACACAGGCATAGATTCGTGGTGGTACCGTACATACGTAATCGGGTATATAAATGCCAGTAACCGTTCCTGCCAGGTCCGCTCACTTACATAGGTATGTGGTACTTGCGGTGTTCAAACAGCTTCGGGACTCCACTTATCAAAGCACAAGCGTCTATCCGAACTTCAACAATTTCAAGTCATGAGCTCGAATGTCGACTATGGAATATTCGAGGATTATACTGTTCCCAATACTTCTACTAGGCGAACATATCCATCACATCCTCTGATATTTTATATGCACTCTGCAAAGAGTATCGTCAACAGAGCGTTCTATTCTAGGAATGACATCACAAGCTGAGCTAGGATCTGCAGTTGGACACCGTCGATATCTAATTAAAGATCTGAGAGCCCTAGAGCCTTAGAGCCTATTCTGTTTGTGGCCACACGGCTCATCCCGATACTTGGACAACTTTCGAAGTGAATTGAGACTCGCCGTTTGAAGTTTGTTACTTCTCAGGTACGTGAAGAAACAAACTTGCAACAGGAGATAACAGGATATCCCTAATATATATACATTGTATATTCCGAATTAGGTAGGTGAGGACTATCGTATTGTCGCCCTTGTCGGGAACTAATGTCTCTCTTTTATTGACTGAGATATATTTCGTTTCGAGAGGGGCTAACCAACCACCGTCATTTGTCGCTCTCTGACTTTCTAAGCTCTTAGTCTTACCTGGGTAGGCTTTTATACTGCTCACCGTACATAGCAGGAGAGATTCAGCTCTCGAGTTTTGAGGGCTGAAAGCCCCAGCATCTTTCGATTAACATACCTAATAGGTCAAATCCACTCACGAATGCAAGAAGCATTACCTAGGCGCATTACAAAACTCCGTTCTATAGTTGACCGCTTCTTTTTCCCAAGACGGTCTGTTAGAAAACAACGGACAATATAAAACATCATATATCTTCCCGCCACGGAATACGCCCGTACGATTTATCTACCTGGGTAGGTATTGTACGAGGCTAGATCTGTTTCTCACCGGGTACACGGACTATTACCCGTCTCCCGCGCCAGGATTCAAACGAAAAAAACCGGGAGGCTTGCAAGGCTCTGGACGTCCGAAAGGGAAAAGCAAAAAAGATCCCGGCTTCTTTTTTTGCTTTCGCCAGCCTTGGTAAAGCTGAAGAAGCTTAGCTCTCTTACCAGCCATATTATTATTTTTTTCGGCCAACAACTTGACCTTGATTAATACTACTCAAGCTTCGACGATTCTCCTCATGTTCGCAACAGCAGCTCTGTGACTGTACCTCTGATTTTCCCCTGCATTAATTATCTGCTACCCACAACTACCCGAGTCGCATGTGTCTGCATCGTATTGGTCATCATGGAAACCCGCAGATGATAGCTAGTCCGACACGCCTCCTTCCGTCCTAAGTTCAGCCTATCTCGCGGCCCAATCATCGCCGAGCCTGATTGTTGTTCATCATGTCTGCACCATATTGGGGCCAATTGCCCCCTCCAAATGCTCGCCGCATGTCCGGCGACTCTGGTCAACCTGATCGGCCTGATCGCAGACAATCTTTAGATCAGCCTCCAGCCCAGTTTCAGTCGCGATCGAATCGGGCATCCGTCCAAACCACACATACCGAATCTACCTTCAGTCCCTTAGAATCCCCCGCCACCTCATACTTCCCAAACACCGGGTTAGCTCCTCGCCCGTCCTCCCTGTCCTACGGACATAATCGATATCCTTCAGATCTGCAAGAAAAGCGGCGAAGACGCACCAGCCAAACAACAGAAGACATTCCGGAAGTCGGTTCGCACGACGAAGGTGCCCTTTCGCCTCCCCCAGCTGCTCCCGACGTCCCCAGAGCTCCGCCTGTGAGCTACAAGGACCCTTACAGACACAGTAGCCCAGCGTTCACCCCGACATATTCTTACAACGCAGACGGCCAACCAGGGCCGCCACTCTCAGCTTACAGATTCGGTTCTCCCAGATACGGATCCCCCGCTCAAGCACGGATTGCCGGAATGGAACCCGAATCTTTCTATAAGGATGCTACTCCACCAGCCGAGAAGCAAAACAGAGCGCCTACACTCGATCGAGCTCGACAGACATTTGGCGAAAATGAAGGCATCGATAAACTGGATAGGGATAATGGATCCATGGGTCGGCCAACGAATGGAGATCTGGAAGGGCAAGGAATTGTAGATCCATATGCACCAAAGAGACAACCAACCCTAGCCGGGCCACCGAGGCGTCCGACATTTGCAGACGATCGATCGCCGCTACAAAGGCTTGAGCTTACCCTCGATAGTATTACCAAGGAGGAGAAGCGGGCCCGTGTAGAAGCTGCCGAGCGACGTGCAAGGGAACGGGCAGTTCGAAGGGAGAATGCCGTCAATGAAGATAAGCTTCAGCCTCCTCCGGAGCGCTCGAGCAGCCAACAGGTTAAGGTTCGAGACCGACGTCAATCCGCGAGTCAGTACGATGACCCAATGCAAGTTCAACCATCGGCAGTCACGTTTCATGGGCCTTTGTCTCAGAACCCACCGGAGGAAACCAAGCAGTATACTCCACCCGGTCAATCTCCAAGCTCCAAAATCCCAGTCCCCAAAAATCGCAATATCGCAGCACCTCAAAAGACCGATCTACCCCAACGTAACTTAAGCTTTCGCGAGAGGGCTGCCAAAAATGACGGTGATATCTCAGCAGATGCGGATAGTAACTCACAAGTGTCGCCAATCAGTTCACCAGGTGGAGGATTTGCTCTTGCTCGGAATGGAAGTAACAAGCTCAAAAAGAACCCACCTAGCGATCCATGGTATGGTCAGCGTAAGGAAGCCGAAGAGAAATCTATGGCTCAAAGACGCAACTTACAAAGTGATGGAACCTATGAGATGCCTAGAGATATCAACACGGCACCAATAGTTGCTAGGCCCAGAAATGAGCCAATTACGAGGGACCCCACTTCACAGTATGTTGGTCGGCCTCCGGCAAGAGGTAAACAGTTTGAGCAAGAGGATTATGAAGAGCCTAGACAAAGAGGTGTTGCTGCTACATCTGGACCTGGTCGAAACGACTCTGTAGCCAGCAGTCAGCGCTCCCCGCCGTCACAGCAAACATTTCAGAGCTCACTACGGAATTCAGATGCTCCTCCCAGGAGTGCCGGCAAATCCGTCACCTTTCCAGATCGGCGCTACGAAGCTCAAGAGTTTGATGACGATGACTATGACTCGGATTTAAGCGAGCATAAGTTGGGTATTCATGATTACATGCACCGACGTAAGCTGAAGCCTGGTCGAGGGATGTATCAACCACCAAAATACTTGGAAGAATGGAAGAAGTCTACAGTCGGAACATTAGCGGGTTCTTTGCTCGATCTCAACGTGGAGCCCCCCAACCCTAACCCAGGTGCCGATAAAGGCACACCGTGGTGGGAGAACAGTGGCAGACGTAGAAGTAGCACGACAACACGACCGCCGCCAGAGCTTTTTAGTGAGACATATGATGATACGCAAGGTCCTACGAGGTTTAAGCCACCACTATATCTCAAATGTGGGCCGTTGCTACGTTATTGTGGTATGCGTCACGAAAAACCTCTACCGCGAGGCGGTGATGCGTCTATGAACCGAGATATATGGAGAGGCACCGTTATGATCGTAACGCAAGACACGGAATCGTCATATGACATTCCTCCGATCCTTCGACTTTTCGTTCAGCCAATTGAGCTCTTACCACCGCCTCCGGCGGAACTTCGCGGAGAGCAAGTCCTTCCACCAGAATACGTAGATCCGATTGCCGGCATACCGAAGCTTGGACGACGAGGAGAGACTCTTTTCGTGCGGCCGGTAGAACATCTAGAAGAGGCCAAAGATGTTTCGAGGTTAGATCCCGACGATGGTCTATTCGAAATCACAAGGTCCGCTCCCGACTTCAACAACGCGCCCGATCCACCTGGATCTTTCGCCTGCCGTAAGAGACGCACTCCGGTTGACGGCGAGAAGCTCGGAAAGTACAAGGACGTGCGTGGATTCCGCCTTCATGCTGAACGGGGCCACACTTTTTGGAGATTCAATATCGAAGTTGAGCTCCGGGAGAAGCAACAACGAATTGCCTACCGTATAAACCATGGCCCTGCGACGGGCTTCTGGGTACCTGCTCGGGACCAGTCGATGAACATCATGTTCCACAGTTGCAACGGCTTCAGCCTGAGTGTAAATCCAGACGATTTCAGCGGACCGGACCCCATGTGGCGCGATGTGCTTAATAACCATCAAACCCGGCCATTCCACGTGATGATCGGAGGTGGTGATCAGCTCTACAACGATGCTATTATGCGGGAAACTCGTCACTTCCAAGATTGGCTACAGATCAAGAATCCTCTACATAAGAATAATGCCCCCTTGACTCCGGAAATGCAGGATGAGATGGAGAATTTCTATCTAGAGAGATACATGATGTGGTTCTCACAAGGGTTATTCGGTCTAGCGAACTGCCAGATTCCTATGGTCAACATGTACGACGATCACGATATTATTGATGGCTATGGTTCATATCCCGATCATTTCATGAAGTCGCCTGTATTCAGCGGCTTAGGCAACGTTGCGTTCAAGTACTACATGCTCTTCCAGCATCAGAGTCTGCCTGATGAAACTGAGGAGACGGAACCAAGCTGGGTTACGGGTATCAAACCAGGGCCATATATCCGCGAGCAAAGTCGCAGCTTGTTCATGTTCTTAGGCAACAAGGTCGCGCTGCTCGCTGTTGATTGCCGGACTGAGCGCACGAGAGATGAGGTTGTAACTGAGGATACATGGAAGAAGCTTATGGACCGCTGTGATGCCGAACTTGTCAAGGGCGAGACGCAGCACTTGCTCGTTCTTCTGGGGGTTCCAATTGCGTACCCCCGGCTTGTGTGGTTGGAAAACATGTGAGTGGCATCCCCTAGCCAAAGTCCGACGCAGTACGAACTAACTTTCATAGCTTGACTTCGCGATTAATGGACCCGATCAAAGCCCTCGGAAAAGCAGGAATGCTAGGTAATTTCCTCAACCGCTTTGACGGGGGTGTCGAAGTCCTCGATGATCTCGACGACCACTGGACAGCAAAGAACCATAAGGACGAGCGGCGCTTCGTCATCGAAGACCTGCAAGATCTCGCTGTCGACGCGTCCGTGCGCGTGACCATCCTCAGCGGCGACGTGCATTTAGCGGCAGTTGGCCAGTTCTACTCGAATCCCAAGCTCAACCTCCCTAAACACAAGGATTTCCGGTATATGCCCAACATCATCTCCTCAGCCATCGCCAACACGCCGCCTCCGGATCTGATGGCGGATATCTTGAATAAGCGTAACAAGGTTCATCACTTCGACAAGGAGACCGATGAGGACATGATACCCCTGTTCACTAACGACGTCGATGGCAAGCCACGAAATAATAAGCACCTTCTTCCTCACCGCAACTGGTGCTCCATCCGCGAATACGTACCAGGGCAGACGCCGCCGCCTACCCCGCCACCAGAAGAGTTCGACGAGACTCCCGAGGCCACTCCCCCGAACAGTCGGGGCGGTCTGCTTCGCAGGTTCTCGCTTTCGAGTCGGAAGGGCTCGCAGGCTCGCCCGAATACCTCGCACGCACCCGTCGACCGCTCGCGCCCGCCCGTGTCTGGCGGCGGTGGTCTCTTCCGATCGCTTTCGCGCCGGGCTTCTGATGCGGGGACTCGGCCGAATAAGCTCTTGCGCACGCTGTCACTCGGCCGAGGCGATTCCGCTCGACGGGGTAGTACTAGCGCCGGTAACGGCGGCGGCAGTGGCGGTGGTGGTCTATTCCGCAGAAGAAGCACGGAGCGCGCGGACGACGGCGGGATCAACGGCGCCTGGGGCCCTGACAGCGAGGACGACGAGGATGCCGTCTATGAAACGCAGCCCCAAAGATACGCAAGGCCAAATACAAACCAGACTCCGATGATGGCTGGGGCCGCCGGGAGAGAGTATAGAGAGTATAACGGGGCGAGGGACGGAGGCGCGAGCATGGGCCACCTACGCGGGGGCGCCGGCGACTCGAGACACGTTAACGACGAGTACGAGGTCGGCGACGAAGCGTTCTTCTCGGCACGCCCGCCGCGCCGCGCCGTCACACAGCCGGTCGCCGTCGCCACCACCTCCTCTTCCTACTCCGCCGCCGCCCCGACCCCAGCGCGCAGGAACACGAACGGCGGTCCGAGCAGCAGCGGCAACGCGTACGACAACTACTACGACCCGAACTCGTCCGAGGAAGACCCGATGGCGGCGGCTGCGCCGCGGCGCCCGTTCCACAGGACGCCGACCGGCCTCTCGGCGAAGAAGCTGCAGAAGCGCGGCGCGGCGCGGTACGAGGTCGACCTTCAGGGCGGCCTCGACGTGTGCTTGAACGTCGAGGTCAACCCGAAGGATCCCGCGGGCATCACGGTGCCGTACAGGCTCCTGGTCCCGAGGCTGTGGTACGAGTACGAGGGCGAGGACGCGAGTCCGTCGCCGCCGGTGGCGGAGGTGCAGAAGCCGTTGCCGCCGTCGCATCCGCAGCCTGCGAGGGCGCAGGAGCGGGCGCCGGTGCGTGACCGGGAAGATGAGGATTATGATGATGAGGAAGAGGATGATTATGAGGGCGAGTATGATGGGGAGTATGAGTATGAGGAGAAGCCTGGCATGCTGAAGCGCTTGTTTAGCAAGCGTGGACGGAATGCGGGGGGTAGTGGAGGCGGTGGTGGTGGGAGTCAGTATAGGGCGAGGAGAATGTCGCCTTAATTCACTTTAACCCACCCTAGCGAAAAGGAGTGAATTCTAAAAAGAGAAGACGAGGCGAGACGGGTGAGGAAGCAGTGGCAAGTTGTAAAACGCTTGTAGCAATACTAGGGGCCCGAATCAAGGGCCTCATCCGATTTCATTTTCAGCACAGCAATACTTCGGCGGGCAAAAGGGAAAAGCTTTTCATTAGGTATTTTGGGGTCAAGGCATTTCGGAGGTTATTTTTCCTCTTTTCCTCGAGAGATATCTATTTCGCTACACTTTTTTTGCTGTAGGGCAGATATTTACCTAGGGATAAGAGAAAGGGGGGGGGGAAGGGAAGGAATGGGAGTAAGCGAGTGTTTGGTTCTTCATTTCGAAGCGGGCAAGTTGGCCTGGCGGGACCGGGTGTGAACTTGACTTAACTGGTTGACACTACGATTCTGAGCAATCTGACGAGATATGACGTTTGGAATGTCATGTATTTGGAGAGTTGGGGGTTGAATGACGAGATAGCTGGCTTGACGTGCGTATGTGCTTGGGTGCGTTGATCTGAATACAATACAGAGTTACCATCGTCAAATTGTTGCCTGCGGCTGAATTTGCTACACTGTATGTGATGGATGGATGTCTCCCATGTTTCTTACGTTGCCTAGTGGCGTCCGTTCTGTACTGAGGTTACATGTTCACTCGGTTTTTATATTAGAATAACGGCCTCATCGAATACATACGACCATAGGATCTGGAGAACTCGGGATCCCGTCCGCTCTCCCCTTGATAAACCAGATACCGCCGGACCAGTAGTTGGGTCGGTGACGACCAGCGAATCCTCGGTGTTGTATGTCTTCTTCGTTTTTTCTTTCAGTCTTTTTAGCCCCTTTTGTACCCTTAGTCTCTATCCCCCAACATGTAGGGGGTTCGTGTTTATACGGGATAGAAGTACTACGATGCTAAACAAGCTTCGTAGATTATATCAATTGTTATGGTCTTGACCCTTTATATCTTGCCTTGCGACTATACGATGCCTCCGAGCACAGAAGATGATGGACTTAAGTGGATAATCCCCAATTGTTACCTATGGGCACTTCTCAACTAGCAAAGGTGGAACGCTTTTCTATGAGAGTTCTAATGCAGGGGTAAGCTGTCATAAGTCAAATTTGAAATCTGGCTCCAAGCAGAAGTTGGGGCCATGATGGAGAAGCTGCCAGCAGCTAAAGCCATATGGTCATTCATAAGTCGACAAATTGAGCAATGGCCACAAGCTGAAAGTTGTGTCCCCCACTACCTACTAGGTACCGTATAAAAGCCAACTAGGCATTATGAAGCGGAGTTTCCTATTTAAGTCATTCCTCTATAGCGTATCTTGGTTCTTATTCGTAGGCGAGCAAAGACAGCTTCTCACATGATTCTCGACCAGGATACCAGACCCTTGACCGAATTATATCATCCATTATTTGTAAGCATATAAGTCCATAGGCCCGCTCGCAGTGTGCATCTTCGACCGGTGGGTTTACCTTATGCGTGCTATGTAACCACACAGCACTTTAAACTAGGACTCATTGAAAATTTTTCGTTCCTAAACTAATAGACGCCTTCATGTCTAGTGGATTATAGGAACGGGTCTGATCCACCGCAGCACATACTAAGGAACTGGGAATCAATGCATCAGTGCCTAGTTTCCAGGCTACCCGAACCCACTCCCATGGCTCCATCTTCACGAACCCGGCGCCGCGGTATAAGTGCTAGAATCGCAGGTTTCGGTGACGACTAGTGAATCCTTGGTGTTATATGATTCGTTGACCAAACTTTTCGCTTTCGTTAGTAGGACCCGTTTTTTATACGCTGAGGTGTTCTAAAAAGGTGTAGAAGAGGCATGAAATATAAAAAGGAAAACAATCCCTCGGACCGGAATCGAACCGGTGACTTTTCGATAAACAATTGTGAACAATTACAGTCGAACGCCATAACCAACTAGACTACCAAGGGATGCTCAAACGGTTGATAATATTCTTTAAATATCCGTGGACGGATGTTCCAAGCTCGTCCAAGCGGAATAGCACGGGCTTGCTGTGTGATAAGTGATATGGCTCGAATAGGCAAAGGGTCTTCGAATGATGTCAAACGTACCTATACTAAGATTTTATACAGTAATAAAAAAGATTAACTTAGAAGAATGTGTTTTCATGAACGTATAGAAGAAGTCATTGGCTCAATCTTTGATGTAGATCAAGAACGATCTAAAATTCCAGCTTAGGTTTGGTTGACTGGCCAGTAGAATCGAGGTGGAGACTTTATTTTCATGCCGGGAAAGTTGTTCCTTGGTGTTGTGTTATAGTCAATGCTGCCTTGACATTTAGCACATGCAAATGTTTGTATCATGGAATACAAACCAAACCCCGATGCTGTTGTGGCAGACTTCAATTAAATTTGACTAGGGGTATGGCATAACCACCACATGAAGCATCCTAGCACTGTAGGTAGAGTATTGGGACAGCGGCGTCCATTCTGACATACGAAAGCCATGCTGTTGCCAGAACATGACCTAATCAGCTCAATATCGGGATCATCCATCCGTGCTCGGCTAGCCGTGTTTTGCCACTTTACCTAGGGACCATTATCAGTACCACATGACTGTGGGAGTTCAAGCCATAACTGTCGTTCTACGACGCCAAACAACCGCCATAGAGCTTGCAGCGTGTGTAGGTACCGCATCGAGCATGCCGGGATTCTCGTTACACTGCCGACCGGCGTATCATTCATAGGTTAGGATAGAGTCCCGACGCGGGATAGAAGCACATGCTCGTTTCTCCTTAGTTCGTACTCTTATTACTGTTGAACTGCATGTGTGCCATAGGGCAGTAGGCACATTAGCGGCAGATGTCCCATTTAGGGACGGGGTCGTTTGGAAGATTTGACCAAATAGAACTCTTCATGTTGTCCAATATCCAGCGTCCCGTTTGATACACATGAGCAATTCGCGTATGCTTTATGTTAATCAAGCAGTGGTATGTAATAGATGCAGGAGGCCGCTGTTTCAGGCAAATTCGACGAATAGTCACTAGGAGGACGGTAAGGGGGCTTCACCTTTTGAGTCGGACCACGTACTAGACGCTGAGGACGACGCGTGTTAGTCGAAGACATAACGGGCTGCAGCGAATACGAAACTGTGGCTGAAATGTGCATAATATCGAAATAGAGATAATCTACCAAGGCAGGGAGAGATTTCAATATTTCCAGGGTCCGGAGCGAACATATACCTATCTTCGAAACTGGAAATATGTGGGCTGTGGCTTAAGGCCGGGGGTGCCGCTTTTGTGCGTCACGCATACAAGACTTAGTCTAGCCGAGAGGACTATATCATCACGGGCATCCTGAAGATCGACATTTATCTCGGCAAGCCCCCTCCACCTCCCAGCCTTGAGAGTAGCTAGCTGCATCTTCTCATGCGCAGAGGTCACATATAAGTGCAAGATAGCCAGGATAGCCTATACAGCTGCAACTCGAAAGCCGGAAATCCTGCAGGGAGATCACGTCGGCCCGCCGATGCGTCTGTGACGTTCCAGAACGGCGGGGTTTATGAACGGCTGAGCCGTCGCCGCAGACGATATCTCAACAGGACTTTCTGAGGTGATCGTCAAAATAGGGTTGTGTTTAAGCTTGGTTAACTATGGGCACATACGGGTTATCCATCCCTCGCTTGGACGTCTCACTGTAACCTCTCCGGTAGATGCCGGGGCGACGGAATAAGATTTACCTGAGGGCGGCTTCAACGGTGGTTGTAGCCTACCCTTTACTAATTCTCGACGTAGTTGACGAGGCTCTTGCTGAGGAGGCGGCTGTTGCTGCTGCTGCTGCGGCGGCTGCTGCTGCTGTTGTTGCTGTTGTTGTTGCTGCTTATCAGACATGTTGCTCACGCCAACTAGATCCATAGACGTGAATCCATAGGGGTACTTGACTATAATCTTTGAGCGCCAGACCTGTTTGCCGTTCGCAATGCAGGTCTCAAACGATAGGCTGGGAAATTTATGTATGTGGTTTGCATGTTGTCGTATCTGGATTCGTTATGTGCTGAAAGTTAATTGGAACCGAAAGACGGGTCGCTTATACATCGGCAATTGAAGCATGGACTGCAGATCAGGTGCCTTAAAAATGCTTACGCTGTAGGCGCTATGACCTTCTTAGCGGCTTCCCAAGGACCAAAAGCTGATGATAATATTTTAGTCTAGTAGGTATTAGAAGAACCTTGAAAAAACGATGGACCTTCCCACCCGTCAGTTGCACAAAGAACTGTTTAGCAGGAGCAATTGAGAACGATTGAGAGTGATTCGGCTCTCACCAATCAAGCCATGTTTCTCAATTGCAAACACTTTATCTCCTAGAACCATATTCGGAAGCAAGGGAAACTTCTCTTCAACTCAATTGAAAATTTCGATTGAAGCTTTCAACACTTTGCGAAGCAAATATAGTGAGTAACTGCTGTCCCTAAGCTGTCAGGGATCTCATTTGAAGATGCAAATTGGGGTACGAGCACCTGACCATTTTTGACCGGGGCTACCTTCCTATAATAGTATGCCGTTAACTACAAACGGCAAAGCGTGATATTCTTACCCCTCATTTCTGCTTGTCCTTGGAAGGCGGCCAAGGAGGTCCTGTGTAGTCGCATGCAGTTGACGACGTGAGATGGAGGTAGCTTTGCACAATGAACAACTCATTCTTTATTAGAGGACTCATGATTTGTTCATTGAGGTCATTGAGCTACCTCCTCACCGGTTAGGTAATCTGGGTACCTGATCATACCTTGCCTACCTTGTGGCCTCTACCTACCTTACCCCTACCTTTGCTCCTACCTGACCCTACGTGCATTCCAGTTCTTACGCCCTTCAGGAAAAAAAATTTGAATCAATCCAATCCCCGTGGTCAATTGGCACGGCTAGTTCCAAAGCATAAGATTTTTAAGTTCGGGGTAGCTTCTGACTCTTATAAGTCTTTGGCCAAAAGCAATCCATAGAATCAAATCATTATTTCCCCTAACACTGCCTAATACTTGCTTTAACACTGGCCATTCCTTCCCTTTCTTTTCTAGTACGTACAATTAATAGAATTCTATAACCTTGGAACCTACAAAGGTTGATCCACTTCCCACGCGTCGCCCGCCACCCGTGGACCCCGCGTTAAAGAAGGTTAACTGAGTTAGCGGCAAAAGTACAAATTTTTCCATTGAGAAAGAGGTGCCCAGGTTCCTGCCAGGTGAGCATTGCGCACCTAAGCACCTAAAGCACTGAGCCGCCTTTTTTTTCCCTCCCACCAAAAATTTCCTTAACTCATTATCCTTCCTTATCGCCTATTAGTCCAAGCTCCCCCTCCTCCAATTGTTCAATTCCGTGATCGGTCTTGGACTCGACGCAAGACCCAAAGCTGAGCAAGCAAATCTCAGCCTCGGCCGGTATAGCGGCGCAACGGCATAGCGGCGTACGGAGCTCTACGGAGTGAAGTAATTACCTCAAACAAATCATCCCACGGTTCGTCACATCTGTCATCTTAGATCCGCTTGATATAATTTGTCAATCCACGGTTCCAAGGTGCATGGATGGTCACACAGTCGTCGGCGCCGTTTCGGCCCCGTCAACGAGCCCAACCAGCCCCGTGAGCGTACATCGCCATGGCTCCATGAAGCGAAAACGCAGCGAAGGAGGGCTTGGAGTCGACAGCAGTCCAGGAAGCGTTATCGGCGACGAAGACCACTCTTTAGCAGAACCCGAAAAGAAGAGACAGCCTGGCGTTAAGCGGTACGTCAACAAAGCATCAATTAACCCCATCTTACTCATAATACTTTTGCTATCTGTTCACCTACCAAGGTGTAAGGTCAACATTTATATATATTCATACGGTGGTATCTATTTGGATGCTGTACCATATCAAGAGATATATATAAAATATTTCTCATATAAAGCAATTAGCTAATGGGGTCATCTCGACAGAGCATGTAACGAATGTAGGCAGCAGAAACTGAGGTGCGATGTTGTCCAAGAACCATTTCACAGTTGTTCGAGGTGTAATCGTCTAAAGCTCGAGTGCAAGATCGAGTCCAATTTCAAGCGCATCGGCAAGCGGTCAAAACATGCAGAGATGGAAAAGGAGATCGATCGCCTACGACGTAAGATAGCGCAAGCAAAGGCGCAGGGTTTTGTAATAGACGACGACGAAGACCTGCAATCGCAATTGCAATCCCCCGTCGCAAATAGTGCGTATTCGCATACCCGAAATCCTTCGCTCATGGGATCCGATGAGGCTGTCACTTCCCTTCTGACTCTCAAGCGAGGAGGGTCGTATAGCTTGGCCGCAACCCATTATGCCTATGAGCTTGAGACTGTGCGGCTGACCGAGCAGGATGTCCATGGTTTATTTCAGGAATTCTTCACATGTTACCATCCATTCCTCCCTTTCCTGAACGAGCATCAGTCACCTGACCTTTACTATCAACAACATGCATTGCTCTTCTGGACCATTATTGCTATCGCCTCCCGGCGGTACCCCCCTAAGCCTAGTATCTTACACGAACTATCGAGCGGTCCTCTCAACAGGCTGCTATGGGGCACCGTAGGCGATGTGCCCAACAGTTACTTCGTCGTCAAGGCTCTTTGCTTGCTATGTACTTGGCCCCTGCCGACAAGTACGACTACGGCGGACCCGACACATATATTATGCGGCGTAATGATGAAAGCCGCCACCGGTATTGGTTTACACCGGCCTAATCATACGCAGGACTTTTCGCGCGTCTCTGTTGAGCTCAACAAGGATCAGCTACACGATCGAGTAACCACCTGGGCCGTATGCAACATTGTTGCTCAATCGATAGGAACGGGTTATGGCCAGCCCGCCACCACGCTCTATGACTGGACGCTTGCCATCCGCCCCGGTGAAGATGGACCTTTCACGTTATCGCCTGAACTCGAGGCTAGGTTAAGGATAGAGAGATTCTGTGATAAGGTCTCAAAAGAAATGTACAGTAATGCGAGCGATCCGAGGGGTGTAGCCGGCGATGAGCATAGAGCAATGCTGATGCGGGTGTATCGTCGAGACTTCCAAGAATTGCAGGCGTCGATCCTTTCCCAACGTCTAACGCCTATCGTGGAGATTCATTTGACAGCTGCCAATGTCCACCTTCGCCTCGCCGGATTCTTTGACTCTAGCAGCACTCCCGGTTATATGGATGATCTCATGGGCCTATGGCGAGCCATTACCAGCTTTCTAGACCTTCTATTTCTAGAAAGTAACCAGCACATATTGTTGTATGCCACTAACTACATCCAACAGATGCTCGTCGCTGCTGGGTTTGCTTTGTTGAAGCTGATGAGGTCGTTCTTCTCCAAGACGATAGAGTTCGAGAGGGGACGGACACTATTTCACAAGACCATCCAGGCGATACGTTCAACAAGCGTGTTGGACAATGACCTGCAATGGCGGTTAGCGGAGCTCATGGTTCAGATGTGGAACGGCGCTCGCATCGACAATAAAAATAACACCTCATTCCACGAAGACGACAACTCCGTTCTCATCGACGACAGTTTGCAATTAAAGGTACGGTGTAGGCATAGTATGAGCCTTGTATTCGACTCTATTTGGCGCTGGAGGGAGGAGTACCAGGCCCAGGGTCGTGGCACGCTTGACGGTAAGTCGTTTTCCTTAAAATTCCATATATACCACACTAATTCATGGGCGAGTAGCTCTCAAGCAGCCAACTAACCCGGACTCAGGTAATGAGTCTTCAGCGTCTTCTACTCACATGGATAGCACACTCTTGCCTCATAACAATCTCGCGAATTTGACGACGATGGCGACTAGTAATGGTGGCATAACGCCAACGGCAAGCCACGGTCTGAACGCCGGTGCCAATAGCATGATCGGCATTGGCTATAGCAGCGATGCTAACTACGACTTCTTTGATCCCCAACACTGGATGCTTGACGGGTTGTTAGATTTCAACTACACATATGCCCAACCTCTGGAAGGCATGTAGGGCCTACCTTCCGGATACCGATATGAAGAACGGGAAACCTTCAACGACCAACAGCACGGCGAATCAAGTTAAGACATCGAAGTTCGAAAGAAAAGGGGGTTTTGTTCAAAAGACTCGGGCATGATTATTAAAGGGGCGAGGGGCACGAGCATATGAGCATTGGGATTCAACGACGCACCGAGAACATGACTTGCGTAAGGTTTAGACGCGAAGGATTGTTCTTTTCACCCGCCACCTGGAGTGGGTTTTAATTACGTTCGATGCTGAAGATTGCGCTTCAGCATAGATTGATTAGGTATGATTGAGGAGAAATGACCAAAGATGGCCTAATACCCCTTTGCTTGCGCATGGTATTGTAAAAAGGGGAGGACTATACCAGGTGCGAACGGGGTTCAAGCGGATTGTTTACATGTGATATAACTTATATATTTGTCTCACGGTGGTCTATTCACATAGTCAGCATTTATTCGGAGCAGAGCACGAAATTGAAATTGTTCAACATATTTGCACTTCCTTAACTGAATTGAACTCATAAGAACTGGATGTGTTCAACTTTGGAAGTTTAACAGAGAATGGCTGTCAAGATACCGATATTCCCTGAACCGATTCCAGTCCTATGCATCGTGATGGGGTGCTCGGAGTAGTCAGAGGTAATGGATTGGCAGTTCTCTGCGAAGTAGCTGGATCCTACGATACTCTTGAAAGGACATTTTGCTTTGGAATAGATCCAACGAGGCTGTAGCTGAACGGTTAAGGGGTTTCCGGTGGCGCTAGCTCTCGGGCCGAGCACCATAACGTATATAAAGGATATGGTGTATATATGCCATGTGACTTTAATTACGCGCGCGTCAGCTTCGCTACCACGGACACGAAGCTTCTGTTTTTCTCTGCTGAAGTACCGGGCGAGGATCGAGGTCGGGTGACACTGTATTGGTTCCGACCGATGCTTGACAGAGAAGCAGAGTGTGATATCGACGACATATGCTAGAAATAGCAACAGGAATAATTCAGCTCGGCACCTTCCATGCCCGTCAACCGACTCTGGACACCATCTTGCAATGTCTTTGGGCCCGGTGTGGTTACGGTGGGATGCGGAATTCTCCATAGGTGAAATAGGCTTTCTTGGTTTTTTTTTTTTTTTTTTTTTTTTTCGAGGGCGGTGTAACTACACTCGGTGCTGGGCCTGGGGGGGCACGAGGTAACGACCACCATAATAACTGGCCTGCCCGAATCGGAACGTGAACGTCGACGAATGTGTGTATGTGTGTGGGAGGAACGTTGACGAAGGGTGGGATCGTCATCCTCAGGTAGATGGACAGGCGTGTTTCAGAACTGCGCGTGGCTGGCCCGGATTGCAACCTACGAGTTACGTACGTATGTCGCGTGGCATTATATCTAAGAATCTGCAGAGCGACGGCGCGGACGAGAATTGCTGAGCTGCGCGCGCACCCTATCTCCGGCGTGGTCCGGTTCGCTAAGAGCTGCTGCGTTGGAAGCTGTCGCTACTCTCTAGAGCTTGGAGGACCCCTCGCAGGTTTCTTTTTTTGGTAAGCTGTTGTTGGCTCGTGGTCAACAAGCATTCGTCTTTCTTATTTTCCCGCATGATGTGTTTTAGCGCGAGATGGATGGGGATGTATCGCTACCAGCTAGCTAGCTACGACTAACACATTTACCATCGTAGTCATCCTATCTCTTCTAAGTCGGTCTCAGAAAACTGGCATGCAGCAAGCTGTTGCTGATGTGATACGATGCAGTGTGACGTCCTCCGATCTCTTAATACTTAGGAAGGTCCCGGCAGAAGGATCGGAGAAGCCACATAGAAGCTGGTTGATCAGCACCTCCAATTCCGCCCCCAAAGCTTGAAGCATGGGATTCGACAGCCTCGTGAACGGCACAAGCTATTATCGTGGTGCTAGATCACTAACTCCCCCAATCGGTAGGAAGTAAAGGGTATAGCGTATAGGGTATAGGACGCGTAGAGCGTAGGGCTAGTGTGATCGCGCCTTGTTGGGAGATCCAAGACTTCTGTTCCTGCGTCTTCGGGACGAGTTTTCGAGATAGACGTAGATCGGTGAGACCAGCTGCTTTCTGGTATGGCGCGGCGCCGCAGACCCGCGGCACGACACCTGCCAAGGACTCTTTTGATCGTTCCGTCAGCGGAAAGGTCGCCCAAATCTACCTTGACGCTCTACCTTGAGATTCCGGAGGAGTCGGTGCTACGAATGTCTGACTCCTTCGCAGTCGGCCAAGACGCCAAGGAGAGGAAGGTTCGGTCATCGTCGGAGCAGTGACTTGCACAAACGTGTGCTCACCTCCGGGTCCCACGGAGCACGATGGCTTGGCCCGAAGCAAGCCTGCGGAGATAAGACGTCTAATACCCTTTGGGAAATATGTTTTCGCGATCAAGAGCAGAAGCTGCTGTACCTGTCCACACCTCCGGGTTATTCCCTGAGCGACATCTTGGTAATCGTGTAATGTCAGGATCAGCGATGCTCGACTACGCCGCTTCTAGCCATGCCCTTGTGGTAGCCGGTAAATGAGATCCCGTACATGGTGGTTGCGTGATCAAGTTCCAGATCTCATCTGTTTCAGGAAAGAAAAACCTACGACACGATCGAGTTGGCTGGGGAAAGCGAGTTGCAACGTGAAACCAGCTGCTTGTCATAGTGCTACCCTACCATGGGCCTGTTCAGTCTATTTTTCGGGTTTGGTTCTCTGATATGCAGGTGTCTTGCATACATGGTGAGGTTGTAATGAATTGACGACTCGAATCCTTTATCATGCGGGAAACCCAATAGGAACATAAGCTTTTGGCTGTAGGGTTGTAAGGTATCCCAATACCAGATATCAACCATGGAACAGGAAGACTACTCCCTGGTAGTTACAAGGCACGGAATGCAACCGTGAAAGATTGCCTCGTGCTTTGTGTAACACTGGTGAGCCCTGAGGCGACGTTGGAGCAGGCATCTAACTTAAGCGAGTCCATCGACGTAAGCCTACCACGAGGTAAGCGCTCGCCATGGGTCGTCGGAAAGGATATCATCTAACAATATTCAATAATACCAATATTCAGTCTGGAGTAAGCACCGGTGAAGCATTGGAGAGTCGCGATGAATCATTGCCAAGAACACGACTCAGCGAGAGAGCACATGGACTATCTGATCCGTTTTCCATGGTATTGGGACGAGAAGGACAGGTAAGATGACCAAACTAAGAGTTGCTTACATAGGCCGGCATAGGCAGCTGTTGCTGCAGCAGGAGATTGCGCAGTACTGTCGCTTGGCCGTCACAGTGACCTTCGTCGTCTCTTTCCTTCTTCGCTCCCATCTAAGCTGCAACTGACGATGACTTCATTTCGGGGTCACCGTCAAGAGCCTGAGTACGATGTCTTTTCGAGTAATGTCCCTGTCAATCCGTACCGAAAGTGTATATGTAAAAATTCGAAACGAATCAAAACGGCTCCAAACGGCCCCAAAAAGGGTGGGTGGCGCCCCCAGTGGTGATGTAAATGGCGCTCATTCGGACTGGGCGACGATCTCGGTAAAGGGTCGCCGAAACAATCCGTCCAGTGCTACAGAAGCTTTCCTCCCCACGCTTCCATTTTGTCCTTGGCCCTCCGGACCTAGGAGTCTGGTCTCGGGCCTTGGATTTGTAACTTAGCAGACTATGCCACGTCTGGCTCGACCCGGACCTAGCGATTCGGCCGTGTGGCTAAGTTCGTTCGAGTTCGAAACGCAAGCGGAGGACGGCCGGCATTTGGGTCGCATGAGCGAGGCAGGCAGGCAGGCGACCGCAGATCAGCGACAAATTGCGGTCGAGGAAAGACGACACGCTCTCACTGCCGGATAAGCGCTGTCTCGAACAATGGGGGCCAAAGCCTGCACCGCTGCGGCGGTGCTGGGCTGGTCAGGCTGATTTTGCACTTTCGAAACTTCCACTTCTCTTTCTTCTTTCGGATTCGCCAAAAGGCTTCGATTTCCAAATACCTGTCTCTTGAGCCAGGTAAATGGACCCAGCATCTTGTTGTACAGCAAGAAAAATACAATCCTACCCAATTATTATTAATCGGATAGCTCGACTCGGTTAGGGAAGAGGCGTTGGCGGTGGCCGACGTTGCATTCTCGCACGCTTCCGGCCAAATAGTCGACATCTCCAGTACCCAAAGTCCCACCCTACCCCGGTGTTGAGCAATTACAATACCCTGAATACCGTAGCTCTCTTTCTAGCTACACTATCTCCTTAACCCTCTTCCTTCCGGCGTCGGATTTTGATCGGCCTTTAGCTTCTGTTCCTTGTTCTAGCGCTTCCTCGCCCAGACTTTTCTGCGGCGCGGATGGGCTGGAAGTCTTGGGGGCTATTATTATAGAATCCAAAAGACCCACGTTTGGGATTGGACAGTACTCAAAGCCCTATGTAGCCTTTGAAGAGCAGCAACCAACATCAAGATCCTCCTCTCCCTCGGGATATGTGTTGGTACCGTATACTTTCACCACCCATACCGCCCAGATCATAGGGCTGGCCAATGGACCGGGTATAGTGTCAGCCAGCGTTACCGAAGGAGTGGCGACCAATCCGAATGACGCACATGCTGTATATCAAAGAGCTTCTAATCATCGGTGTGTGATAATATGCAGATGGAGGCGAAAATGCACCGGCTCAAAGCGTAACGTTAAGATTTGGTATATTGTGTCTGCTGCTTGGTATTCTCCAAGTACCCTGAGGAGATCCCTTGCTACGCCGCGGATAAAGACATTGACTTGCAGTCTAGGCTCCCATAAGAAGTCGAAAAGATGGAAATGCCGAATGAGTCATTCAACCATGTCTCCCCTAGGCCTCTCGAGTCATTTCCGATCTACGATAAACGCCATATGCCTAATCCAAGCCATTATGTAGACAGGGACTACTCTTAAAAGGGGGAAGTGATCAAGTAGCTTCACTGGATTTCTAGTACTTCGGTCCGGGCGGAATCAAGCTTGGTAGATTATGAGGATACTTGGGGACACTGCCGAAGCGAGCCCGTAGGATGGAAGGGAAAACCCCAGACTTGCAGGTATCGGCAAGGGTGAAGCTTCGTAATCGTTTAAAAACCCTCACCGTAAACGGATGAATCAGGCTAAACTCGCCAGGGAATCTCATACAGACGGTGAATAGGTAAATGGTGACAGCAAACTCATAGCTCCCTGTCTCTATCTCTCTAGATCGAGTATCAACAAAACGAAATACCCACTTCATCTGGAGGATGATGAAGATGACAGGATTCATGAGCTTGTGGGTTAGCACGTGGCCGGCAGTAACCAGCTAGGGTGATCTACGTTCAGCCTCACGATAAACATGCCATATCACCAGCGGGTATTAATTGCATAGGGAATCCATATGGCCATGTTGGTCATCCTACGGTGTTCTGACCTGCCGAAAGCGTCCTCTTCATTGAAGATGTATCTACGGAAGTATTGCAAGGGAAATTACCGGCCGAGATGTCTTTGCTAGTACTGCATCGATTAGATTGATACCTATACTAGGGGAAGCTGCTATTCGAAATGACGGCAAGGATATCGGGCTCTGAGTCGTGGCGCTGGTAACCCCTGAGTCTTAATTAGGTAGCCGGTGGGCTCCTGGATGGGGTACCTACCTGCCTGCTGTTAAGGGGGGCCCATAAGAATTGCCTCCCTGTAAACGAACCACCCCGTGTCAATGCGCTTTTAATTAATGCTGTTCGGGATAGAGGCTAGAAGTGTGCCTCTCCTTGCCTACGAAATATGAACAAGGCAGGAAGTTGATCCTCCTCGGCTGCAGAGTATGAGAATGTTTACTTTTGCTTCTCGTCGTGTTACCTAGATGACACACTTGCCTCGAGGCGAACCCCTAAACCCAACTCCAGCGGGACGCTATGATGATAGACGGCTACGAAAGCCTACCTAATTACCGACATCATACCCGTGGTTCCCCGGTGGCTGTTGGAGTAGTCGGTACATTTTGCCACGAGATCGATTGGGGAGTTAAAAATGGGAAACATGTAATAAAATTAAGCTCGTTTTCCTTAACTGACATGGACCATGTATCCCTGGTGAATCGCGTCAAAATCGACGCTCAACCGCGTATCTAGTTGTAACCCATGGGGAAAATATACAAACGTAGGGCCCACGATGACCAACTGCATAGCGAAGCACGAGCGTGGCGCTTATGTGCATTATTTTGGTAGCATTTGGTAGGTAAATGGTTGTCCGACGTCACAGTGAAGGGTGCCAATTGGTGAACCGCCTGCCCGTTTGGCAGATCCCAGAGTTGGCAATCTCTGCATGGAGTGATATCCAAAGCCCCGGGTCCGTGGCCGAGGCTGCCCAGGTGGTTTTGGATGTGCCCGGGAGTACAGACCTGTTCAAGGGGGTTTGCAATCGGGATCTGATCCTCGTTATTCGATACAAGTTGACTTAGACTAGAAACCCCTAGTGCACCGTGTGCCCTTGTTAAGGTACTTACCTTTTCGCCCTAAAAGATTTTTGTAAGAATTTGTTGGCTACAAACGGTGGAGCGGCGTTTATTTAGACTTGTTGGCTCTAACTATTTCAGCTAAGATCGCTTACTGAGCAGCTCCCAACACGTTCTAGAGGTTTAGATCGCGACTAAAACGGACTACTTTCTAAACAAGCGCGCGGATGGCGATGTGATAATCACGGGTAGGACTAGTTGCAAGGGGAGAGAGGAGGGTGTGTAAAAAAGACTCAAGGACTTAATTGTCAAGTGATATATCCAGTCAGATTCTATCTCGTATAGCACTGCTGCCTCGGAGATCTTCATCCCTTGATAGGTTTCCTAAATATACTCAGCCTAATCCGATAAGTGCCAAGGTTCTAATGCAACCGCATATATATCTATCCTTTCTCGGGGTTGTATAAACCGATTCACCCCCCGACCGTCCGCGGTACGGTCCGAATATAGAACTCACATGAGAGCTCAGCCCTATCGTATAGGCACGAAGGGAGGAGAGGAGACCAGATCCATGGATATGTCGTGCTTGCTATTTGTAGATACTATGTAACACCTAGTAAACATATGCCGAAGCTTGGGGGCACCTCAACCACTTCAACCTTCATTTAGAGTGCTGACGCAACGCACAAGCCGCTTACCGCTAGTTCTCGAAGATATCACGGGCCGAGGGACTTTTAGGAACTTATTCGAGTTCAAGGCTCAAGGCTTCAAGGCTCACATAATCGTTCGATGAGGCACGATTCTTGGCAATCGTCCTTTAATCAACGCGGGCGGCATATTATAGAATACACTTACTATTGTCTCACGTGCATAAAAGTTCAAAATCTGGTTCCAGTCAGCGTCACACGCACCCTTCAGACAATTAGAAGATATGAGAAGGCAAGTATAGGTAAGTATAGGCTCCAATGTGGTGCTGAGGCTACTTCGTCTTCGATGTCACAGGTGTGGCTAGGTGTGATTGGTTACCGACTGGACGGTAACGAATGATCCTGGTACGGGCTAGTTCCTAAATCAGCCACTAAGAACTCGTGGTCAATGTGGTCAATGTGCAGTGCCACCGTCCTAGGCGCTAAGCGCTGTGCTGCAACATCCATGATCCGCTTTTCCACCCCCGCCTGTACCATGATACCGCAATACTTGCAGCTTTTTAACCCCCTTCTTGTTCGCACTGTACTTATGTACGCTTCTGATGTCCATACAAAGTCGCATACAAATCGGTTTGAGACGCATGAGTGGGCCCTCTCATCCGTCTCCTCCGGCTTCCCGTCATTTGATCGATGTCCCGTCGGCATGTCGCAATCTCTTAACATCTTCCTGCACCGTCAAGCCATCCGCTTCTCCTTTGGGGTCTTGCGCGACGCTTCGTGCAGAGCCGGTCGAGTAAGACGGCAAAGACCTTCATCCCAGCAGTCCAGGAGGATCGTAACGCATCATATAATATATCGTCCCGTACGGTCGGGTCGGACAGCACATCGTCTAGGACCTCTCTTCTACCTATCCGCTACCTCGAACGCACAATTTGTACAAATGTCTTCGGCTCTAAGCGGGAGCCGGAGGGATAGTTCGCCCACATCTGGATCGTATCACCGTCCGTCCGAGGGTTCATTGGCAGGCAGATAGTCGCCGAGTTGCCATGCGGGATAACCGACTATCACACTCCCGACTTTTCAAGAGACCTGGTCAATTTTGTCTTAACCTACCATTTGGGGGCTTAGTCTTAATAATTGCGACCCGAGACCCGACCAGAAATAAAAAAGTACCCGACGGTTTTAGACCCCAATCCCCGCCTTGTTTTTTTCTCTTTTCTTCCTCTTGTCACGCAATGCGAGATATGGTATGGTCGGAAGTTGCGAATTGCCCATCTGACATACCGCATATTTGATCTGTCTTCTAAGTATAGGAACGGAGATAGTATAATGTATGGAGAAGATAGCCAAAAAGAAGAATATCCCAATTTATAGCGGTTATAGGATGAGCGTTGGCTTGCTAACAACTCTAACCTTATACATAGTTCATTAGGCTGAAAACTGAGATGAATAGTTTATCTAGCGGATCTCAGTAGGCGGTATGTATCCCAGGACGATTTTCCCGTTTGTGGGCCTGTGGGACAGTCCGTGGTTCTAATGTCGTACACGTAATAAAGGTAGGCAGGTAGGCCAGGTTAGTGAACTCTAGCGGTTCTTTTGATTTGACGAGATCCGTTCGAAGTAGGTACTGGCATAGCAATTGCGGGAATTGGGTCAAGAACTACCTTAGTATTCTGCGGTACTCCCTGAGATACATCTTTTTTGCAAGATGCCGCGATTGGCCGGCTCTTTATTATTTAAAGGAGGCCGAGGCAGTCGACGGGCTCCACCACAACTACTAAATACATCGGCATGTATCCCATTTTGTCCATGCTATCCCTGTATTATCCCACAATACAAACCTAGCTTCATAGTACCTTCCCAGCTAATGATGCAAATACAGCAATACGTGCATGCGGTACACTGTTCCCAGCTTGGCCGTGTGGGGCACCCAAGCCCCGTTCAACTCAGCCCATTTTCAACCTTCCCACCCCGGTCTCGTCACCCACGAATTCTCAACCTGATTCGACGATCCATCGTCTCTCACTCCTCCCGTTCTACCCCGGTCCCGTTTCCATCTCCAGAACCAGAAAAACCACGCCCCATATTCGTTGATCATTGGCAAAAAGTCCAATTGTCTGCCTGGGTCTTCACCGTCTCGAGATCAAAAGGACTGGACAGAGATCTGTGCTCGGTTCAGATGCCGAAAGGGATTTGCTTCCTACGAAGCTCAAAACTCATGCCTAGAAGTGAAGTATGAAGAACTCTGTGGCGATGAGCCGCAGCCTATCAGGGGTTTCAAGCGCGGTTCGCGATGAGCGTCATGTTCAAATTCAAGGAATTGCACACGCTAGGCCGTCTCTTGGCCGGCCCGGCAGACTGATTATCTGCCTAACGATGGTGCCGATGCTACAAACCATCGAGGCATCATCGGTTTCAAGCGAATAATGACCAAGATGAGTCTTCAATTTTCGAAACGGCTGCCTCCTGGGTGGCAACCATTATCCTCTTTCTGCAGACATTGGTCACAATCTTCAAGATAATCTATCGGCGTGACTACCTAGGTAGAAACCGTGAATGACTCTTCCCGGTACTTCGTGCTTCGAAAGCTGACCTATCCTAAGCTTCACATGCCCATTTCTTTTTTTCTTCACATCAAATTTCTGTGCATCACTACGGCGTGGCGGAAACATGTTCGGAAACGCCTGAGACCCGTACCCTGTCATCTTTTCAATTCTTCAACTGTGTTTCTCAACTTCTCTGCCACTACGAAATACGGGCTAAGGGAAATGAGAAAGCAAACTGGGCAAAATAGCCAATTTACAAACGCGGACGAGATAGTTTGATATCGACGATGAAGAGATTCCATTTTCTTCGCCTCTCTTGGAACGAACGCACGGTCTAATTCACGTCTTAGCGGACTGATCAGCGCGGAAAACTGTCTATCCTTCTCATTCGCCACGCCTATCTCTTTATATTTACCTTAACTAGCATATCTACCTTAAATGTGAAGTTATTCAACCATAAGAGACATAATCTTATGTGCGCAAAAGCATAGTCCTTGACTTACACACGATGTAGACCGAGAATTTCGAGTACCTGTGCTCCCAATTGCGCGTACGGAGATCGCATCACGGAGGCCCGTCTTCGTCATCGTGGCCATTAACATACCACCTGGTTGAAGGAATACCACAAAGACAAGCTTTCGTCACTTGCAAACTGGGTTTGTCAGCCATTGTATGCGACTCTCTCAATATAGGGATAATTCTCTTCCATACAGTCTCAATGCCATATCCTTGGGTCTGTCGACCCTGGTCATATCCGCCAGTCCCAATGCAACTCTCATGGGTCGGCATGTACCTCGTACCTAATTTGCGTCCGCTACATGTCAGGTACTTCGGACGGATGTCGACCATCTAGCTATACATCGGCACAGTGCCTCAGTCTACGGTACCTATCAACCCAGGTCGCTCGCTTATTACTCGATTTCCTGTCGAGATTGACGGGGAATTTCATCCAAAACGTTTGCTTTCATCGCCATGCCTGCCCTACAACCCCGTATTTCCTCACCATGCCATAGCTGCCATCCCGCTCATTGCCCTTCTAAAACTGCCACATCTCTACCACCCCGCTACTTTTTTTCTTCCCAGTCACCCTCCCTAAGCCTTGATGAGCCCCCGTCCCGTTGCTCTGGTATGGCCTCTACCAAGGGTCGATGTATCCCCTACTTCTGGCGCTTAATGAACGTAATCCGGCGACGACATCCTTGATGATCCGGCACACTAGGGTGTCTACCAATCTGCCCATCAAGGAATGAGTAGCAGTAGCTCTACATGTTGCGGCGGCTATTCATGCGTCTGGCTACCCTGGTCTCCGCACTCAGCACTCGGGTCACCCCTATCACTGGTTAGAACCAAGCCCCCCTCATGGCTTGTTCTGTCATTTCTCTACCCTTGTCCATCTTCGAGGTACATCCCCGAATGCAGGTGTGGGTAACTCTTGAGTACAATGTAGCATGTTCCTGTACATCGCCTATCAATGTACCTAGTGGAGCTATTCCTACGGCTTGGGACTCGAAGTCTAGCTTTCAGGAACGCTCGAACGACGTACATATGCCGTCGAGTTCCCACCTCATCATCATTGACCTCCCTGTAAAGGACAAGGCTCTGGCTCTGGTTCTGTCTATAATATCCCTTCGTCTCCTGACATTGCCTCACGCTTGGCCAGGACCTAGGAAAGGCAGATTTTCCATCTCTTAGTTGAAGTGATCTCAACAGCTTCTACGCTTCGTACTTTCTGAGGGACATCTTATGATCCACATGTACAAATAAGAGACGTCCCACCCCTACAACTGGACCTAGTTCCCACGACGAACCTACCCTCGTCACTTTCAGATTCGCCAACTGCGCACTATTTTCGATAACTATTTATCAGTGTTGAAATGGACGACAGCGTGTACGTTCACCATCCAAGGTCGGACCAGATGCGCCATAGTCTCTCCCGAGATTCGAGCATGCCCGAGGACCGGCGATCTATCCCGTCGCCATCCAGTTCTGCGTACACTCACGATATTCCCACAACTTACGCTTCGGTACGTCTAGAGTGCTAGCTTAGACTTTTGCGACGTTGAGAATATATTGACTCATAGAGTATCTAGGTCCCCTCGTTCAGCAATTACCCCGTACCGTATGATTCTTCGCTTCCTACACCTGTATCTGTTGCTGGGTCTCCCTCGATGAATGAACGGACCTCGAAAATGATGCATTCATATAATCAGCACCGGGCGGGCTCCCAGCAGCCCACCCCACCGAATACTTCGCGGCCGTGGCCGAATTATCAGATGAATGCTGCCACTGACCTTCTAGAGATGTCTGGTTTAGAGGCATCTCACTCTCCCGATCATAGCCAACTGGTTTCGGAACCTCAGTTCCATCAGTGGGGTCATTATACGGTTTCTAGCACCGAAGCACCAGAAGAGCTACCTCCGCACATGTCACATCCGTCAATGTTCTCAGTAGCGCCCACGGAGTTGGTTAGGCCTTCACTTTCCATGCACCCATCGACCACAATGCCCCTTTCTGCGCCATCGTCGCAGATTCCCATTCTACACCATTCCCCGGATCCACGGGATCTAGCTCCTTCGGTAACGCCGATCGATAACATGCATCATCAATACCCTCATATGATGCACCACCAGCCGCAAGTAATCGTCAATTATGAGCACTATGGTAATAGACGAAAGGCTTCTAAGATAAGGAATGGACGATCAGGAAGACCTCCAAAGAGACAACGGGGTGGAAGCCGGGCTCTTTCAAAGAATGGCGCTACGGATTACATGGATCCTCAGCTCGCATCGTCCGGTGATGGGGCCCCAAGTTCCAAAGTGCCAGGCCGCCACATCAAATTGAGGCCCGACGCACCAGAGAAAGACCGGTATATACTGGAGCTTAGGTGCCAAATGGATAACGATAAAGGAAAGGGAATATGGGAGGAAATAACCAAGAAATATGAAGAGCGTTACGGGAAAAGAAGGCAGGAGTCGCTCCAGATGAACCTTACTCGGGCGGTGTTAAAATACGCAGAATGGCCCGAGGAAGAAGTAAGTATACGATGAAGTTACTTGTAGTCCTGTCCAAGGTAGCTAACTAAGTTAATAGGATGAGGCGCTAAAACGTGCTGTCGAGGAACTAGATCGACGCCGTTACTCAGATATAGCGAAACTAATGAAAGAAAAATATGGAGGCTGTCAAGCCTGGGAGTGGAAAGACGGTCACATCTTGAAGCGGTTGATGGAGTTGGGCATCGAGGAGTTCGACCCTGAAGATATTACCAAGAAACCTCGCCGAAAACCCAAAAAGGCGATGAGTAAACGGCCGGGTAGTAAACAACCTTGGGTCGCCCCGAATATGCCTCTATACAGCGAGGACGGCCGGATAATCTCCTCTGAGCAGGAGAACTACATCTTAGAAAATTATTGTAAGCCGGACCCCGATTCTCCAGATCCAAACGCCATGCAAGGTGTCATGGAACACCCGAACCCTTTACCCTCAAGGGGAAGCATCGATAGAGATCCCGGGGAGAGTCGAAGCGAGCGAGTGGCCAAGCAAGCATGCGAACAGCTACTCTCCAAGGGAGGCAATCATGTATATGGCGCTCTTCCCGTGGTCGACAGCCATCCATAGGCATAAAGGGACGGTTCGTCTACTCTTGCTTGGCACTTCATTTTTTTCTTTCTTCCTAAGATAGTCTCTACGGGATCTTCATCACCGCTGTTCAAGTCATCACTATTGTAGCTTTACGGTTGCTTACTTGTCACTAGAAGATACTTCAGAGTCATAATTTAGCGATTGTTTGGAGTTGGAAAGAGGGATCGTATCACTACTACAAAGGGCCAATTCACCCTTCGCAAGGGCAAAAATGGGATAATGATGTGATTTTTACTATCTAGGTGGGCGGTTTATGTGGTGTATTTTTGTCAAGGTCCATATTATGTGATTTTGTGGAACCCGGGGGGTCCTGGATGGGTGATTCTATCAAGGCGTTGAGATGCATTGCTATGGCACGGTACATATTTCAAATTTCCTCCGGCCTTCCTTTTGACTCCACGGTCGGTTTGTCATTACCTAGCTTGCTTTATGTCAAATTCGGTATCTTCACCGTCTTCAACGCACTTGATCCTCTTGAGTCTAGGCATCACCATTTACTATTGGAGAATGGTAGGGTGGCGGGCAACTTTGATCACCTTTTGAGGCACAGGGATGGGACTTCGAGCTTGGCTTTAACAAGGGGCATATGAAAACCTGGAGATAGATCCCTGATGAGGAGCAAGGAGTTATTTGTCATGTTTTACTGTAATAACTAGCCACTGATTCTATGTTGAGTAACTTCAACATGGTCGAGTATCCTTGATGTCATTATTGCGAGATCTAGATGATACCGAGTATGTCTCTATCAAGTTACTCATGTGTCGTAGAATTTCTTCTCATTCTGTGTCTACCAAGCTTTCCGTTAATATATGCAATGAAGATCATGACGATAGTCTCCGACTTGATCTATTCTCCTTCGAACACCGGGTGGCTTAGCATCATTGTTTATATAAGGAAGAGAGCTAGGTATCACCATTGTACTGTGCCGTCGGATCTGCTTTTTCCCACCTAGGTGTCCAGTGGGACCGACCATTGTAGAATTACACGCGAAGTGAGGCACGGGTTGAGTTTCGACGGTTCGCTGCAAGGGAGGCCAGTATTTTGCCAGCCCATCCGCGCGGAAGAGAGACAAAAACAGGAAGTCAGTTAGAACAAAAGGAAAATTCGTAGAAGCGCGCTGCGCCTGTTTCTAATAATATCGTTCTTCTAACAACGTGCTGGTTCTTCTACCGTTCTTCCACACCTGTGCTTCGGGTTTAACTGCGAGACAGAGATGTCTTAGGGGTCTTCGCCGCAACCTAAACACGAGGTCCGGATCGCCCACTAGAAGGAAGCCTTACCGCCTCCTGGCATCCTATGGGAATACCGACACGTGGGTTTTCTTGGTGGTTGGGTCAGATTCTCTTTCTATATGCCTATCTAGGATATATTCTAGATCCAGGAGTACCATTCCATGACGCACTGGGACGAGGTGAAGGCCGAGACAATCAACAACTCGACGACACTGGACTCATCTAAATATCAACTAGGTCACCATGTCGGTAATTACATTTAATACTATATCCGTAGCACTGGGAACATAGTATTGGGCACAGTTAACGCTCCGGGAGGGTTTAAAGCTATGAACCACGTGCAGTACATAGTAGAGGTTGCATGTACATACAACTGTTCCGGTTACCTTAATTGTGTGCACATACCCTTCCCGCCTTTACTAGGTACATAGCTAGTGCTAGCACCGCATTACGTGTCTAGGGCCATCTACAATGGCATGATCATGGATGCCGGCTCGTACGTATCTGTATCTGGTCCGGTCTTGGCCCCCACGGAGATAGAGGAAATAGTTAACGCCGATGAATCAAGATAGCAGTGTGAAGACGCGAGATTCCAGGTTTATGCTGACAAAGACTAAGTCAGATGGACATGATGCTATTGCTAGAATATCTGATGTTCCCATGATCTTCTGTAGATGCTAGGAATAAAAGGCGAAGATGGAGATGTGCGCATATCAACACTAGGAGGCAAAGAGTGGGAGTGTGTGTAGGCGCAGGTATCTGTTAGCGACACCGCCCCTTTATTCACGTAGAAATCAGAGAAGGGCGGGCCGACAAATGGGAAACATTGTCCACCCACCGCAATAACAAGTACCCAACCACAACCGGGTTGCCCCCATGGCCGAGGTGTGATGGCGTTCGACGAAGCGCGCCATGAACCGCGTCCTTGGGAAATTGGGATAATTCTCACTGGTTCGATAAAAAAAGGGTTGCGCAAACGAGCCTGTCTGCTGTACATGGCTACCCTAGGTAGATCCCTTTATTTTTCCCGTCCCCGCCATTCTCCTCGCATGAAATAACTATCGACCACAACTGATTTTCGAAAAGTTACATAACGGCCCCCCGGTCTTCGGCCCAAATTGGCCGAAGTATAGAGGATTAAGGCAAAGCAAGCCCAATAGCTACCGTAGCCAAGTGCGATGGTATCAAGGCAACTTACTCCGGCCCTCCGCCACATTGAGCATACCTCATTACGGTAGTCAAGGTACCGGGAAAAGTCGTTGAGAGTGACGTTAAGCTATGAGACAACGTGTAACGTGACCGTTCCCATACGCAGAATTCTGACTGACTAGGCGGGCGACGGCAGAGCGGAGCGCGGAGGGAACAGGGGGAAAGGAACAGGGCTGCAGTACACTACGCAGACTACGCTAGCCCGCCATCACAAGAGCAAAGGCCCAAACGGCGATCCGACCATACCATATTGCCAAAGTGTACCCACCCATTAAGCTTAAGAAAAAAATTGTACGCGTAGTTGATGCTAGGTAATCTCGCTATCTCTTGCTCTGTCTCTGACCCGGCTCCGCTCTTATTTCTCACTAATTTTTCCCTTCTCTTTTAAACTCTCCGTGCGAAGAATGGGAGATAAAACTGAGGCAAGTCCGCCGAAGCGGAGGAAAGGAAAAGCAAAAAAAAAGGACCCCTTAGCTGGAAATAGTCACCGAACGAAAGACAACTGCCGATGAAGATTTGTCAGAGCTCGTGGCCAGATAGCTAACCCGACGGTTTGGAGCCGAAGCCTTAGAGCTTACGCTGCTGACATGTATCCATAGATGAGATGTTCTTTTTGGCGATAGCGGTCAAGCCGCAAGACCGGGAAGGGGAACGGTGGGAAGTATGGGTATAATCGGCGTGTCTTTCAACATGACATACATACATAATTTATGAACTGCGAACTGCTTTGCACACATCAGCAAACTTTTACCTAGTTTAGGGCGATGATATACGCAAGGACTTTCCAATCCCATCTCGCTCGGATGCCTTAGTACGGTTAGGTGGGATTTTCGATACCGGTATTAGACTCGCATGAACTAGATACTGGAGCCCCCTAGTCACGGATCATTAAGGCACGGACGTAAAATTGAGCTGTCCAGCACTGTTCTTTCACACTTAAGGGTCCCAAGGGGGAGAGAACCCGGGGTAGGGGACCACAATTAAAACGGTATTTAGACTGCATTCAGTATTCCGGTCATCCCTGAAATGACATTAGCGTCGGTTACCGAGATCCACGCGGGGATTTGTTGTTTCGAGAAAGGGTACCTGGGTAAAGTTGTACGTATTATACTGTGGACAATAGACATGGGATTGGGTTACAATACCTTTTAGAATATCTTCAAATTGAAAGAGGCACAGCATAGGCTATAAGAGCTTGCTTCTTGGTGGTAGATTGAACATATGTAACTTACCAAATATTATATATCGAGGGCGTCGTCTCGTCTCAATATTGTATGCTAGGGCTTCATGTTTACCAAGGTACTGGTAGAATGCCCTTTTGATTTTCTCTTCGAGAATCGCCGATGAGGTTTACCGCACGGACAAGACGCTAGCATTATTCCAAGGGGTAGCCCGTACGGGCCGTTACCTAGCCTTGGCGCTGGTTCTGGGATGTAATAAATGCCAATCTGCTCATCATCCCCCCGGTCCCAGACTTGGAATTATCAAATGAGAGCCCCCTGCTGGCGGATATCCATCCGAGATCATAAAGCCATATCGTGGGCTGCGTGGGTACATCGAGAAAAATGCAGAACATGGTCCCAAGATCCGGGCATCGGAGCATTGCCCGGACGTGTGTAGTGTGGAAAGCCTCGTTTTACGCTGGGTCGCCGTCGCCCGCATTAGTTCTCCATCACCAAGGGAATATAAAGGGGCCATGTCCTGGTGAAAAACTAAGGATCAGGACCCTTCTTAGAGCCGTGTGCGACAGTATGGTTTAATATAGAATCAAATATGCAAATGATTAGTCAACACGGCCCCGCGACTCCGAGTTGCCGTATCTCCACTGTGACTACCTAGTTATACTGCAGGGATGGGTTTTATGAGGCCTAAATACATCCATGATATACATTTTGGTTCTGATTCCACCAGGGCTCTGATGATGGTCACGGCTGTGTTTCCCCGTTACCTACCTATGTACCTACCCAGGTACTTGTAAAGTACCTTACATATCCAAGCTATCCACATGGTAAGGATCGCACAATGAACTGGTCGCTTTGTGGAGTCTATCTGGGCGACATATATCCACATTGTCTACCTAGGCAGGTTATATTTGTCATTGTCGGTGCCACACCAGCAGCATAGCGGTGGCGTTATGGAGATTCTCGAACTTGTCGAAGCTGCTCAAGATTCGCCAAGAATCAAAAGGAACAATTCTTGGAAAGCGAAGACTACACTGACATGGACCATGGTACGAATTGACCCAGCGTACACTTGCGTAGTCCTAGATGAACTTTCGTGCTTTAGGAAAGTGGTAGCTTAATATGTCTCATCCCCTGGTAAGATGCTAGAACGCGTTCGCTAAGTGTTGACGAATACTTTAGTAAGGTTTAAAATCCTGCTATGGAGGAATGCGGCTCAGCAATGTACATAGTACCGGACAGCAAGGACATCTTGGACGGGCGCTCGGCCGAGTCGGTTTTGCATTAGTTTCGAGTACCTCAGTAGTGACGTCGCCGGAAGCCCAAAAGCCGTTGAGGCCGAATCAGATGGATTATGAGTGCTGGTCACAAGGTCGATGATTCATACGATGTAGTAGAGAGTTTCTACGTCTCGCGAGGCGGAGTAGATCCCAATATCGAGTATCGTGTTGAGGAAGTCCTGTGGCGGTAACACGCACAAAAAGGCTAATCCCTTGCGTCGTTCGATCCAGCACTTTATATTAACCGCACCTGTCAAGTAGTTACCAATCGGTTGTGTAGAAGGCTGATACACAAAGTAAGGGAGAGGCACATGCGTCCCCGCGAGTCACACAGCAGTCCTGTTTCAAAAGTTGTGCGTCTCGACACATGGATATATTCTTCGCTTAATAACCTCTAGTCTTTCCCCGGATATCATAAATCCGGAATTTCTCTGCCAGCCACCTAGGTAAGATCAGCCATAAAACCCAATTCCGAACCCACCCATTTGCTGCCGCCGCCAAATCTAGCGAGCTTTGTCTCAGCCGCTACAGCAAGTGCAGGATCTAGCCTAGACCCCGAGACACGTGGAAATTTGACTTAGGCGGCGACGACGCGCTAACAGTAAGACATCTACTTTAACGAAGAAAACTTCAAGTCCGTAATGGACGACCTCTGAGGTAAGAACATGCCATGATCATGCTAGCTGTATGAGATGAAATCTCGAGTACCTAGGGATTCATGCGGCGTAGAGCAAGATCTGCGCAAGTTCGCGTTACTAGACTACGCACTGTGCCGTTTGTAGCGGTACAACTGATGAAGAAAACGGCTCGAACATAATAGACGTCTGGCTGTTGCATTGTGAGACAGCGAGAAGCTATTCGGGAGCGGCTAGATGCTGAACATCGGGAACGAAGAAGCGGATGTCGTTGGTGTTGTACAAGACCGAACCGGGGACCTCACGGCATAGTACGTACCTACATAGTAAGCTGATATCGATAAGATAAGATAGATAACGCGGCCTTTTGCTTGTGATTATCGATAATTGTGCTACCCAATTATGTAATCACATGCAAGCCAACGTTGGCACGTGTCCTCAGACCAATCCAGACCGTTGCTGATTAGAGAAAGTGAGGGAGTACAAGCTTTCTTATCAGCCAACCAGCTTTTGATTGGAGAATTCTGTTAGTACATATGTCGCGTCACTTCGAGTTCGTCTGAATTCCAAGCCTTAAAGCTAAACCTTTAATGACAGCATAGCAATGGAATGGATACCTTTACTAATGATCGTAGCTAAACATCCGATGATCACCTTCAAAGCTCCAAACTCCAAACTTCTATTCGCGCTTTGTTTTGTTTTGTTAGTTTCAGGTTCGAATTTGAAAGAATAGTCGCAACTCTATTATAGCAAAATATTCTTCTGCAATTCCTCACCTTCGTCTCTGCTGGTTTCGAGAACGGTGGGAAATTCGCCAGTCCTTTCGTCGCTCCGGTCGCCTGTTCTTTATACACATGCCTTCTTCTGCATTCCCCTGCCGGTGATGCCCTTGCTAGGCATGGGCAGTTGGACGTTGGCCATCTCCCACAAATCGTCGAATCATGGCGCTCCTCCCAGGTTGATCGTGCTATTCGCGTTGTTGGTGTCATGGCTGGGTTTGGTGGAGGCGATGCGGCCCAGTCGCATTGCCGAGTTGAGGCAGGAGACGGTCGATATGTTCTATCACGGCTTCGATAATTACATGAATATTGCCTTTCCCGAAGACGAGGTATGCATCTAATGACCTTGTGAGAGGAAGAAGAAGAAAAAATAGAACTGTGCATTAGCTTATACCTAATTTATAGTTACGGCCCGTCTCTTGTACGCCGTTAACTCGAGATCCCCTAAATCCGCGAAATATCGCGCTCAATGACGTCCTCGGGAACTATTCCCTAACTCTCATCGATAGTCTTTCGTCCCTTGCCATACTTGCCTCTGCGCCGCCCGATAAAAAGAATACTGGGCCGAAAGCCCTAAGTGATTTCCAAGATGGTGTAGCTGCGTTGGTCGCACAATACGGTGATGGACGGCCCGGCCCGTCAGGTCAGGGTGCTCGTGGTCGTGGATTTGATGTTGACAGTAAGGTCCAAGTCTTCGAGACGGTGATAAGGGGTGTTGGTGGACTACTTAGTGCCCATCTTTTTGCTGTTGGGGAGCTACCCATATCTGGCTATGACCCACGGATAGTAATCAACGACGACGGTGATACCTATATTGAAAACCATCCTATCCCCTGGCCGAATGGATTCAAGTATGACGGGCAGTTGTTGCGGCTGGCCCTCGACTTAGCACAGCGCTTGCTTCCGGCCTTCTACACTCAGACCGGGCTACCCTACCCACGTGTTAATCTTCGTCATGGGATACCGTTCTATCTGAACTCTCCACTCCACGGGAACAATCTAGATTCAAAGCCACCCGAGGATACTCCCGAAATCACGGAAACGTGCAGTGCCGGGGCAGGTAGTTTAGTGTTGGAGTTCACAGTGCTGAGTCGCTTAACCGGAGACCCAAGGTTTGAGCAAGCAGCTAAGAGGGCGTTCTGGGCCGTGTGGTCGAGAAGAAGCAATATCGGCCTTATTGGTGCCGGCGTGGATGCCGAAGGAGGCCATTGGATCGGAGGATTCTCCGGGATAGGTGCTGGGATCGACAGCTTCTTTGAATATGCTCTCAAGACTTATATCCTGTTGTCGGGTCAGGAATTGCCGAATCGGACAATGCCTCAAGGTCATGACGGGGATTGGCTTGACCCAAACCAGATATATCATCCACTCTCAGACGAGGATAATTCCGCCGACTCTTTTCTGCAAGCTTGGCACCATGCTCACGCTGCTATCAAACGCCACCTTTATTCCGGTCTACATCATCCGCATTATGTGAACGCGCATATGTCTACAGGCTCACCACAAGCCTATTGGATCGATAGTCTAGGCGCATATTACTCTGGTTTATTGGCGCTCGCTGGGGAGCTTGACGAAGCTATCGAGACACATCTAGTTTACACTGCTCTTTGGACCCGATACTCTGCCCTCCCAGAGCGGTGGTCTGTACGTGACGGCCACGTTGAAGGGGGTCTCGGCTGGTGGCCTGGCCGTCCAGAATTTATCGAGTCCACCTACCACTTGTATCGTGCTACTCGAGACCCTTGGTACCTTTATGCGGGCGAGATGGTCTTGAAAGACATCAATAGGCGATGCTGGACAAAGTGTGGTTGGTCCGGCTTACAAGACGTACGCACCGGAGAGAAGAGTGACCGAATGGAGAGCTTCTTCTTAGGGGAGACTGCTAAATACTTGTATCTCCTCTTTGACCCAGATCATCCCCTCAACAAGCTTGATGCTTCATACGTGTTCACCACAGAAGGACATCCATTGATCATCCCTCGAAAGAAAGCCCATCGTCCGGTGCGTAAAATGGTACCAGAGCAAGCTGTCCAGCCATACTTCGACGCCCAATTCACCAATACTTGCCCTCGTCCACCAGTTCTACCTCCATTGACCAGTTCAGCTGTTACTGCCAGGCCTGACTTTTATAACGCGGCAACTCTGATCCGGCTTCATCAAATTCCAAACATACACGGCTTAGAAGGTCCCATCGCAAAACTAAGCGGTTCAAAATCACAGATAAGACTACAGGAGAGGCCAAAGGAAAACTACACCTATTTTCCTTGGACATTACCTCGTTACATGCTTCCAGCTGACGGAGTCTGTGCTGTAACAAAACAGGCTCAGACATCAGTAATCGAATTCCCTTCCGGTTCTCAACAGTCAGTAGGTAGTGCCTTCAATCTCATGTTTGGCGGCCATAACCTTGTTCGCATGGGGAGCGAGGGCATTGCGATTAATAATTTGGCCGGCCTAAAGCTGGCCCTAATTGTAGAGGAGCCCCCAGAGACGACCGAACGAGCTTGGAGAGTCTACAGTATTGGCAGCTTACCTCTGGGCCGAGATGAAAAAGTTTTCATTACCCGCGACGTCCTCGAAGACATGTCGGACCCGCTGTTCCATCGCGTTCGCGACTCAGTCATCGTCGACATTCTTCTACAGATCGAAATCCCTCTCGAACCATCAGAGCATAATTCTTCCTCCCCGGATCCAGAACCCCCTCTCGAGTCACAATCTACCATTGAGCTTGAAAGTGACTCCGCCGTCGGCATGTTCAGCTCCTTCCTACAACAGATCACGTCCGCCCTACGCGAACCAGTCGCCACCTTTGGCCCAGAACCCGTACCCCAACCAAAGTTCAAGTACGTCGAACTACCGGCCATCACGCCCGTAGGTAAGGGCGCCGCTCCCTTACCCGACGTCCGCGAGGCACCGAACCCCCAAACGAACGGCGTTATTGAATCGCTTTCGTGGCAACGCATCTTCTTCGCCGGTTACGCGTGCAATGGCAAGTTGCCCGACGCGGCGCCCCGCGCGCACCAGGTCATCGTCATGCGCCGTGGCGGGTGCTCGTTCTCGCAGAAGCTGGCGAATATCCCGTCGTTCGCGCCGGCGAGGGGCGCGCTGCAGCTCGTGGTCGTGGTTTCGGATGATAAGGTCGAGGATGAAGATGATGATCTAGATGAGGGTAGAAACGAGAGAACAAGCAATGGCAGGGGAGAGGGTAAGCGCTGGGGTGGAAGGGAGGGCGAAAAGGATGCGGCGAATGTGGACTTCATCAGGCCCCTGCTAGATGAGACGCAGAAGACTCCCGCGGGCATACATCGGCATCGGCCCATTGCTATGCTGATGACGGGTGGCGGCGAGGAGGCGTACGAGTTGTTGAAGACGACGAGGAGCTTGGGGCTTAGGAGGAGGTACCATGTTGAGAGTCAGGGACTGAAGATAAGTAACTTGGTCGTGCTGTGATTGTGAGCTGGGGAGAGTTAGGGTGAGATGAAGCTATATAGAGGTACGAAGCTATGATAGCGGCGCGGTCATGTCGTGTCGGTTTATGTTGCTTGAGAGGGGAGTGGTAGTATATAGGGCCCGATGTATATATTTGATTGGAAAAGCTTCAGGAGTTGGTTGAATAGATGAGTGTCGTGCTTACCGTGGTTGCAGGTGTGTTATGCCTTGCTTACCTACCATAAGTATGTAGCTTTCACTTGAATGCATGATTAAATGATGAATATATTACCCACGAGACCAAGAGTTAAGATGTTTGATCCGTACTTGACCGGAAATAAGCCAAGCGACGAGAACATTGACGATAGACTTCTTGATAGAAGCCCTGGGGGTGTTGCGACTGTAATTAGGTAGGTACTTAGGTATCGTTTTGGAATGTGATGACTTTCAGAGTGCACATAGCCTTGAAATGGCTAATACTTCGGTAGGTTGTTGAAATGAAGATTGCCAAAATAGTTCCTTATGCATACCTAACAACAATTTTCAGATATCTCATGGGTACCTAATTAAAACAATAACCCTTAATAAAACATCACAAAAAGCAAATGTCGAGCGATGATAGAAACCTCAAAAGAATGAAAATAAAACAAAAAAAATTATGGTATAAGAGGAATTTAACCTCTCAGTACTGGACTCGCGGGGAATCGAACCCCGGACCACTCCCAGACCTATTAGACAAGCCCCAGAAACGAAGCCATCGTGAGATAAATCGTCGTCGGTGGGTCGTACCTGCTAAGGGAGTATTATACCACTAAACCACAAGCCCGCTCTCAACCCACACGCGCCGCCAGTCTGATTCTAGAGGCGTCGAGGTAGAGTCATTGGTTGGAAAACGGATCGTTCATTGAAGATTATATGGCTCTGTGTGGTGTTTGTACGTTGGATTGGACGGGAGCTTGCCCTAATGGATCAAGCGGAGCGGAGTGGAGATCGGTTAGTGTGACATAGTGCGGTCTAAGAGATATGGATCTTGGGATGAAATAGTTTGCTCGCCTATCAGTGGGTTCGGGTAGCTCTTATGGATGAAAAAAAGGCGTCGTTGATAGGATATTTGTATATCGAGAGTGGGGATATAATATAGTTCATGATGTGTCTGTGAATGGAATACATCCATGGTAGGTATCTACCTGTAATAATGGTCCAAAGCTCATGAACCATTAGAAGATATCTGGATGTTGATCTTACACAATTGGTCCAATAGAGTGATACAAGAAGAATATAGTAGTGTAGTCCAACGTATCTCCACAATGATGGCATCAGTCATAGATATGTCGATCTATCTCATTGGAAGGCATAGCTTGATGGCATTAGAAGATCCGACCTAGATACTGTAGGTGCCTTGGGAGATAAGCATACATATCTAGTTAGAACTAGGTCATTTAACATGTTGTGAGTGCATTACCTATCTGAAAATAGGTTGAGGTCTCGTTTAAGTGAGACTCAACTTGATCCTTCTTGAGCGTTAACTAACAGTCAAATCTGAGAAGTGACTAACACAATTCATCACGAATCTGACAGGCTACAAGCGAACAAGCCAACGATGACTTCGTAAATATTAAGCGAACGAACCAGTCCAATCGATATCGAACCATATTGTCGGCGGGTCGTATTTATATCAAAGAAGCTCCGTTGCGTCCGTGACCTTCAGCTAGCAACAGCTGACTTGCCCCAGGCGCCGGTACGAGCTAATAAGGTAGTGTGCCGCTTTTATAACTTCGGGATAATAGTTATGATGGCTATTGACATCGCGTATTTCGAAGACTGGGATAGGTAGGTAAGGTAAGCTTGTGATAATTGAGCTAACCAGCGGCGAACATTCCGTGCCGTATCTGACTCGAGACCCTTGGACCCATGCTAGATCGCTTGTCTAGTATGATGCACCGTAGTAAGACGATGCTACAATTGGGTTTAGATAGCCGATCACTCCATTCATTAACCGTAAATCTGTCCACCGCCGAGCTATCGAGAGGAGATAGATACGATAGATATAGCAAATAAGAAATCGTACGGAACCACACGTGGCTCCGAAGACTCCGACTTGCTACAATTGTTGCAGCTGTCGGCACTCTGGAGCTTTTAGTCCGAGTGATGGCTTGACTCAAATGTTGACGATAAAATAGATGGCTGGACAGCTGCGATTAGAAGGCGTGATATAAGTTATCGCTTGCATTATCAGACAGCCGCATCGAGGGGCATCTGCTGTCAGTGCAGATACGAGAACCCATCCCACGCCATACATTGCTTGGCTCTCGGCCGGAGCGCTGAATTTGAACTATGTAATCCGCCAAGTTGCCCGGGCGATATCTTACCATTCTAGTGCTATTTTACTATTATAGTAAACTTCACGATCTCGTAAATGCTCAATTAGCCCGATATTGTCGAAGTAAGTTAGGCAATTAAGAGGCTATGAGCCTCATAGTCGTATTTGTGAGCTACCAAAATATCACTCAGTAACAATATCTAATTGTTGGGGTATTCTCGAAAACGGTATGTAACGTCGTCTCGGTCGATATCCATCTCGCATGTAACGCCATAAGTTCTATCGCATGCAGCGCAGATGCTCATCTTCCAATCGGCCAGGTGTAAATGATGATTGGCCATCGTTAATCTCATAATATTTTCGCCCACCGAATGCCCCCACTCCGAACTCCAGTTGCCCATGACAATATGCTAGACCCATGGAAAAAACGCCGATATAATGCTGATCATGCTGGTGCTGAGATAATGAAGAGGATCGTGAAAAGTGCTCTTTAGGGACAAGGCACTAATCTCGCTTGATCACCGTGTGTTGTACATGATCGCTGAGCTCTTGCTCTCCTCTGCTGGTCCCATCGCGACAACGACTGTGTTTTTGCAGACTCCATAGCTACAGCATTCCTCGGCCGGCATCGCTCCTTGAAGAATTAAATCTCGTTTGGACTAGATATGAGTTAGTATTGGTATGATACCCAAATCCTTGTATATACATACGTCGGGACAGCGGATGGGAGATGCGTTGACTGAGGCTCCTAACAACGAGAATGTCGTGACGACCGATATTAAGAAATTGAACAGCATCTTAATAACTCTGATATGTGACCGAGAGATGTCCAAGTAAATCGGAGGTGGCTGAAAGCCGGGGAGCTGGTTTTATTTATTATTTGTGTGTGGTATGTTGGGAAGGATTTTAATATAATTTGGGTGTGCTAGGTGTATAGCTGACACAATCCTTATCGACCTACTAATAAGGGAAGAGATCTGGCAGTTTAGATGTAACGAGAGAACGTCCAACTATATAGATTGTAGGAGAGGGATTAGACGAGACCATCCGTTCACGACTAATGAGCAGCGGTACTCATAATATAAGAAGAAATCAACGGATGGATCCGGCTAGGATAGAGTGGTGTCAGAACTCGGGACATCCTACCATACCTACATACTGTATCCATAGATGTATGCAGCTCGTTAGCCCTATGTGCGCCACGGCAACATCCCACCCTTGTGAGCTGAATGCCCCAGTTGCCTGCTATATTATAGACTGCGGCTATTTTAACAAGCGACAGATTTTGGAGTGACGCGGCTGAAGGAACCGGTGATCCAGGGGACTGTGGCTGTGATTTTCATTACTGGGAGACATGACGAAAGGTGCTTGAGATCCAGTTAGATGGCGGGCATTCTGCCATCACGGCGAACAAGCCAATAAGCCTGTCAGACTAGTCAGGTAGGGCTGCTGACAGGGTCGTCATTTACGTGCCAGTGGCTCGGGGCGGAAAACAACGAGGGATAAGAAAAAAGACCAGGTGGCTATGATTGGCATCTCGTGAAGATCCCTAGTCCCGCGGCTTTGCCAAGCCTACTAGAATTTCTCTTAAGAAGTTAGTCGGCTAAAATTAAGAACTATTTCTCAATGCGCGATAGTATACGAGAAAAACGCAAGAGAAAAGTCGAAGTGTAATAGCCTTTCATACCGGCCCTACCGATTCTTCTAAGGTAAACGAAGTTCGTGATTGGGTAAAACTGCTGATGCCAGAAATGTGTCAAGACAGAGAAAATAGAAACACCGGCGGTGGCTAACCTCTTCAGTGGTGGCTTGGCTTAAGTGGGTCTAAAGCTAGAATGTACGGCCCGGAAAATATCGAATCCGGCTGCCAAGAACGTTGTGGAAAGAACTCAATTTCCAATTTAAGAACCGAAATTACATAATAAGGTTAATCCATTTCATGCTCCAAGGTTGCATTATTTCAAAAGTTCACTTATAAAAACGACAAGTCTCACCTTATGCGCTCACAAAGTACCTGCCGCGATTACATATGAAACATGAAGGATTTCCCCATGAATCTCATAAATGATTCTAAAGTCGTCTAAAACGGTTGGCTAACTCCCGGGATTCAAGCTGGTCGCTTAATATATCATAATGTTTCCAATTATGCTCTCAAACATGAAATTCTTTTATTTTAATCTTCAAAGTCTTTTAGGACACAACAAGCTGTCTTACTATGTGAATGGTTGTCCTCTACTGACTTTGCAGAGTAAGTACGAATGTCGTGAAAGTGTGTCATTTTATACGCTTTGTAGTTGGAGTCGCACCATACATAGGTAGGTAAATATTTAGAATGGGCAGGTCAGACCTTTCGCTCAATGTGAAAAGGGCATAAGATTTTTGGCTTGGGCAAGCCAAGGATGGTAGGTATGCAGGTTAGCTATGGTAAGAAGGAGCGTTCTATTAACTCCCCAAAGCTTCCTATGAAGCTTTGGAGAAAGAAAAACTTTATGCCATACTTAGATTCTCCCAGCATCGACCTGCTTCTTTCCCGGAGATAATGACGCTAGGTATGTTCTAATTTCACCCATATCATATCTTGCTCCCTCTTCTAATTGACCTGTTCTCAGTAAGTTTCAAAGCATCTTTCTCATAACAGATACAACCAGTCCAACCGAAGAACCAATTATCCCGGACAATAGATACTATGGAGTCACGCGGAGGCTCAACCAATCTTCATCCTATATCAAGCCGTCGTCGCCGCATTCGTCTACATGGACGGCCACGTCGTGCAAGGAGTTTACCTTCACGTTTCCGAGAGCCAGTTGCAGTTGAGGCCATACCTTATATACTTCCTCCTTTGCAGATTCAACTTCCTGATACATGGCGTCTCTGGAAGCCAGCCGTTCTTCACTGTCCACCGGTGACAAGTCTACCGTGTTGGCGCCCGTGTCCCAATTACGGTCCAAGGGAGACCAAGTTCAGGCTCTGCGATGTCAGTTCCGTGACCTCATATTTGCTCTCACATTTGCTTTCTAACACCACGTGACCCTCACAGACCAGAAGTCTCGATGACAAATTCTCCTTCCCGCTTAAAGGATACAATAATTGGGAAATCGAGTCTATGCCTGATAAGGTCCTTGCCAAAATAATTACAGATTGGCACCGAAGTCCGGTTTTGTCCTTTCGACCTGACACCCGGAATGTGATATCACGTATTGCCCCTGACTTGGTGGCAAAGTGGGGACCGGCCGTTTGTCAAGCAGAAGCAGACATCATGTGGATCATCGGGGAGAAATGGAGAGTGAAAACCCATATTCCAGAGGTGCACAGAGTACTTCGAGACGAGGTCACCGGGTACCTGATAATCATCATGGATTACGTCCGCGGTTCAAACTTGGTTGATATCTGGCATTGTATATCGCCGGAACGCCGACACAGACTTACCAAGGCTATTGTTAAACTGATTTGCGTTATGCAAACGAATGAGGCTCGGTATCCGGGTCCGGCTGGAATCACTCCCATGCGGGCTTTAGTTCATAGGGATTATCCCGTTCCGCTCTGTATGAACGGGACAGACTATGACCGATATATGAACGTTCTACTCAGTGTAGCCAATTGTTATCGACCGGAGGGTATGCGAACCAAAGGTTTTATGAGAACCTATAGGGGCAAGTTCGTTCTGGCAAATATGAATTTAGATCCGAGCAGCTTTATTGTTGACAGGAAGAACAATATTTGGATTGTCGGTTGGGCAAATGGTGGCTTTTACCCTCCTGAAAGTGAGCTTGCTATGGTCGAGCGTTTGATGCCGTCAAGATTCGCCGATTTAACGAGGGAGATTCTTAAAAATATATTACACGATCGGTTACAGAGACAACATTTGAGGTTGATTGCTTCAATGATTGATGGCGATCCCCTAGAGAAAAAGGGCGGTGGCTTTTACCATCACTTGGAGTAACGGGCCGAGGCGAAAAAGGAGACGTAAGGGCAGCTATGTTAGTGAACAGGAGCGTGCACATGTCAATCGCTTGCAGGAATATGGGACTTCATAATCAAACCTAATTGGTGTTTGCTTTGGAGTATGATGGCAGTCAAATTAGACAGCGACTTGCTTGCCGTCCTTGCCAGGGATAGCTTTTCTCGGGACGGCTAGCCACATTAGTTCAACGTCTACATACATTTTAACCTTCCAATTCTGATATTGGCCTGAGGTGATATTGCACGCCTCCGGAACTCCAAACATGTCACACGGGTAGGACGGTGATACATCCCACGAGGATATGCTGCCTCTCCCCGCCGTCTTGGAACGTGGACGAAACAAGAGCTTTCCGGATTCCGAGGTCGTCTGGGTACGATGCCGTGACCGTCCCGCAACTAACAAGTAATAAAAATTCCCTATATGATTACCGACCTGCTGGGTAAGTCGACAAACGTCGATCCTTCATATTGCCACCCAAGCTGGTGGTAAGAATGATAGGGCTAGGTAGGTGGTAGGTTACCCAAGTACATAAGAAAAACGTAAAGAACAGGAGACTCAGCCCGCTCTGCGCGTAGAGGTGAATGGTTAAGGGGTATGGAGATTCTTGGCTGTGACCGATATCGCGATTATACACCTCGCTCAGCATCTGTTGTGTTTGCTGCGGTCCACCATCTTACCTTTCCGTGCCCCTTGATGCTCGTCTTACACGAAAGAGCCGGTAGGACACTGCCATCTATGTCAAACAGCGGAAATAAACATCGCGATATTTTTTAAGATATCTGCGCGTGCCTAGGGTAGAATTGGACTCCTCGTCATCCCTTATCATACTCTTTGCGATTATGGGATGTATAGAGGACTCCCTAAGAATAAAGGGATAAAGAAAGTTTAGAAATAGAATCGCATAGTTGCATGTGGGGGATCCTCGGTGTGGCCAATGCTTGTAAGTGGGGGAAGGTTAGATTGTCCGTGATAACACCCGTTACATAAACAAGCTTTTTCCTTGCTGAATTCGATGAATTCTACGGGGCTTGGAAGGACCTGATAGGCGCATAGGCGCTACTGCATGCCAAGGCAAGCTTTTCTCGGGCTGATCCCGATTCTCTGGCCTCTTCAGACCTTCACCTAAGATTTTACAAAGCAGGCTGCCCTGGCGGACAGCTCCGCTCGGTCTGCTTTGATTCTCTGCCCTCGGATTTGAGCGATGTCCGGGCAGCCAGCCAGCCAGCCAGTGGCTCACCTACCTATTCAAGGAATAATGTTTAATGGCTTAAGTCGCCGACATTCAAAGCAAAGCAAATTTCAGATAACCAGATACAAAGGAAACTGATAAGAAAAGCCTCACAGCGTCGGCGATACCATTACTTCACCATCCAATGGATTCGTCAAGGACAACGTAAGCGGTACCGAAAGGAGTCTCACCGGCGTAAAGCCCAATTCGCTATCCCTGTTCCTGGCTTTCCCAGGATTGACCCATCAATCGGATGGATTGCTTTTGTGCTTGCAGATTTTACATACTCATAAATGCTTGGCTGCCCTATTCAGGCCCATAGCAGATGCAGTTCTCAGAACCCTGGGAATCCTCGTTACTTCCAATTAAGGCAATTATCTGGACCGAAGTTTCAGATGAAGTTCGCCAAGATTTCAATTTTAAGATCTTCGACCGTGACGCAGTACTGGGCTGCTGGGACATCACGGCTTACCAGCGGCCTCTAACACTGCACGGCATGCGAGCGATTACTTTGTTTCGTTAGACTGGCCCGGTTTTAGACTGATTGTCTATTTTCTTGACAATCGACGAAAGTTATGAACCACTGTAGTGGCACGAGCCACTATCTGGGCTTTCCTTGCCATTGGATATATGCGATTACTTTAAGGAGTGATTTCGGCCTCACATCGATCCAATCATGGTTTCGTCTTCCCACTATATTTTGAGTAGGTGCTCACTCGATTCGAAAGGGCAGATCAGAAAATTTCATTTTCTTATAGATTCTCCTCATCACAAGTTGCCATGAGTTTCATACGTATTCCAATTCACACTGGTTTCTCTACTTTGGTACATACAGTACATATAAGAACACCTGCCTGATGAGGGCCTCGATCCCATCCATCGCCTAAACACATCTTATTCTATAAGTGGGTATGGTTATTACCACATTACCACTGTTATTCCTTATCTTTTCAATTCAGCTGTAATTCACATTACAAGCTAAACTACGGGGGTCGCAGATTTCGCCCCCCAGACGCTCGTTATCTAAAGACTATCCAACCAATAGCCATTCGCTATCGTCAAATCCTGGATAGCCTAGGCTGGACCTAGTTTCTCTTCAGGTACACAATTCCTCCGCGTCCAGTCGCATGTTCGCTTCTTTGTCTCGTAAGCTACCTCGAGCTTTGCATCGTGTGTTACGGTGGCATACTCTAGCCGTTGAGAGAGCGCCGCTATAAACGCCTGTTTCATCCTATCGCAACCCAACCTACTTGGAACTACTCAATATATCTTCTCAGCTTTGGTCGGCGTCTTCCGACTTACATCGATCTTCGTCGATTTCTACATTTTGAGGTTTTCGATGGCGGAGATGCCCTAGAGGTTCGAGACTGGATATCTGGAATCGACGACGCAGTTTATGACACAGCCTAAGTGTCGATACATAAAAACCAACTCACTTCGCAAACTTTAAGTGGCTTAAATCGTGTCACTTCCACGTCAGCTTACACCGAGGTGAAATCAGCTCAAACTCGACTTCCAGTTAGCTGGTCTACTTTCACATACGCCAACCTCTTCTTTCATTAACGGACCGCGAACATGCGGCTCTCAAATAGAAGCAACGAAACCGGGAGCGAGGAGCACAAGAGGGATGATTCTGTCATAGTAGACTATGGGTTCGGTCAAGTCAGCGACGAAAATGCCGTACACGGACGGGAATTCGCCTCGGGCGAATCTATGTATGCTAGACTCCAGCGGTTCGCTGGCAAGTTTGGTATGGAACAGCGAGGAATCGAGCGGGTTCCTAGTGACGAGAGGACGGACTCGAATCTGTTCCAAATTGGTACCCTGGTACGATAATTCATCATTTATGAGTTTCTGTGAGTTTGCTTTCTGACATAATGCAGTGGTTCTCTGCGAACATGGTCGTATCGTCATTCGCTATCGGCGCCCTTGGACCACCTGTATTCGAACTTGGATTCGTCGACGCTGCTCTGACAATCATCTTGGTCAACATCCTTGGAATCTTGCCGGTTTGTTTCTTCTCGACCTTCGGTCCCAAGTTTGGCTTACGTCAGATGGTCTTGTCGAGATTCTGGTTTGGATACTACGGCGTCAAACTGAGTAAGTTTGCGAGCCATCTTCTTTTGGACATCGCTTGTATTAGAAGTATCTTATCCAACTAACCTGTCCTATAGTTGCCATTTTCAATATCCTAGCTTGTCTCGGGTGGTCTGCTGTGAACGTTATTGTCGGTGCTCAGTTCTTCAACGCGGTTAATGGAGACGTTCCAGGCTGGGCCGGCATCCTGGTCATTGCATTCGCGACGCTAGCCATTTGCACTTTCGGCTACAAAATCGTTCACGCTTATGAGAAATGGTCTTGGATTCCTGTGCTCATCATCTTCATTATAGTGCTAGGCGTCTTTGCCCACTCCGGCGAGTTCAACAACTTACTACCCCTTGCGACCGGAATCTCGGAGACTGGCAGCGTTCTCTCCTTTGCCGCGTCGGTATACGGCTTTGCCACGGGATGGACATCGTACGCCGCGGATTACACCGTGTACCAGCCTGTTGGACGATCAAGCAAAGCCGTCTTCTGGTGGACCTTCGGCGGCTTATTTACCTCGCTCTGCTTCACCGAACTTCTCGGAGCCGCGATAGCCACCGCAATGACCAATAACCAAGCCTACCTCGACGCCTACAACAACTCACACATCGGCGGTCTCTTAGCCCAGGTCCTCGTCCCGAAACTCGGCCGCTTCGGCGAGTTCTGTGTCGTGATGCTCGGCCTCTCCATCATCGGCAACAACTGCCCGAACATCTACTCGGTGTCGCTCTCGCTGCAGGTCCTCTCGGAGAAGACGCAGCGCGTGCCGCGCTTTGTGTGGACCCTTGTTGGCACCGGCGTCTACATCGCCGTCGCGATCCCGGGCTACAACGATTTCGAAGACACCCTCGAGACCTTCATGCTGATCATCGGCTACTGGCTCGCCATCTACGAGGGCATCTCGCTCACCGAACACTTCGTCTTCCGCCGCGGCAGGACCGACCGCTACCACCCCGAGGACTACGTGGAGCCTAAGAAGCTCCCGCCCGGTCTGGCGGCCATCGTCGCGTTCTGCTTCGGCGTCATGGGAGTGGTGCTGGGCATGGCGCAGACCTGGTTCATAGGGCCGATTGGCAAGCTGTGCGGAGCGGAGGGGTACGGTGGAGATATCGGGTTCGAGTTGGCGTTTTCGTTTTCGGCGGTTAGCTACGTGGCTTTGAGGGCGGCGGAGTTTGCGTATTTTAGGAGGTGAGATGGGGAAAAGGGGGGATGGTATAGAAGGAGCCTTGGGTTAGAAGTGGCTGCTCCCACACGTGGGAATTTCTTACGATAGGCTAAAAAGAGAAAGATAAAGAGATAAAGATACAAAGAGGGAATGTTTGTACAGGAAGAAGTATGATAGGATAAGATGAGACGAGATGAGATGAGATTCCGAAGATTCTGCTTGTTTGATATTACAGAGCATGTATGAGTGAGGCCTTGGTGCGTGTACTATGTTTGTTTTCATGGTTGGAAAGGTTGGTGTAGGTAGAACCTTAGACGCGCTTGGATACCCTCCAGAAGGTGGTGTTATGGTGTATAACTTAGAGCTTGGGCTTGTCAGGTTACTGAGGCTCTTGGGTATCTGAGAAACTTGGGTTTCTGGAAACCTCTTTATAGGTTCAGCATGATGTATTATCTACTCTACATCGTCAATAAGACATCACATAATTCTAATTACAGTGTCGAGTGTATAACCAGCGTATCCGGAACATACAAAATTACAGCATATTGAGATAGACTCGAAACTCGTCAAGCGACCTACCCACCCATACCTACCTACGTCCCAAGTCGATCCGGCGTATACTAGGTACGCAGGTAGGACGGCGACGCTTGACAAGCGGAAACAAGAAATTACCTAGGTAACTACACGAACGTCCCACAACGCTTACGCCGGCCGTAGATTGGACATCGACGTGGCATCCGCGACGGGAAGACTTTTTTGAGTTTCTTGAGACCTGGGGTAATGTGACTCGCTGCTATTATACTATCCATACCTACCTACCTACTTATCGCCGCTTTTCTTCAGCCAGGGACTTGCTTTCTAATTCAACGACGTCAGAGTTTTTTCGATTGGGATCGTCTTTCGTTTAACGTTCCTATTTCCGTTGATCCCATTGTCACTATTGGGGAAATTCTTTTGGTCGACGTAGACGGTGTCCCTAAGCTAAGCCGGCGTACCCCTATCTAAGGGCGGGCGAAATGGGCGGTGCCGATGTCGAAGGGGGGTGGCGGCGGGCGCCGGGATTCGGGAAAGATTTCTAGCTTCTAGGTGTGTAAGATGGGCCTGATATTTACTCACTCCCCTGAGTTCATTATCAGGATTGCCCTAGGTAAATGGACGAGTTATTCGTGGCTATGAACTCTATCTATAGGTAGGTAGTCGAGGAAAGCTCGTCCCTCCACTTTTCTTTCCCAACTTCGACCTTAGCATATATCTCCTACGCGGCAGTAGGAACTTTTCCTGAAGAGGCACATTCACTTGACGAACTTAAACACACACTACTTATTCCTCACCTCAATAGTTTCTTTCACTTGAACTTCAGACCAATCAGACCAAGTCGACTTCATCTATCATTTAACACGATTAATCCGATAATTTCGTTAATTAATGTGCTTCCTAAGCCACTACTTCCTACAGAACCCTTAGCAATGCCTTAGCCAGATCCTGAACGCCAAACTGAAAGCAAAGCCAAGAACCTTTTTTTTCGATGACCTAGTCCATACGCACATCACTCCGCCGAAGACTATTACTAATGGGGGAATATCGACATGCTCGGAGAAGTGTCAAAAGCATCGTATTTTCCTATGTGCCGGTCGTGTCAAGGTACATATGCTTTGTTTGAGACTTTTGAACTAACTTCACATTGTCTTGGGGTAGGCCGAGCTATGCTGGTATGCGTATCTCCGTAGGATAGTTCGCCGTTGTGTTGTTCCCCCACTGATAATCCATTTGACCGCTTGATCTCGCGGTATAATAAAAGAGGTAAAGTAATAAAATTTGTGAACACGTTTCGTGAGTAATAAAATAAAAAAAATGACCAAGAACGCTAGCTCAGTCGTAGCTGTTCGTCTCAGAAAGCGAGAGCTTTTTGAGGTGCCATTTAGACGAGGAATGATCCATCCTGGCCTCTGTGTTATCGATAGCTGTGTCTTCGTCTTCTGATGTAAAATTCTTAATTTGATTTAGATGGCCTGGGTTTGGAATATCCGTATTGGTGATGGGGCTTTCGTAAGGATCGTCTTTCTCGTCAGGAAAGGTCTGTTGTTCTTGTTCCTCCGATGGTTCACTCCCAGTAAATCCCGACGGCAGAGCAGCCTTCTTGACCGCTAAGTCCCAAAGTTCATTGAATGTTGGCACTGAATCTCCCTCGCTAATTTTGGTTGTCAACCCTGGGCCACAATCCTCCTAAGATCGGATTTCGACATCGCCAACGGGAGACGTACGAATCTTTCCGGGGAGGTTCGCTGGCATGGCCCGACCTTTTTGTACACCTGTACTCTTCTACGAGTAGAAGTGCGACTTCTGGAAGCTTTCAGGAGAAATGTCGCCTGCTTTGCTAGTTACTGTGGGAGCCTCTCGCTCCGTAATGTCAGATAAAGATACCACCGACTCAGCCGGGCCTGCCTTGATCGCGGCAACGGCTTGACCAGGTCGTTTGGCCACTTCTAAGAATGTCGCGGGGAGGTATCCGAGGCGTCCATCCCTAGCCCGGCAGCGCCACCACTCACTTGGGTTGCCGAGAGGATCACTCTTACTCAAGACCGCAATGAAATCTCCCTTCTTGACGGCAAGATCGACGCCCTGGGTGGCATTACCGGCTTCGGGGGTGAAGTCGTACAGCACGCGGCAAAACTCGAGTTTACTGGGGTCCATAGATGCGTTCTGACCTGAGACCTCCATGCGCTTACGCTCATCCTGCTCGCTGTTGGCTGCGATGGATCGGATTGCCTTGTTCATAAGATACGGCAATCCAAAAGCCGCCACAAGGAAAAATATGAGGGGCTTTCTGCTGGGCTTCGGTTGAGCACCGTGGGGACTAGAGGGCGTGTTACGTCCCTCGAACTTTGCGAAGGATGCCGGGGTGAGTGCCATTGCGTCAACGGGAGGTGGTCGTCCGGTTACCTTGGCAAATAACGTGCGCAGCCATCGCATCATGGTGAAAATGCCGAGAACGGATCCTAGGGTCTGGCGCAGGTTGCTGAATTGTTCAGCTACAGACACCATGGCTATGACGTGGTTAGTATACTATTCAGTCGACTTGATAAATATTTCACATCAAAATATCTTACCAAAGAAACTTGAATGGGTTGCCATGTATGTGCTCTCAAGCATCTGCGCGAATCCACTAAAGGTACCAACAATTCCTTCGAGCATCTGGAAAGTAGCCTGAGTGCTGTTGCTGAAACTGTTCGTCAAGCTATTGGGATTGTTGGGGTCGCCTTGCATCATCCCCGGCATGCCGCCGTACATGCCACCCATACCGCCCATCATACCTCCATAGCCACCGTAACCGCCCATACCGCCCATTCCACCATAGCTGCCATACATCCCACCACCATAACCGCCATACCTAGAATACGGTGATGAATATGGGCTGTAGGCAGAGTTATACGGAGTTCGGCTGTACGCTGACGCGTTCTGGTTCACGGTCGAGTTTAGAGAGTCGGGGCGAGGAGGAATAGCTGGCGTGCCTGTTGAAGAATTGGTGGCTGCGTTGACTGATGCTGGGGCCGACATTGCGTTCGAGGCGGAAGTCGTCGGTATGGATGCACCAGTTGTCGTCGCTGTTGGCGCAGCAAGGTTTGCTACGAATATCTTTGTTAACGAAACTTGCTGCTAGCATGTGAAATGTGAATGGCGGCAAACTTACTACCTGTCGCGCCGGCACGCTCCCAGGGTTTGGGTGGCGAGGCCATCGTAGTGGAAACACTTGCAATACCTTAGGGCGTCCAAAGATGTCGATATTCAACGACGTCGCAGAAAGGGTGTCGAGTTACTCCAGCAAGGTCAGTGATGATGACAAAGGAGAGGTGAGGCGAAAGTAGAAAAGGTTAGAAACGACCTCGGTATTTGTTCCCCGATCAGCACTTTCCAAGCGTCGGCTACGGTAAGGCCCAATAAGGCTCTAAATAAAATGCACGGTTCAATTCGATCACGTGGTACGGATTACTGAGGTGTATTACCTAATAAGTTGGTGCCTCGGCTACATCTGCACCTGGCAGGGGGTTGACGGTTAAAAGTGGAGTGTCCGTACTTCATACAACTTTTCGTGAACCTTCACGGTGTCACCTTTCAAACACATAGATTAGGTATTCAAAATATTTTATGTATTTGATGAACATCCATGATTATTCTAGCTCTTCAGCATCGGTGCTATCTAGCTAATCTATTGTCATATCTTCATAATGTCTTTAATCGCAATCCCTCGCTACCAAGTCTCTAAGTGCAAAACCACCAGGCCTATAATCACATTACCACCCAATAAATTCCTGTTTCGGTTCTTCATATTCATTGATGAACATTGAGCGTTCATCTGCTTCTACTCTTCCTTGTTAAGGTTGAATAGGCTTCGCGTTCTGTTCTTAATTCCTCCTTTGATTCGTCGAATGAACCCTTGTTGATTAATTGGACTTTCTGGTCTGTCAAATATGAGAGTGTCATATAGTATACACCCGATCATGGCACCGATCCAGGTGGCAAGCCACGGACCAAAAAACCACCAGTTTGTTGAAAATGTCTCTGGCCCACGATAGCCAAACGCCCATAAAACTACTCGAGGTCCGAGATCACAGGCAGGATTTAGCGCCGATACGATGTCGGAGGATGAAGTAAACTTTAGGGTTGTAAGTAAAAGGCCAAAAATCTGTGTTTATTAGCCTCCGCCAGCTAGTGATCATTGAAAAAGGTGGTAGATGACACTAAGAATGCTTCTGAGAAGTCTTACCAGTCCACGCATTCCCGCTTTGGTAGGGACATCATTCATCGTGAAAGCTGCAATCATCAATATTGCGCCGCCTAAAACTTGATCGAAGAAAGATTCCGTGAAAGAGGTCCATTCTTGAGGGCTCGAAAAGAAGATTTTCGCCGTTTCAGTCATGGCTGGGTCAACACGTCGAATGACACTACTATAATAGCCGAAAACTAACGCTCCAGCCGTCATACTCGCTAAAATTTGGACGATCACATAGACGAAGCATAACCCCCAGGGAAAGCCACGAAAGAGTGATAAACTGATCGACATGATCGGGTTCATGTGTGCTCCTGACACACCTCCAGCCATATACATGCCGAACATCCAGGCAAAGCCCCAAGCCCAGCATGATGTCTCACGTGTGCCATATGGGACACGCTGGTTGGTGGGAAGGTTTACAGAAAGGTCTGCCGCTAATCCCACGAATATGGCCGTCATTGTCTAATGGTAAAGTTAACCGGGGAGCCATAAGAAGGTGACGGACAGCAAGGTTCAAGACATACAGCAAGAAATTCGGCGGTTGGCTCGGGATGCTTTGCTCGTACACGGGCCCACCAGTTTTGCAGCTTCTTTGGGTCTTTCTCTTCTTGCTCCACTTCGTCGTCGTTGCTTTCGTCGATATGGGCAGCTTCTGCGGCAGTCTTTTGGGGCGAAATGCATTCCTCCGAAACGACGCTGGGGTCGACTTGCGCCTGTCCGAGTTCTGCTAGCTCATCGGCGGGTTTGGCCACAAGTTTTGTCGACCCATCGGCTTGTTTCTTGCGCCGGTATACTATGCGCGGGAATCCTTCTGTGACACTCCAAATAGGCTTCTTTCTCGGTTGACCATACTCTGGATAGTACTTATAGTAATCTGGGTCGACCCAGACGTCATCTCTTGAACTAGAACAGCGTGCCTGGTGTTCGCGAACTAGACGGTCTAGCTGATCTATTTTTTGTACCATGCGACCTAGCTGTTGATCGAATTGTTCGGTGCCCGGGCGATCTGTTTGAGAGGCGTTACTTGGTGCCGTATCGGCATTCTCTTGGGAATTCGAATGAAGTGTGTCCTGTCTGTCAATCGTAGGTTGGGTCACTGGAGTGATCTGATCACTAGGATCTATCGTGGCTTCGGAACTCGCCATTTTGACAATTTCATATGCTTCATACGAGTTGAAGTGTGGAAGACGGCCGGTGAATTCGAAAAGCCATCTTTACTATTTAACAGCTTACAACGGTGCCCTCTTCTTGGACCTCTTGTCAAAACACAGTCACGGCCTCTATCTCGAAAGCTTAAGCTTGGGTTTAGTGACGTATTTGAAAGTCAGCAGCAGCAGCACATGTAAAAGTCGAACTGAAATCCAAAAGGGGCAACGACGAGTCAACTCTCGATGGTGGCAAAGCTTTATTGATGTTTGCGAAGCACATGCACGAAAGTTTGCGTGCTTGTATCTTGTAAGCGGAACGGTTACTCCGCAGCCAGCAGATTGAACTCACCGAAGCACCAACTCAACAAGTTCCAGAAAGAATTGAGATAGGACAAGTTGATATATCGGGAAAGGTTTCTAGAACTGGATCTAGTCGAAACAAGTTACTTGCCTATGATATACCCCTCACGGGGCGAGTAGCACCTTCCGTCAAAGTACACAGACACCATCTGTGTCACCTTCAGCTTGATAGTGAACGACGTTTCCCTGTTTATCCAGATTCGAGCTGTAGGAAACCGCGGCGACTTGCAGGTTCATCTTAAATATCACCTAGGCACGGACTCTCGCAAGAAATTGAAACCAATCCATCAATGCTTTCACATGTACGGCTCTCCCAAATAAGAACATCGTGTCTGGAGGTTCACATTTGATTCGACTTTGATGGATGCCTCCCCCTTTTCATCGAGATGCTAGGCGGAACTCAAATCTGATACCACGATTTGAATGTCATAGCGCCCCTAACAAAGCTGGCTGCAGTTAACCTTTCTATTATCTTAGAGTGACGTTGTCGGGGTCTTACCGGAGCATTCTCGCCTACTTACATAACTCGCGGGGGTTTCGTAGCATTGGTCATCGAAGACTGGAAGCGACTCTGAGATAGAGTGTACATCATGGGAAGGTGCGACGAGCACTGTGCAAGTACTTAAGATCTTCGAATTGAAGATCCAGGGTCTAAAGTTTCTAAACCAATACAACATTTTATCCCTTCTAATTCTTTTCTCTCTGTCGAATAGCCTTACTATACCCACTAGAGTTTACAACACTGACGTTATACTTCGATAGTGGCCTATGTCCGTGCTGTTGGTGATAAGCATGATCTCTTCAGTTCGATAACAACATTGAAAAAGGCGTACTATATGAACGTGGGTTAGCCCCTTCTCCCAGAAGATTCAAATAGTCTAGCCGCCTTAAACCAATGTTTTCAACGAGGCTCACACAATATCTAAATGAAACTAGTATAGTGCCTCATTCATCAACTTGTCCATATGTGAGATATAGTAGAAGCCCTTCCATGAATGGTACCTAGCTGCCAATAGCCAGATACATGTTTTTTATAAGGTGCTTACGATGTTGTATCATCTAGATTACTATTCTAAGGATTTAAGGGTTGCCTGGGTGGAGCGAGTTCCCACAACGTGGAAGAAAGCAGATTTTATCATCTGCTCAATACAATTACCTGAGAGAACTAAACAAGGCCAATAAAGATCGATCAAGCCAGGTTACTCTTAGGTTCGATGTTAAGCTTGATCAAGGTTGAACATCAACATGACACAAGGAGCACAAGATAAGTGAACCCTAACATATGAAGATAATATTTACTTAAGCTTGAACTTTTAGATGAACTCTAAGTTCCACTACACTGAACCCGACAGTGGGTTTGTCTTAGGCCGTTCCCGAGACCGTAGAGCCTCAACGTAACACGAACCGAAAGGACTCCATTCTCACCAACTTCATAACATGACTTCTAATCTCATAATCGTCTTAGACCTGAGTTCATCAAGCTAGCCGCACATGAGAACACACCGCTCTAACAGACGCTAATATTAAATAACATAACATCTACTTTACGCCCCAAGAAAAATATTCAGAGAAAAGGCCGCACGCAAAGACTAGGTATTACAACTCAACAAGGCAAAATTCAGTCATGATATGCGATATGCGTATGCGAGAAGTGGGTAATATAGGCGCAGAAAAAAGAACTTTGCAAAGCAGCTCCTATATCCAGCATAAAAGACACAAAGACCAGACATGTAGCCGCCCTTTAAAACATCCTCCTCCATTTGGTTCCTTTCCATCCCCCCCCTTTTACCACCGTACATCCCTCGTGGCCAGTACCCCTACCCCTTGATTAAAAATTCTACGACAATACGAAAGACATCAAGCTGAAGAGATCGAGGTCCTTCTCGTCGTTGACGAGGTCATCAACCTGGTCGGAGGTCAGGCTGGTGGAGAAGTCGTAGCTGTCATCGAGGACCTTGATGGAGGCGGTGGAAGAAGACGACTGGAAGACAACGGCAACCTTCATGGGCGAGGTGGTGGGGCGGTCGAAGTAGTGAGAGTCACCAGTGCCGGCAGCGAAGTGGAAGGTCGACTTGGCCTTGGTGTCACCAGTGGCGAGAATCTCGATGATGTCGGCCTCACCGCATCCACCCTGTTGCGGGCTGGCGTTGTCACCGCTCCAGCAGCTGCACTTGCTGTACTGACCAGTTCGGGGGATCTTGCCGTTAAGCATCCAGAAAGCAGGCATATCCATGTTCCAGCCAGTCTTGCCGCTCATGGGCATGGTGAACTCAGCCAGGAAGACCTTGTCAGCACCCTCGAAACCCTCTGCAAAATTTCATTAGCATACAAACATTGAACCGCGATAAGTGGAGAAATCGTACTGTAAGCCACGGCACCGGGACGGACAGTTCCGCAGTCACCATTGCACTCCTGGTCAGAAGCAATGATGATCTCGGTAGAGTCATCGATTTGGCCATCCTTGAGAATAGTGGGGGAAGCGGCAGCCTTGGTGCCGTCCTCGTTAGCGTAGGCCAAACTAGCACCCCAAGTACTAAGAAACTGTTAGTTGCTGAAGCTCCCCCCATCTATGCGATATCACACTTACGTGTCCCAGGTACCGGAGATGGCTGGGTCACCGAGGTTACCAAGGAAGACGAGGCCGTCAGCGATCTGGTCCTTCGAACTGTAGTAGGCGATGCGCTGGTAGTCGCCTAGTGGGACGGAGGATGCAGAGGAGCTGCTTGAGCTGCTGGTCTTGGAAGACGCAGCAGAGGCGGCGCTGCTCGCAGCGTAGGTGGCAGCGCTAGTAGCAGCGGATGTCGGTGCGGGTGTTTCGGTGCTGGAACCGAACCAGTCGTTCACCCATGTCGCGATCTTGCCGTCGATGGTAGCCGTGACCATGTCGTTGCGTTTCTCGGCCTCCTGCTGCTGCTCATGGAACTTCTTGTGGAGGTGCTGGTGGCCGTGGCGCTTAGAGTGAGGCTTAGGAACGTCGCGCTTGCCCTTGGACGGGGTGTAGACAGCCACGGACTTCAACGAAAGGGGTCCTCGGAAGTGCAGAGTCAACTGCAGTCTAAGTTAGCGGAAGTCGCATTACATAAAGGAAACCGAAGCGGATACTCACGTCCTCATCGAAAGGTGCGATGGGGCCCGAGTAGGCCTGGTCCTCGAACGTGCAGGTACCCGACTCGGTCATCTGGGCGACGGCTCGGTACTTGCCAGCGATGTCGAGACCGTCGTACTTGATCTGCTTAACGGCATTAGGGCAGAAAAAGTTACCAGCTTCCTCGAACGCATCGTTACAGAAACCGGCGTTAGCAACCGAGGCCGTGGCCACGGCGAATGCAATGGAGTATTTCATCTTGATAACGAAGTTTGCTTTTCTCAAATCTGAGGTTATTCAAGGGTTCGTGAATTGTTTCGTGTCAACTCGGGTTCGCGTTCTCTCTCGACCGAGCTTAGGTTGTTTTAGATTGATGAGAATCGTCTCTTTGGAATGCAAGGCAGCTTTTTCCAGTGGGCCGGAAAGTGTAATTCGCGATCAAGTGAACGTGGCAAGCAAACACACAGTTCAAGAAGCGCAAAACAACAACGGGTCGCTTGTCGCCTGACCTTGAATTGAAATGTTTGTTAAATGAGTGGATTGGCGAAAAGTCACCAGTAAACAATGAGTGGAATTAGCGAATTGCTTCCGGGCAAAGAAAGACGACGACAATGAATATTGAAAGTCAAGTCAAGAGAGAAGGAAGAGAATGGAGTAAGGAGTGGAAAGGGGTGGGTAGGTAAATGAGATTAAAGAAGGACTTGGCATGGGCAACCGGGAGGGAGTGTGAACAACAAAGTCGGTTTCATGATAGACGCCACAGGAAATGCAAGGATGTCATTGGTGATAATCAGATAATTAGCCCTAAACTCGCTCTAATTCGCCCCAGACTTGCCTGGGACCTGCCTTGTGCCTGCCAACCTCTCATGTGAGTAGATGGGATGGATGGGACGCTAAGCAGGGAATTAAGTTCAACTAACACTTCTGTACCTGCGTTCTGCAGGAATCGGTGACTTGGCCTATGCAGCAAATTTTGCCGGAAGGTCAATGTACATGCATAGATTCGCTCCTATTCCGTAATTGGTTGAAAATCAGGGGGATCGGCAGCTTAAGTCAGCATCGCAGCCAGGAACCGATCAATAGGAACACACCACGAGCTCCTTAGAGTTCGTCTAGTGTAGATTTCTTATTTCTTATTTCCTGTTCCTGGCAGTGTTCGACAATGCCTCCCCCCTTCATTCCATGGTCGTGAGAGGCCTGATCGTCACAACTATGTCCGCTACAACCCAAGCTTGCCAACATCACCGGTATCCACTCACGGGTAATATTGTGATCACTGCTTAATGCAACTTGATAGGCTCGTATCTTTAATGGCCCCCATTTTCTAACAATTCCGTCAGTACCAAGCTATTCAAGACGTGTCTTCGATCAGCCAGATTAAGAACTGACGCGCTGACAGAGCCGTTAGTCGCTAATAGTTTGACAGTGAATCGGTCTGATCGGTCTAGAAGTCAGGATGACATGGACTCACGATGGAGGATTTTCTTCAGGTATTGTTGAGCTTGTTTTGTGGGAGGATCGTCCTTCGATTTGAAGGATCAAAAAGGGGACCGAGATCATCCTAAGACCGAATTCAAATTTCCCGATTCTGCTAGTCGTGCCCTTCCACGTAACGGTCCGACAGATGGTGAAATCTACCTGCCGAAACAGCTGACATTCGATTCTTTAGTGTTATTAGATAATGCTATTCCGCTTCAGCTTCTCATGGTTATAAACCCCGAATTTCCCAAGATATCTAATCTCGCCGAATACTACAGGAGGTATCGGGGCTAAGAACGCTGTTCGTCTTAGATTTAATGAGAACAACAAACCAGACGGCTTCTAATAACTTGGCAATACGCCCGATTCGACTTCAAATCCCTTTTTCGGGTTGAGGGGGTCGCTAAAACTAACCACAAAGTCTAGTCACGGAGGAGAAAGAGGAGAAATTCAACTTGACATTTCTCTAATTGATCGCTAGTTCGTCAACGGAACTTAATAGCGCACCTACTGACACGTCACCTTGCACATTGCAGATATCGTGGTCACCTTACGTAGTAGCAGGATTATCGTGACCGTTCTTTGCGCTACTTCACTTGAGCACCCGCATAGCCTCCGCATATTACGTGGGTATGGGGATTCTCATTATTGCGTTATTGCGGTAAATGCAGAAAAGTCCAGGAATTGAGTTATTATTCATTTCCCAGAACCGCAAGCTGACGCACGTGGCTGTCTTTTGAGTCCGTTCGTATTTCCTCGAGCGCTAGGGCTGAGCCAATAACGTCGTCGCGCACCCCTCGCGATGGAATCATGTAATCTTGCACCTGCGCAACAACCTTACCGGGATAACGTTGCGAATGCTCACTTGCGGTTCCGATAGGGTTTCCTGCATCCGACTGCCGGCCGGATCCCGGATGCCTGCACCTATTGTTGTCGAGCCCTTGACCACATTCCTCATCCATACGGCGACCTATCGATAATATTTCTGCAGGTTCCCGAACCTGCAAGACATTAACCATGTGGCAAACCAACGTACACTCAAGCATGATGTCATATGAAGGACAGAATAATGTTTAATATGATAACCAGACGAACGGGACTTTTGACGTAGACTAAATTCCGAGGCAGCGGTATTCAAGTTTCTTGGGTTGGCTCACCTCGCTTTTATGATGCCTCGAGTATGACGATCTCATTCCAAGCATCTTGTATCACCAACAGCTAGAAGAATCAGGCTCCCAAACTCCGACGAATCGGATTATTATTCCGCAGATTATTACATGCAAATGATAACCAAGGTGTTAAAAAAGACGTGGATCTCCAGGGTCTATCCTTAACTCTAGATAATACCAAGCTCTTCAAAACGAATGGTCCTATTTTCCGCTAGTGGGAGCCTCGTTTCATGCCCCTATGATTACCGTTTCTATAGTCTACCTCGTGAATATGAAATGCGCAACCTGTATATCGAACATCTCTGTCTTCATATACGGCCGAAGAGTTATGATTACTCAAGAGATGGCCCCCCGGGTTGTGACTGGCGTGGCTATGCGCGAGCTCTGATCTGGAAACTGGCTGGGCTCACAATCACTGATATAGTACCGTCTACGATTGCTTGACTGCACGAATACGTTAGTCATCCCTCCACTTCATCTATCATATACCAAAACAACCCCAGGAATGCTTTCGTGGGAGGATCTCCGAGGTTTACGGTGTTACTTTCATTGTATGAGCTAAATATGACTAACAACGAACCTACATCCTTCGACTCACTTCAAACCGCACCCTGCTTCTGAACCTAATCCATCCTGCTGGATATGCGACAGCTAGAGACCCTTATATTGTTTGAATAGCCGAATAATTTACTTTAGTTCGTATGACCAGGGATCTCGAGCTATGTAGCTAGACAGGTGATGAGGAATAGCTTGATCTACACATCTGGAGATCTCACTTGTCGAAAGCTTCGTCATATTGAAGTTTGGTCCACTAGAAGGACCAGGTTCGATAGTAGCTACCTAGGTAGCCATGAGACAGAGGACACAGCTTCTCGGACAGAAGTATCGTCACGTATGCCCCACCTATCACGAACTTCACTCAGAGTCTGTACCATATACAATATCCCTTAAAAGTATTGATGTGATATTGGCTGCTCACAATCGAAGTGCTTAGTCTACGAGAAAACGTAGCTAAATTTTTCGTCGGTCCCTATCTTGTTAGCCTTATTTATTCCTTGGGTACCTAGCTTGTGAGAGGAACATACGAGTAAATTGGTTCGAATCAACGAATAGTACCATCGAATAGAATCTTAGGTGAGTCCCACAGCCCCAACTACTATAAGATATATCAAAATGATCTAGCTGGTTCTCCAGGGGCGGAGCGTACTAGACCATTGGAGGCTTGTGGGCCTGCGGCCGATTGGGCTCTGATATTATGGTCAATTGTAGCTTAAGGTTGCACAAAGTATGCTGTCATCTCAGTCCCAGAAAGTAAGATAGCAGTGTATCATGCGCTGCACTTACGAGGCTGGATTATGTAGGTACATAAGCCGCATTGATGACACTGGAAAACATAACTTCACTTGCCAAGCTGCAATGTGGAACTATCGGGTTCGTAATATTCATCACTCATCATATATCGTTAAAGCCCCTCAACCATCCCTCCTGACCTTAAGACGAGCATATCATACAGTAGTCAACAGCCTTTCTGAAGAGAGGACTGCTGATGGTGGTCTGGTAGGTAGTTGATTCGATTTCATGGGGCCGAGATCGATACCATTATCGTCCATTGTCCTCCTTGTCCATAACGTCGTTGCGTTCGAGTTGTATTCGTCAAACCCGATCTGCCGATCCGGACCCCTGGTCCGCGGGACGTTCTTCACGACATCAGGTTTCGAGGACGGCTTCCGTCCCATCAACTGCCTAACCAGAGGCTTCAACATGGGTACAGAGGCGCAGACTAGCCCCAAACTCGATTCTAACGTCGTCCATATAGCAAAACTGAAAGAATCCCACTGCGCGTATTTCGGGTTGAGGAATTGCCAGGCCACCGCCATGCGCGTCAAGGAAGCGCAGGCTACGAAGATACCTAACGTCAGGACGAACGCGAGGGCAACCTTCTGTCGTATCGGAAGCTGCATCTTGAGGATGTGGGGGAGCACCATGGCAATCATCCATAGATCGGTCGTCGTATGCAGGACAGCCGATGCCGTCATGATCGGGTAGTATGCAAGGCAGTGACCCACTCTGATGTCGAGTTCGTATACATTGTATACGGGGTTGCATATGAAGAAGGTGAGGAGGAATAAAACGGTACCGTACACTACAACGCAGCCCATCGTGACGAAGACGAGGGTCCGTTGATACGGTAGCTTCAAGATCCGCAAGTAGAAGAACAAAATGCTCATCTTCGTAAGGACCAAGGACACTTGATAGCTCGCTATCGTCGCGAAGGATAGCCGGATACCGGTCGGTCGGAGGCCCAGAGGAATGTTGCTGAACTTATGACCGAGTCCATACATGGTCTCAACACCTACGATGGTGACGACCGCAACGGCAAATATCCATGCGAATAGAATGAAGGCATCATCCCACCATTGATTTTTCAATATTATCCTCGAGTAAAGGCGGCCGATGACCACCAGACTGGCAAAGACTATCGGTATAATTATCCCCGTTAGGATGTCAGGGACCTCCGACGGGCCGGTCAACTGTAGGCCAGCCTTGTAAGTAATTCAATCGTCCCGACAGTACGGTTCTAACCTCGCAATGGCCGGATGGCCAAGATCGCGCGGGTCGATGGGGGTGGAGATTGCTTACCTCTAATGACAGTTTTTGCGCCATATAGGCGATATGATGCGATGAAATGCAAGATGGGGAAATGTCGCGAGCATAGACGATGATCCGAAAAGCGACGAAGCTGGGTCTTCACCGCTTACTTTTATCAAATGTCGAGCTGACGCCAACTACGACATATGTATAATGCGGAGAGGGCTCCTCAAACATCTCATGTTGCCATGGTATTTGGGCGTCAGCACATTGGCGATCATCTCGAGCTATCGGTCGAAATAGTACGACGGTCGCCGCTGATATAATAGTGTTGGTTGGAAACCGATGGATTTCGATTCAACCCCGCTGGACTTTTACCTCCTTGGTAACACTGCCCTCCGCCAATGGACGGCCGTCTATGAGCCTTGTGCTCGACAAGACTGCTGACAGCGTAGCATTTGGTAACATGGATACATAGTGGCGGGTTCAGGGTATCTTCTGGATTATTCATCACCATATTCTCGAGTTCGTGCTCCCATAGGGCTGGTTTGTTTAAAAATATCATGGTCCTGCCAATCGCGAACTAGCTACCCCATGCCCGTAGCAAGGACTAGAATAAAGTACATCGCCAAGATTTCCAAAATAAGGCAGATGGACTTACCGAGTTAGGGATTTGAGAGTTTTATAAAAAAGCCATTGCAGAACCGATAGATCGCCTATCTTCCCAAGTGCCGACTGCAAAGCAGCTAAAACCTGTTCTTTTGTCGGTGAAAAATGAGAAGGTATCCAGTTCAAGCACGGAGCATATTGTTTCTAATATCGCCAGGTGAGCAGGCCTATAAAACGATGGTGTAGAGCTTCAAGATTTCTCTAACTGATTCGAAAGATTCCATATTCATCCTTCGTTATGCGATGCCAAGAGCGGGATGGTGAGACCTAGAGTACCTACCTACCTAGAAGAGATAGGCTATTCAACATTAGGTAGATATTTTGCATCTGACAATGAGCATCTTGGATCGTCAGTCCCCACGATAGAACTTTAGCGGGAGGCCGCTCTTGGGTCTGGGGTAAGACATTTTAATGCTAGAATGCCTACTAGACAGCCGTCATTATAGCTGTCATCTAGCGATCTTGGTTGGAACAATGTTATTCGTGGTTTATTCGAGGCAAGAAAGTCAATGGAGGAAACAAACAGGCAGGAATGTCAGTGGATAAATCACGAGCGCCGAGACATTAGCTTTTTATTCCACTGCGACTCTACTCCACTGTATATTGACTGTATATTGCAGCCACAATCGCATAAGCAGCTCAGGACATAATCCTATAACTTCAGTACCCTTTCTGGACCTCGTAAGGTGAACAGGTCATCAGAATTAACCTGAGGTTTATTTATGACTATCACTTGAAAAACATCTTTAGATTACGATCCGGGCACTCTTAGGCTTACCTCTATGTACATTCGCCAGGCTAAAGAGACGGCATGTTAGCGCACGATAGTTTCCTAAACCGAGGTACTTACAAGATATCTTAGGAGGTTGGTGATCAGCCACCGCGCCAGTCTACAGGTGTATAAGAGCTAACTGTTATTGTATTATAGGCGAACAACCAATCTGGACCTAACAGGAAATATTCGGCGTTGTCCAAGAAAAGTAGCTATTGACGGCATTAGCGTTTTATTATATCTGGTCGATAATTTCTTCTAAGCTACCTTGTTTTAACATGTGAAGAATGGTTGCTTGGGAATGACAGAGTCTAAATATAGTATTAAGCTATGTGCTACTGCGAAAATTGCGGGCGGTCCCTTTGAACTAGCATGCTATCTTTGATCTGTATCTTGGCAAGCGACCTTGATTACCAGGGTATGTAATTCAAATACTGGCACTCAGCTAGTATTGCCCTTACCTAGTCCTAGCCGAATGCTTCATCGCCAATCATATATCAGGGTACCTACTTTGGAATCTTCCTCTTGTAATAACAGCGGGAGCTGAGAATGAGGCGACACTAGAGCGAGTCTAGACTTGGTGTTGAAGCCAAGATGGGCATTGCGGCGATCGGTTAGAATAAATACCTACCACGTGCCATGTTTATAACTTACTGTTTCTATATTTGAACACAGACTAGGTAGTTACGAGAAGCAGGTAGGTAACAGTAAAACAACCAGAACAGAACATGTTGATGTCTTGAACCTGTGATAATTCAAAGGCCCTTTAAGTGAAGCTCCCAATTCCGAAAGAGGTAGATAGCAAGGAAAAGAGCCACCACAGTGTTTGTGCTTCGGTATTAATACTGTGTCGAATAATTAATATAATCTCGGTCCCCTCGGAACATACACGTTTGCGCGACTCTACTATGTCCATGAATATCAAGAGACCTGAAAATACATTGACCCTGCATCATATATCTAGGTAGGTCATGACAGAATCTAACAAGTCATGAGTTAGCGAAGAGAATAAATGGACTACCAAGGCCTCATCTACTGTCCACGCGACATATTCATTCTCTTCACTTCCCTTAACCTAAAATTTCTCTACTAAATTATGGTATTTTAACATTATTGTTCTCTCCATTCTATCAAATAACCATCTTATATCTCTGCGCATCAGATGTACACCTATTTTTGCTGTGCGGCTCTAAGGGCTAATAGCTCAATATGCCCTCAATGCGGAATGTCAGCACGCGGGGAAGCTGACCAGCGCCACCAACACCGTTGCTTCTATTCGCAAATATTCTTATTCAACGGATAAATGAGGTATAAAGACATCTTATGATACGTTTGGATGGCTTAAAATACGGTTGGTTCTATCGCTATTAGTATGCGACAATTCCAGTCATTTTTGATTGTGAGAACACCAGGCATTTCGATGCTTATTAAACATGGTTATCGACTTGGCGAACTTCCAAACCCGACTCATAGAGATTACTAATGGGATCATCAGGGGATCAGGTCGTGGTCATTCCTTAGGCGACATCGCAAATGCCCCTGAGGTTGATCCTCTAGTGGGCGTTGTCGCTATATATGCCTCATCCTCTCTTCCCCCTATTCCTGTTTGAACAAACCGAGCCGATTCCTACAAAGGGAAGAAGGACCGACGAAGTTCAAAATAATGAGATGGGTTGATAGGAAGTTGGTCCAGTTTAAATGCTTGGTAAATTTGGCATCGTTGGGTTCCCCCACACACATTTCTATGCGCGATGGGCTTGTGGTCGATATTGCGCCATCGGAGACGTCAATCATGACATCGACTTGGGCGTGGAACCTTGACACGCGAACGCTCCGCGGCCAATCAGACCTCCCGACCAGTACGTATCCGGTCTTTCAATATCACGACAACCGACCCCGTCATGGCGAAGTGAAACTATTACTCTTATCAATCGGAGTTTACGTATGTATTGAGATAATCTATATCTTGCACTCCTATAATCGAAGGCTAACGGACAGCTCTGGTGCGAGCGTTATCATGCCTTTAAATCATGTTTATATCCTTTATAAACTTATCGCTCCCCCTAATTTTTACATAGGCAGTGGTGACTGGAATCCATCGTGAATTGGTACCGCCTAGTACTCACTTGAGGGGAGATCATCTCGTCTACCACGATGTCGGAGCAACCCTCCACCTACCCTAAAGAGGTTTTGGTGCACGAGTCTTCATCGGACGGTGCAGGATCCTCCCGCCAGGAAATAGAACAAAACGAGAAGCTAAAAGCGCCATGGTGGTCGTACATCTGGGACTACGAGCCGGGGCGGTCCCACGAGGAGCGCGTCTTCATCCAGAAACTCGACGTCTTCCTCGTCACGATGCTCTCGTTCGGGTACTTCATCAAGAACCTGGACCAGACCAACATCTCGAACGCCTTCGTCAGCGGCATGAAGGAGGACCTGGCCATGAACGGCAACCAGATCAACCTCGTCGACACGGCCTGGACCGTCGGCTACGTCGTCGGCCAGATCCCCTCGCAGATCGTCCTAACGAAAGTCCGGCCCTCGATCTGGGTCCCCTCGTGCGAGCTCGTGTGGACGATCCTGACCTTCTGCCTCGCCGCGGCCAAGACGTCGAACCACGCCATCGCCATCCGCTTCTTCGTCGGCCTCGCCGAGTCCATCTTCTACCCGGCCGCCCACACCATCCTCGGCTCCTGGTATAAGCCGTCCGAGCTGGGGAAGCGCGCCTGCATCTTCCACGCCTCCTCGGCCGCGGCCAGCATGTTCTCGGGCTACCTCCAAGCCGGCGTGTACCGGGGCTTGAACGGCGTTAATGGGTTTGCCGGATGGCAGTGGCTATTTGTGAGTTTACGGCTTTATTAGGTATGATTTCTGTTGCTTTGGCTAATTACGAGACGTACGTAGATTATGGATGGGATTATCAGCCTCCCGATTTGCATTGCGGGATTCTTCATATTGCCCGATCTCCCCGAGAACACGAGGGCGTTCTACTTGAATGAGAACGTGAGTTTGCGGCGTAAACCTAACAGTTTCTTCTGAGTCTGGCTTACAAAAGGGTTCATAGGACCGCACAATGGCAAGGGAGCGCATGAACAAGGTCGGGCGTGCGCCTCGCACTAGACTGGGGCGCTCTGCGATCAAACGGATTTTTGGTAAGTAACTGCTATGCTTCTACATAACCTTCTAGATATCCATATCTCAATATGTGTAAGTCATATACTAATGACGGAACAGGCCGATGGCATGTTTATCTTCTTACAATCTTATATATAATCTTCATCAATATCGGGCCGTCCTCAAGCGTCAATCCCTTTTCCCTATGGCTCAAAGCTAAGGGAGAGTCGGTTGAGCGAATAGTGAGTAGAGCTACTGTACCCCTATTACTAGGTATGCGTCAGAAATACTAAAGTTTCTCGCTCGTAAGAACATCGTCCCCACAGCCTCATATGCTATTCAGCTTGTCCTCACCGTCGCCTTCGCCATCCTATCTGACGCGATCCGTCGCCGCGCTACCGTCATGTCCATATCCACCTTCCTCGGCGGGTTCTCGGTTCTGCTTCTGGCTATCTGGAACATCCCCGACGGGCTGAAATGGTTCGCCTTCCTGATACAGAAGGCCTCGGTGCCGTACGGGCCGCTCAGCATGAGCTGGGCGAACGAGATATGCGGCTCGGATGCCGAAGAGCGGGCGATCGTCATCGGAATCATGAACGCTATGGGCTACGCGTTCAACGCCTGGGTGCCGTTGCTCACGTATCCGCAGGTGGATTCGCCGATGTTCAGGAAGGGGTTTATCTTCTCGACAGTCGCGTTCGGAGCTCAGGCGATTATCACGGCAGTGGTGGCGTTCATGTATAAGAGGGATCAGAGAAAAGGGAAAGTCCATAGCAATGATGCGCCTGAAATCGGGGACGAAGCCGGTGTCATCGCGCCTTGATCCGTGGGCCACTTCTGATCTCAAGTGCTTATGAAATAATATTTATATAAATATATCGTACTAGAATACATGGCTAACCGCGTTCTATACGTGAACTTGATTTTCGATATTTACCTACTGATCGAGTGTCATGTCTAAACTTAGGGCTCAGCATCATCGGATTAAAACAAAGGTGGACTTGTATAAATGCATTCTGCTCATCACATTTCACTTTCTAGTAAGAGTATTTAACCAAAGATACTTTTATTTCATTTTATTACCTACTATGATATTTTAAACAGTTGGAGCAGCCAAACTCAATAGTCCAATATGTTTGTTGGTTCGTATTTAGTTCCGTCTCTCATACCGTCATCTTCAGTATCTAGGTAGGTACCTATTTCGGAAGTGTCCAGTAGTGCACCTAAGTATCGGGCGCTATTTCCAGTAGCCTACCTATGTAACGTAATCGCTCTTCAAGCTCATCTTCTTGCTCTGTTATATCGTTTAACTCCTGGGTGATGAGATCCAACTCCTCTTCCAAGATCTCTCTCCATGGGCGAAGAATCCATGGGAAATCCGGCAATTCGACGACTGCATTCAAAAACCCATTCACTGATCCATCCGGGAACGCACCTCTTACGACAGGGTCGTCAGCACGTGGCAGGCGAAAACTCACCTCTGCTTCTGAACTGTTAGCAGTGTGAAGGATCCCCTTTATATCGAGGACTTCCAGATGCTGCTCTTCAATGCCGGAATCTCCGAACATGCTTAGAACACGAGGCTGATCTCTGTTGAAGATACGCTTTCGACAAGTTGGGCAGGTAGGAACACTGTTTGAGAATATCCAACTACTCAGACAAACATACCCGAAAGCGTGACCACAGTTAGGGAGAACTGCGTAAGTCTCGTGAGTCTCCCGTGACCTCTTGTCAAATGCAGGATTTAAAAGAGCTAGGTTCTTCTCACGGCAGATGCCGCATTGAATATCGAACCTAGTGTTCGGGTTAGCGATGTTTCCATCCTCGTCGAAGTACCTAAGTACTTCAATGAAGTTAGACGTATCTACAGTGTCAATATTTTGGGAAGCCATGATGCTTTCTTGTGATAACGTGACTTTGTGTGTTTCTTTGCGCCCCTTTATAAATGAGTGCTTTTTGTGATGGTGAATGAAATAATCGAGCTTTGTCTTCGCTGGAAGTTCACGTATCTAATGATAAACAGAACATTCGCTATGTTGGTTAACATGGCGTGCGATCACATACTATGAGTTTGTGTATTAACTTCTTGACTGATTTCGAAGTAGACAAAGAAGTTGAATCACCTCACTAAGTGTGTGTAGAAGCGAATAAAGTGTAGGGTTAGTATTGACCCCTTAGAAGGAATCCCAGTAACCGGAAGTGGCAACATGATGAGAAGAATGACCATTCGAATATTGAATAATATATCTGCAGCAACCGAGTCCTCTATATCAAATGACAAGTAGACATCCTTCTCTTCCCATCATAACTCGTTTTGAACTGTCGCCTTATTAATTATACATGTTGGGTATATTAAACTGCTTATATAGGAATGAGTAATAGTCTAGCCTCTGATCCGAAATGAATGTTCGCTCTTGAATCCGACTAGCTCAGCTATCAGACGGGACGTGGGCAAGCCGTCTTGGTAACCATGGCCCTTAAACTCTCAGTGCTGTTGATGAGATGGGCTTCCAGGGGTCTTTGGTGTCCTTGGTTCCGATGAAAGCTCAGTTCCTATGACCTCTACCCCGGGGAGCTCTGTGTATGTCCCCAAGCCCGGCGTTTGCAGCTCGCTCCTTTTCGGTTCTGTCTCAACTGGACTATTGTAGCCCCACGCACCCGAGTGGTGCATTGTTCCGTGTGACAAAGGAGGAGGCTGCCACTGATATTGCGACTGCTGTTGCTGTTGCTGCTGAGATTTTGCGGCTATTGTAGCTGCTTCTGCCTCCAACACCTTCTTTTTCAATAGCCTATTACGCCAAAACATGAATCCCGTCCCTGCGAGGGCAAAGACCATGATAACACCTTCGATGGCTAGCCCTGCCACGACACCCGAAGGAACGGAATCTGATGTATCTGTCGAGGGATTGCCATTCGTAGAGTTCGATATGAGGGAAGAAGCCGTCGCAAGGGGTATCGCCCCAACACCGGACTGGAGCTGCGCGATAACGGTGCCGACAGGTTGCGTTAATTTAAAGGAACTATCACAACATTGCTGCGGAGTTAGAATGTTGGCGTCGCTCTCACAGCACCAGAAGCCACTATCGTTACAAGCCTTAAGATGGGCATTATCGATCTTGACTTTTATCTTTTCGTTAGCATACTATTCAAAAAGGCACTCTAAAAGGAATGGGTTAGGTAACTCACGTCCTTGGCAGTATTGAGGACAGCTTGGATCTTTGAACGTAGGATCTGTACATGCCGTCGCCCACAATAAATGGCTCTGCTGACGGGAAAGAGTGTTGAAGCATAAGCCTGTTGACAAGCAAGCATCTCCATTCTCCGCGTTACAGCATGAGCTGTGTGACCCTTCCGTGCCGGTGGCGCTGCAACATTTGAAGTCAGTACGAATTATTCAAAGGGTAATCTCCTATTGAGTATTTGCAAATATTTTCTTTTAACCATGACGTCCGAAGGCATATGAAGCATTCCATATCTTGAGGCGATGCGGATGAGATAGGAGAAGCTTGAAATGGACATACTTAGGGTTACACAAGGCGTTTGATGGACCCGCGTTGGTACCATCGAGGTGATAGCATGTCGTTGCCAGCACCTGTAATACCATACAACCACCAAGGAAAAGGGTGGCGATCTCTATTAGCAACGGTCTCAACATTTCGTTATATAATCCAGCCGAATGAGAACGAGCGAAAAGATGTTGGTCTTCGGGTTGGCCTCCGAGGTGGGACTAGGTTGATGTCGAGGCGAGCAGGAGAAGGTAATAGTAGAAGGGGTAACTACCGAAGGGGGATTGTCACATTTATTCTGTCTACTTTGTACGCAGATCGCGCATATCAGGAACCTGAGGTAAGCGGTAGACCTCAACAGAGAAGTCTGCTCAGCTTCACTTATTTCGTACTTTCACCAGTCAACTCATATAGGTGAATTGCTCCATCTGCCCCTGTTTTATAATGCATCATCCCCTGTTTCCAGAAGGTCCTCACGCACGTTTTTAATCGAATAGCGCTACATGCTCTTAAGAATCATAGGCTCGGCTGGGCTGAATCTGTGTGAGATCGCACCTTACCACCTGGAATAGGAAATTCTTCGAACGCCGATCCATCGCCACTTAGGGCTCTTTTCGTGACAGCCGACTAAGATTCAAGCGCATTGTTGGATTCCGTATTGCAGCGTATAATTATTGCCATGCGCCCACCACGTTATGCAGTTTCTTTAATCAAAGTCCCGCGTTTTTCGTTGAAAATGATACATAGGACTTTGATCATGAAGATGGCATAATAATACTAATTAAATGAATTCAATGATCTTAGTTGTTCCTTAGCTGGCTCTCGATGATCTATACGTTTGAAAAGATCTACCAATCGGGTTTACCTAGAATGAAAACACAGCGGAACAACATCGAGGAAATGTCGTTCTCGGGAAGGTGCCGCTTTCCCGAATTGACGTAGGCCGTCCTATTACAGAGGGCCAATGCCTTACTTACCGCGGAATCCATCCCGTTTCGGTGGCGGCGGCACGATGATAGCACGCTATGCCAAGAGTATGGTGGCTGCCGCAGTGCAGGAGCTTGAGAGCTAAACCCAGTAGATAGGCTTTTGTGAAGATTCGAGGCGTAGCTTTGATGGCGTCTGCCTTTCGTAACTATTCCAGAGCATGCGTGTGTTGCAGTTGATTTATGCTTGGTCGGACAGTTGTTAAAGTCTGCAGCGCTGTTCTGAAGCTTGATTTCACTGAGCTCTCCCCGTTGTCATAACGGATAACTGATGATCCGAGCTAAACGCTGTAAAACGTTATCTTAACGTCTCCATACCAACCTGCGATGGGTTTCTCCATTAGCTACTCGTTCGATATGTAAGGGGGCATAAGAGTTAAGGTTGAAATTGGTGAAAAACTATAATCTGTTAGTTCCAATTCGATTCTCCATGGTTACCATCAACCTGTATCGGATAGATCAGTTCCCTACCTATAATATAAATACTGCCATCGACAGTGGATTTTCTTTTGCATCTGTACTTCAAATCCGACCTTGCGCTTATTGCTACCTCTTGATATACTAGGTACTGAATATAAGCATCAACCTATCAACATGTCGCGTGTACCCAAGGCGAAACTTGCTAGGCTACCGCCTATCCGGACTCAGCAAGAGATAAGGGAACTTCCTGCCAACACCGTTTTCGTATCTATAGATACTTCGGGGGCCAGACCAATGTCCAGTGCTGACGTAATCGGTGAAGTTGGCCTCGCACTTCTACCTCGACTCCGGGAACTCCCATGGATTCACTATGGGAAAACATACTCTCAGATCTTCATCGAGAACCACAACGTCCAATTTTATTGCATCAGAGGAGTCCGTCCTCAATTCCTCGGCAATGAGTTTTATTCCACTCCTCCAAGCGACAGTCTTCTACCCCCATGGATCCCGGAAGACAGCTGGTCGTTGCGAGTCGCGTTCGAGGAAACCATACGACGGATCCGCAACAGATATGCGCCGGGATGTAAAATAGCAATCGTCCATCCTGGACATTACCAGGATTTCAGGCGCATTGGTATGACATCCGAGGATGTGATCAACTGTATCGACTACAGCATCACTCATATGCCGGAACTCGAGATCACCTTTGGAAAACCGGTAGAGATTTACCCTTCCTATGTTTGCAAGATAGGCGATGAACGCGAATACAATTATGCCAAAAAAGCCGTATGGGCTTTGGAGAGCCTGCACCAGTGGGTATACCCACGAAGACCCGGGTCGGCCAAGATAGAGGTTTCCACCAACGTCAACGGCAAGTTCAAGACGGAGTTCAGGGCGATGATCGCCGTAAAAAAGGTCCGCTTCACACAACCTCTCCTTCCCTTTCCGCCGTCTATAAATTCCGCGCAAAAGCTGGCCGAAGCTTTCGAATCTTACGAACCCATTCACGTCGCGGCCAGCATTTACAACCCGGCAGCCTCAAAGGACAAGCTTCCCTCTACTCATTCTATCCACGCGGTGGGTGTGAGACGCGGCTGTCTCTGCTTTGAGACGGAGAAAGCAGTAGATAAATTCGTCGAGGAAATCGATGGCTTGGAGGTAGACGGGATTCAACTGATTGTTTTGCGCATACCTCCCAATTGCTGATTGAATTAAGCTGATTTGGTCTCGATGAGAATGAAGCTTTCTTTTTGCGATTGAATTGGGAACTGGGTACTGGTCACTAGGTAGTTATTGGTTATTGTTTAGGATCTGATTATATTTGATTTGGAGGCGGGACTTGGGAAGGAATGTCGCTGCCAAGCATTGCTGCGTTCTTACCTAATCGCATTTAACCTATCGGGAGTGCTTTCTCCACCATAGCTCTAGCTTATGTAGGTTAATTACTAGGCCATTTAGGTACCTGCAGCTACCAGCTGTTACGTTTTGGATTCTTGCACTTGCTGTTTTATATCAACCACCACTTCAACCGACATCACGACAAAACACCATGCCTAGCGAGAGCACACCGCTCCTAGTCAGCCTACCGCCCAACTCGACCACCCGCAAGCGAAGCGCCATGTTCTGGACCCTCGGCTGTATCTACGGCGCATCCGCCGTCTGCTTCGGAGCCTTCGGAGCCCACGGTTTGAAGAAGACCATCTCCGATCCGGCGCGGATCGCCAACTTTGCTACCGCCGCGCACTATCAGGTGCGTAACCGTTCCCATTTCCCCCATCTTCTATCCTCTCTTCTCCCCATCCTACCTCACCTCTCCTCTCCTGAAAAGAGGAGACGAATCCTCATAAACAACGTACGACTTATGAACCAACTAAACTAATACCCAAACCCAGTTAATCCACTCCGTCGCCCTGCTCTTCGCCGCGCAGAACCAGAATCCGATTTCGGGCGTCCTGTTCACGTCCGGCATGACCATGTTCAGCGGCAGCTTGTACGCTCTCGTGTTAGATCCGGCGCGCTTCCGATTCCTCGGTCCGGTTACGCCTCTTGGTGGACTGTGCTGTTCGTCCCCCTTCCCCTTTTCCTTTTCCATCTCCTTATTCCCTTCATCTTTACGTATCAGCATGTCTCTCTCCTTCTGTACTCGGTTAGATAAATGTTTATAGTATAATTGATTTACACGCGACATGACGTACTAACTGCCTTTTTCCACACTTCAGTGATCGCTGGTTGGGCTGCGCTCGCCTTTTAACTTGGTCTTAGTTCCAGTCTTACGAAGAGTGATGGGTCTGGGAAGCTTACGCATTCGTACTTAGGCTTTCAGTACCTACTATGTCCTGCATTATTAAAGATTTGGCAAGGGTAGGCGATCTTGTCATACGTAACTGTCACTATAGATGAGAACATTGTCACTCCACGAAATTAGACCGATTTGTAACATATCGCGCATCTTCAATTCAACGTATCAGCACCTAATTCTAACGCAAGTCACTGTTACCAAACCACTAATAATTCAAACCGAGCCGCATAGGATAAGGGTCAATATTCTTTTGCAGTTTCCTATGTAGGTATCCTTCCTAACTACGGGTTGATATCCTGGGTAGCCCAAGACAGCATGCAGCTATTCCCCTAAGGTTGGCTACCAAGGTCCATTCGTATCGGAGTCATCCTCCTCGGGTACCCATCGACACACGCCCTCCACGCCATCCACCTCCCCATTTTCCAACTCTTGCACGTCGATTATTTGGACGTGTCTTAGAGATCTCTGTCGGAGGTGGGAAATGTCTTCCCAGAGTTCCTCCATCTTCTCTGACATACGGGTTCTCAGCTCATCCACTCTGTCGGCAGACTAGGCCTCACCGGTGGGCAAAGGGAACCGTGACACAGAAGCAAAGTTGACCAAGACCTCTTTATCGACATTGGCTGTCCAATCTTCGAAAGCTTTCATTCCGATTCTGTCGGTTACGGTCTTCAGACTCTGCTGTACGAAATCAAGTGCCTGGACCCGTTTAACCGGATCAGATGCAAACAAGGCCCGTTCTCGGACGTCCTTGGGCGTATCCCATTCAGTGGGTTCCGGTTCAGAGGTGAGAACTAGTGTGTCGATTCCGGGGTTGGGTAAATCACCATCTAGAATCAGGACGAGCACACTTGTCCACATGGACAAATAATCTTGCAGTTTCTGCAATGCTAGATCTTGCATTGGTTGAGGGAGCTCAAGAAGGCGCGTAAGGCTTAATAGATTCAGTTTCTGCTGATTGTAGTCTGCCATAGTATCAAACGCAAGAAACCATTCCGTGCTGAGCCATCTCCAGACCTGATCAAGAGGACCAAGTGAGACAAGCACCTCGACGAATAGCTGTGGTTCTAGGACGGCGATTCGAGACAGGATTGTGAAATAATCGACGAGCGTCAGACCCGTCACAAGAGATTGCCTCTTCTTAGGCCCCGACGTCTGGTGAGCTTCGAAGGTGTCATGGATTCCTTCGAAAATAGCAGGCAGGGCGCCTGTGGTCATCATATCTTTAACGAGTACCTGCAACCCGGCTGCACCACCTAATTCGTGAGACAGCCGTATCAGTGACTCAGTATACTTAACCACAAGATTAACTTGCTCGCGGTTCCTGGAGCCAAGCGAACGCGATAATGCGGAGACGGTGGGCCCACGATACTGATCCAGAAGGATTGTCTCAGGCGCCAGAACAATGTAACAACCCAGAATATCCACGAGGGTAGATGTGTGCTCATTTTGTTCAGAAAGCAGTTTGATTCCGGTCGGAATAAGACTTAGAAAGTCCGGGGACATGGGAGGTTCTGTTTGATGTAGAATATTAGACCACAATTCTAGAGCTTCTTCGATGAGATATAGAAATAGCTCCGTTCCCTCCTGAGTTGCTTCAACAATCAATGGGAGTATCATCTGATGATAGCGTCGAGAATCTGTCTTCATGGACATCACTAGCGTCTGGATGATAGCTAAAACGGATTGCTTCATCATAAACCCTAGATCGCCGGCTGGCGCCTGCCATATGTTAGGCACTGCATTCATTATCATGTCACCAAAATGGGACACGTGGGTCTCCATGCGTAGAATAACGGTTCGTGTCGACTCGAGTATGGCTAGCTTAGCCTCGTCGACCTCTACTTCTCCCAATAGGTTGATAAGCTGAACGAGGACGTCCGAAGCATATGGAGAGAAAACTTTTCCATCAAACCCAATATCGTCACAGACAACTTTGAACCGTCTTGCTGTGGTTATACGAACAACAATATCGTTGTACTGGTCGTTAGGGTTCAAGAAGTGGCGGAATATCTCGTAGACCAACGGGCGGGTTTCTGCGGTTGATTGAACGGGGACCCATTGACTTAGCAAGATAGCAATTCTGCGCCTCAGGATTTGACAGGATGGTTCGGCTCGTTGAGCATCAGCCACTATGATCTTTTTCAGAAGATCTTCGAAATTAACTTCCTCGTAGACTACGTTAGCAGATAAACCTATGGCGGTATAAATGGCCTCTCTAGCCACCAGGGTTGTCTGGGGGTCCTCGATCGAGACAAAATAGGACAAGACGTGCTGTAACAAGAGTCCTTTGTAGTGTATTAAAAGATCCAGGAAAAGCTTCTCCGCACAGGGTCGGACCTCCCATTGGTAGGCATTGCCTTCGGTCTCTTCCTGCTGTTCCCATTCTTGTGGATCTTCCTCCCATGCATCTAGATCAGCTTGACGAAAGAGTAAAAAACGTGTGACAATGACATTGCTGATCTCGATAATAAACTCGTCCTTTAGAAGTTCAACCTTGAGATGCTCTATGGCCTGTTTCTCCTCTTGTACTGCCTCTGAAGAACGATAGAGAATTGTGCGCTTTCCACGGTGGACCATTTGTACGCAAGCACGAAGTAACAGGAGGCCTTTCAGAGCAATCTTCTCCAAGATAGGGCCTTCGGTCTTAGCCTTCCCTTGGTTGGACGCATTGTGGCGTATTCCAACTGACTCACTAAACACTGCCGCAACCTTGGCTGTGAGGAACCAGTATGCTCGGACGAGGTTTAGAGAATTTGGTAATAAAACAAAGCTGGATGGATGCTGTTCAGCCATCTCAATATGTAGCTTTGAGTACTGCATGAAGAGTTTCGTTAGGACGTCGACATAGCACGCTATGTTCGAAGGACCACCATCGACAAAGCCAAAAAGTACCTGGAATTGATCCTGTGATGAACTCCAGAAATTTTGGACATTCTTATCATTGTGTGGTGATTCATAACCAACCAACAAAAGTCGACGTAGGGTTTTAAGAGCATACAGGCTGATCTCCATGGCTAGGAGAGCCTCATCGTTTCTCTCGTCACCAGGACCACTGGCAAGGAATGATGTCAATGCTGTGAACTTGGCATTGTATATTTCACAAAGAACATATACGATCTCTGGAGTTATGGATTGCAAGGTTGTCTGCGATTTGCGTAGACGAGCTGTTCCCAACTCTTTCACTACGCGGAGAAGGAGCATTAATGCGCCACATAGCTCCACCTGATTGCCGTCTTTTCTGTCTCTGAGTAGTCTTATTAGATCGGCGAGTGGACTCGACCAGACGGTAGGAAAGTCGATACGAATGATCTTGGCAGCAACGAGAGCGTTAAGCTGGGCGAGTTGCCTATCGCTCTCACCGATGGTTCCTTGGAACAGTCGTTCTCTAACTACGTGTCGCACATCTCGCGGTATTGAATTGTGGACTTTGTGTAGTCGCCAATATCGATCGATGCCATTCTTAAGCTGGATGATGGCAAGAAGTCGGACTGGAGTGGACAAATCCTTGTTTAGGAATATTGTCTGTCGGAGAGGATATTGTTAGCGCTCTAAAGCTACTATGGCCGGGCTTGATCGAGGGGCTTGAACCAATGTGACTTACCTGTAAAGTTGGGTAATAACCTGCCTCACTTTCCCACGTGGAGAGCTGTTGTGTAGCAGCTTGGCGTTGACTGTTATCGTAGGATTGTGCTGCTTCGAGGGCTCGATAGAGTTCATCGAGGGAAAACGGTGAAGCGGCGCCAGGAGCCTCGATGGCAAAATCCATCTTGGCAGCCGTCCCCGCGATGGATGTCGCGTGCAACGCGTAACAGATTGAACGTACAGTGTGTGTCTCGGGTAGGTTAACGTGGCAAGGTACCTAGGTTGGCTTGGTCAAAGACGATTAACTGAGAGTGGGATGTATGATGATGAAATGTTTGAAGTGGGATGAATAAACAATTTAGTGGGGTATTTTCAAAAAGGTAAAGAGGTACGGTGCCTAGCTTCAATGTTCTAGTAGTTTCAATGTTCTAGCTCCCCCGCAATAACCCATGTGCAGCTATCTACCTGGTACCTTCGTCAACGGCAAATGCCGAGTACCGTGGTACTCAGTACGTACCTGCTGTGCCTCTGAAGTCATGGATCCGTTTGAGGATGAACGCATAGGTCCCAAGTTATTTGATTGGTCAATTTCATCTGTATCTACTACAATATAGTATTTACATACATATCAAACGTACCTACTCAGAGGCCAATCTATGAGCAGATACGCCAAACTTTTGGTGTTGATCCAAATTATAGCGTATACTTTTTTTATAGAATTGCAGTTCGTATCCGGGTTCTTAGGTAGGTACTTACTAAGTGCGACGGTACCCACTATAACCATCCATGTTGATTATCTAAACAACTGGAACCTTAATCTGCATATCGCTGCTGGGTTTGCCCTGTTCATGCAACAACGTTACTAGATAAATGATAAATTAAATGCATGGCAATAATTTCCAGAAAACATCCACTTCTAGGTACGAAAATAGGCACGGCGCTTAGAAGTCTACAAGGTTCCGGAGTTTTTGAGAATAGTGGCATGGCCAATGTTTACTAAGTGTCAGTTAATGTTTATTACAATGGATTTGTAGGAATATTGTTTGGTATACTGGGAAATTTCGTCAAAGGTCTACGTCTCTTCCTCCGTCTCCGTTGCCTTTCCCCTGATTCCTTGAAAGTCACCTAATCTGTTATTTAGGTAGGTATCTCAGTTCCGGCCCAACATAGAACGCCTGGATTGGGCTGAACTCGTGTCTTGATCACTGCCGTAGTCCCTTTATTTATTGCTTAACCACCAGCAAATTTCCCGGGGCTCCAATTCCATGCAATAGGGAATCAAAAAGCCCAAATCCTATCCCACCTCATCATGTATGCTTAGCCCAAGAGCATAGGTATCTGGTATCACTGTGTCATTCATGTTCATGCTTGGTATATATCCGTAAGATTAGCAGACCAAGTGTCGTTCATGGCCCAGCCTTCGACTTGGTAAACCTGTTGGTATGGCTCGAAGCCAAAACTAGGAGTGAGGTTCGGCGTCTCGTGTAAGCTGGTGACCGCAGCCCATGCCTCCGATTCCGAAATGCCTGGCCGCCAACTCTGGCTTATTCGTGGTGTGAGGTATTCTTTCGCAACTGCCTTGACGTCTTCTGCGATCTTCCGAGAAAGGGGCCATGTCTCTCCGTGCACCGTAAGAATCTGCGTGAGCCTATTTATGCGTTCTCGGAAGATGGGCGAGTCTAATCCGAGGAAGACGCATGCATCTAGGTAGGCTAGAACAACTCGGAGCGTACCAGTGGCGAACACTGCACGCAAAGTCCTGGTGGGGAAAGGATGCCTGAACAGGTCACAGTAACCATTGGCTGCTTGAATATCGATTGGGTGGGAATTCCAACCGAAGCCCTTCACCATTTGTCCCTTACGATCGGGTCCTTTCGCTGGTCCTAGAGGGAAGTATTCCCGAATGTTGAGGCCGCTCCTGGGGGCAGATTGTCGGAGTCGAAGTCGATTACTATGTACCATAGGCGTCAATTAATGTTCATCACGATTTATCACACTATCTTAAACTCACACATGCGCGATGGAGATGCCGTGGTAAAGTACTACGTCGACTACGCCTTCTGGATCAACTAAATTCATCTTCCACTTTGGGACCCGTCGCAACCAATCGCAGATACGAGAGTCTGCTCGCTCAAATATCTCTGCCTTTTTATTTTCTGGAGCCTCGTGATATGGTAAGACCAAATCGGTTTGGATCTTGCAGATGTCGATGAGGTAGGCCATCGATGAGAAGTCGGATTGTCCAAGGTTGACCTGCGTCTCGTATTGCGATTGAGAAATAGGTTGGGGTATAATCTTTACCATATGTTAGAAGTTGTACTAATGAGACCACGAACACGAGAATTGCGAATTCTGTTACGCGAGGGGTTGAAGTTTCGTTACGTGTTGGCGCAACAACCAAAATAGGAAAGTACTTACCCCTGATTCGTATTCCCATTCTTCGCAGGGTAGGTCAACGTCGGAGTCCACGTCTGTGATGGAAAGTGTAGATCCGACATCACCCAGATGGCGCGTAGAATCTTGGAAGGTCAGGCACCACCACGTTCTTCGATAGCTTTCCGCGAGTACGGAATCCGTTGTTCTATCGGCGAACGCCTTCTGGTTCATCCCGAGCTCAACAGCTATTGTGGCGGCCCGATTAGCCCAGCCGGTATGGTGTTCGAATTTCATTTCTCCAAAAGCCGCGATGCTCAGTATGAGAAGTCCCTGTACCGATTGTACAGTAAATGGCAATGAAGCGCATGCTGCAGAGTACGCTGCCTCTCTTAAATCGTCCGATGGTATTGAATCTGTGTATAGCGACCCGCAAAAATTGATGACTGAAAGCAGGAAGTGATAAGAGTCTGGGTCTGCTTCGACATGATTATAAAAAAACCGTTTGGGCGGAAGACAAGGGTGACTTGGATGAAAGTAGCTGTAGAATAAGTCGACTAATAGTTCCTTTTCGTTTTTAGATGAGCTTGTTGTGGAGGTTACTGAATTGACGGACCATCCGCTCGGTAAGTCGTGAAGAGAAAGAGACTGGACCGACGGAGAGCCGGAAGAGAAACTAGTGGGCAAAAATGACCCAGCCGAAGTTGCTGGCGGTTTGTCTGATATCAGACTCCTCTTTTTTGGATCGCGAATACCTCGTCTCGATTTGGCGTAGAAGCATGGCTTGTCCTCCTGTTGACACCGGTTGCAAGCGGGTAGCGTGGCGTCACACTTGACGTGCTTGCTACGGCATTGGACGCACGCCAGCGACACTCGTATATTTGCCTTTGAGCGATTGGCGGCCTTTGGCTCCGAGCCGTCAGGCGATGAGGCAGCGGAACCTTGGCGGCTAAGGCTGCCTGCCGTATGCTCACTGTCTCGACTCATGCCCATCACCTAGATCGTCGAATATGAAGTGGGATATGTTGACTTTACACCGCGATCGCCCGTATGTCTTGCCGCTATATGTGATTGAACGCACCGAACTCCCGTTCGTGCCCGTTGAGAGGGATATAGCTATACACCATAAGTGCGGTTGACGGAACTGTAGGGCTGATGAGCGACTTCTCATATATGAGCTCAGATGCTTCACATTTAGTTCTGACAAATGTTCATCGAGAACAGGGTTCCAGGGGTGTTAAATGGGTCCTCAGACCTCTAAGCAGCCATGTACAAGGGTACGACGTGTCTACTAGGACCCGACGACAAGGCCCATGGCCCCCCTTAGACTGGTGTCAGCGGTGGATGTATCTTTTTGCCGTCAGCCCTAGTGGGGCGAATAGCGCGGGAGGAGAGAAAAACAATATTGATATGCCCGATAACGTCGTGGTTGCTGTGCCTCCACTACACCTCCGCGTCCACTCACCTCCCATGTAAGCCGTCTCTAGTGCGAAATGGGGGGCGGTCTGCATGTGGCCCAACCGTCGCGTTGTTACAATGCATAGCCATGATCGACTCTTTAACAATGGACTGGTAACATCTCATTAGAAATTAAACATGAGTATAAACCTCGAAAATACCCTGAACGGCCACGTTCCGTTACATTGTGGCTTTTTTATGGTCTTGTTTTAGTATGCTGCTAAAGAACCTCTCAATCAGAATGGGAAATGATAGACTGCTCTTGATGCCGAAAAGGAGAGATTTGCAATTGTTTCAACGTTAGAGTCGTTCCATGACATAGAGCATTCGATCGTGACTTGAGCCTCCGACTTCTAGATCAAGTATGCACCCTAGAAACATCCAATAATAGAAACAGACAAGGCTAGCTAGGTACCTAACCCGCGGTTTCAACTTCGGGAGTTGAGGTTATATGCATTAGATCTAGTTCTTTACGATTCCGGCATGGAGAGATCCGTCATCTTGGGATCGTACTCCGTACCTACCTATTCTAGTATATTTCCTTCTTCAATATAGCCCGTATAGAAAAATATCAACTAATCATAAACGAGTAAGCGGACTTCGGTCTTGATTCCCAATCTACTTAGGTAATTTTTTTTAAGTCACACTGCATACGGATGATGATTACTCGTGTTGGAGGTAGAACTTCAAGCTTCAGTGATTATTAGGCGGTCGAGCTTATGGCTCATGAGGGCTCCAAATCGTAAAAGCACCAAGCCACATTTCATAAGACGGACTTGATTATACCATTGATTGTTGGACATATGACACACAGCAGTTAGGTAGCAAGACTGTATGGTGATATTACATCTCCGATATTACTTCCAAGTTTTTGTTTCCTTCGGACGACTTCTGCACTTTCGACGCTTTGAACTTTTCAAGTGCCGACTAGGTAGAAAAAGGATGCATCAATGCGTCTGATGCGTTGTGTGGTAACGATACTAAATTTGTGTAAATGGACTCCGTGCGAAGAATATCGCGTCGCGTACTATTTCCCCCTATATCGGAGGTATAAACACAGTGCATGTTTTATGCATGATTATATAAGTCGAGTACAATATTAAAAAAACTCGTACTTCAATGTAGTACCGAGGCTGTGTTGGAAGCTAGCTCAGCGAATAAATGGATAAGGGCCAATCAGAGCATCACATATCATTAACCTCGGTGTTTCCCGAATGTGTCCCGAAGGTTATTTTGCACTAACAAGCCTAGGTACCCACCAACGTCACTGTTCCCCAGATCATTGCGTCTGAGCTTAAGTTCAATTTGACCCATTTTTGTCCATTTTAAGTCAATTTAGTCAAACTTCCGCCATTTCTAAGCCTCATTAAACGTTACACATACCAGCCAACGAAGCTTAACCATCTCGAACAATCAAGCTACGCGCAGCGAAACAAGCTATCGAGGAGCTATGCTAAGGATTGACGACACTACTGAAACAAAGCTTCACCGTCGGACCATGCGGCAGCTCAGATGAGCTCAACAAATTTCGCCCAAGCCCAGCAGCGGTTGGCTGCGCGTCGATTGGCACGTGAACGAGACGCACAAGCTCAACTTGCTGCCACCCGTCAAGCATCGCGAGCCTGGTCAGAGGTAACGCGTTTGCCATATCCATTGAATCGATTCGGAGCCACGTCCCTGTCGGCATGGGAGGTAATATCCTCACGCGAAGGCACGAGGCCAGCCTTTCGAGTCGGTCAAGTCGATGCCGAGCTATTGGACGAAGACCTCGTAGGTCAGTTGAGGGACCAGGTCGGCGAAGCGTTCAAATACTTTGGAGGAAACATCAAGGATGACTGGTCGGCCGAGATACTGCTCGCACTCCGTACCATTCTCTTCAAACTTACGGTGTGGGATCATGACGCGACTTATGGTGCTGCTTTGCAGAACCTCAAATATACCGATGCAAGGCGTGATGGACCCATCCTGACACCCCCCACGAAGTGGCAAAAGAGCCTCTACGGCCTTATAACCGTGGGGGGCAAGTACGGTTGGACCAAATGGGAGAACTGGCTTCTAGATCGAGATAATGGATACGATCAACCTTCACCAACGGTCCAACGACTTACAAAAGTCACATCAAAGATTACTACTCTACATTCTATAGCGGCCTTCGCCTCCTTTCTTGCCTTTCTACTACATGGAAGATACCGTACCATATTGGATAGAGTACTGAGAATGCGCCTCGCTCCACCCACCAGTCAGGTCACCCGTGAAGTTTCTTTCGAGTATCTCAATCGACAGCTAGTGTGGCACGCGTTTACCGAATTCCTACTCTTTGTGTTACCTTTGGTGGGTATTAACCGGTGGCGTAGATGGCTCAGTCGCACATGGAGGAAGACAAAGGAGATCATCAACGTTGGCACAACAGAGGGTGACGATAGCGGCAAGCAAGGCGACTATGCATTCCTACCAGAGCGTACGTGTGCTATTTGCTACCAAGACCAAAATTCAGCTGTATCGGAAAATGAAGTTCTAGCTGCCGCAGCCTCGAGCGGAGTGGTAGGATCGGCACAGACAGACATCACTAACCCATATGAAACCATCCCGTGCGGCTGCATATATTGTTTTGTATGCCTTGCAACTAGATTGGAGCGCGAAGAAGGGGAGGGTTGGACATGTCTTCGGTGTGGCGAATTAGTGAAGGAATGTAAACCATGGAATGGCGATGTCCTGGAACAACAAATCAAACCACCGGCACCAACTACAAAGCATGTTGGGTTTATTGACGATCAAAAACCCTCTGTTGATCTCCTGCAGGAGGAGGATGATACTCTGCGTCGGTCTGAGAATACAACTACAGACGGGCAACCTATAGCTGAGCCCGAAGACAGCGACTCGGAGGGATACGAGGAAGAAGAAGCTGAAATGAACGGTGACTTCGACGACTGATTATCATTTCGTCATCTACATATGGCATCGCAAGACCATTACCACCTTGTCAAAATAGACAAGGGCTCGGCTCGGGACCTCCTAGCTACAATATTAGAGGACCGCCTATACTCATACCGTTGATGGTGTACTGCAGCTATTAAGCCACAACGCAACGTCGCGCATTATGATCAACCTTGTCGTATCAAAAAAGGGCAACTTGCTGGCGTCTAGAACCGATTTCGCCGACCGCTATATTAGCCCACACCTCTCCATTTCACCTAGCTGTCGGTCTACTTCGACGTGTTCCCTCATGCGTTCAATCTCCTAGAACCAGTCAAAGAAAAGAACGGTTCTGCACCCCCTTTATTCCGACACGTGTGTGTGGCTACTTGTTGTCGTGTCTTACTTCGCAAGTCGGTCGTGAGATAGCCTATTGCCTGACCCCGGTTTCAGGGGTGGCGGTTGGGAGCACCAGTAAGGATAAGCCAGGAGGTATAATTCATGAAATATGCGGTTCAGCTCATAAGGGCCTCCCGTCCGGCATAAGTTCCATCCACTACTACCTAGTGCTCGACGGTTCGGTATCTCGGGCAGGCGCCGAGACTCCGCTATAGCCCTACGCCTCCCATCTCCCAGGTTCGGCAATCGATATTATTTTTATCGTCATTTCAAATGGAACTCTCACTTTTTTGTCCTAAATAGGTCTCCCGCAGGGATGCTTACAAACGTAGCATCTCTTCGCAATGCGTTGCCTTGTCTGTCTAGTCGTGGCAACTTGAATAATATCGAAGTTGGAATAGGCTCTGATCATAGTTAATACACCTAATAATCAATCCCTGTTTAAAAGGCTTTACCGTCCCATCGTCAATGTGTATCTAGGAGTCAAAAACAATCGCTTCCTGTTAAACAGTATATACGTAGTCGATAATAGAGAAACCTCTCGCGTGCAGTCGCCAAGGCCCTCTGAAGTGTAACATACGACGATACCTCAGACACATATTTCGCTTAGCCTTATACTACAACTTTATGATGAACGCCCCGGAGCGGATGTTTTATTCCCCATACTCGGCCTCGACAGCTCGTGTACGTCAGCACCGCGATGCTCCCGAGGCCGTCATTCTAACTGTGAAAGTTGGAAAAAAAAGTATACTGCATAAGATGGCGATGCAGCTAATTCAAGGAAGTAAGCCACAGGTCGGGCAGACCTTCCTTGCTTACCCGCCGGCCTTTTCCTTGAGAAGAATCGGACAATCGCTTCCAGAAAGAACTTGGTTGGTCTGAGTATGGTTCGATCACGTATTATTGATTCTTGGCAAACATGACCATTCCTTCTTGATATGCGTGTCTAGTTTTCCCGCTTGTTGAATGGAATCTTTCCGTTGATAACACGCCAAATATAATAGATGTCCCTTTAGCTGGCAGTCGTCTACAGTCAGCCGGATTAGGAGGCAAACTAGTACACTTAATTACCCACGAAAGCTCAGTTCAAGGCACTGTTAGTACAGATTATACATGGCAAAAAAGATGTAAAATCATATATCATTTATGTTTTATGGTCCACCAGGTCATGTAAAGCTGTATTCTACCTCCTAATCCTTACCTAACTGTAGACAGGCTGTGCCCCTTAACAACAATATCAACACTTGCACACAATACTATAGCTGGACATAGAATCAGATGCACATCCTCCAAACCCGAAAACACTCAATCGCAAGAAGCTATTGGTATTTCCACCCGTAGTCAACGGAGATAAACCAGATACCACGAAAATAAGAGAAGGTGAAATTCAATTTGCTCGCTTGTTTATGTTGCATTGCATCTACCATTTACCAACAACCACCTAAAGCTAAGAGTTCGTACCTTGAGTTCTTACCCACTAGTATCTAGGTAGTGTACATATCGATCTCGCTATCCCAACGATCGGGTCCCATGAATTCTACCGGGACCGGATTAGTTATAATGCCTTTGGTGTCTTACAGGAATACTGAGTTATCAGGACAGTGAAACGAAGCTCCGAGATTGAGATCAAGAGGTAGCTCTTTGCGATTGAGTTCCAAGATTTTTAATGAATTACCTATTAGGTACTACCATAAACGGCCCTCAAATCAGATTACCTATAGCTGAGCCACGTGCTAGAAATCAAGAGAATAGGTCTCATTGAGTCTCCTTGATAGGTACAGAAACCGACCAACAGAAAACGAGTTTAAATTCGCAAAAATGGGATTGGATGGGCGAACGATGCAATTCTCAAGTTCCCCGACTCCCAAAATCGGAAATTCTTGGAGGAGGAAGGGGAAAACCGCCGAAGGAAGAGAAATCAAGCAGCCCCACAGGAGCTTAAGCACAGAGCTTCAACGTTCAGTTCGGCGCTAGCGACCCACTTAGGGACATGTACACAGGTACCGCACCCTACTGTAGCGTCATCGTCACGCGCCTGCCCTTCTTGCAGCGACAATCCACATGCACGGCACCGCATGAGCCCTCCTCCTCCCTCCGCTTTGCCCGTTCCGAACCTACCATAGTTACAGCCTACAGCTACAGGACTACCTTGCCTTGCCGCTTGAGACACCACATCGACGACCTTTCCTACACGTGCCAACCCGTTTCCCGCCAGGTAGGGAAGGCGGTAGGGTAACCCAACCAGCAGCTCGCAGCGCAGCCGGACGCATATACCAGGGCCTGCAGCGAACCGAGATCACGAGCTCGCCAGGACAACACTTATCTCGGCCTCTCCTCACTTACGTACTTCCCTCCTCCCATACCACTTCTCGGCTTTACCACCTATCCTCTAGCGACGCCTAATCCGCCGGACCCAGCCAACCTAACCTCGCCTCGCCTCGCCTTACCTCACGTCACTTAATCTATAGGTATCCCCTCCGCTTCGCGAGTCCTCGCGAATCCTGTTACCAGCGATACGAAGTACGAACAAGGAGGCGCCAGTCTTACCAACATCCCACCCCATCCCCTCTCTCCCCGTCGCCTGCCCGCCTCGTCTCGGTCCCTTATCACCGGACCAGACCAACACCAATCCCGCGATAACAGTCACCGAAAGGATTTCGAACCCGTCATGTGCGCCGTCTCGTCTCCTCCAAGCCAAGACCGCCGCCGCCGCCCGAACCCGCGTTTCCGTTTTCGCCTCGGTCGCCACGAATAGGTTCCAAGACCTAAGCAACAAGCAAGACGGGGGCGCCCACGTCGAAGGAGCAAGGAGAGTAAAGAGGAGGTAGCAAGAGGAAGAAATAGCGGCGCCTCGGAGCCACGATCCCATAAAGTTTAAGTTTAGGGCGCCCAGCTGGGTTACCAGGGGAAGGGTAGGTATACGGTTGGGTACCACACATCTAGACGTTTAGGTGCGCTAGTGAACTTAAAAAAAAAACAAGTCGTCAGAAGTAGCACAGGGCTGTCCCCCCCGTACCCCGTACCCGTAAGCCGGCCCCCCCCCCCATCCAAAATACCCCAAATTCCCAAATCCCAAACCCCAAACGATGCCGGACTTCTTCCCCTTCATCCCCGGAACCGAGACCGGCCGCGCCGCCCGGCAACACGCGAGCGACGCCTCGCCGCTTCTAGGCCGCTTCCGCGCCGTGCCCACCGCCTCGCGGTCCGGCGTCGGCTTCGGCGTCGGCGCCTCTTCCGCCGCGCAACAGCAACCGCCGCAGCTCGGCCTGCTATCCACGAACGGCGGCGGCCGCGGCAGCGTGCACGTCGGGTACGGCGCGCTGCTGATCGCCGGCATGGATTCTGATTCGGGGGAAGACGATGACGATGACGACGACGATGACGATGATGGCGATGACGGGTTAGTGGGTAACGATGATAGTAATGGGGGTAACGGCAGGAGGTGTGCGAACGTGGCGAGGAGGGCGTTGCGGGCCTGGCGTCGGTTCGCGAGGTTGTCGCGTCGGAGCGTGAGGGACTTGTGGGTTGCGCCTAGGCAGACGGCCGTCAAGCGCGTGGTCGAGAGTTGGTGGAGGCGTTGGGGAGTTCTGGTCTTCCTTCCCGCTGCTTTGGTGAGTCGCAATCCGGGGTATTTCTTGATTACTACGACTTCTACGGCTAGGGCGCCTTTTTAAGGAGGCATAGCGTAGCAAAGACAGTTCGACTATTGTGGTGTGATTATGAAGGCTAACGGATGCGCGATGTACGCTTTATCTAGGCAGTTGCATGGTGCGCGATCCCGTTCCCGCAATATGCCTTCCCGCCGAATTCGCACGAATCTAAGCCCGTGCCAGACTCTCCTTCCTCTCAGCACAGGGCACCTGGTCACGGTGAGGCGCGCGTACAAGTGAATTTCTGGTTCTTCCTATTGGTATACTACGGATTCTACAACCTAACGGCTCTGATCTGGATTACTAAAGTGTTCAACCTCTATTCCCTCAACTGGTGGCCGTCGACTCTCGGTTTCCCCCTGACCGTCTCGCTCATTGCGATTATCTCTCTCGCGGCTCCGATCCCCGTATATCTGATTCCGGAGGCGCGCTACCTGACGGTCCACAACACGGCCTGGATCAGCTGGACATTCGTCATCATGGCCATGCCCGTGGCTATTGCCTTCTGCATCCTGATGACGCACGAGCGTCATTTGGGTCTTAGGAACTCGCTTAGCGAAACCCAGCGCATATTCACGAGTTCGTGGTGGACCGGCAAGTCGGACACGCTTTCAGCTACCCGAGACTTTAATCGGCGTCGAGGGAGGATGAGTCGAGCTAGGACCTCTTTCGATCCGGACGCTGCATTACAGATCGCAGACCAGTCACGGCCAACCATGCCGGCATTCATGCAACGACGCCGTTGGCTGCCCGCCAGCTTCGTGCGCTTCGTGTGGTTCTGCCTTGCGCTCTTCATTAGCCTGCTCGCCTACCTGATAGGAGAGGCGTACGCCGAGATCTATCTACGGACGCTGCCGCACAACAGTTTCGAAACGATCGTCTATGTCTACAGTTGGGTTGTGACGGTCCACCTGTTGGACGCGCTTACGGGTTGGATCCTCGGTGCTACGGAAGGGGAGCGGGTAGGGAGCTATCCCCTGAGTTGGATCTTCAAGCTGTAAGTTTCCATTAGGGCTCGCCGGCTTACCTCAAATCCCACTGACAGAATGAACAGCTACTTCATGTTGACGTACCAAACCTACGTTCGCGCGCTATACGCGCGCCTTCGTTCACCCACTCAATTTATCTGGCTCCAAGGTCTCTCGTCCGGCTTCCTCATCATTCTTACCCCGGTAACTATGACGCAAACTTATCACCGCGTATTATCGATGATAGGATTGACTACCCAGTCGTATGCCTCGTACCAGAAGATCTGCACCAGAAACGTCTTCATCCGCTTCTTAGCTGAGAATGTAAGCATGCTCACGTTCCTAGGGAGCATCTTGGTGCTGCACTTCGGGGCGAACAAAGACGTATATCCATATTTCGCCTTTGACGACCCCGATGAATTGTATGACTTCGAACTAACATTCTATGCGTCCATGATTACTTGGGCTTGTGAGTTGGCGGCCGGAATCGTTCTCAGAGGTTTAATTCGGTGGATCTTTGGAGTCAACGCCAGCGTCGAGGGGAAGATGGACCTAGCTGTGTGGCCGGAGCTGCTACCTACGAGCGTAGCCGTAATGTTGCATGTATTGCAGAGTATGCTGTTCTCAATCATCCGATTGCACTTTCGGTGACAGGATGGTAGAGGAACCTTTGTTGAATTGATGTGGAGAGTCTGGATTGGTGGCCCCCAGAGACTTTTGCAGCTCGGTTAAGCGTGGCCAGCGAATGCTGCGCGCGCTTCGAAGTCTAGGGCGAGCGGATAGGATCTTATCAATGACAGATTCTGGGGAATCAGTGGTGCTCGGTCGACTGGATTCTTTTGTCAGGCAATGGTCTGTATCCCAGGCCGTAGGCGTCTTGTTTGCTTTCAGTTGTTGCTCCTCGTTCAGTTGCTATGCAGAGGTGCCCAAGGCGGAGTAGATGATACCCTTTTAGAACAAATACCGTAGAATAGATATCCCCTGACTGCTAATCAAATTTTACTATAATTTTACTGTGGCTTGCGCAGAGAGGGTGTGCAGTGACGTGGATCGAAATGAAGATGCATATGTTCTGATTGTTTCTGCATTCCTGGAAGAGAGAAGACCTAAGGCGAAATGGACACGTCCGCAGGGTAGGAAGAAAAGCTTGCTAAAGGGTTGTCCGAGTCTAGTTTCGATTACAGTACCTTTATCTCTGCATCACGGTGGAGTGATTCATTGGTGGGGAGGTATCATGATGCACGAAATACTGCATACCCGGTGTACCAGTTCTGAAGGCCGAAAAAGTCGTGAGAGCAGTGTGGAGTACGTAGAGCCGGCCGGACGAGCGCGAAGAAGCTTGGCGACGTATCGCCCACATAGCACCATCTATTCTAGTATATTAGGGGGGCCGGCAAATACGAAGAGGTGTGTGTAGCTGAGTATGTGATATCTGCTTCATGGCCACATCCGAGGATGCTTCCGGTCGCCTAAACCTATCCGGGATATTTCCTAAGATTCGGATCGGTCATATATGCACGGCAGCAAAAGCAGGTATAAATGAAGCCATATTAGCGTTATGTCTGAATCGGCCGATTGCATCATGCTGTGCACCCCTCCGATATGGCGGGTGGCGCCTGTCAATAATAATCAAGACCTGGCAGTGACGAGATCGATTTTCCGGGACGGTGTATCTCAACTCGGGAGACAAGACCGTTGCAGCAAGAGAGCAGAGCATTTACCGAATAAGTACGACCATCTCGACTCTTCTTTTTAGTGAAAGCCTAGAACACCCCAAGGCTGATGAGTGGGCATGATGTGTCGTTCCAGATGATCGACAGATTTGCAGATCCACTAACGACGACGTCGTCTTTTGGCAAGGCTACGGTCGTCAACGCTTACCCTCAGCTTGCTACGGCAACCTGGAAAATGCTCGAAACCCTTCGCCATCTTCCCGTCTTCCGATCCAGTCAGAAGAGGTTCATGGATCAACCAGGGAAATCTACTCAACTAAACCCGGAGACTGGCGGTGAACATACGCGATGACTAACTTGTGCTGCTTATGGTCCAGTTCCCCGGCATATCTACAAATAGGATAATAAGAAAGGCGCGGTCAAGATGCCTCAACATGCGGGGGACTGGGGGGAATGTACTGAAACGCTGGACAAAGCATTCCATGCATATACAGGACGTTGAGGTGAAACCAATGCAGGTCGCGTACCCTCGCATATGGCTATAAGTGTTGAATGCCCCACGCGGATACTGAAGGCCCAACTAGAACTTCAGAAAGTGGGTTGTAGTATCACGGAATGATACAACGGCCATGTCGTCTTCAACATGCCGGGATTCCACAAAAGGTTAGGCGGTAATGTCTAGATGGGCCAAGGCAACCGCAACCGTCGTGACTACATAAAGTTGAGTCATATAGCTTGCGGCTTGTAAGAATCTCATAGACTGTGAGAGCACGGCTTGCCGTTTTCTATCGGGAAATCGTCGGTGTGTAGGACAGTCAGCCAGGCTGGGAATTGGGAATTAAAAGAGTGGTGTGGTGGCTGACAAAATAATTAAGGGACTCGTTCGTTATCAGAGTCCCTTGCTCAGGAACACGAGCCGATGCTTATTAGCCCGTATCTGGACGACGGCCAAATCCAGGACAGAGTACGGCCGGCTTACGCGAAGAAGAATAGGTAAACCTAGAAGCTCAATTTAGCGCAAGTATCGCGGCCTGAGTTTCGAAGGTGATTCGGCGAAACCGGCGAATTACTATGTGCGAGGCTGTATTGACCCAATTCTTGACGCGTTTCGAGAAAATAGGACCTGGCCAGGAGACTTAGACAGTCACAATTTCTAGACGCTGGGCGTCCAATCATCCGGGTGTCCTCCCCGGCTAGAACAATTCGACATATGCTGGGAGTTTCGACGGAAACTATCACAACTCCAAGTTCGAACATGTGAGTGAACAGTGGTGTGGTTACAGCATCAAATGTTGGTCACAACATTGGATCCCCTGTCTCGGTTGCTGAGAGCATGCAAGAGATGTGGTTGCAGGAGCCGGAGTGCGTTGTACCACCTCGATCGAAACGGGGACTAACGGCTAGGTCTGATTTGACTAGACGAGAAGCGGATGGCGATTGAGGCGCAACGCGTCCTTCAAGCCCCAGCCGATTAGCGGGATACGAGCCTAGTTGGTGGATGTGAAAGTACAAGATGTGTCTAGGCATATGTAGGTGTACAAAGTAGTATTGGCTCTAGTGATGCTCAAAGGCTGAAAGGGGTCATTGCGATCCTGGCAGCCTGGATGGGATCCTTCGAAACATTCTCTACTATGTAACTGGATCCCGGGACGTTATAGATGCAGTTGACGAGACGAATTCGGGGAGCATCGATAGCACCTTGTTAGTCAATGATCACCTCGATCACCTCATCAATTGCTCCACACAGAGAGGCCGATGTGGCGATTGGGGGCTTTTTCATAGAAACAATTATGTATGTATTCCGGGGACGTAGCCAAGAACCCAAGGCCGTGTCAAAGACGGAACTGGGCCAGGATTGTACGAGCCACCATAGCGTTGTAAGTGGATTGCGAATACATGCCTCAAGTGCTATTGATGTACATAGGTGGGTTATGGAAGAAACCGGATGTGCATACGGGGAAGCATGCGATGAGTCAGGGTTCGAGGAGACCTCTCAGGCCGCCGAGCTGGGAAACAATTTGAAAGGTCGAAAGGAGACTTTGTTGTTGAAAAAATGAATGTAAAAAGTCTTTTGGGGAAACGAAGTGTGGGGTTTGGCCGAAAAAAAACTTTGGTAGAAGTCGAATCGCGATTTCCAAAACCTCTTGTGAATCTCGTGGCGGGGCAGTCGTTTCTTAACTTGTTAATCCCTGACCTTATTCCTTGTTTAAGTATATTAGGAAAGCATACTATTTCTGATGAGTCTTAGACATGTACTTCTATACTACCTACATGCGTCCAATGGATTTAGTAATGTATGTGATATTTCATGGGTACTGTAAAAATTCGTAACCTGGATATACTACCTTGGGAGGCATGTGTCTATATGTGTCTATAAGTGCAAGTACCAAGAGTTACATATATGTAAGTTATAAGTTGTCATTAATAATAATTAAAGAAAAGAATTTTGATAGCTTGTCTGTTGTGATATATGATATGTGCTCAAATCTCTTAAGCAAGATAGTGTGCCATTCGGGCCTCCATTCAGGCCCCCATATCGACACCTCCTAGGCTATTTATGTGTTGTCCGTATGTACAAGTGAGTAGTATACAAGCAGTTTCACAACTGTAAGAATTCCTACGGTAAGCCTATTCAATGACCGAAATAATTCTTTAGGAAGGTGGCAAATCTTTTGATATGCCGTTGATCGACATTACTATGTAAAACTCTGGTGTTTCCCGTTTTCAACCAGTTTCCCGTCCAGGTCGTAACACATTTTCCCCTGATCATCCTATTTCTTTGCAGGGTTTCAACGTTCTAATGCTTCTAGAAGGAATCTATTACGGGTTTCAATATGTTATCGCAGAAACTCTGTAACAAGCCGTCTGTTGTCTAAAGTCCTGATGTGACTGAGCATTCCTTGATTTCTTCTCTCCCGACCTTAGCTGCTTAAGCTGCCTTACATCGCATGCACATGCGTGGCTGCTCACGCTTTTGCGGACACCTCTGGGAGTGATATAAGGCTTATTGATCTCTTACCGACTCTCCGATTCTTTGTACATGATTATGTAAACGCAGGTTCTAATAGATGCTAATAAAAGTACGGCGTTAGCCGGAAACCAAGCCATCAGCGAAGAGGCCAATCCTTGATAACGCGGCCAACTCTGCATACGTTCTAGTTCTTCGTTCGGTATGGTCACAATGGTGGCATCAGGAGGTAGTGGGGTTTTTGCATGGTGAGAAAAGAGCACCGAGAAAAATACAGAAAACCCCTGCACCACCCACCTGCTACACCCACGCGAGGGGCTGAGGGGTTCATCATTCGTTCTCGATATTACCTTATATGTGTACCTGATTGTGTACCTACCTAAGTAGTTGTGTGTATGGGTGTATGTGTAGGTACCTTCTTAATTAAATCTCCTGAAGCAGTTTTCTTTCCTTTTTCTTTTTTTTCTACACCGATATATGCTCAAGTGTTGTTGCAGATGGCAATTATATGCCTGGGTACCTTGTAGGTAGGCCTTTCCTTCTCTTATCCCCCCTTCCCAGTTATCTCGTACCTTTGCCTATCTTGGTAAGTGGGTTATCATTTAAGCTTGCTTTAGACCTGCCTTAGGGTCCCCAGCTAGTTGGTCGGTGGGTTTCCGTATGTATCGTACATTATAGGGTACATGCGGAAGTGATACTATTACTTGTGGAAGATAAGTAGATTTTACTATTGCGGTACAATGCGCTTAGTTTCTCTAAGATAATCTACCCCTCCATGGAAAGAAGAAAGAAAAAAAAATTCAAGAGGGAAAGAGCACAGTTAAGAGAAGAAGAAAAATTAATTGAGCTCAACTCCATCCCACTCTCTATTGGACACTCCACTTCGTCTTAGCAACATCATTGTCTTCCTAGCGACCGTCTCACTTTTTTCCCTCCTATCCCTTCTCCCTCCCTATTATTCCTCCTACCCAATATCGGATTGTATTGTACTGTACTGTACACATACATACATCCATACATCCATACATAGAAACATCTCACAGACCTCCTAACTAGGGCTGCATTCATTATTGTTGTTATTATTATCTACCACCCAGGTTGGCGGCAAGCAGGCTACATACCTACACCTCCTACCTACCTACTGCTATCCCATCCCGCCCCCCTGCGCATACTCCGCGGTCACGTCTAAAGCGACCTTGTCTCTGCCTGCCTGTCTGACTTGGCTGGGCTTGTGCCTTGTCTCTGCCTATCCTATTCGTCTTTCTACATTCTACTCTCATCCTGGCCCTTCCACCGTGCCACACCCCCAAAAATTTTCTCTCGCATTATCTTTTCCGTCGGTACACATATCGCCCAAGCCCGCCCTCACTCCTCGCTGTCTCTTCTTCTCTCCTTTCCTTTTCTCTTCCTCAGCATGAGCGGTCTATCCACCACCGACACCCCCGCTGATTCCGTGGCAACGAACCCAAGTCAGCCAAGCATCATTTCATCTTCCATAACCGATGCCTCGCGACGAGAGCCCGCCTCCTCCGCCGCCGGTACCACCGAACTCGCCGGTCAATCGGTAAATGCCCTGACTGGGCATGAGCAGGAGAAGCTTGAGACTGCTAAGAAACTGGTCATCGACGCGCTTAGATTCGTACCTGACTTTCCCATCCCCGGTATAAATTTCATCGACATCCTACCGATCTTCCAGAACCCAGTCGCCTTTGAGTCACTCCTAGAAGTGCTCGTCCTCTTGATCCGAGAGCGGTTCGGCGACCAGATTCCAGATGTCATAGTGGGTCTGGAAGCTCGCGGTTTCCTCTTTGGGCCTACACTTGCATTGAGGCTCAGCCGTCCATTTGTCCCAGTCCGCAAGAAGGGCAAGATGCCAGGCGCATGCAGGACTGTTGAATACAAGAAAGAATATGGCAAAGACGAGTTCCAGGTGCAGTTAGATGCCATCAAGCCTGGTCAAACATGCTTGATAGTGGATGATATCATTGCTACTGGTAAGTGGAAGCCTTGTCTGCGTCTTCCTATCACATATCTTTTTAGCTGCTTGAGATACAAGTCTACTCATTTCCATTTCATTTTTTATACCCAAATTTGCTTGTTTCTATTGAAGTATCAATGGACATGGAAGCAGTTTGTCTGCTTCTAATCCCGCACTTCCACCTGGTGTTTAGTAGGAGTATGGCAGGAGATAGTGGCAGTGCTGAAAAGTACCACCATCCTAAGGCTTACTCACGACTAAGCCTGCATAAGTCATATACGGCTCAAAGTTGGCTCAAGCCGCGTCAACAAGTCTCACATGCAAGTGAGAGAGGATCCGAATAGACCAGACCTAGTGCCGCATTCAACACTAGACGAATATCATCTATAGCCAGTCTCTAGCGCAATTTCCTTGTTTATCTGCTAGCTCCTCTTTCAGCCTGTCCTCTCGACTGACTCGATGACGCAGGAGGAACTGCTGCCGCTGCCGGCCAACTCGTGGAGCTCTCCGATGCTAAGGTCATGGGTTACCTCTTCATGATTGAGATCACAAATCTCAAGGGCAAGGCGCTGCTAGGTGACAAGCCGTTCATCACCCTCGTCGAACACGATGAAGAAGAATAGATTCCGCGCAACATTTGCCATATCATTCCTGGTTTCTACGTCAAAGGCTCCAACCCCAGATACACGAAAGAGGACAAAAATAATTCACAAATTTCTAAACATTCTACCATTCTAAATCTAATGATAGATGCCTCTCGGAATTTATTGGATAGTCGGGCGGATTTAGAAGGCGCTATCCGGTTGCTACGTACTTCAGCGCAACCATAATCACGGGTGGGGAAAGCTGGTTGAGGTTGCATTGGCTACGGCGTTAATGGAACACGAACAACACCAGTGATACTGAATCTCTGTTTTTACATGATTTGCTCATAGAGAGTCATAATTCCGTAATTCATCCTAATCTCAATAGACCGCTTGGTTCCAATTCCCGTGAATACGCATTGTCTAACGTACCTATCACAAACATCTCAGAAACAACCCAAAGTTGGCAGGTTGTTAAAGTAGCTATCTGGTACCTAGGTGCTTCCCATAAAAATTCTCGCCATAATCATATCATCACAAGATAATATCGCTGTTACATTAAAATTTACCACCGTTTAATTCTCGTGTTGGATTGTTACAATAGAAATCAAGCTTGGTAGTTGTCAACTAGATAAATTTCTAACGCATTGCCGTCGTTGAAATTACTTCGTACGAACTACTATTTTTAGCCCACGTCAAGGACCCAGATATTTTTGGTATCGAAAAATCCAATAGCCGGGTTCTATGTAGCTTAAAAGTTATTAGGTGTATGAATGAAGGTTTATTCTCATGCTGATCCATGTATTTTCTCATCGCCTAGATCCTGCTAAGGGAAAAAAAAAAAAAAAAAAAAAAGAGCATGGCTAGACCATGTCTTTGACTACGTTGCCTTCGTTCATGTACCTATATAAGAATGGTACCTATTAAAATAGGTCCTGGTATCTATATGTCCAAGATGGGTGTTATAGGTATCCAGGTAGTTGTATATCTCTTACACTAGAGTCAGTAAAGCTTCTACTAGTTAGACTATTGCTAGATATACTTAGACGGCAGCATGGCGCAACAGCTCTATGATTTTCATATCATTGTCTTGGATACAAATACAGGTCTCAGCCACAGAATTTTCAGGGTCTTAGACCCGCATACTTCACTCACACTTTCCAAGACCATGGAGAGAAACGTGGGGTACAGCAAGAATCGAACTCCATTAATACCTCGGTGCTAGAAACATCTATTGAGATGAACCATAGACCGAGGTCCGTGGGTCGAACATACATAGCTAAGCAATGATCCAGGTGCTACGACCGTGACGAGAAGTGCATAGGTACTGTAGGTACCTATGAGCGCACGAAAACTAACCAAGGCTTGAATGTACCTAAAGGCGAGACTTTTGAATTGCGGCTAGTTTTCTTTACTTGGCTACCCATGACTATCTTGTTGCGAATTGGTGAGCCTCGAGAGGGCTTCGAACTAAACATTCTCCTTTGCTTAGGTAGGTCCCAAATTAAAAATCTCAGAGCCCATCCTCTCTCGAATACGTTCACGCGGATTGATATCGAACAGTAATATCTGTACGTGCCGGTAGTTTTCGTTTAGGGCGCTTCTCATATTTCCCCAGAACTACTAGCATTTGTATTACCTAATCGTGGTGTGAAGCGCTGGTGGGAGTCTGTAGATCAACGGTATAGTTGCTCTCCTAGCGCCCGGAGCCGAGACTAGCGATGAGTTGTCTCATAGTCTGGGAGGATTGCATCTTGGCGTGGGTTGAGGATCATCTAGAATTCATATGCTTCATCCTACGCGGGGTAAAAACACGTTGTTAGAAGGTAGGTTAAGTTCTTAACCCCGTCTCCGGGTATCCAAGATGCCTAGGTACCTATGTAGGTAGACTTGGACTTGATAAACCAACAAGATCATTGAGTAGCCCTGAACATAATGGAAATATTCTTCCTTATGAACTAATATAGTGATATAAGGATTCATCATCAGGTATGTCTTGTCTAAAGCTCTCAGCAGCAACCTCGGCTATCACGTCTAAGGGTCGGGCATCCCGAATCAATATAGGAATTCGTCGATCTCGACCTACCCAACGCCGAAATGTAAAAATGTAATGCTAGAAGTTAGGAAGATATGAAAGACCACCTAATCGACAGGCACATATATCCCGATTTCAAACCAGCTGCGAAGAAGCGGCACAGGCGAGAATACAAAAAAGATGTTTCGGGATCGTCCCAATCTCAGCGTTCGTTTATGCAAGAGCTGCCGTGTTTACCCCAGATTGACGCGCTTTTTGACACCGCTGAAGAGCTTAGGCGCCGTACCAGGGGCGCGAAAAACACTGAACGGGCTATCCTTGCCTCAGCCCTAGCGTCAGCTCATCAACTCCAGCTGTCTATCATCATAACTGTGTTGCCGACAACCAATCCACCACAGCCGCTTAAAACAGAGATAACCTCGTATTGCTTTTTCTTGGCGCGAGCACTGGACGACGGCGAACGCATAAGTCGGCACGCCTGCACTAAATTGCGCTTGGCTGAATGGTTCGTGATTCCAGGGCTAGGCTTCGGCAGCGGGCCGAAATTACCAGGAGCTAAAAAGTCAGGTAGGCTAGGGGTGGATATTTGGCGAAGATGTTGCCTAAGCCAAGCAAAGGAAGGCTGGCTACCCTTACGCCGCCTCCCTACATGATCGTGACAATTTCCCCGTTGCCCGGTGGATTCGCAGAACTTTTCCCTCTCCTTCTTATAACCGCACGAATCTCTACCCCAGGTTCCCCCCTAAAAAATAATAACTATCGGTGAAAGAAAGGAATTGGTCTTCAACACGTGGTACTCATTCAACTTTCGACAACAAAGGAGCAAGGGAAGTGGCAATTTCGCTGGAATTTTCCGCACGAAGATCCCGCAACCATGTCCTCGATCACGACGGCGATTCCCACCGACCCCATACCGGAGTGGTGCATAGGGCCGCTGCAATACTACGACGGCGACAAGTACCAGTGCGCGAACTCGACGAAGGGGACCGAGGAATCCGACTTCCAGACCTTCTGCTGCGATGGCGAGATCATCAACTCCGTCCACGACATCTGGAAGCCGGCCTTCTATTCGGCGACGAACCACTCGCTGAGCCTATCCGACATGATCTGCTGCGGGCTCAGCGGGCCGCAGGCCGGAGGCATCCTGCCTCTGCCCTCGGCGTACACCGAGTGCAACGGGGGCTCGCCGACGCCGCTGGCGAGCCTGGCGAACACGAACACGGAGAACGCGCAGCTGTTCCGGGTCACGTACACGAGCGCGAGCTTCGGTGACAACACGGTGGGCGACTTCATACCCACGAACACGCCGAACTGCTTCTGGGCGTACACGTCCGGTGCCGCCACGGCGGAGATCACGCTGCCGACGCCGGACATCACGACCCTGGCGCCTGAATCTACGAACGCGTTTGGAGAGCCTATCACGACGACGAGACATACTTCGAAGTCGAGCGCGTCGGAGGCTGGGAGCTCGAGCTCGGGACCGATCACGGCGGCACCAAGTTCTACGCCGAGTGCTACGGTGTTGTCAGGGACGGCGTCGCAGAGCAGTAGCGAGTCTTCAGCCTCTGCCATACCGACAACATCGGATGCTGGCTCGGTTTATACTGGCGTACAAAGGGGTTACCTATACGTTGGTCTGGGTCTCGCGACCATGAGCCTTCTCTGCAGTTAACCCTACGTCGAGACTGGGTAGACGAAATAAAGGCGTTTAAAAGATAAAAGAAAATTGTATAAACGGGCTATAAAATGATAATAAATAATAGCATATAGATACCATCAATATCTTGCGAAAGATATATACTACGCCACGGGAAAATGGCTACCCTACAATTCTAAAGTCCTATGTTTAAATTACTCAGCTTCTCTTGGGAATTTGTCTATCCACGTCAATCTTGTGAAGAGGGAGACGACGACAGGTCCCTTTCATGACTAAGGATCTTCAGGCCTTTCTGGGAGCAATGGAATGCTGTTATAGATTCGTATACTTACGTCTTACAAAGACTGCTGTAAACATAGATAGTTAATCATCTAAACGAGGACAACTTACCTCCTATTTGAAATCAACTCAAATGAAAGAGCACTGTATGGGTACTAGCTACGATGCCATCTATGGACCCCCCATTTTCTGATTTATCACTGGAGTTAGAGAATTCACAATAATGTACTGCAAACCACGCCCCGTTTCCCCCCAGGTGCCTAGAGCTATCCACGGCTTGAGCTCTACGAAACACTCGCCAACTTACTCAACTCCTGTCATAAGTAGCCTACCCTCCAACATCTTCAACTTACCTATACATCCCATGGAACAGTAATTCATAACTCGACACGAACGGATTTAGGGAGCATTCATGTCGAGTACAAAGTTATCATCGCTCCTAGCTCCAAAGCCAGCCTCGCTATCGGTATCGAAAATTTTACCATCGAAAGTCTAACGAGCTTGGGTTCTCCGAGCGTTGCGTACCTAGGTATATATCTACCCATATATTTCGTTTCCTTACAAAACTTACTTCTCGGTTTATCCCGACCCTCTCTTGTGATTCGGGATAAACCTATCTAGTATAAATTAGGGTCTATTAGAATAAAGTTCTATGGTAATATGGATGTAGACCGGAAACAAGGTTGTCTGTAAGCATGGGAATATTGAAGATACCGGCCCATGGAATGAATAGACTATATGGGGCGGCGCGCGGTTGACATTCAAATGGATGTCTAGTTGATGATCTAGAGAGGGGTCAATATGCCATGAATGAGACGAAGCGGTTTTGTGAGGAAATCTAAACCTTCCTGTTGATGATCGGGATATTCGTACCTCTACACGGTCTTACTAGCATGGTTACTCTTCTTAATGAGCCAAATCTTATCCAACTAGGGTTTCGACAGATCACACTTCTAACGGCTGGTCATCTGAAAGACTAGACTCCGAACATAGGTAGCCTTCATACCTCTTTATAGTCAAGGTATGTGGCTCTTGTTTCTTGTCTTAGCAGGGGAGCACAAGACGTTAGACCAACAGAAAAGGGGGGGAAGGACAAAAGGAAATTGTCTCCTCTGAATATGTTGATTCAAGTGCTCAATGCATACAATACTATCCATAAGATGTCGGCGCACATACAAGATTCTTCAAGCCTATTAATTATAAACACATACACGTATTAAAAATAAACCTCTATAGGAGTGGATTACTCGTCGCTCAGCGACAAGACAGGTAGCGAGTGGGAGGAACTGCCTAGTGTCACCGAAGCTACAAGTATATCCGGGTTTGTCGTTGATATAAGAATAACTAGTGTAAACCTTGATATCCCAGAGTAAACTTAACCGGGCCGCCTTCAATATGCAGCTACGATAGGAGATATGGATATCAATGTACCTACCAAGTACGCCGATGAGTCCACTACTAGTAAATGACCTCAACGTATTTAGGGGCAAGAGATAAATCACTCAGTATGAATAGGTAGTAATAAGTTATGATAGGTTTAACAAGTCGTATGTAGACGTGAAGCCAACAAGTTCACAGATGAAAAGAATACTAGTCAAATAGGACTGCACCAAAAAGGGATACAGATCGTATCGTAAGGAAACATGCATGTTGAATAGCCATTTACGAGTTTCACTTGACGTTGCCGTTCGAAGACTTCGGAACGAAACGAATATTATGATTACTACCGCCGGGGCTACAGTAGTTCAACTCAGCTAGATACAACCACAATCACAAGTTCGGAATAGACAAGGTAACAACACCAAACACACGAGTTTCTATTAGCTATTAAGAGAATGCTTCAGCCGGCTAGCGCATACCCTACGTGGTAAACACTATGCACGACATCTGTTCCATAGAGGGTTTCGCACACTCGACATCGAGCAGCTACACCACTCCATATTCCACTTCCCACTCCGTCACTGTAAAAGAAGAAACGTTTGCGTGCCGTCTCGCAGGTATTTTCTGATCCGCATCAACCAAATGACAGGGGGTATACTGGGTATCAGCTGAGTATTAGGAAAAGATGTGTCAAACAAAAGCAGTTCTCCTCGCAAATTGAGACAAGACATGCAAAAAGCGTCAGTATAAAGATCATGGATGCCATCTCCTCCGGCTCATCAACGCGCCCACTCCCGCAACAAACGGAAAAAGCGAATGTCAATAGCCGACAACAGATGGGGGTATCAGTTCAGAACCAGTCTTGTAGGGTATCTTGAAATGCAGATCCGTTCCCGACCAAACCCAGTGTCGTGGATACTCTTTATGAAAACATTAATATTTGACCCGTAGGCCGAACCGACGCGCACTCTATGCGGCGGCAGTAACAGGGGCGGGGGCAGCAGCGGCAGGCGTCTCCGCGGGGGCGGCTTCCTCGGCAATAGGCTCCTCGGGGGTAGCCTCCTTGGCAGGCTCGGAAGCCTCAGCGGTCTCAGCAGGCTTGTCCTCGGCGGGCTTCTCAGCCTTGCCCTTACCCTTCACGGTCTGGCGCAGCTTGGAGAAGAACGGAGGGGACTTGACCTTCTCGCCTTCCTCATCGGAGGTGGCAGACTTGTCCTTCTTGCCGAAGCCGAAAGGCAGAGAAGACTTGCGCTTCTCAGTCTTGACCTCCTTGGTCTCGCCGTTGGTGGCAGGGGTTTCACCCTCACCGGCAGCAGCAGTAGGAGAGGCGACCTCAGTGGAGAGAGGCTCCGTGGTCTCGACAGCCGGGATCACAGGAGCGTTCTCAGCGACGGGAGCCTCGCCGGAGGTCTCCTTAGCAGGAGTGGTGGGGGCAGACTCGGAAGTCTCAGCCTTCTTCTTGCCAAAGGACAGGCCACCGAAGATGCTGCGACGTGTTAGTCATCGAACTTATTAGTAAGATTAGTAAATATGACGTACCTAGCACGCTTGGAAGGAGTAGGCTTGGTAGTGGGCTCCTCCTTCTTAGCCTCCTCAGCAGGGGCAGCGGCTTCAGCAGCGGGGGTCTCCGCCTCAGGAGCAGCCTCGGCAGCGGGCTCAGCGGCCTCGGTCGTCTCAGCAGGCTTGTCTTCAGCGGGCTTGTCCTCGGCGGGAGTCTCCTTCTTGGCTTCTTCCTTCTTGCTGAGAAGGTTGCCGAAGATGGAGGCGCGCTTCCGGCTGGCAGATCGGCGCTTGGAACCCTCCTTCTTCTCTTCCTTCTTCTCCTCCTTGGGCTCCTCGGGCTTGTCCTCCTCTTCCTTGGGCTCTTCCTTAGCTTCCTCCTTGGGGGCCTCACCCTCAGCGGCGGCGGTAGGCTTGTCCTCCTTGGGGGGAGGGGTGGGCTTGAAGCTCTCAATGGTCTGCTTGTAGGTCTCACTCTCAGTGATGGTGGTAGCTAGCTCCTTGGCCTCGGCGATCTTGAGCTTGAGCTGCTCGACCCAGTTGTCACGCTCAGCGGCAGTGGGGGCCTTGAAGGTGTGCTTGTGGCCCTTGGCAGTGAAGGAGAACTTGCTGGTACCCTCAGTAGTAGGTTCAGAAGCCTCAGCCTATATACGTGTCAGTGCTAAGTTTTTTTTTTTACTACGAACTACAAAACATACGAGTTGGATGGCACCAGTAGGGGTGCTCTTGTCGCTCTCCTTTCCGTAGAACAGCAGACCCTTGCCAGTCTCGGTAGCCCATGCGGCAACGTGGTGGGCGACCTCGGTGGTCTTCTCGTTCTTGAGGTAGGCGGCGAGCTTCTCCTTCGGGACGGCCTCGGTGCCGAACCAGAAGTGCAGCTTGGAGTAGATGAGGTTCCTATCCTTTGTTAGCTATAGCTCCTTTGTATATAGAGGTCACATTGTCGAGGTCTTACTTGGGGAAGTTGGCGGGGGCACCCTTGTGCTCAAGGGTACCAGCTTCGATAGGCTTCACCTCTTCCTTCTTAGCCTCCTCGGCCGGTGCGGCGGCGGCCTCGGCTTCACCCTCAGTCGTCTCGGGCGCAGCTTCAGTGGCAGCGGCAGCAGGCTCAGCGGCAGGAGTCTCAGCAGCGGGTGTCTCCTCAGGCTTTGTCTCGGCGACGGGCTCAGCGGCGGCGGGGGTGGTCTCGGGGACCTCGACGGGCTTCTGTTCTTCGGCCATTTTGATAGATGGGGATTTTTGAAAATGAAAAATTGGGTATCAAGAAGATGGGTATCACTAAAAAAGGGAAATTAAACAATTGACTAGCTACTCGGAAGGGTATTGGAGTAGTATTAAATGACACTTCGTTGTCTCGTGAGTGTTGTATAGTTGAACCTCTGATGGGAAGTTGAAGAATAAGAAACACTTGGTATTTAAAGTCGAGTACGACAGGAAGGGTGGGAGGGAAAAGTCGAATTGGAGGACAGCAGCTTCTGCCGGTCCTTATTTATTGTCTCGTGATTCAGGAAAGAGTGACATGGAAAGGGTGCACAGTCCCGCGAAATTGAAGTACAGTGACTCTTACGGTGCCTGCTACTGTGGTGGTGGTCGGGAAGGCCAAGCATCAAAACAGGAGAACCAGGGATTGCGAGATGTACCAGGTACAGTGTATTCTTTACTGTAGTAATTGAGCAGGGATGTAAGTGTGGGACTGGCGGGTCGCGGGTGGTTGAGCGAAAACAGGTGACCCACATAAGTACATTTGAGCAATTGCACTAATTGACTAATCCCCCCCTAATCCCCTGTAGGAAGGGAAGAGAAAGCCCTAGAGGAACGAAAAAAAAAAAAATAGCCATCCATCCAATATCGAGGTAAGAACGATGGGATGTGGATGTGAACATAGGGGATGACCCGCTGTCATACACAGACCATGCTTAATCAGGCACATATTGAGATATACCTAGTACTGAATACGTACAGGATACAATATACTCTTTATTTTATGAGCTCCATATTAACTTAACATTTACCATAATTGTCAAAAATCAACAAAACTTCAAACATTGTAACGTCGACCTTGTCGAGGCTTCAAACGCGTCTCGATGCATTCGCAATGCAAAATCGTACAACAAACATCTCAGACTGACCGACACACAAGGGACCTGGAATATCTGGGATACAAGGAGATTTCCATGCTACGGTACGCAGCACATTTGCTCCTCTCTCGCATAACAACCCGGTCCTTACACCTAACTTGTTGCTGGGTCATCGCATCGTGCAAATCTTGCGGCTATGGTCTGTGCCTGCAACAATTTTTTTTTTTTCCCTGTGAAATGAAGGCCCTGTCTAGCTCGCTCGACGAAATTACAACGTCGTTTAATATGCACCGGCGCACTAGTGGCCATGGGCCATCGACAGGGGGTTAAGGGGGACAAAACTGTTTCCCAGTCATCTCAATGGACAGTCATCTTCATAACCGCGTACCAGTACTCTTTAGGAGAAACACCAGTACCGGAAACTTTCCTATTGAAAGGAAAGCCTCGAGTTTCTTGAACACCTAATCGTCAGGGGTTGACCCAGTCTGCCCGGCTGGCTATTGGCAACCCTCGCTTGGTTCGAGGCTTCGGAATTCTGGAGATCGATCTTCATTTGTTCACAGATGACAAGTTATTTTACTCTATCGGTGTATGTACGCAATTACCAAATGCAAGTGGTTCATCGTCAACCGTTGAACTGCGTTGCCTCCTTTGCGGTGTCGCTATTCACCGTTACACGGTTCAAAACATGTATGTACCCCCTTTTTTGCTTGCTTGCTTATTCAATAAGCCGGGGAGCTGGTCAATCACGACCTACCTACCTAAAATACATATTTGCATACATAGTACAGTCTTAAAAAAAGACACCGCTTGCCGAACCTGGCAATCTACAAGTTCGGTTCGGTTCTGGAATCGGACGACATTGCTGATGATAGGACGGCGTTGATCGCGCCGATACCACTCCAACACAAATATCCAATACATCCATCCAATGAAGCCGATATGCAAGATGCCCTAATCGCTGCAACACTTACTGCATATTTATCCTGCAACTCGCGGTCATAGGGCCAGGGTGTGGATAGCTCTTCTTTTGGGGGGGAGGGTTGGCGCCATTACGCTTATTGGGTAATAATTCGGATGAATTGTGGGATTATCAGAGTAGGTAGAGTAGATCTCTTCAGCGCAAGGCAAATGTCAGGAGTAAGTGCTATGGCATGCGCTATGTACATACCCATACTGGCTCAACAAGTACCGACGCATATTAGCTGCTTACGCCTTTTCCTGCAAGTCCCTACGAATAGCCGCTAAGGCACGTTTATCTCGACGCAGCGCTGCAGGAGAGCAAGCGGCGCACTCCAACCCATGTGACATTTTAGCTCCTCGTAGGCTCAATGCTAAAATGATGTGGGTGTCCCGGCCCTGGAAGCTCTGTCGATCAGAAGCTACCCCTTCAACTGAATAAGGTACCTTACGTTGGGAAGGGAAACTGGACTCAAGACAGTTAAAAGATGAGAATTTCGTGAATTCACATCGAAAGCTCCATTGTATTCCAAGATGAGGGGTCATGCTGAATTATCCCCTCGATTTCTTCTGACGAAGCTTCAAATGCGGTGTCTGTTTCAAGCTTCTCCCATCAATCTCTAACCGCTGACTGGTTCTCAGTAGCTCATTTGCCATGTACTTCCCGAGACCCTGACATGGGAATCCGAGTGGACCGTACTATGCCAACGTTGGGCTGGGCGCTCACTTGTCATCTTGATAACTTGATTCCGAAACGCCATTTATTTAAGCCGACATTTCAACGAGCTACCTATTGAATACGCCTATCGAAGCTGTTTCTTGAACGTGATGTGTCCATTCTTATTCGCTTCTCATTCTTCTTTCCGAAGGTCACGAATCAGGTTGATAGATATATTCAAAATCAAATCTTATTAAGTATATATAATTTCTAGCACGTCGCCATGCGTAAAATACGTCTAAGCTCTCGTAGCCTTTCCCGTTTTTACATTTCATCGGCTGATCATGCGAACCTATCAATATTGAAACTTCTAATATCGTCGCAGTCAATCCACGATCCACTTAATAGCTTTCAAACTCGAACCGTCCAAATCATTTTGTTACATTACAGACGCTATTCTCTAGACTGGTCAGACTGGTCTAGTTATCCCCCTCGTAGGTTATTTTGATACGTAATAATAGCGCTAGAGTCAAAGTCTCGGAGCGAGGTACTAGTAAGTTCGCCATGAGTCAAGGACCACCTGGGTCGCAGTACAAATCTGGTCACTATACCTCGAGTCTGGTTCAGAGGATGGGGATATTCCCGATGGGATTACTAAATCCAGTTGGACCCTGATGTTAAATATAACAACCCGTGACGCTGAATGACTCCGACAATGAGACAACTTAGCAATCTTTTATTCTCAGCTTCAAACAAGCGCCAGCCTACAAAAATCAGCTTCTTTGGATCCCTAATGCTCATCACGATCCTAAGGCGGCTAACGAAAGGTGCGCACCAACAGGTAGATAAGCCAATGATCGACAGCAAGTAAGCATGGCGCAACTGATCGCGTGTCCTAACCACCCCGCCAGACATCAGTCGAGAGAAGATTCTTTACATAGTATGTATGTCAAAAGGGAAATCTGTTGGAAAGGTACTGTTTGCTGTTTTGTGAACGGGACGGCCTAACATTTGACTATTACATAGCTTGAAACAAGATTTCATATGTGAGGGTATATATATAGCTCCCAGCTTTAAAAGAAAGTGAATAATGTCATACGGACAAATAACAAACTCGGCTATTATCATTGCATGCATGTCTCACACCAAGCATCTCGTAGTTCAACAATTGTTTGAAACATACAGATTTTCGGCTATGTGCATAGCAAGATTGACTCCCATCGCGCAATGCTATAGGTTATACAACTTCACCCATTCAAACATTACTTACATCACCCACCTATAACTACTTTGTCCCGAACCCATCCGTACGCTCCAGATGCCAGGGTCGGGTTGCATTTGATCTCGGTATAGCTTTCTCCTTCGTACATAGCATAACCGCCGGTCACCCTGTCACTGCGTTTATCGCGGCGCTCCCCGCCTATCAATGCTTCCTGTAGTGTAGCCATGCCGGGTCCTGAATTCCCGAATACAGGAAACCCTAAAAATAAGCGCATGACTTCTCTAGTGTTCGTTGTGGACCAATTCGTTTGAAAATACGCACCCTTCCCGACGCCTTGCGCCGTCGTTGGCCAAGCTGGCTGACGTCGAACTTGGTTGCTTTAACTTGGATCGTTGGCCAGATCCTTCTCGTAACTTGTTCCAGTAACTTGTCCCGAATTTCCCGGCGAGAGGCAGATTTACGTACAGTTTCCACCTATATACGCGTGGGCAACTTTAAAGAATGATATATCGCATGGCAATACGATCCTATAACATGTTTCAAGTTTCTTTGTTTTCCTCATCAGAGCCACTTTACATCTATACCGCTTTATGCGCATATTCCATAATAGAAATGCTACCTAGATCGATTCCCCGGGTTTTGGTTCCTTCCGGTCTAATTGGACTTCGCCATACGCAGGGATCGCTGTTGTTTTACGGTAGTTGGTAAAGATAAGATGTTGGATCTGATGACACTAGGATTGGTTGCACATTGTCCTGCCTGACCTGTCGGTCCCTCCATTATGCCCTTAAGGGTTGGCATAGCGGCCGGAGCAAGCCTAGATTCTTTCGTATGCTGAAGGAGCTGCGAAGTCTAGGGGCTCTTCTCAGGACCGGGCATAACCCCGAAACGTGGGGATTCCTTTGGTATCCCACTTGCCTACATAGGAGGTGTCTATGCTTGTGATTCAGGCCGACGGCGATTCTAGTGGGGTTATGATCGCCAACTAGACGGTTCATAGTATCGTTAAAATAACGGTTGTATGGACTGAGTCAATTGCTCAAAAAGCATTGCCACCTGACCGTGATTTTAACAAAGCTCTAGTTTTAATAGGCAATTTAGGCGATTGGCGAAGAGGAGAGCAAATTTGAAGAAAATCCTTCAACCGTAGGGCGCAGCAATTGACAACTTAGAAGTTATTGATGATAATCATTGTTCATAGGTAATCGTATACAATACTCTTCTCATCTGTGTCGTTCTCTAGATGAAAACGCTTACATTTTCCATGTGTATCTGACCTATCTCTTTCTCACACCAATCCACACAACCAAGAGAAGAAGCGGTGTTCGGCTTGACTATTCATCTCTTAGTTAGAAGCTAACAGGGGTCGTAGCACGTCTTCTTGGCGAAATCTGTCGAAATGAAGATATTTTTGCGATCACATATCGACAACTTACTTGATCTGTCGTTGCCACGAGTGAGTCGATGGTATCTTTGGGATCCTCTCTTTTTGTATCAAACCTCTGGACGTCCGGGAGGGTGAGGTAGTTATGTATTAAAGCTGTCGAGCATCATGCAGTTTGGGTAAGACAATCTCCGTGTCGTATCGACAGTGTTGCATTCAATCAGGCCAGATTTGGACGTAATGGTTCCCTGCCGAGCTTTGTCGAAGCTCGTGATCCTTGTTACATATTTTCATAGTAACCCCTGTATAGCAGTGTCCGTTAGCCGCGAATGTCGAAATCTCCGATTCCGTCCAACATAAACGAACGTTATGGGAATCATCAGATCAACTAGATCATTCCCCATTCGTGCGCCCCTCGGAGTCGTAAGAGGCATCTGGAATCTCATCCTCTCATGGGGAATCCTCGTAAAGGTTCCATTGCTATCCCCCTTTTTTTCGCACCTCTTGCAGCTTGTAAGAGGCGGTGACCATTGACGGGACATCCAGGTCGTTATCAAAGCTTTGCCTGCGTACCATTCAGGACGGCCAGTTGCTCATGCCCCGATATGGGACTAGTACATCTACCATCATCACCTCATCCCACCACACTTTGGTGTATGCACTGTAGTGTACATATCCCCCCTCTCTCCCCTTTCTGATGTCCTGCAGCAACACTGTGGAAGTTCACGCATCCCCACTCCCTGGCCTGCAGCTTGGGGTGTGGGTGTGCCTATGTGCCTACATACATATGTATGTAGTTGGACAAACTCCTGGCAGCAGACCGGAATAGCGTCGCATACGTAAGATGGTGTCTTCCCTAGCTTGCGTATGTCTCTCCAGGTATATTAACTAGGCATATTTCCGTCTGCCTATCTGTCGGTCGATATGCGATTTTCTTTGCGCGTGACAAGCAACCGATAAGTCTATCGCATTAGAGAATTCCAGTGCCGGATTCGATGTTCTTGATGTATCTGAACTGGATAAACCTTGCCGATGATATCGAATACTTGCGGTAGCTACGTTCTCCTCCCGCCCCCTCCCCTTCAACGATCATATGTATGCTTTAGCATGGCATGTGCCGTCGATTGCAGACCCTCATCGAGGTACCCGATGGATTACTACCGTTGTTCGCATCTAGCGTCTCTCTCGATCGTCGGCCATACCCCAGGTCCTTAGTCCTAGCCCAAATGGCGGTATAGACATAGAATGATTAGACGGATGCGTATGGGATCACCGGCAATAAGATCCGGCTATCGCTCGTTTCCGACAGCACCTGCATATTTGACGTGATATAGCCCGGGACGCTTCTCCCGTCACACTTAATATTAGATCGGCCACATGATTTGAGTTGCGGTAGTTCGGCTGTGGAAGTATAACCTGCGGTCGGCGGTTCTATTTTACTCAGCAAGCTCTTGTCGGCCGGTCCGTAGACATGCCTTCCGTTCGGCGTAGTTTCCATCACCGTATTTGTTTGGACGCATATTATCACCGGTATCTCTCGGCTCCTCCCACCTATGTTTCATTTCAATTGTTGCCTATGCACCGATATATGATATTCTCCTGCAAACCTGGCCCCGGATTCGGAATCACACAACGACGCAAACTGATTATATAGTTCGAGTATTATTGATGTCTCGAGGTCTTTTAGCGTTCCGTGCCCCCAAGGTTCACGCAATAGTGGACATTCATATTGGCTGGCGACGTATGGTGGCCATTGCGATGAGCGTCAAGAATACACTCAAGTTGGATCGGAGATAAACTGTTAGAGACCTGATCAAATCGAGCAGTATCCCATCAGACCGGTGTTTGGTGTATTCGGAGAAAACCTATCAGTGGCTAGTCCTAAGAAAGCGTAGACAAAGCGCTTGGCTAGGTGGCCCGTATGTTCCAAGCATCGAGTTACCACATTTCTAACTCCAGGTTTGGTAGCTCTCTTCTCGCTGACGGGAGCCGGTGTAAGCAGATAGGATAATGCGACTATCCATCCTTCTCCATGTAGATATTAATGTTGTCGTGATTATCTCGCCAGACTTATAAAAGCTCACAGTAAATTATCCCACCACCACTGATTGGTCATCGCGAAGAGATACCTCGGATCTGGTGGTGTTTTTACACTTGATGGAATGGGCTGAAGAGCAACGTGGAAGGTTAGCTTTGTACAGGTCCTTTCCAACTTTTCGCTACTTTCTTGTCCTCGTGGATGAAAAATGACACGGTCTTCTCAACAAAAAACGTTCAAAGATCGGCTCAAGCAACACTTCGGATGGGCTCTGGACTAGGTTAGATCGGGAGGTCATTTATGTATTTACTTCGAACGTATTTTGTCGGTCTCGTCGACCCTAATCGGCCTTGCTAGCCAACGACCAAGACTTTCTCTCGATTATACGGAGATTCGCACCTAGAGATACTCTGAAGATGTTTCTTGCTTTGGGAATTGGTTAATCGTGTCTCCGAGATTAAGCGGTCGCTTCTGTCCTTGGGTTTTCAAGCTCGCCAGGTTTAAACTGCCAGCCAAAAACGGTCCGATAATCACTGTTGAGGAACTAGAGCTGGATGACGGGAGATACGATTTGGGAACGAGTTGACTAACGAGGACTGGGGAGATTGAATTGGTTCGGTGAGCCTATTCGATAGGTATAAGAGCATTTCTCGAGTTGTTTCTAATCAAACAGGTTAAAATTCCCACTTTAGCGGAAGCAGTACTGGGCAGCTGATCTCATGTCAAGCCCGGTCTGATAGACGTCACAACGGACTCTCACGGTAGACGTGTGGGTCTACCCAGGAACCTCCGGTGATAATATGCCCGGTTGTCAAACATGCACGAACTATTGTTGTTGATGGTCTGGTTTCTGCTTGTAGAGAAGGAATTCGTAGGTTATGATAATTATGTTGGCCAGGGTTTAAGGTGTTATTGCGGCAAACGGGCAGAGCAAAGTCAAGCAGATATGTTAAATAACGTCTACAAACTAGGGATCTAGAGACGTCTTGTATTGAAATCCTACATCAGAATAGCAGTGTTTGCTGCCAATCGCTAAGCAGCCATGACTGTTGTGTGCCGGAGTCGTCCTCTGACGGGTTGTAAGTATACATATATGAGGGAGTTATCTTACAGAATAATGTTAAAACGTAGCCCCTAGTTTCTTCCATATAATAACCACTATATCGTACACTGATAAGTGTTTCTTTGAGAATATATATGAGGTTGGTTACATGTCATACTGGTTATATAGATACCACCATGTTATTCAACCCGCTGCTGCCGCAGGTACTATCAACGCGTAGATCGCGCGCTCTCGTCGCGAGTCAATCCATACTGTAATTCCTTTTCCATAGGTAAGCAAGCCTACCGTTCTTTTGAACTTCAGCCTGCTGTTGGTAGGTCTCGAGCAATTGGCGGTTCAAATTTGCCCAGTGCATAATTCAGGTATTACACTGGCTTCGCAGAGCCAGTTCCTCTTCACCTCCATAAGACTGGTAAATAGACACTGGCTTTGCATTAGCTCAAGCGAGCATAGACCATCGAGTTGTTCGTGTTGAACGTCGTTGTCAAGACCTTGTAAAGCTTCGGCCAACCAGTCTCCTCCCCCTTTTACTACTAGCCGTACCCACCATGCAATTGTTCAACCACTACACTTAGTCTCATGCGAGTGCCATAGCTCTGTCTCTTATTATTTGATAAATCAATTGCAGTGTTGACCATCAACTCGCACCAGCACCAATCTTCCTACTTCTTTTACCTTACCTTTGGCTGTAAATTCCACTCATACATCAACAGTTCCGTAATCAATCCCGGATTAACACTGATATCCTTTCTCAAGATTGCTACCGACTCTTTTGTAGCCTCTACGAGTAAGTACTTTCGCCCTTATGTCTTCTGCTGTCTTGTCGCACACAGGACCAGAACTTCTGTCCCTATATCTACCCTTCTCTCCATTGAACATTTTGTCTCCTCCGCACCCTAAACGTGTCCAGTGGCCGAGCGCGTTCAGCTCTACTCAGTCCTTCGCTCTAGCATATTCTCCTTCCCCAGGATCTACATAAACACAGAGATCACATACCTGAACCCAATTGGAAGCGCTTCAATCGCACAAGTTAAGCAGTCATTGGCTATTTCTATGAAGAAGGTCGGCGTCGCGCAGACAACACATGAAAACCCAATGCCCCCAAACCCATCTGTAAAAACCTGTGTACATTCCTCCTCACCCAGCCAATTACTCTTCCTCAACTTCCATCTAGTTGTATCTGCAGAGATTTGCTGAATTGTTCATTCTCTATACCTTTCTTCCTCCCTCAATCGTCACGCGTTCGTCTACAGCCATTCCACTACTACCCACAAAAGGGACACATGTCTACTTACGTACCTCTTTTATTTACTGCGCTAATTTCTCTGCGAGCGCCTATGATTTACTTTGGTTTGATTGGTCTTGTGGTATTGGCTCGTTGGCGTTCCCTTCTCGTCTCCTTCTACAGTCTCCTCCTGCCCTTCGCTCCCACCCTACAATACTCCATGACAGCACTTATTCCTAGACGACTTAATTAACTAATAAAAGCGCTGAATAGATAGTTACCGGCAAAGTTAGTTCCACCGTACGTCAAATTTACTGGTTTGACTTACGTTCTACTTACAAACCTCCCCTTCAACACCCTACCCTTTGTGAGCACCTAGACTAATCGTCCTATATAGACGCCAATGGACTATATCTACGAGATGCGCCCTTCGGGCGATTTGCCGTACATAGACATTCTCAATTACTTCAAGGAGAACCTCCCAGAGAGGTATCTCTTGGAGCCAGACATCGAGGATGCAGAACAACCTTACAATGCTCTTCGCCGTGTAAAAATCGACGAAGCAACAGAGGTTCAAGTGGCGCAACAATCAAAGGATTTCGGATCTCTGAGCCACGTCTTCCAGAGAGATTACCCCGGTATTGGCACCTATACGTGGGTATTTTTCCGTCGCAATCGTGGAAGTTTAGATCACGGGCTTGGCCGTGCGAACGAGAACATGTACGAATGCGCCAAGTTCAACGTCATTCGTGGTCCTAGAGGATCCCAAACGAATAACCCGGATTACAACGCGGATACCCGAGGTTTGGCGTGTGCTTTCGACGAGCAGATGCTTCAATTAGCAGCTTATCCCCAGACGAATCACAGAGTCATGAGTGTAAGTTCGTCCGATATATTTCTTCATAATCATCGTTAAATATTTGACAGGCACCTCTCTTGCCGCGATGTGTACCATTAGAGGAGTTCGGACCTGGTGGAGAAGTGAGCACAAGAACTCCGGGTCAGTTCAGCATCCCGAAGAAGCAGCAGCCTTCGGCCTTGACTCGTGTCTTCGTGACACCGGAGCTGTGTCTAAGGATCATGAGCATGATCAGTCATCGTTGGGAAGACGTGTCCAATTTGAGCCGCACCTGCCAAACGATTCTATTCGCTCTCAATAACATTTCCGTAAGTTCTCTGAATATGTGAAAGAAGCTAGAAAGAAGACTAATGTTTCGATAGACTCACGTGGATATCGGTCAAGGAAACTTCCTGAATATGAACGTCCCTGATCACGTCTTAGAAGATACGAACCGAGAATATGGATATATCATAAGGCCGGGCTCCTCCGAATTTGTCGTAGTCTCGGGCATACGACAATTCGCAGAGGCTAATAAGCCAACTTACCGTGGCGTAGTTAGGAACATGTTTCCACTAAGTAAGTATTTTGAGATAATACCTAGTTGACCATGAAGCTAATAATATCTAGTGGAGACTATTAGTGTGCGAGGGTTGTCTATGAAGATCCTTCAATTGCACACAATTCCAAGCCTCAATATTAAGATTTTAGGAATGATCCTCAAGTGCCTCCCCAACCTCGAAGTTTTGGGTGTACATAATTGCGAATTACTGCATTTCGGCGCTACGATACCATTGCTGGAAACTGTTGTTTCGCACAACAGTGAATCCGGAAAAGGCCCCATTCGGGTTGACTTTTCTCCTTTTTACTATACTGGGATTCGATGCGAGGACGGTGGAAAAAAAGGGGAATACGGGGTAATCCCTTCCGATCTTGGCACTATTGAAACCCGCAGAGCAGTTGTGGCAGTCCTACGAACTGCCATATCGATAGCTATCGAGAACGGTATAGATTGGTTCTCTCCGGGGACGGGTATGCGTCTATTCTTGGACCGACTCCCTTGGGCGATCGGCTCCATACGGTACATTCTGGAGTCCTTATATAACTTGCACTATTTGGATGCTGGATTCTATGGACCCCCAGCCGACAACTCTTCATGGATGAACGCCATCAAACGTACTCTTTGGAACGACTTAGTCCTGGCCATTCATGGCAGAGCAATGGGCCGCCGAGAATTGGACTGCATCATGACGGATGGAATGGGTAATCTCAACCTAACGAAATGCGTGGGATGCGAAGTGGACTTCCCTCTATATTTCTATACCAAGGAATCGATTGAGAATGATCCGTCCCTGACTAAATGTCACGGGTGCGAGCTTCAGCTTCAGCTATATACCCACGTTGACAATTTCTACCAGGAGAAGAGGGACGTGGCGGAGGCACTTGTACTCGGCGGCCAAGTTGATTTACACACGCTACTGAACGGCAAGCAAATCGCCACTGGAGAAGAGTTGGGAGATCGCAGTTTTTCGTTCTGGCGAATGTCAGTCAAGACCAAGCAAGAGGTCCTAGAAGCATGTAGCGGGAACACCAATGCCTTGGTCTTAGATGGAAGACCCGGTGGCGGACTTCCGGACGATTATAAACAGATCTGGTTGTGGAAGAAGAGCATGGATGGAGCGACAAACATAGCACACCGGGATATCGACGATGGGGCTGTGAAAGCTCAGAAGAGGATCGCCATGTACCAAGGCAACCTCGACCGACTCCACGACGTTTACTTCAGCGGCGCTTTGCGGTGTGAAGTAAAAAAGCAATATATTCGAGACAAGGCCGAGGAGATGAGCCGACAAATTGACCGGCAAAGAGCCCGATGTGGACTAATCCAGATGGGCGGTAACCATTGCTCGGGCGCTCTGGCCGCAGCAGACTGGGATGCCGAGATAGAAGCGTATCGACAGACTCTCAAGTCCATTGATCGGATTAGCAAAGACACCGATTGCTCCAAGACGCCTTGGGATCTCGTCTTCCCCACGGTCTGGTAGATCTTTCCAGGTGCTGATCGGCTGGTGAACCCTACGCTTGTCAGCAGATATCAGGACAACTTCTACATGCTGCTAGTTTCATTGGCGTACTCATCCCCAAGAACGGATAATTGGTTGTCTTTTATTTAAACTTGCTTCGATTGCTTCTTTCCTTATGCTTCTCCATTACTGCTCTGAGGCTTTTCGACTTCAACGCCTGGACATAGTGGAGACCAATGGTTCGACTGTTATAACTCAGACTTGATGATATACCTACTTGAAGCTTTTGTATGCGCTGTCCACAAATTTCAGATTGACACCTTTATGGTTTTGATGGCGCATTGGACACGGGAATTTGTCGTTACGAAGACAAGTTGGTCTGAAGATATACTACCTTATTGAGATTCCGCTTGCTATCTCACGATACGGAACGTCTCGTGGTACGAACAGGCCCTAGAAGTCTACAAAGACTAGGGTGGAAAGGGAGAGGAGGGTGATAACTTGGACAGAGCTGGGGAGTGGATGAGAGGCATTGGTTGCGATGCTTTTGTTATCAGGATTTTCTTTTTTTCCTTTTTTTCATTTCCTTGATCTTTGGTAGACAATTGAGACTTTGGCACGAAGCACTATGGGCGGAAATGTACCTCTCCGCACACACGCACATGGCATGGGACACATGATCGGTATGGCCCTTTCCTCTTTGAATTTGGCTAACATCAACAGACTGGATCCCATAAAAGAACGTGCCCAGACAGGTTTCGCTCGAGGTTTCCCTGATGCCGGATAGGGGGCGGGTATAATTGGGGCTTTCCGTAATAGGAAAGAAAGGCCGAAAAGCTTTGCCTTGATTGGTCCTCTTTCCCGCTACCGCTCGGCGCACACTACGGAGGGTTACATTTGCTGCTCGAGTTTCTGATTTGGCGACTTATACCATACTTACCTACACTTGAGATGAATAGTGCTTGAGTTGGGACGGCCGCTCCTTTTGGATTAATGAATAGGTGTCGGGAAAATCATTAACATGCTAACTAATACCGGCACGGAATTTCCATGATTAGCGATCGAAAATAATATGATGGCGGCCGTCGACCGAGATTAATTCCAGTAACCCGCCGAGATAAGGAATACGTACCGTTAACGATCCTAGCGGACCCCTATTTTGATACCCCGACGCCTTCGAGCTCCCGATAACTAAGACGCAATTTGCGACGCCTTCCTCTCGAAATACCTAAGACATCTACTCCGCGCGAAAGCTCTCGGTTCGAGACCCATGCTATATATCTCCCGTATTCGTACACGATCTGTTACACTGGAAAACAAACCTTGCGCGAGGAGGCAAGGACACCACAGAGGTCGAAATAAAGATATAAATCTCGACTAACCGAACTTTAACTGCATGCATAGGTCAAAATCTACGCCCCATAAGTTATGGCGAACTGCAGCTTCCTCGGAACAGGATCCGGGCTATTTCGGGACTAACTCGGGCCCGCCTTCCAGCATTGCCTAAAATGTAGTGTATATTGATCTTTGCGAGGAGACGTAAAGCTGATTGGGATTGGCCATCAAGTGTCGAGCATCCCGTGCTCTCCACCTGTAGCGGTAATTGCAACACATGCACGACCATCTAGTCATTTTAGTCCTGCTCTAAATGGTGGTATCAGGATGGTCTGGTCGTTATAGGAGTATTGTTGAGTTTAGTCAGAAATATTCTGCTAACATAATCGTATATGTTTTGGCGCCGCAATAGAGTCGTTAGAGTTTCACTAAGAACCTATGGGTTCTAAGCCCACTCTGTAAATTCTCCCTGAAGAGCTGAGCTCCAATGGAAACAGCTGGGGCCGAATACAATTTACAAATAAGGGGTATCATTTCACCACTACCTAATCTACAACTTCGGCACTCCTGCGAGGTATCAAGACTCTTTGGCAGCTTGACGTACCGACACAACATTCTTCAGGTTTCCGAAGCTGAGGACGTCGCCGATCCTTGTCGCCCCAGAGAGCAGCATGACCAGCCTATCGATGCCGCAACCCCATCCTCCCGTTGGTGGTAGCCCATATTCCAAAGCCTGGGCGTAGCTCTCATCCACTTCGGCTTGGCCGTCGCCGACCGCCGCCGAGTTCTTTGCTTCCAGTTGCAGCTGGAATTTGCGCCGTTGCTCGAACGGATCGTTTTCCTCTTCGTACATATTTGCGATCTCGCGGCACCCGATGAACAGCTCAGCGCGAGCAGATACGAGCTGGCCGGTCTTGGGACAGGTGAAAGATTTGGAGAGGGGCGACATACAAGCGGGGTGATTGGTGATGAAAAGGGGATACTTTTCAGAATCCTTCTCTAAGTACTTGCTAGCAAGCTCATCTAAGATTTTAGGCATCGTCGCGTTTGGCCCTGGCGTAAGGCCCGCTAGATTTTCGGCCAGTTCAATGAGCGTGGGAAGTGAATTGGGGTCCGAAAGATCTGGAAACTTGATATCGAGAATCTCTTGCAAGGCTGGAATGAATTCGACTTGCTTCCAGCGCGTTTTGGGTAGCTCGACATTTAGCTTCTCAAGAGAGCGGAGCTTCTGGGACTTAAGTTCCTCGGTCTTATTAAGAAGGCCAGTGATCAAATCCTCGGTCATGGAAATCAGGTCACTTAAGTTGGAATAAGCAGAATAAAATTCGCACATGGTGAATTCGGGGTTATGACCAGTGTCGATGCCTTCATTGCGGAAAGCAGGCCCCATCTCGAAGACTCTCTCATGACCGCCGACGACTAAACGCTTGAGCCATAGCTCAGGGGCGATCCGCAACGCAAGCTCTTTTCGCGGGAACTCGGTAGCCGAGGTCACGAATGGTCGGGCAATTGCTCCGCCGGCGTGATCTGCTAATATAGGTGTTTGAACCTCTAGGAAGTCTCGCACATAGAAGAAATCTCGCATCCATTGCATAATATGCGAACGGAGACGGAGTATGTCAGTGGCCCGGCGGTTAACCAGAAAATCGACATGTCTATTTAAGACTAAAGTCTTCTGGTCATGTATGACCTCGGGGAGTGTTGCTACGCAGGGGCTTAGAATGGTAGGTAGTTCGGTTGCCCGTAACGTCAATTCACCCGCGTCCGTTCGCATTGCCGTTCCTTTGACTGAGACGATATCGCCACGAAGGAAAGGACGCATGGCATCTTTGAACTGTTGAGGCTCAGGTTTTGGTTTCGAAAGTTGGTTTAGACTAACCATGACTTGAACTAGTTGTTGATTGCCTATGAGGTTGAAGAATATTAACTTGGACCCGGATCGCCTAATAGACAGGATCCGACCTTCTAAGACGAATTCTTCCGAGGCCGTTTTAGTGTCTTCATACTCATACTTTTCTCGAAAGTCGGATATGCTTATTCGATTTGGTCGTGGCCCAAGCCTTGGGTAATGGAGAGCATTCGATTCCTTTAGCTTCTGAATCCGCGTGTCAATGGGATCTCGACGACTAGATGAAGCAACGAGGTCTCTTGCCGGGGCCTCAGAACTGGAACTAGTAGACCTCCTGGACGTAGAAGTATGTAAAGCTCTGCTAGATGTACTTTGTAGCCCTAAGCATTGTGAATGTCCAGTTTTTATGGGATGACAGCGACTAGCAGAAAAGAGCCGCGCGTATACAGCTGTCCTTGATGATGATAATGGGAAGAGATACGGTCGTAGGAACCTAAGGTATTGCCCATGCTCCATTGCGACCTAGACATACTTGAGCTTGTTAGTAAAATACTGCACTAGCATTGGATGAAGATATAGGGGAAGGTGAGCTCAATTCAGATAGGCTGGCTAATTGAGATCAAGCACCACGTGGTGGTGTCAGTCGCAACGGTTCTTAAAAGCAATCTCATCATAATGAGAACGTGTAATGAAAATAACAATTAATTGTTCAACTATACTTACGTCTAGGTGAGATCTGCCTTACCAATTTGGAAGAACAGACTCCTAAAACTCAATCCTATTCAATTTTTGAATGTTCTCGTCCTTCGCCAATCTGAGGTTTATTTTATGTGCGATATGCGGGACGCGGGACACTATGCGAACTTTTCTGCCGAAGTTAATCCGGCGCCACAGGTTAATCCGCCACCGCCTTCCGAATTAGGATGACGGTTAAGTTTAATGTTCTTTTTATCAGAACTTGGAAGCTTCTAATCCGATATTCGAGCTCTTCATCTCTCACGAAAATCATAGACAATCTCCATTACCTCGTCACGCCGCATTGAAAATGTCGTTCCTCGGATTCGGAAGACCGCAGCCCTCTTCGGAGGAGAAGATTTCAGCCGTCCAGGCAGAAATGAAGCTCTTGACACAGATGCACGACCGGTATGATGCTTGGCCCTCCGGCTTCTTACGCAACGCTATGTTTTCTAACCTTATCTGCCAGTCTCACCAAGGCATGTGCGAAAAAGTGTGTTCCCAACGAGTACCGGGAATCTGAGCTTAACAAAGGCGAAAGCGTCTGCCTCGACCGATGTGCTGCTAAGTTCTTCGATGTCCACATGAAGGTGTCGGAATTATTACAACAGGAGATGCAGCAAAAAGGCATGGGTGGCGGTGGCGGCAGCGGGTTCGGATTCGGTGGTTAGTGCGAAACAAGGAGTGCTGTGTAGTGCATTATACTATATTTGGCCGTGACAGGGCCTACTCCCCCAACGGCCTATTGAGACCAGTTGTGCGATACGAATGACAAGTCCCGGAGTATGATTCGAAACGGTATACAAGGAGACTCTGCTCTGCATGCTTCTGGGACCTTGGTGTGATGGGGTACGTTACATACGACATGTTGTACTATGGAATCATTTGGCCTAGGAAATGAATATTCCTCTCATGAACACATTCCAATCACATCTTTTGCTATGAGTGGGATGATGGTTATTGGTTGTTCTGTACCCGGACATCATGAAATTGGTATGTGCAGCGTTAATTGACGATGATATGGAGTATGAACTTCGTTGTACGTCGGCATGTGTTCTAGTGACGCAGGATTCATCGAAGATGTAGGCATATTCCATTGATACTATCGGGATTGACACATGACAGGTATACTGTAGGTGGGGGCAGTTCAGGAAAACCTGCCCAGGTGTTATTTGAATTTGCGTTTCAGGAGGTTACTCTTGTCCGAGGCTGGGCATGTGTATTGTGGCTTAACGTAGTTATCGGATAGACGGCGGGTTTCATGGCCTCGGTTCGGTTTGACTTGTGTCGTTTTCCATGATACCGGCTCCGTGGTCGTTCAGCTTCACATGCTGCCGGAATAATCCGGGACCACCATACGTGGCGCCCACCGTGCGTTGCCCTAGCTGAAGATCTTACATTCTAGTGTCGTTACATTCGAGTATGCGGGGAAATAGCCTTGCAGAAATTCATGTGAAGATATCGAATATTACCAATATTACCAAAGTTTATGTCAAATCTTTCATTTTACTACTCATAGGTTGGTTAATGTATAATGGCATGATCTATTGTAGGGAGTACTCGGAAGCCCGGATAGACGTAATGTATATCGTCCTACCTAATAGCAAGCTAGGCAGTATTAACATAGGAGACATAACAAGATAGGTTTGAAAGTAATTAAGAATGGCTCTATAAAATAAATGACGATGCTGTACGAAGTAGTAATAATTACCCCGGAGTTTCTATGCGCTGGAGACGCGGAGATAAGAGGCAACCATACTGTTGGTAATTATAACCGAAAAATAAGCTTGGTCCGAGCGTTCCGTGGGTAAGGTGGGCCTGGGGAAAGTCCGGTGCTCGGGTAATTAAGCCATCACAGCCATCTCAACAATTGGTGGGATTGTGTGGGATTGTGCGACAAGCTTTTGATGAGTGTCTACCTAGGAAGCTTTCGTTGGCTGATCTCGCCTTCCTGCAAAGAACATTTCCCCGCGCAACTCTACATTATCAGCCCATCTTTCTAACATTTCTAACTGGGTAACCACGACTCAGTCGATATAACTATTCCCCCCCAAGACTAAATCCGTCCGTCTTGTCTGGTGTTAGATAACCTTTTCCCTTTTTCTTCTTTTTCTTTTCGAATTTTTATATATACTATAAATTCATAACCTTCATTGACACCATGGACTTGTCTTGACCTACCTCGTTTTTTTTTATCCCAGTTGGGTTCTCCTCATAACTATCGCGCGCACGTTATCGCCTGTTACTCAAGTAATAGGTATCGTCGTATTGTGCGCTGAATCGTCCTGCATTATCGCTATCGCTCGAGGCCAAATCGTAGTCTAGAACCCGGAAAATCGAACATTCCCGCGTTACACCACCACATCCGCGACGTCCGAATCTTCCCGTAACTCGCTTTCCGCCTCCAAGCATAACGTCGCCGTTTGCAGGCATCCCGCATTCCGCAGTTCGACGCTCCCCGCACCTTCCCCGCGTACTATGCGCCTTCGCCGAGCGGCCCGCGTAATCCTCGTCGGCGCACCGGGAGTAGGCAAGGGCACGCAGTCCGAGCGACTGCTCTCGCGCTTCCCCCAGCTGTCCGCGATCTCCTCCGGAGACCTGCTCCGCCACAATGTCAAGAATCGGACCCCTCTCGGCATCAAGGTCGAGAGGACGATGAAGACGGGTGGTTTAGTCTCCGACGACTTGATATTGAGGTTGATTACAAATGAGCTCGGCCGTCGTGGCTGGCTCTTTGGCGGGAGACCAAATGTTATGACACTTTCGTCCTCCATAGTCGATGGTGGCTTATTGGAGGGCGCTCCGGATGCGTTCGAGTCGGCCCTCGAGGCCGATCCCCTGGCTGGAGCAACTCTGTCTCAGCAAGCGTCTGAAGACCCCGCCGCTTCCTTTCTACTTGATGGCTTTCCTCGTACTTCGACCCAGGCCAAGAGATTAGATGATATTGTGCCCATCAACTGGGCAGTCTCCATTCAGACACCACTCAACGTCATAATGCAGCGTATCTCATCACGCTGGGTACATGAGCCGTCTGGTCGAGTCTACAACACTACATTCAATGCTCCAAAAGTACCCGGCTTCGACGACATTACCGGCGAACCACTTGTACAGAGAGCCGACGACTCCGAGGAGGTATACAGGACGCGATTTCGCAAGTTCCAAGAGACGAGCGAGCCTCTGCTGGAGCATTACGCGAAGAAGGGCGTCCTATGGGAGGTCAGTGGCATGAGCAGTGACGAGATCAGCCCTAAATTATATCAAGAATTTGAGCGACGCTTTTTATGACCTAGTTAGAAAGTCCAGGCTGGGAAGCGTCAAGCGGTTTTCTATGGGTGACGAAACGAATTAGATGAAGTGTATATCAGGTTGGGATTTTTAGAGTGAGCGACACGCTCACTGGAGTTCGGGGAACTGGACAGCGCGAGCCGCCCAACGAACGGCTGACGCTCTGCTTTTGTGTATGCTTTACGGTCTAGACCTAGGACGAATCGAATAGCCTAAGCAAATATTTTTTTTTCAACAATTCTACGATCTGGAGGCCGAAGGGGACTTGGGATTTGAGTATGAATTATCTGCAGCTTACAGTGTCTCGAATGTTAGGTACTTCCGGCCGTTCCGACCCAGCCACCTGTAGTGACGAACCCGCTTATTTGTCGAGATCAACCAAAATCTACCTTGAAGGCATCCACCGAACCTATCTAATGACATTTATCCTGCCTCCTGTAAGGCCCCACCCCAGTAACATCCTGGATAATTTCCACCACGGCGCTTCGACAGCAGTACAGCTTGAAGTTCGTAATCAACCCCTTATCATCAAAAACCGCCGTAGCCGTCTCCGGAAACACGTCAATCTCCTTGCCGTGTACCAGGAGACGATTGTTCATCTCTACTGATATCTTCGAGCCACTAGTGTTTTCGAACCGTTCTACGACTCGCCGCTCCTTGATCCGCGTATCTTTAAGAACGTCCTTGATACCCTCGACGACGCCCGGCCGGCCGATGCTGGGCGTGGCTAGCTCGCGCATGCTGAGCAGATACGCGGTGCAGTCTTCGGAAAAGAAGGAGGCGAATTTGTTGAATTCGGCTGCGGATGAGTCTGGGTTGAGTGATAGCCATACGTCGTAGAGGGCGTCAAGTTTGGCGTGGAGTGAGGCTGTAGTCGTCATGGCGGGGACTGACGGCAGAGCTGTGAAGTTAAGCCTGGCAAGTCAGGTATATGACTTTTAGGTACGTAAGAGCAATTTGAACTGATCTAGAGGTAATGGAAAGTAGAAATCATTTTCATTCGTCAACAGTTCACCTTATATTTACATATCGGCTTTATATCTGGCGGCCCCTGATGTGTTAATAGAGCTGCTCTCGACTGATGTCAATCGATGACTAACGTTTCCCTGTTGATCGAGTAATCTCATCCTTGAAGGAAACCCATTACCACTTTCCTATTACTACTATGTCGCCGTTGATATTCTAGAAAAGTCTCCTAATTAGTAAATGCGGAGTTTTTCATCATTGGATTCCGTTATCACCAGAACCGTCCTTGACTAAGCCGCCGGACGCCGGGCACGGACGAAGCAAGAAACGTCAGCAGAAGATCTCTACCCGATATATTTGGACCTCGCTGGGTTTAAGTGGCCTTTCCTTAGGATTCCATAGGCCACAGCAACTCTTCGGATATGGAAGAGCTAGCTACTTCCCCAGTTTTCGAACGATACTTCGGTGGCTGTCAATTCCCATATGGCCTAATCTCGTAATAAATCATGATCGTATTCCCCTCCAAACTTCGTAGTCGGATATCCAATAGGGGTATGAGCCCCCAACGCCGGCCCTTCCCGCACAGTGAGACTTATCATGCATACACCCATCACTGGCCTTCCTACGAGGTATATTGTAAGATATCGGTAGCACAGGGAGGAATTGTATGTAGTGCTAGTTACACCATGGATGTAAATCTTCCGACCGAGCGCCACAGATGCAGTAGTATATACAGTATATAGCTACAAATACATATATACGTTAGGCATCTAGGACCTCGGTAAGTAGGTACTTACATATCATGTAAGTCTTAGCAAATCTCGCGATTTAAGAGCAGTACAACTCTTATCCGAAGGATTATGGGCAAAGAATTGATTCAACACTCCCGCAACAGTCGAATTTGTCACCCCATTTGCAAGCGTCAACCAGTGCTGATTCGAAACAGCCGTATCGTTCACCCACGCGTTTGAGCCGTTCGTCGCCACTTTGTTATACCCAATCCGATTCCCGTACTTAAACAGTTTTCCGATGCCTAGCTCGCGGAATCCCTCGAGCCCCACTATCCCGTAAAGCGTCGTGACCGGGTCCCACGACTCGCGGATGGTGCTACACCGCCCCACATACCACTGGTACGCCGCAAGCACGGGCGAGTCTGGCAACGCTTCTCTGGTAAGGGTTTCCCCTGAATATATGTTCCCGCCAAGTTCGCCCCCGGAGTACGTAACAGGCACGCTACGCGGCCAGTTGTTGACGACGCGGTACGTGGAGGCGGGATCGCCGCCGCCAAAGTTGAATTCCCAGCCTGACGGGTACTCTCCGCCCATTATGACTAACTCCTTCACCTTTGCGGAGATGAGAGCCGGGCCCGCGAGAGATGAGATATCGTCTGCGGGGCTGTCAAGCAGTGCAGCGAGGTTAGTCAGGAAGCCGATTGAGATCAGAGTCATGCTGTGATCTTCCGCTGCTGAAAGCACCGAGCGGTATAATTCCAAAGGCGTCGGCGTTGTTGACGAGTCATTCAACGAGCGAGGCCAATTGTAAGCTATCTTGCTCGCGTATTCGCTTAAGCTATGACAATATGCCGTTAGCAAGGCTATAGAACGAAAGTGACGAGAAAACTCACGTGTAGGTGTAAGTATCGAAAAAAGACTCATTTGTCAAAGGACGCATGGCCGCAATTGGAATATCTCCATTGCCAAAAAACGTATTGAGGGCATTCGCAGCCAGCGCGCCATATTTGGAGCCGGTGTTTATGGCGACTCCGCGCAGGTCCGCCAGTCCGTAGTTGTGCAACACATTAGCCACCGTCAAGGAGCCGACGTCGTCGACGTCTGAGAAGATATCAGTGTCGATGATAATTGGTTTCGCGCGGGAGGAGCATGGCGTGTTGTGCGCGCTCACCGATAAGAAAAAGGCCGATAAGGCGAGGACGACGCGACCAAAGTTCATGATGAATCGGAATGGGGGAGGCAGGGAGGGGCCTTGCCCGCACGTGTTGTTGGCGGCACAATCAATATAAATAAACAGGAGCGGGGAAGATAGCCGATCAGAAACAGAGCCGCAGAAAATTGCCGTTGGCTACATCCGTTCGGAATCGGGGGGGCTGAGCCCGCCTAGATACATAACCCAAGCAGATTGACCTCTAAACGAAGATATAAGGCTCTATAGTATCGGGGAAAAGCGAAGCCTAATGAGAGATGAGGAGACATGAATGCGCCTTTTCACATGCATATCAGGAACACTTTCCCTAGTAGTGAGTTTAAAAGTCTTGGCATTCAGGGGTTATTTTGGAGGACTTCTATAGTTAGGTATATCATGTTGGTTGCATGCTCAAATGAGAATAATCATCTTTTTAATAGATGATTAATTCTAAGTACAACATTGCGATGTTTATGTCTCACCCAGTGCCATATGGTTGCACTTAATGATTTGTGCTTGTCCTTGGTACCCCCGAGTCTGCTCGTTAAGATTTCAGCCGTGTCGAGGGATTCAGGAGAGAACTACTTTCCCTGCTGGTAAAACTAGCCTGAAGGCAATAGAAGAATCAGATAAACGTTCCATGATTAATGAATTATTGCCGTGGTTTCGGGTTCATGGAGTGACACAGAGTATCCCCTTTGATGTTGTTAGATTCGAATAATTACTTAGATGATGTGGAATAGTCACGAATATCGAATGCGAACGATCAAAAAACACATATGGATCATAAATATCATAGATACTAGCATTTGATGTGAGGTAGGAAAAATACACTGCGGAGCACTTGATCACCTAGTAGATTCCATGAAGCAAAGATTCCAAGATTATTCTTTCATCTCATAGTGAAATAGTTCTACATATCCCAGGTTAGAAACATGTGATCATAACTCAAATAGTTCATGGCCTCGTTTCCACAGTGGCAGTTGACGTGGAAGAAAAGTGATTTTTGCCTGTTATCATGATAAGGAAACCATATTGTCGTGAGAAATTCATTTGAGTTATTGGATAAGTAGGTCGTGTACGAGTACTTAGGTACCACTTGGACAGCAGTTTCCCGGAGTGAAGTTTAAATAACACAGTAGAGTCACAATTTCCATCGGCGGCATTCAGATCAACGGCCTTGCTGGCAATGGTCTAGTTGGTTAGTGCCTCAGACACCTCGTCTTACCCCCATAAAAGACCCCCCTGAAATGGGGTGGTCCAGGGTTCGACTCTCAGGATTACCATTTACAAAAAAAAAAAAAAAAAAAAAAAAAAAAAAAAAATAGAAGAAGAAAGAATACAGTACTATCAGTACTATGGAATCTCTGGGGCCTGAAATGGAGTGGCAAAGAAATACCCAATAGCGGGGGCGCAGTAGCCAGGAGCCGATAAATAATACCTCGGGCTGGGCCTTTAAAATTTCTTTTTTATCGAGTGTATAGAAGATGGGTAGTAGACGTATCATCACCCTTAATGTCACGTAAAAGGCCGTGAGTATGACCTTTGCCGGATATCAAGTCGGCCTTGAGGTAGGTAGGAGGACCTACACCTTGACCGCACCGCAATCTTGTTCCTGAGCAGGCGTCGAGTCGCTGACTTCCCTACGGGGCTACTTTATCCTTAGTGACGAATCTTGTTACAATCCTATATTGTAGCCCTACTATATAAATTCGACTTAAGTCGATCTCGCCATCATGCCGTACGGTCAGCGTTGCTAGTGAATATACCGCGTTCCGCCGCACAACTCGCATGGAAGGCCTTCGTTCCTAGAACTCCTGAATATCATATTTGTCAATTTTCACATAAGGATATAGTGATGCCGCCTTTAATTTGATGAAGTCGTATCTATAGATACTCTTGATTGACCCGTAGTATTTGTACACGTTAGACCTCCTTAATTGGCCCTTTGAAGTAGTGTCTTGCCTTTAATATGTACCAAGAGATACTAGACAAGAGAACAAATCCAAATACCAAGACGCTCCAGTTAAACGTTTCCGGGGCTGGGTTCGTAGTCTGAGGCCAAAAGGACCAGAATAGAAGCAATGCGCTGTACATGCAGGCGAAGGCGTTGTTCACGGTTCCCAATGGCTCGGGGAGTTTCCAAGGACCCCACGTCGGAGAACCAGAATCATGAATATCTATACCTGGTGTGTAGGGTTTGAAGCCTCCTGTGCAACGTCGCCAGAGAAGTAAGCAGCTCACAAGGAGGTAGGAAGAATATAGCGCTGCGACAACAAGCGATAGTAAAGCGGAGAGCGCGACACTGGGTGCGAGTACCATCAAAGAGAGGACGAGCGTAATCGCAGTCGTTGATAATATGGAATTCATCGGCAATCTATCTTTGGTGAGCTAGTAGGCGGGTTAGTAAATCGAAATTGTGAAGGATTTTCCCAGGTGTCTTACCCTGACTAGGTATCTGCTCAGGGGAAGCCCCTTATCTCGTGAGAACGACCACATCATACGGGATGCGGAGGCATAGACGCTTATGGAGCTCGCTAAAGATAAGATGAAGATGATGCCGGCCATAAGACAGGCACCTGTTGTCGACTTGACTGCGGATTGGAAAATCTCGAGAAACGAATAAAACATCGTGTTTGCTGCTTCAACTGCCGCATCTAAGTCCGATATGCAGAACATCAGACCCACGATGATTGCGAATGCAAGTGCTCCATTTATAAAGATGCTATACATCAACGCCCTCGGTACCACTATCATAAGGTCAGTGAGCAATACATTATTCAAAGAGAGCTTGTAGTTCGAGGTCTTTTGTCAACAATAATATGTAGATCAGTTGAAATAGGAGGCTCTGACATCCGATTTAGGATAATTACGGAAGCGGGATAACATCTGGAAACGATTTGGTACGTACCGATGGCTGCAGACTGGATCTCTTCTGACATGTGGACTGCACAGTCAGCACCTATCAGCGCAGTGGCAACCGTGGGGAAGCCAACGAGAAAGCTCAACCCTTGGGTCGGCCAGTTCCCATTATTGAAAAGCGTGGTAAAGACGAAGTCTGGGGGATTATGCGGCGCGAAGTACACCATAGGAACCAATATACCGAAGAAACCCGCCAGATGGAGAACAAGGATTAGACCTTCGAACTTTGCCAGCACGCGGCCCCCAGTTAAGTTCAGCAGTACGGCGAACGATGTTGTCGCCCACATCGTAAGGATAGTGTGCCACGATAAAGGCGTGTATGTGGGATTTGCCAACACGACGATACCAAGGAGGATGGTGGAAGTCGTGTAACTAGAGGTGATAGCCATAGCCTGCCAGGCCAGGGTTGTAAGCCAGGCAGTGACATAAGTTAAGAAAGCAGAGCAGGACTCTGGTGCTATCATGGCAACCCAGTGATCTAACCATGGTCTAACGTAAGCAAGATGTCTCGAGATAGACCAGAAAGGATTGTAGCCTCACATTGTCCACCGGCTGTTGGTGCGACCGATGCCAACTCCGCCATCGTGGCTGTCACCGAAATGGTCCCAATCCATCCAAGAACGAACGCCCATACTACGGCTGCCGGGCCCCCAAGGCTAAAGGTAGGAACGGAAGTGACCAGAATTCCTTCCCACGAGCACATGGCGGAGCATGCTAGTCCAAGGATGGACATAAAGCCAAAACTACGATTGAGTAACGGTCGCTTTCCTAACTGTCTGAGTATGATATCATCTTGATTGGAGCCGCTCGATTGCTCTGACTTCGTTAGGAATGACATATTGCCGGATTGAGTTGGAAGCTGAAGCTCGATTGGCTCGATCGGTTCGATGAAGTCCTTTGACATGGTGAAAGACGACGATGACCTTTGTGATTTTGGGAAAAGTACCAACAGTACCAACAATCCAACACTTCTAAAAATGTAAATGATATATCACCCCATAAAATCCGAAAACCAAAGCGCAAAACCCGACTTGGAGGTCGGTAGCATGTGACTCCCCGAGTCGGAATTGATTGAAATTGAAGCAAAAACCTACTCCCAAGTAGGCAGGTAATCACGGCGGTGCGGTCGGTGTTGCTAGGTTGTTGCAGTTTTTCGTAAAGGCAAGCGCCGTCCTCGCAAGCACTTCAACCGCTCAGAATGATCTCAGTCATATTCATCCCTGCGCCACATGGGCTCGCCTTATGCAGTTAGTTGCACCTTCCGGGACCGAGTTCTGTCATACGTACTCTTGATTGGGTGGAGGGAGGAATCGAGGAAGTCCATTGGGTGTCTTCCAGAATCTGAAATGGAACTAAGTGATGCTGTGTAACACTCTAACTGGTGGTTGGCCAACGACCAAGCTTTTCGAGTGAGACGTAATTCAGCTCCGGTGGTAGGACTTGCTCCAGCCGCTAACGCCAACCCCCTATATCTACCCCCTAATTTCACTAACAAAAGCCTCGTGTCTCGGAGTATTAATGCACTATTGGCCCATCAGTAGTTATACAACCAATGTGGGCAGACCTTGCGGGTAGTGCGGTTACAGTCGTACGTAGAAGAATCATCCAAAATAATTATCATTGTCCCTAGAGATGTTATCAATCAGAGAAAACCATAGGTATTTCGACTTCATCTAACGGACGTTAGTAATCTTCTATGAGAACTGTTTCCTACCAATCTCAATGGTAGTAATAGCATTACCTAGCACCAATTGGGATGTCTCTTACGCTCTAAATATCGATGAACTAGCCCATAGATGAGACTTTCTCCCATCTTGATGGCTAACAATCTCGGCAGTAACGTGATCATACTTTTATAAACTTCAATGGATTGGACGACAACATCTTAGTTCTACATAATGAAACAGGACGACGATACATACAAATGTTAGCGTATCTTAAGTCTGACCTCCACACTCAGGAGTCCTACCTCTTAAGCAAGGATAGTGGTGAGATTCACGCCCCCACCATAATCGAATTCTATCGTCATCGGAACTCATGCAAGACTAATGTGTAGTTCATAGGGCTGAAAAGAGCCAGTCTTATTAACGATTCGACGGCTGGCTAACGTAGGTAGGTACGTAGTAGTTACCTAGGGACGCACACTTAGATACCTCCATACTCCCCAGGAGAAGAAACCATAGGGAAATCAAGCATTAACCAAAATAATCCCTACACACTGATTTCTCTTGACCCTTAGTACATTGATCTCGCGCGAATTGAGAGGATCAAGCTCGTCCATTGAGAAACAACTCGTTACTACTCATCCGCTTCCTCTTTCACATCCGTCTCGTTGACGATGATCTCGTACTGGCGGCTCTCTAGAGGCTCTCCAGATTTCAAGCCACGTGCGTCAGAATTTGCTACAATCCGTAATTAACTACCTAACTATAGGGCATTTAATACAGGTTGAATGTTCACTTACCTAGAGGTATCGATGAGACCATGACGCTTAGGCCAAAGATGGCCAAGCAGAGTGACTTGTAAAGCATGTTGTGTTGAGGCGGTTTGCTTGTAAAGGATAAAAGCCGATGGAGTTGAGATGAAACTTGGTTGTCAAGTCAAAGATGGTAAAGTGTCAAGTTCTAATCCCATGCCAACGGTATTATATATGTATCTGCTTCTTTATATTGAACCAGATGACCTCCATGACACTCATCAGTATAGATGTGACCAATCACTTTGAACAAGCTAGTCAATGTGTTAGTCTCAGTGCTTGCGCCACTAATCACACAAGGATGACTACCTTCACCGCGACTACCGAATGTCCTACCCAGATTTTAGAGATTCCTGTCAGATTGTATCACGGCCGATCTGTGATTCTATTGGAGATTCGGTGAATGGGGACGAGATAGTCATGAGTTTCTGAAAGTCCTAAGCAATGCTGCTGTATGACCACCCTCACCGAGGCCAATAAAGCGGTACTTTAATGCCTTTTTGCTTTTGATATTGGGTGAAAGAGGCTGCTTACTCCCATATCGGCTTCACGATGAGGCGGAGTTGGTAAGACGCCCCGACGGGTGTGGCATGGGCTTTGGCGCGATCGAGTGTCACTTGATCGCCTAACTCTTCAAGTCATATTATCCCCCCGGTCTAGATCCATCTCGCAATGACATGAACATGATAGGGTCATACATTAGTGGTTAATGAAGGCATGGTTCACTTCAACTCACGTTTTTATTCCATACAATCTTCTCAATCCCGATACACCAACTCCAAAACAAAAGAAACTAGATTTTTCTGCGTTTGGTTTCATTATGGAAAAAGACAGTGAAGATTCCGAAGTGCCTCTACTTGATCAAAGCACCAAAAGCGATGGCGTGGGCCCGGCTATGACGTGCCCCTGCCGTAATGCCTCTACCCCTATTCGATCGTGGACAAAAGCAATTTTACTTGTAACATTTTCGTTGTTAGTATACATTGCTGTACTATTGACGATCATTGTTGTAAACGGTACTGCTCAACCAGTGCGAAAGGAGTTATCTTTGCCAATGCGTGACCGCTTCAGTATGTATACTACTACCCTCATCATCACCGTGGAACTGACATGACAAAAGCGCTACCGAGAGATCTTCTAGAGTTTGAGGAGAGGCAAGGCTGGTACGCGCTTCAGCATCCATGGAACCAGGGGCCGTCTGATGAAGTTGATAAATTATGGGGTGATATGTTATATGGTTAGGCCCTATGAGACTCAACTATGGGTATATATGATATGATTTTTCGCTAACGCATTTAAAGCGCTTAATATCCGGATCAAAAAGGAGGAGGTAGACTTCCTTGGCTTAAACACAACGAACCGCGTCCAGCTCAATGGGGGCGACTATCTTGGAGTGATAGGAGGTTATCATCACCTTCACTGTCTCAACAACATGCGCATAGCGATACACTGGGATTACTACAAAGATAAGTACGGGAACTACAGCCGCCAGGAAGTTTTCAGTAGGGAACACTCAGGTATTGCACCAGATACTCTATACCCGGCTCCTACGGTATCGAAGCTAACTACACAGACCATTGTATTGATACGATCCGACAAGCGCTGATGTGCAACACGAACACCGAGGTCCATACCGCAGAGTGGCAGGATAGAGCTCATGAGTTAGGAGACAAGGAGTTAAGCGGACAGTCTACGACTACCTGTCTGAAATGGGAGAGTCTTGACAAGTGGGCGCGTTCAAGGGCTCTCAGGCCCGGAGAATATACCTTCAGGCCAGGCCCGTATTATGGGAAGATTTATGACTCCTAAGATTTGAGTGCTTATCGAATAAGGGGTGGCGCATTGAAACAGCGAATTAGGTTTACTATTAACGGAGACTTTTAAGGTGCTCGAAGTGTTTTCTTGGATTATTCTATCTTTATCTTCATCGTCGATAGTTCAAAACTACTTTATAGGTACTCGAGTTGTCAACATCGAGATTTCTTACGACTTTTCATGTTCTTCTAGGACCGTGAAGATCGTCGAGATATACCTCCGTATTAATGGACCTATAATATATTCTCCTTTAATTTGGGGGCGACAATGCTTAGTACCCAGGCGTGTATGTAGAGAGCAGACGGGATGTTGGTGTGATTGTACCACACTGTGCATACAACGTACCTATTGCAACGCGGCACCATAACCCGTACGTCCGGTTTCTTCCTGGTAGGCGGCGCCCTTGTTTCACCCCCGCATCTTGTGTAGCTTACTCTATCGTATCTATCGCAGGACTCCTTTGTTTGATAGTCGGGTCGCACAGGTGAGGAGAAAGGCGCGTAGGGCAACAGCGTCAGCAATCCCACTATGGCTACCTGCATCAGGGGTAACACGAATAAGCTTACCGACGAATAGAAGGGGCAGCGTGGCAGCGTGACAGCGTGACCTAGGTATGGAGTTCCCGGTCTTAATTGAATAAGTTCGAGACATCACGACATGTTGCGAATCTCACCCATCCAACTTTCGCCAATTACCGGTTGTCAGCCGCCACTATCACACCCATCTTACATCCTCATCCTCCTTCCCCCATTCCCGCCGTCCCGCGTCCGTATTGGATTCTTTTCGACCTAAAATCCTGCAATCGTTCCCAACGTCCAACGTCCAACATACCGCACTCGGGGATGGCGGCACAGACCATTTCGGAAGGCGAAGTCGCCTTCGACGCACCCGGTGCCGGCAAGCCGTGTAAAACCTGGTACAAGATTATCGGGAGCCTCGATTCCGAGTCCGTACCTCTCATCGCACTGCATGGAGGACCGGGAGGTGGCCACGAGTACCTAGCGCCGCTGGTTGACCTCCACGGGAAGCACGGGGTCCCCATCGTATTCTACGACCAGATAGGCTGCGCCAGGTCGACGCACCTGCAGGAGAAGAAGGGCGACGACTCGTTCTGGACCTTCGACCTCTTCGTGAAGGAGCTCGACAACCTCGTCGATCATCTGAAGCTTCGCGAGAAGGGGTTCTACGTCCTCGGCCAGAGCTGGGGTGGTATGTTGGGGAGCACGTACGCTTCCCGCCAACCGCGGGGACTGAAGAAGTTGGTGTTGGTCAGCTCTCCGGCTAGCATCCCTCTCTACATGGAAAACTGTAAGACTTTACTGGCTGGTCTGCCGAAGAACATCCGCGACACTCTCGAAGAGTGCGATAGGCTGGGCGACCACGAAAGCGAGAAGTTTCAAGAGGCGGCGTTGGTGTTTAATAAGAAACACGTCTGTCGAATTGATCCGATGCCCGAACCAGTGGTAACTGCCTTCCAACACCTAAAGGAAGATCCTACCTCATATGTCACCATGTAAGCCGTCTCGTATTTAGATAGATATCTATCTATTCAATCAACTTAGACTGACTCTTCATAATAGGCAAGGTCCGTCCGAATTCATCATCGAGGGCACTGCTTTCAAGGGTTGGGAGGGATTCAAGCGAGGCCACAATATCCAGGTGCCGACGTTACTTATCAACGGAGGATACGATGAGGTAGGGGATGTATGTTTCGAGCCATGGTTTTGGACTATTCCGAATGTGAGATGGGTCACGCTCCAAGGCGCCAGTCACATGTCCCACTGGGAGGAACGGGACCGGTTTATCCAACTTTGCGGGACTTTCCTCAATGGCTACAAATGACCTTAGATAGCAGTGTTGATCTTTCGGGGTCTTGATACCTAGTGAGACGCTACGATCGCGCTAAATGGGTAGTGCGCGGAGGGGAATTGTCGACGCTATCTACTCCGTTATTAATACTTGAGTTGCGTTTCGTCCGTCCCTTTCTTACATAACTTCATCTTCTTCGCGCCAGCTCATTATTCATAAGAAACCGTCGTCGCGGGCTTCCGGACCAGAGTAGACTAAACATGCCCACACTCGAGGTTTCGCACTTCAATATCGTGCTATCCCTTTTGGGCGGCTGGTTATCTTTATTCGGGTTGGTGTCGTATTTGGTTAAAGAGAGTCTCTACATTTCCGAGGCCTGTAAGTGTCTTGCCAAATACCATTCAGCAGCGAATTTGGATACGCCGGCAGCAATGGTAGGTATCTCTCTTCTCTGAACCTTGCTAAACGGTTGGATGCGCAGTAATCTCCCTCTTAGCGGGCGCGGCTTTCTCTCCGTATGCTGCCAACCTGATTGATCCCTTAGAGTACGCGGGATCTCGCATCAATCTAACCAGTGCTACTCTCAATTTCACCCGGCTTGTTCTAGGCATACAGCTTGTCATCGCTGGTATTCAGTTGCCAAGTCGTTATCTAGTGAAGGAATGGAGGTCTCTGCTCTTACTGCTTGGCCCCATCATGACGCTCATGTGGGTGACAACAAGCTCCATCATTTGGTTGATGATCCCCAGGTTACCCTTTTTACATGCTCTTGCTATCGGCGCCTGCGTCACACCGACGGATCCAGTGCTCTCTAGCGTCATCGTGAAAGGGGGATTTGCAGATTTGAACATCAGCAAAGATCTTCAGAAAATTGTCATCGCAGAGTCCGGGTTAAACGACGGACTCGGTTATCCATTCCTATTCTTCGCGCTGTATCTCATTAAATACACTGGCGGTGGAGAAGCCGAGTCCGGAGGCGCCGGTCACGCGATGGGACTCTTTCTCGGTGAAACGTGCGGATACGTTGTTCTTTTAAGTATCGTTTACGGCGCAATTGTCGGTTGGGTCGCCAAACGGCTGCTTCGCTTCTGCGATGACCGCGGCTTCATCGACCACGAGTACTCCATGGTATTTGCTATACCTTTGTCGCTATTCATTCTAGGGACTTGTGGTCTCATCGGCAGCGATGATATTTTGGCCTGTTTCGTAGCTGGTAATGTTTTCACTTGGGACGATTGGTTTCGGCTGAAAACCCAGGATGAGGTGATGGCAATCTTTCTCCCCAACTCTTCCCGCAACCACTGACGTTTTTCGCAGTACCTTACCCTTCCATGACCATTCAACAGTTCAACTCTCGATATCGCTGCTAATCCATATATAGCTTACTACAGCCCACGATCGACACCCTCCTTAACGTAGCCATCTTCATGTGGTACGGGATTGCCTGCCCATGGAACCTGTTTTGGGAAAATGATACCATCTCATTCTCCCACTTGATCGTATTAGGCATTCTTATCCTTCTTTTCCGCCGGCTTCCCTACATCTTCGCATTTCGGTCGCTGCTCCCTCAGACCAGAACCAGGAAGGATGCCGCATTTATGGGATTCTTCGGCCCCATAGGCTGTTCAGCGATGTTCTACCTCTACATCACCATGGAGTTCGTCAATGGTCTCAAGATAGATGATGGGGACGTATTTCGAGAGGACGTCAAATTCCTCCGCCAGGATGTAAGAGTTGTTGTTTGGTTTTTGATGATATGCAGCGTGGTGAGTTTAGTCCCATTTCGGTTTTCGCTGCGATTTCGAAATTGACGAGCTATAGGTGGTCCATGGGCTCTGTATACCCCTTGGTAATATAGGCCTACATTTGAGACGGGTTGCTAGTGGAAATCTCCAATTTCGAATGGATCGTTACCGCACTGGTATTTCTTTCGGGAATGCCTCCTTGTTTTCGTCCGAGGCAGAACGACAGCCTATCTTAGGGAGCAGGTTATGAAATCCTTGAAGCTCTCATGGAGGAGAGTCGTTCGATCAATACCCCTTCAGATTCTCGCCCAAGTATCCAATGAAGCTGAAGTTACTATTCATTGAGGTCTTTAATAGAACCCCTCGGCCCCTCAGCCAGGTAGATAGCATGTGTGTTATTCGTTGGAAATGTGGAGACGGACGAGAATGGGGCACGGATACTTGGGGCCCAAACTTGTTCGAGTCTTGGCTCTAGGGCAATAGAACTAACTAGGTGTTCATTGACTAGTTGTCTGTAGTTGAAGCAAATACGCCAGTGGCCCCTTCGGCACATCTTCACGTTCCATGAATATCTCCACCATCTTGAGTCCTTTCTTTCTATCCAACTCCCCGCTACCTAGGACCTTCTCCAAATCTCCCCATGTTCGCGCCGACGCCGTATATGTGTCTCCACTCGCACCGAAGAAGCTGGGCGCTTGTAGATATCGCCAGGACGCGACGTCGTTGTATCCAGCTTTAAGCCCGTGGATGCAACGCTCGATAGTATAGCCGTCGTTGTTTATGAGGAACAGGACAACGTCTAGATTATTGCGGATGATGGTTCCCAGTTCTTGGACAGTCATCTGGAAGCTGCCGTCCCCGATAAATAGGATCGTGCGCGCATTTTTGATGCCGTGGTAGTTGGACGAACTTATAAGTTCACGTTGGGCCAGCGCAGCGCCTTGTGCTGCGCCGAGCATGTATCCTATGGACAGCCAAGTCACAGGGGTGAACAGACGAACATGACGCGGAAGGGCCATTTCTCGGCATCCATATCCTGCAGTGCCGGTTTCACCAAGTACGATATCGCCTGGTCGTAACATAGTGGAGAGAATACGCCAAAGCCGGTCCTGTTTGATAGGACCATCCTGGGAAACACTGGTGAAGTTGTCCGACTGGTCTCGAGGAAGATCAGGATATGCTGTATACGATATTATCCTTGATGAGTCTATCTTGAGTAGAAGTTGAGAAACTGCGTATCTCGCCGGTATATCGCGAAAGACTTGGCCATTTATCCGGATTTCCGTGTCTGTAAAAAGGATGGCGGTTTGCGTTTTCGGTATGCTGGAACTGGCGAAGCTGTTGGTAGTGCTGAAGTGGGGACCAAAACACAAAACAAGGTCCGAGTTCTTGAAGAAACTCTGGACTTTCGCATCGTCGAAGTTTCCCCTATAAATTCCATGGAAATTTGGCAACGTTTCGTCTAACAGGCCTTTCCCAAAACCGGATGACCAAGTTGGCCATTTAGCATGCGAAACTAATTTCTGCACGTCGCCGATGATGCCAAGCGCTCTAACCTCACCATCAACAAGGATAATAGGCTGTCTGGCTTCGTATATCTTGTCGAGAACCTTGTCTATCACCGAGTCCTGGTATGCGTTCGGTTCGACGGTGGGAAGACATATGTTGTTTTGAAGTTGTTCTGCCGAGACCGGCGCTGCAACGAGGTCGACTGGAATCTCAAGATAAACTGGCCGACTATGCAAGAGACACTGCTGCAACACATAATCAATTTGAGCGGGAGACGTTCGAGGGTCCCTGAGGTTCGCCTGAGCTACAGTGACAGGTTGGTGCATCTGCGCGAAGCGCCGGTATTCTCCATCATTGAAAGTATGGTGTATCAGAAGCCGCGAGTCTTGAGATTCTCGTGGTGGTGTACCGACGATATGCACGACGGCTGCCCGCTCAGCATATGCCCCGGCAATGGCATTAATGGCAGATAATTCACCAACTCCAAAGGTGGTGACAAGAGCGCCTATCCCTTTAATTCGAGCATATCCGTCTGCGGCATATCCGGCGTTCAGCTCATTAGCGTTGCCAACCCAATGCAATCCCGCCGGCTCGACAAAGTCTAATAGATTGAGATTGTAGTCACCGGGCACCCCGTGTAGGGAATCGATCCCTAGCTGTTTGAGGCGAGCGAAGAGGTATTCCGAAAGCTTGAGTGTGGCCGGCATCGCGTATCATCGGCTCAAAATGGAGGTTTGGCGTGTTGATTTGGGGGACAAAAGATGATCGTTTAGATTGGTGGTCTCCTGACTTTTATAGTCGACTAGCGGCCTCGTTGTTACCCTTCTAGGAGGGGTCTAGGTTGGAGTGACCAATCATATTCGATTTCTCCATATGCCCCGATTCTTTCGTCACTACAAATACGATCTCTCCGGCTTCGCGATCTATACCGGATTCAATAACCTATCTTCTAGTTAAGCGGAATCATGCATGATTCGGGAGATAAGAGCGAATGTCCAGTCTCATCCTCCAGAAATTACTGAAGATGTTTACGAACCCAAGTTACGGGTCCGGGTCAAAAAGTTGGGGCAACCGGCTTAGTACTGTAAAAAACGCGGGTCTTCCGCTACGGGCTTCAAATGTCTCAGATACGATATCTTTAGGGGATATTCGTGCGGCACTCTCCGGACCCTTCCTCCTAAAAATCAATAGCGATATGTAAGAGGTAGATAGGCAGAATTCAGTATGTAAGGGACAAGCTGGCTCGATTACATAGATGCCTGGCGAAAAAAGAGTGGAAGCGTATGGAATCTCATTTGATACGGTGGTTTATCCCACTGATTCACGCCCCCTTTTCGAAGGCTCTGGGGTGCCTGTCTAAGTAACTTGTGGGACAGCCTCGACCGCTAGAACAACGCTATATGTCTTTTGCAGTCATGAAGACTCGATCTCTGTGCTCAGGAATTATTCTGTGCGCAAAAGCCACTGACGATGGGCAAGGACGGGTAGTTGCAGATGCCACGAAAAAGCGCGATGGCGATATTCAATTCGCAACAGATTCCAACACTTTCCGAGCGATATCATCGGGGGATTCTTCCTTCATCTCGAGGAGATCTACATCCGAGTCTTCTTTGGATGCTACGATGCATCGTCCTCCTGGACCAAAAAGCTGATATACCAGAAGCTCCAGAATCCAACCGCTAACTCCGCCCTGGTGCTTTTTTCTTCCACTCTCGAGGAGGTCGCTCGTAGCCGCACGTTTCACCTCCCACGGTTGCCCCGAGACCCTTTGAAAGGCGTCCAGGAGTTGATTCTGGCATACCTGAATTGACCGCGCCTTCACATGACGGTTTGCGGTTTCGTCCGGATGCTTCAAGACGCCGACTACAGCCTGCGCAATACCTTCCAGCGTCGTTCCGGTGAATTCCACGGTGCCGTCGTCGTAAATGACTGCGGAACGCTGTTTGACGTCGAATCCCATCAGAGGAAAACGTTTAATTGCCTTTAGTTCTCGATTAACATTTCCCAGCCCGCACTACATTGTCCGGAAAAATCTCACCCAGTCGATCGGATTGCCGATAGTAATTCCAGTGTAAGTAAAGTTGGAATTGGCTTGACATAGTTTCTTCGCATGGTCATAAGTGACTTTTCTCTGAGCGCCAATCTCCCGAAACTCGGGTAAGCTGTTGAATTTAGGACCCCAACCAAAGTCGTCAACGATAAAACGTTTGACGCCTGCAGCTTCGGCTGCGTCAATCAGAGCAATCTGGGCATGAAGACCGCCGGGGCCAATGACAGAAATAGCTGCATCTTGGCCTGATAGTGCTGCGGTCAACTTCTCGACCGTGTACTCTGTCCTCACAACTGGGATTCCGTCAGGAAAGGTTGACTCGGATTCGATTCGAGTAATGATAGTCACTTCAAAGCCTGCTCTGGTCAGGGCAGCCGTGATGGGTGTGCCGAAGTTACCCGCTGCCTATATCTGGTTAGTCAAGGTGTACAGTGCGATTTTCGAGAAGATGTGATTGTATTTAGTTTCACGGTCCCGGTTTTCAGGAGATAAGGCACAATCACTTACACCAAAGATAGCGACCTTTTTGATAACCGACATCTTGTACAAGACGCTCTTGAGAAATGATCACAACTGACGTTCAAATACAGCACAAATTAAGATGCCTACTTACCTATTATATATAATAGAAGCCTAAGCGGGACACGGGATTAAAACCCGAGATCGAACGGGTTTCAATAGGCGGTGATTTATAATCTCATCCTAGGCAGGTCTTGCATCTTGATGGAATACTATCAATAGCGAGAGCTGTTTGGTTCTATTAGTGTTTCCGTCAATGACTGCACTAACTCTTTAGAGATGGATAAATAAGGTATTATCGTGCAGTTGAGGTTTTGAGTTCGAACGTTTCATTTCCAAAGCTTGTGAACTTGAAGGGAATTTTAAGATGATCAGGTATATATTTGATAAGTTTGGCTGTTCATTCTAGAAATACATATCCAGGGCCTTTCATTATGATATCATTGTAACACAGGAAACACAGGGATCCCCCCTTTTCAGGGGTACCCGGGTACGCTTAAGTAATACTGATACATGAATTAGGATTGGCGGGTTTTACCCCACACTCAGCTCCGAGAAGACAACTCTCCAATCATCGATATTCCGCGCTCAGCCGTTCCATCGTTTCATTTCTGACAGCCTCACAATCGGAATATTTGAAGCGAGTACTTCTTACTTAGTGGGCGTACCTAGTGGTGACTTGAGGATCCGTGTGTGCGCCCTCATATCCTTCTACACTGCCTCCTCAGCCAGAGTCATATGTTCAGTAGCTTTGCCTCGGATCAGGATCCTACAAAGCCGTCTGCGCGCGATTCCGAGCCTTGATGTCCGGCTAAACTGCCATTGGATATCGGCATTCTTTAAAACCATGATTTGAACTTCAGCATCGATATCTAGTAGATTTCTATTCTTATCCGTTATTTTCTCTATACACTCTAGGTCAGCCGAGATCAAGATGACTATGTCATTTGTCCGCGCCATATCCCTCATCTTCGTCCTGGCTCTCAGCAGCATTGCCTACAAGCTATCTGATACCGGCGTAGATGGAGCGTCGCTGTTACGAGAATGTCCAATATTCTTCACTGCAGCCAAGAAATGCGACCCAATTGCGCCGAAAAGTTTCCTGCCTGCCGATGTTATGAGCGTCGCAAAAGACAAAGACAAGGGATCTCACTCACCAAACTTCAATGTTTTGGCCGACATTTTAGACGCCATGCAAGTCATGCAGACGGATTATTTCGCACCATGGCTCGGAACTTGGCCTGAGGCGATCGACTGGACCGCTGCCGTCATGGGAACTCACGTCTCCGGTGCCGTGCGCAGCCTTTCCGAAGCTATCTTCCACTTCAACTCGGAATGGGAAAGTTTTGTAGACTGGAAGTTGCAGACAAATCTGGTCGATAAGTACTTCGCCCAGATCACGGCTTACTATTTTGGACAAGACGCTTTTGCGATCCGGAACGAGGCGTATGACGATATCCTCTGGGTGGTACTCGGCTGGCTCGAGACCATCCAGCTCGTCAACGTTCATAGCGACTTGCATTTCAAGTCCGATTTCGAAGACAAGGTCTCTACGCCTGAGGTGGATAGTTTCCCGAGGCTCAGTTACATCTTTTTAAACCAGACATATCATGGAAATACATGGATTCCTGCTTTTGCTCACCGTGCTCGCGTATTCTGGGAATTGGCATCAAACGGATGGGACACAAAGCTGTGTGGCGGAGGAATGGTATGGAACCCGCGTCTGTTACCATATAAAAATGCAATTACCAACGAGCTATTTATCGCTGCTTCTATATCGATGTATCTAAACTTCCCTGGCGATGACAACCCGTCACCGTTCTACGGTCCTAGAAGCACAGATAATTCCGCCCTCCACACACGCAGCGGTCCAAGAGACGCGAGATACCTGAAAGCTGCTGTGGAAGGTTACAGATGGCTCGCCGGCTCTAATATGACGGACAAGCAGGGCCTATACACGGACGGATTTCACATCAGTGGGTATCAAGACACGGGAAACAACAACACGAAATGTGACCAGCGGAACAATATGGTCCTGTCATACAACCAAGGCGTTCTTCTCACTGGGCTTCGCGGGCTCTGGGAAGCGACAGGCGCCTCATCATACCTCTCAGACGGCCATAAGCTGATCCAAAACGTGATTCGGGCAAGCGGTTACGACCTCGCCTCGGATTCGCCCATTGACGACCTCTTGATGCTCCAACCAGGTCATCTTCCAAAATGGCACGGTCTAGGTCGCGCAGGCGTTATGGAGGACCCCTGCGACACGAGCGGGACCTGCAGCCAGGACGGACAGACCTTCAAGGGCATCTTCTTCCACCACCTAGTCGGCTTCTGCGCGCCTCTAGTTGAGCCATCCCCTTCGCCCGACTCCACCGTCAACACCAAGATTGACGGGCGCGCGTTCGCGGCAGCTCGTGACTCGCACGCGGGAGCCTGTGCCGCGTACGGCGGATGGTTGAGGCACAACGCGCGCGCGGCGCTAGCCACCCGCAAAGACGGCAAGTTCGGGCAGTGGTGGACAGCGGGGCTGCTGGACCGCTGGACCGGGCCCTGGCCCAGCATGGCGGACGACGGGGTGCCGCACGCGACGAACGGCGTCGATTACCGCAACTACGGCGTCCCGAACGACACGACGTGGCGAGCGCAGCCTAGCGACGGAGTGCCGTCTACGGAGCCAGATCAGGCGCAAAAGCCGCTCGCTGGCATAGGCGAGCTTAGGAAGCGACAGGAGATGCAGGCCAATGAAGCGGATGCGGAGGCGAACACGAAAGATCCGAATACGCGCGGGCGCGGTAGGACGGTTGAGACCCAGGGCGGTGGATTAGCGCTTCTGAGGGCTTATTGGCAGATCGTGCATGCGCCTTGATCGGGCAGCGATGCACGGTCGGCGATGCATCCTATTGGGTGTTGGATAGAGTGGTGCCGTCGGCTTATATGATATTCATCATATGATACATTTGAGGTGTGATCTTTAGATCTAGAAAGGGCAAATATAGGGGTTAGGATATTCTTTTGAATTTCTAAACCTTAAGATATGTATATAAAGATGGAAAAGAAGATATGGCGATCTTTTACGTTGATCTATTCATACATACCTATATATATATCAATACATAAAAGCACGGCAAGTATCTCATAATAGGAAGTGTGTATATGATATTTTACCTTCGAAGACCGCGTAGAGTCCAGAATCTGGTATAGAACAGTAGTTCGTATTGTATCTTAATGTCAACATCCATCTCCCTCTCTCAAAGGATAGGAGCAGTCAATACCCATCAAACAGGAATGGATACATAGCTACGTATAGGTAGTGTATTCCAAGAAGCCGATACAGGCGCCAGTGAACAAGCTATTGCGTATGCCTTCCGAATATAATTCCATGACTTGGATTTACTAAACCAATGACTCCCTCCGCACGCATAAAACGTACGCCTTTCATCGATGACCTCCGTTACGCGTTTAGCCCAGCCCGGCCTAGCCTTACAAATGCTACAGTACAATTGGTTACAACCTCCCTCCCTTTCCTATCTTCGTAGTCGTGCTCACGAACACGATGTGTTTGTTACAACGGAGATCCTCGTCCCGTACCATCCCGCTTCATATCCGTTGAAATTCGTCATCCACCTCGTGGATACCATCCATTCATTTCCTAAGCGCGGATGCTAAGTCCCGGGCTCCTAATCAGGCTCCTAGTTATCCCGCCACTCGCTGCCGTTACCAACACCACTCGCGTTCTTACCACCGCGAGCCGCCCCCGGCGCCGGCTCCGGCAGTCCCTCATCGTCGGAATCCTCCTCTTCCGACTCCTCCTCATCATCCAGCACACGAGCAAGCTCATCCGGGTCCCGCATCCGCGCGTCAGGCGCCGCGTCGTTAAACTCGTCGTCGTCATCGTCGCTGCTGCTATCATGATGTCGCACACCCTCCTGCTGAGCCTCGTGCACACCGTCGTCGGCGCTAATCGAGATGCCTCTAGCGCCCCACTTGCTCCTCCTCTGACCACCGGTGGCTCCGGCCGCGGCCCCGACACCACCGTTCCTGCCCCCGAGCGCCGGCGCGCTCTCCTCGTCCTCCGCGTCAGCGGCCTGAAAGCGCTTGTTGCCGAAGATGCGTCTGAGCAGCCAGCCGCGGCGGATGTCGTCGGCATCCACAAGGCCGCCGGCCCGCAGCTTGACGCGCTGCCGCGTGTAGTAGACCCAGAAGAAGTCGACGTAGAGCGCTGTCTGGATGACGCCGAAGATGATCTGGACGGCGCCGGCCCCCGAGTCCGACGGGTCGACGCCCCGCACGATCCAGTTAAGAATGTACAGCGCGCGGTAGGACCCGAGCGCGAGGAGATAGAAGGAGTCGATGACGGTTGGGACGGTGGTCTGTCGGAGCAGGAGCAGCTGCGGGAGCACGCAGACGGATTCGAGGATTAGGGAGAAGTCGTACATCCACTATGGGGTGATGTTAGTTAGGTCCTCGTGTTGGCTTGGTGGGCGCGAGTAGCGGGTTGCTGAGTAGGGGAGGGGAGAGAAGGGTATCTAGACTGACCCTGAAGAAGCCCCAGAGGTCACCTTTGTCGAATATTAACATGGTGAAAGGGGAGATAAACAGAGATCCCATCAAGACGACGGCGCCGAGCTTCCATGATATCTCCCGTTCTCTGGTGCGCGGGAACAGCCATCGCATAATAATTAGGATGTAGAAGGAGGACAGGACATAGAATAACTTGAAGAAGTAGTTCCAGCTCGACTTCTCGTGGAAGAAATCCGTGTATCTCGTGCAGAAGACGATCGCATAGAAGACTTGAGTGATAAAAGAGACGCCTTGAGTCGCACGTTAGTTGACGTAAGCTTTGAGATGAAGTTGAGGCAAGGGTTACGTACCCTCAGCGCTCCGGTTGCGATGGATCGCGAAGATTAGGATGCATTTCGATAGCAGATGAGAGCAATCTGCTAATATTCGGAATATCTGCAAACCATGTCTAGTCAGTTCGTTGTTGTAGGTATAATGGAATAGTTATGATTGCTAACATTCCATGCAGTCATCTTGAAAAATTGCTCCGGTTGGAGCTATCCCAACTCTGAACACAATAGTGTGGAGTTTCGAAGGTTATCCCGGCGGCCCTGATTCAACAGCTCAGAGCCGCAGAAGCAGCTTTCCTCTCGTAGTCGGAATGGTAGGACTCGAGCTACTCGAGGTGACTCTGGCGTACGCTTTCGTCGGAAATCGGAAATAGGAGAATATGGTCTTATAATGTATTCAGTAAAACGGCTGCCTGTAGGCTGAAGTATTGAAGATGTGTCGCGGAAAGGTCATGCACGACGATGATGGCCGCCCATTACGTGTATCCAAGGAGTGGGTCGACAAGGTTGCAACGAAGTAACGGCGCCGCATGTGGACGCTTGGCTGAAGCTCGCACACTGACGTTAGCTGTGGCTGGTACCGTAAGTGTCACAGCCACATACTGGTATCTTACTTAAGCATTCCATAACGCCACAAATCCGCATTCGCTGGTTTAGATCATCTGACTTTATTCACAACTTCCAGCATGCATTTTGATGGTCGATGAAATATCCAGGGCAATATATATCTCCATGCCAGGCTTCATGCACTATTGTTAATCAGAAAGGAATGGTTATCAATTACTAGGATAGACCAAAGTGGCATTCACATTGCATCCCATCTCTGTCAGTCTATGAGATACCCCTGAAGGGCAATTAGAGAGAAAATGCCTGGAATCATTCCATGCCACTACTCCTTATTTCCAAACAGTCCGGTCATATTGTCCACCCCTCCCTAATAACCAATCCTCTAGTCTGAAGTCAACTGGCTGGTCTCATGGCTCTCCGGTGCTAGGGTTGCTGCTTCAATAGCTGACTTTGGTCCCAATGTATGCTTCACGAGAGACGAGTATTCTTGTCCAAATTCATATATCCTGATACCGGGCAACTTTCGAAGGCCCCATCCTCTTCCTCCGGCCAACTTATTTAGAACCAGGTACAGTAGCGATAGTAGGGAGTTCCTAGCGAAACGCATCTCCCAGCACATGTCCATGAAGGACACCGACTCGATCTCCGCCTTCAAGCATCATGGACAAATGCAGGAGCTAAGGCAAGAGCTCTGAAACCCTGTTACGAGCTCGTCCGGATAATGTTGGGATAGTGAGATGATGTTAGGATAATCAGACGAACTTGGGATGGTCAGAAGACGAAATCTTGGGGTTTTAGTCATTCAATTGCAGTCTGAGGTGAGGGTTGTGGTTGTGTTGGCGGCCACACTAGTGGTTAACTAAGAGTCCTTTGTGCGTTCCTCAGTCAAAACTATTCCATGCAGGAGCCGTTGACGGCATCTTCCTAGACATTCCCGTTTTCGAACTTGTTGTAATTGTTATTCTTGTCGTCGGTGGAATATTCGAATTCCTTGCTCTCCACCTGGTAAAACTGGTGCATCTTGGGGAAAACCACGTCAGGTGTATCGGAATGCAAACTAGCTAGCAACATGCGGCCTCAGGTGCGGACGGCATGGTACTTCTTAAAGGGGCGATGTCGCTTGGACATCATTCGCAATCGACGTTGACTTCGATGGTGACCTTGTTAAAGTCGATGGGACGGGGAGGAGGCTCGATTGTCGGAATCGGAGCGTTAGGAGTCTGAACAAGACCATTCCATTGCGATAAGGTAACAAAAGGTGTCTCGTGAGAAGTATAAGGGAGGGTGATTCCCCCATTGTCGTAAATTGAAATGTCTTGAAATGCCACCCCAGTCTTGGCTTTCCAGCTGTCGCCCATCAAGCGCAAAAACTCTTTTTTATGTGGAGGATTGAGAGCTGGATCGGGTATGTTCATTATATCGGATCCGGGATCCGAGAAATCAACTTGTCCAGTGCTTCGGAATAACAACCAGTACCAGACTGCCTAAGCCTCTCTCTGGTTGCACGTATCGAGGAACTGGTATACCTTTCCACGCCTAACGCTTTCATTCTCGACGCAGGTTGGACATGGCTTGTTTATGAAGCCAGTCGACAATCGCGTGGCCAGTGCTTGCTTTCCGTCTGTCAGGCACAGCCACTTCCACAAGGTTGAGTTGAACTCCAATTCGATACCTTCGATGCCGAATGTGGTGTTGTCCACGTCCTTGTACTCGTCGTTCTCTCTAATGAAAAATGTGGGTTTCTTGCAAAGGTTGCAACAAGGGATACGCAGAGTAATGTGACGGTGAGGTGTCTCGCTCAGTCTTGTCACCCAGTTGTTATATTTGTCGCTCGTTTCAGTCCATTCTTCAACCTCCTCTTCCTCATTCAGCCTTTTCCCTCGAAGGTTGGGGCAGATTGGGTTGATTACTTCCTCATCACGGCGGTATTTGAGGACACACTCCTCACAGAGTTGGCTGTAAAGGGGTAGGGGATGAATGGGAGGCCAAACAAAGTCTGGGCAATGAGTAGGCAAGTCTGAATTATTATAGTTCCTGGAAGATTTCGCTTGTTCGCAACATATCTGCTTGATGCTGTCGCATATGCGAATTCCGTGGTCGTTGATGATGCCGCATGTCGGGCAAAGAAGGCTCGCCAGAATGCACATGGCGCGAAAAGATGAGGTATGATCAATCCACCTTATGATTCAGAGGATCACGAGTCAATATTTTAACTCAGGTCTCATCCAGGATGAGTCATCAGTCCTTGGGTCTGATGATGGCAACGTCTGTAACGACACCAGTGGTGTAGCAGGGGTTGTTGTACGTTTAATGAATGAACTCGTGTATGTTAGAAGAATGTGTTGTGTGGTTGTTGTATCGAAAAGCGTTTAGCTTATAGGCAGATGGTGTGTGTGTGGGTGACTGCAAGAGAAGGTGACAATAATGAAGCAAGTTAGAAGTGGAAGAAGTGATTGTTCTAGGGAAGAGTAAGTAAGTGCTAAGATAGCACAAATGCACGTAAGGCGAGTGTGGGTATAGGTGGTTAATATCAACTGGAAGTCGATGATGTAACGGGACGTTATTGGAAAAGAAATCGAGGTCGTTTTTGAGGTGGAATTGACGGTGAATAAGAAGTTAATGGCGAATGATAAGCAAGACTATACCGAGAAATGTGTGGGTGATGATGATGAAGCCAACAGCCAGCTTGGGAAGCAACAGGGGTACGACGAATAATGAATATCATCTAGCAAGTATCATCGAGCTGTTAACACACTGTCAACGTCCGTCAATGTTGTTTCATCCAGTTTCGTTGGATTTTGACAGGTTTGACAATAAGAAAGAGTTGAAATATTGTTCTTGGGAATCTCAGGGGACGAACTGCTATTTATATAGGATCTGGGGATTAAACGCACCTGCCACTGGTTTCGCTCAGAGATCTATGACTACATATGTGCCTCTGTTTATTTGACTCATCAAGGACGTGTTCAAGATGTGTACAAATGTCTTGGTTGACTAGCAACCAAAATAACAAGTCTACGATAGTACCTAAACAGCGCAACACATCTTTTAACCACGCCTCGAAACACAGGAACAGAGTTCAGAGTGAACTTAGACATAGCGAAAATTATATAGGATGGCTATACGAAAACTTTACATGAGCTAAACAAATAAACGTTAATGTCTGTATACACCTGGACGTTAGCAGATAGGGGGCTTATAAGAGTATCTATGACGCCATCCGACAGATCTTATAGAGATATAGTTGCGCAAATTATGGAATATCCGGATATAACGGATCACAGGTGGATTTAGAGTTAAATTATCACATATGTTGTGACATGTAGCTTTATACCGAAAAATGAGGGAAGCAACTTGCATATTGGCTTCTTAGGTAGGTGGGCAAGGGAAGATATGAGTAGTCTAGTCCTAGGTCTCAGTGTCAAAGCACCTTATTTTATGGTATCTTATTTTGGAATACGAACAATGAGAGTATCAGGAGGCACAGAGCCACGTATACTATCTATGTCACTCTAGAGTCTTTATGTTTTTACAGCCAAACATGACACTTCTTCCAAGTGACTGACCTGTATAGGTCGCAATCGACGTAGCTTAATGCTGTTCAGATATCATTAAGCCTTTTTGCTTCAGAGTAGGGCGCTTGCGACTTGACCATGTGGATTTCTACTCACAGGTGGCAGTCTATATTCAGATCATCCTATTTACAGATTATGTAGTATTGATCTCTTTAACCTGCCTACCTAAGTCTATAACACTTTAAATACACTTCAATTTACGTAATAGCCCATTCGCACCTCCAAAAGCTGGGTTCTATGGGAATACCATCCCATGTACTGGATCAGTGTTAGGAGGGGTTTGTAGACATAAGCTAGTCAAGGAGATAAAATACTATTGGATATAGTTACTGCTTGAAAGGCAGTAATCAAGAGTGCTCAGTTGGTGTATTGAATCATCGCCCTTGAATAATAGAGCGTGGTGTGTGGGTGACTCGGTGACAGATCTAGAAACATTGCTGTATTTGAGCAGACCCGCTTCCTATCTCGATATCAATTGCCTGATTAATTCGACCACACTTTTAAAGGGTATAAAGGCCGGGTATTGTATTAATATTAGTAGAAAAATGAAAACGCGGTAAACTTATTCTTGGAGGTTTGGCCTTTGTATGGGCGAAGCAGAACACATCGATTCGGCATCTTCATGGCTTCACATGTAGGCAGGTAGGGTTACGTCCCGTGTAAATTTAAGCTTAATGATTGAGAACAACCAGGGACAGTAGGTCCTCGCATTAGCGCGGTTGAGTCGCCGTAACCAAAGATCTATGATAGAAATGCTCTTGAAGGAGCGTGGTGCACGTAAGTATAGAATCCTTCGGCGCCAAGGACCCGCATAATGCAGCGGGAGGATCGCCAGGTTCAACATGCTTGAAGATCCGGGTTCGCCGTTAGGCTTAGCCCATGTTCCTTAGAGTCGAAATCATTAACTCGGGTGTTGGCAGACAAAAGGTCTCAACTAGCGAGTAGTGCTCTGAATGTAATGCTTATACCGACTACCCCCGTTGACAATATACCTACCTACTTGAAGTGATAAGACCAGCTTTGAACCAATCGGCGACTTCTCTAGTTACCTATATTACCTCCGTATGGTAATGGAGCGAGACCTTTCATACTGGCAATTATTCCGATTATGTATTGTAGTAATCGGCGTCGTGGATAAGAATGTCTGCCTCCGTCTCTAGGAAAGTGGCGAGGGGATTGCTTCTCATTTACAATCAGGATCATACTTATCAATAAGTAAATGGCACTCTCTTGGACATATGCGGAGGTCTAAAATTATTCCCCAGACCGTTCAACTTTGGATCTCAACATCCTACGAAATGACGTATTCCCTTGCCTGGTAGGTCTTTTATTACTAGCGGGCGGGGCCCACGCTCTGGAGTTCCTTTGGAATTTCTCCTCGTCAACGACAACTGTCTCTCGAGATGGATCCTCATAATGATGTACCAAATCTGGGACCTAACCTGATGATTGGACTGTGGCTTTGTTGTTCGTTGGCCTGTGCCTTCTTGTCCCTGCGTCTCTACTGCAAATTTAAGCGGCACGTCTCGCTTCAATATGATGATTACCTGCTCATCATCTCTTGGGTAAAGATCCTTTGACGATGTAATCTGAGATCTACTACTAATAGTACTTCGTGTAGATCGCCCAGTTAGTCTGTAGCGTTCTGGTTAGCATCAACGTAGCGGTGGGATTTGGAAAGCACACGAAAGATGCAGTTGCGGAATATGGTCCTGGAAACCAGGTTGTCGTGACTCTAAGAGAAACGATAGTTGGGTTCTTGCTGACGATGGCCATCTCCTGGAGTAAAACATCTTTCGCGGTTACGTTACTGCGTATAATGCGAGGAAAGATGAAGTTGTTCCTCTGGGTGATCATTATTTCTATGAATATTTTGATGACGGTTGGGGCGCTGTCTCTCTTTCTTCAATGTTCTCCGGTAGCGAAATCGTGGGATGAAGCCATTCCCGGCGTTTGCTGGCATGATTTCAACATGGTCGCTGGCATGTTCTCTTCGGCATATTCAGCCTTGATGGACTTCGTCCTTGCGTTACTTCCAGTAAGGGAACCCCTTGAAACCTCTCGAAGTAATTTTGTTTCCTTCTCGGGTCAGCCGCGGGGTTGTCATTGAGATTCATGTTGATACCATCATTCTCTTTAGAAGCTCTCCGAAGATTCGCTCATGCTGACTTGAATCTTGTAGTGGCCACTGATTTGGCATCTCAAAATGAAAACTAAAGAGAGAATTGGAGTAGCTGTCGCTATGAGTATGGGGATGTGGTGAGTAAATATCGACCCTTGGATAGTTAGGCTTCAGCTGCTGACTTCCTCAAGTGCTGGTGCCACTGCAATTGTGAAGTGCTATTACCTACAGAGACCCCATGGCGAGGACTTCTTCTGTAAGTTGTCACTGTAACAATAGCAGTCTAAATATGCGCAATACTCATATGAATAGACGAGGGAGGCAACTTGGTCATGTGGGGTAGCGCTGAGGTGGCTACAACGATCATGGCTGCTTCTATCCCTGTGCTTCGAGTGCTCGTACGCGATATGAGGGAATCGGTTGCTTGGGCGCGCAACGCAGGATCAGTTAGAGGCGCATTAAGGTCATTGGGGCGCAGGTCACGAATGATAAGTGGCCAGACTCCTTTTGCTGGCCAGCAGCCGCAAATACTGCGCTCCGAGAATGACCAGGAAAACGACAAGACGGTTTTGAGCTGGGCTGGTTCCGGAGGGATCACCAGAACGCAGGAAGTGCACATCAGCTTTAACACCCGGGATATTGTGCACTTCGATGATGGACTTGATCCCGATGGCTTGGGGCATAATATGGATATATTAGAATTCGGAAGAGCTGTATAGCTTGTGTAGGATGACAATCTATCGACTGAAATACGATGTTGATAATCAATGCTGTGAATTGGTGGACTAGCCAATCTCATCCGTTGCTAGATCCAGTTTCTATAGGATCATCAAGCTTAATCTTAGGGGCCTCATAGCTACGGAGCTAGTCCAATAGCTTCATAGCCTAAAAAATTATAAATTTCTAAGATCCCTAATTCGAAATAGATGAATGAAGTTAAGACAGTGAGTTTAATTGGCTGCTTGGATTCTGGCACGGAATGAAAGTGCCGGTGCTACCGGCTGTTTGCCAGGTGCCACCCCAGAAGCCACATCCACCTTATCGGTTATCGAAAGTTAATTGTGGCGCGTATCGAGACGCGTCCAACAACTACGTCAACATCAACCACATCTTCAGATAATAACATATAGTATTGGATTCGATGTAGGCCAGGACGTAGCTTTTTGAAGCTATATACATCGATTCAACCCAATATCAAACATGGCTACTAGTAAGCAGAAATATCAATTATCAAGAAGCATTCACTAATACGAAAGACTAGGCCGTGAGGAGCGCATGCAACAGCGCATGCGTGGGGCTGGGTATGTGTCTCTTCGATATAGCTCTTGATATCTTCTCTAACAGCCTAACATATAGACGTCACGAAGTTGCTGACGATTCATTCGGCTTCGTCCTCCCCGGCCTTGAGGAGCCTCCTGCTACTGCTCCCTCCTCGCCTCCACCACCACCACAATCTGCACCACAGTCAGCTCCACGATCTGAGCCCAACACCTCCGCGAAGCGACGACGATTAAACCCTGAGGCTGGTTCGCCGAGCTCACAGCCATCATCTAGCGCAACTAGATCGTCAAGAAGAATATCCGCTCGGCATAGCGAAGCTAGACCCGACCCCTATAACGCTATCCGAGAACCTAGCTCAGAAGGTGTGTCGGAGCCTCCCGCGAAACCCCCCATAGAGCCTCCTACAGATCCGGATCCATCACCACCAGAAGCGACAAACGAAGAGGAAGCATTAGAAGAAACCTTGCCAGCAATAGTACAACATGCAAGGTCTCATGTGTCTCCAGTTTCCCCGGTATTTACGGGCGTTATAGACGAGGAAGTCACCGAAAGTCCAGCAGAGGCACCCGGAAGTGGTCAAAGGCGTTCTATTAGAGTCCCCGAAAGCGTTTCTCGAAGCGCAAGATTATTAAGAACTATAACGGATGACGATACCGGTGTTGCGGATGAGTTTACTGTGTCATCACCCCTGGCGCGCAAGAGTAGGATTAGCGGTGTTACCCTAGGCGCAGCTTCGGCACGGTCGACGCGGACAGGCGCGAGGAAGTCGGTGGCATTTGCGAACAATGATGGTGAAGAGATAACACCGGTTGCTCCTACCCGGCCGCTGCGGAGGAGTGATGCTACGGCGACCACTGGCTCTACACGCTCTACACGCTCTACACGCTCTACACGCTCTACACGCTCTACACGAAGCCACACTAAAATAGTCAACACCCCTAGTACGGTAGATGCACTCTCATCTCCTCCCGAGGCAGCGGGTACTGCTAGTCCCAGAAAACCTAAGCTAAGGAAGCCTAAATCGCCCCCTAAGCTACCCGAGCCAGTGCAAGAGGTTGAAGAAGAGGCCCAGGAAGAAGAGGCAGAAGAAGCAGAGCCCGATAATGATGAGCCTGCCGAGGAAATCGACGCCCAAACAGCAGCCCGAAAGATTGGCCGGAAGCGTCCGCGGGCCAGCCTACCTCGAGAAGGATCTCCGGAGTTGCACACTAGAGCTGCTGAAGAGGCTCGTCCGAGAAAGAAAAGTAGACAACAAAGGGTGCAGGATAGCCCGGCAGTACAATCACAACCCAAGCCCCCCAAGACCAAGAAGAACAAGGCGGCTACGAGAAGGCGAAGTGATGGCGAAGCGATTCCGATTATTGTACAAAGATACACGAAGCGAACACACCAAAATGAAAATGACACCGACGCAGATATCCTTAACGCCGAGATCCCATTTGCAAATCGCGGTGGTGTCAATGTGATCGATGTACTTTCGCAAATATGCGACGAAGTCATTGAATCGAGTTTAGAGACGTTACTTGAAGCGGCTGTCAACGCGAAGGATGCGCCAACGAAAAGGGAATTCAAGACGAAGTTACGCGCTTTGGAGGCATTTCAAGAGGAACTACGGACAAGGCTTCTAGAGCACGTAAGTTCATTTAGCGACTTCGAATTACAAGCATCGGCTAATATCAATATCTAGACTATTGCTCTCGACACCATGCACGCGCTTAAGAAGCGAGTGCGGTCAGTCCAGAAAGAGAAACTTACACTTCGAACGGAAATAATGCGGATTCGCGCGGAGCGAGAACAGGTAGCCCTAAAGATGGACGCGGTGAGGATCCGTCACGAAACAGCAAACAGGGAGTCACTAGTATGTCCTTTTCATTATGAGCCTGAAATTTTTGGAATTTTGCTAACACCTACACCAGCACCAATTAGGACTTTCCTCTGCAATGGACGATATTGAGCTAGCAATCGAGAATGGAAGATCGGCTCCGGATCTCAACCCAAAAGAACAGAAAACAGCCGAGTTAGCGAACCTAGAGTTGTTAATTTCGAGGGTTGTTGGTCAGGCGAGTGTTGCTAGCGATGGCGGGGGAAACCTCAAGCAGATCAAAGACTTCAATGCTTTCCTCGAACGTACCGCGGCTGTTCTTGAACGAAGATGATGGATAAATGAAGCAGAAGAAACCTGTGGGCCCTAATAAGATGTCTTATATTGCAGCAGAAAGCTGTTCTCCTAGGTATATTGGATAACGAGACTCAGGGCCAACTCTTGGGGTTGGAGCTCCTCATTAAGACATAAGTGGCACAATATTAACACTTGAACTAGAAGCATCTTTCTATGACCGCTCTTCAATTATGGCTAAAACGATTGGTAAACATCAAAACCTTGGCTAGTATATCTAGGGAACCCTTCAGCATCATCTAGGTAGGAATACGGCAACGTCCTGCACGTCATCTAGAACCAGACAGCCCGCATCTATCTAACAAGTCTATTAGTTGGCATGAACGTTCCAAGCATACGCATGTCTCTAAGAGACCTAGACAACACGTGCTATTTGTGGGAGATTATCCTTATCTCCGATTCTCGCTTTCAGCCCTGGGCATTGGCAACAAGCCAGATTCTTGTTGGTCTTGGTAGTGGTGATGATAGGCTTGGCTCCCCTAAAATGAGAACAATGGCTGTAAACGCCGAGCCATCATGGCTTTCACGTCATAGAACCAATGAAGAAACAGCGCCACATATTACCAAGACATGTCTTCCCTATGCTTGTCCCTATGCTTATGGGGAAACACATTTAGAGATATTTCCTCCTTTCTTGGCATGTATTCTGTAGTTCCTATCGGAGATATGTCTCGCAAGATGCCATTGGAATTCACCGTTGAAAGGATGAAAATTCTACAGACGTCGAAAATGCGGTCGAACTTCTCCATATAAAGTCATTAAATTTTGGGTGGTGCCATGCGGCGCAACGGCAATAGGTTCCAGTTGCTACGCCTTACAAGTTCTTGGCAACCCGACATAGCCAGCAGCAGCAATAGCCAATATCCGTTGTATGGGGTAGCCGTGACCGCATATCAAATGATATTTACGGCTCATACAGAAGGCAGCAATTATCCTTCACATCAAAATTTCGATTCACCTTCTCTTTTTATTTCATCGTCTCTCCTTAATCTCTTAGGTGTATTCTCTTTTGTTCTTTAAGATCTATTTTCTACTCGTAACCGACCGACCTATCCCTATCGCCACGAATCGCAGAGCATATTTTTCAACCGACATCATGGCGAAACACAACTATCCTTACAAGAAGAGCGTCAACGTCACCGTTTGGATTATCCAATTCCTCGTCTGTTTAATCCTCCTAGCTGCGTCGGGATGGATAATATGGCTTGTAGCATCGAACCAGCACCCTCAGAAGTTTAGGGAATGGCGAGGAATTCTCGTGTAAGCATTTTTATTCCTATAAGAAAAATGGGGAAAGGGGTTGGAGAACAATAGAACGAAGAGCTCTAGCTAACACCGGAACTTAACTATAGCGGCGCTGCTGGCTTGCAGATCGGCCTCGCCACCGTGAATATCGTGATGAACATAGTCGAAATCATCCTGATTGCGAAGAAACGAATGCCGCCCGCCCTATTCCTGACGCACACATGTTTCAAGTCCCTGGTCTGGGGTATCCTCTTCATCATGAATACCATCACGCTGACGCTCATGGCCGTAATTTTAACTTTGTTCCTCTTGTACGCACCGCCTACCCAAATTCACCTAAACCCATCGGCATAGTTAGATGAACGACCGTGTAACTGACACCTACATATAGCTTGACGTCCATGGTCCAACTCGTCCACGCAGCCATCATCGTCCACCGCAAGCGACATGGTATTTACAGAGGCGGTCGATACTCTCGCGCCTCAGAACTTGTCGACCCTATGTCGGGCATGGCCGTCGGTGTGGAAACACAGACAGGATCCTACCACGAGACCGTCAATACCGAGTACAAGACGCCGTTAGTGGAACCGCCAGCGGAGTACGGAAACTCGGCTACGGCTTACTCCCCACGCCAGACGAGTCCGTTGTACGAACACGACAACCGGAGCCGGGGCTGAGACGTCCCCTCGGAGGCTTATGAGATACTCATATTAGTCTAATCGACGGGTTGCAAGGGCTGCATTGCGTCGAAAGGGAGAGAGGACTGGATAAGGATAAGGTCGGGCTTTTGACCTTTACCGCTGTACAGCTGCGTTTCGCGCATAGGTATTATTTCTTGCTTGGGGGTTGGGCATGGGCGCAAAAGGCGGTTAAGAGGATTATCGATTGACATTAATACTGTACATCGCGTACATTGCGAAAGGGGGCTCACCTAAGCCCTTATACCTGACCGCAGCTCTTCATGTCATCCGAGTACGAGCTGTACTATCTCATACGTCAATGATAGTCACTTAACCATGTTGAACGTTGGTAAGATCATCGCTTATGGGAGCAGTGTGATTTATTATGTCCCCAGTACAAAATGTATGTATGTCGTCGGAGGTCTTAAAAGAACCCGTCCAGCCGTCTGAACTGTGAGGCGTAGCTGTTGCTTGTACTCATGTACCCCAAGGTGTCACTTAGCCCGAGTTTAGCCGGCACGGAATTCGGCAAGGAGGGAAGAACTCCACGTGGTCTAAGCGGACCAAATGTCCGGGGGCATCTAAGCCATCAAAGCTTCCCATGGTTCTGCCAAAGCTTGTCTTCTGGGAAGCTACCAAACCCTTCCTAAAAGAGGAAGGGAATTGCGCTTTTTATATTAAAGGGACCTCTGGCAGCTAAAAATCTAAGCCCTACATAGCTAAATCATCCACCTTCACCCCTCCCCAGCCTCTTTTACTTCTCTAACATCTGTTTACCTATGTCATTGATATAGATCGACATATAGAAGCACCTAGACAGCTAGAATTGCCGGGACTTACCTAAGCTATCGAAACAGTGCATAAATTTGGAAGTATCCAATTATCAACGTACGACGTCGGGCTTGTCTTTGTTGGTTAGGACCTTCATATTACGGATTGGTGGGAATGACACGGGGGATAGTTAGCATGTTTCATACAGGCGGACAACAACAAGATTTGCGATGAAGGAGGGCATAGCCACTCTCCGTCGCTATTTATCGATATATGACCTTCCAATTGAATTGCTATGTTATATACTATGGAAAATATTGAATACCATGAATTATGCATCGTTGCATCCGCGGTAAAAGCTCCAGATATCAATTGAAGGCCCGTAAATATATGTACATAGGTCGGCAGGTCGGTAGGGCTATGCTATGTACCTACATATGCCGCGTACCGCTTCGAGGCGTTGCTCGTATATGATATATGGGCGCTTAGATATAAGCGGACTGACCGACAGATAGATCATGAATTTTCAGCTCCATTGGATCTAAAAGCGCCGGCTCTAGAGCGCAAGAGAACAAAAGTATTTCCCGTATCCCGTAGTAGGTCCTGATCGTGGGGGGGATGATTGGCTATCTGCGAGTTGCAACCCCATTCCAACCTCCACTTTCATGTAGGTACCTAGGTATATTTAGGTATCATGCATTGAAAACATACATGTAAGTACCTGCCTATCCAAAGTGAGCGCCACAATTTACGTCGCAAGCAGCTTACGACTTGAGATGATGACCGCCAACAGACAGCTTTTTCTTACCTAGGTACCTTGTTAATGTTTACGTTGTGGTCTTCGTTGTAAGTCCTGAATCAATATTGATAGACAGATGGCCTTGCACCACGTACGACCATCGCATACGACGTAGTTGCCAGGTAGGATGTGAGTCGGCAGGTCGGGTAGTACCGATTGACAACATTCACGGGGGATCTTCAAATCCCAATGGGTCCTTCCAAACAACTTCGATAACAAGCCTTTTACAAGCTTTTGTGGCTTGCAGTAGATTGGGGCCGGTGCTGTTTCCAATCAATCAAAGACCGGGGGTCCCAGACAAGTCCCTTACAAGCTCTTACAACTTTCCCCTACCAGGAAGTCTCTAGTCCCCTTACCAAAACCTGTTAAGGCTCTGGGGTCAGGTATTCCCCTGTTTATGATTACCCAGGAGGTAGGTACGTTGTCAGGTTGGCCGTACCCCCAAGCCCCCCAAAGGACACAAGGGCAGCCGGCAATCGTGATGGACATTGGACGATTGGACGGAGGATGGTAGGATGGGATATGCATTGGGCTGCCTCCCATTAATCCTGCCGTTGTATCCGCCGAATAGATAAAGAGTTCCTTCCCCCCCTCTCCAACTTCGATACGAATAGAAGAAGTCCTCACCGCTAATTGTCTTCTACTCGTATATCTCTCGCCATAGTCGCCCATTTCAGACTCTTGTCAAAGTCATTCTCTTCGTTAAACCGAACGAAAACAATCTCTCCAAACTCATCAAAATGCCTGCCCCCCAAGAGCCCCAGCAGCAAGCTCCCATGGAGATGACCTCCAACACCGGCATCGTTACTCAGCAGCCCGTAAGTTGTTTCGTGTCTTATTTCGTGATCCGGAGGTAGCAAATCAATATGAGCAGCTCAATTGACACTGTCGTTACACAGTCCGCTGAGCCCCAACCCGACATGGGCAACCTCCGTGGTGGTGAGGAAGCCGGTTGCGAGGTCTGCTGCGGTCTCTGCGCTTGCGACGAGGGATGCTGCTAAATGCAGTCGTCCATTAACGACCCCATTGCTTTCACTTTAAACGAAATTGCCCGCAATGTCGTGGGACGAGTACGGTACCACACCATACCGGCCCCTATCACCAAACTCATCGCACAAACGACTTATACCCCGCATTTCCAATTGCCACACGGTCGTTGCACGGAGACGCTTGGCGATAAAACACGGCATTGGGAACCAATTTATGTGACCATGGATAGTGAACGGTGGACGAAATGAGTTTATGTCTTGAAGTAGTGAGAATTGCTTTCGGTCAATAGAAATCTTTGAACAAAATACCATATGATTTTTCAGCCAATGGTCGCCGGTTTCATAACCATTTCGATATTACCAGTGCCAAGAGGATGTTGAGTGATCAAGTATAACCCGGTTTCTTTGTCTCTATCATCGCCAGTTGCCAGGGCATCTTGCAAGGCCTCCCCCTTGGATATGGGAAACATTACTAGTAACAATCACAGCAAGAAATTGAAGTGAAGTCGATGAATTCTAAATTAGGGCCCGACTTGTCGAAATAAGCATTTTGACCAAGACTTGGCGATCTCTTGGCGGCGCATCCTAAGGTGCTGTCAAACAGGACCCTTATTTCGCCATCATCCTTTCAGCTATGTACATGTAATGGTGTCGTACGCACCACAGATAAGTAAGCTATATCGCTGATCCTCTTGGGAGGATGGGATCTGGGAAGTCGGGGGTGAGGGAATCCGACACGACTCATTCGTTCAATGTTACCGTACACCATCTCCTCCAAATGGTTCATTTGAACCAATTACCACGAGAATACCACGTTTTTGCCATTCATTTTCTACTCTTGAGTTTTTAGGCTTCGATCGGGAAATGCAGTATTTATATTATATTGTGCTACCTTTGCGTTTGATGCGCTTTAATTTGCATCGTCATGAAAGAAGGATTTGGCTCTGGCGGTGTGAACTGTATGATGAGCCCGAGCCAATCAAATGAGGGGCTCGGCTGTAGTTGCTATATAGACGCTAATTATAAACTTTCGCAACATCCAATCAACGGTTTCCTGGTGTAATGGCTAGCACTGCGGATTCTGATTCCTCTGGCATGTAGAGCTCACTGCGTCTGAGCATCGATGAGCCAAGATAGGAGGAGTCTTCCGCCAATCTGGGTTCGATTCCCAGGGAGACCTTACTCATTTTTTTGTTTATTTTCTCTCCATTCTATCAATATTTGACATTTTTTTACAACAACACCTTCTTCCAACTTGGTTGATTAACTGTTGACTGTTTAGGTAGGCTTAAAAAAAAAATTTCCTGACGTTGAAAAACATACGTTTGAATGAATATTCGCTATACATGTGAGAGTATTCGCGGTGATTTTTAACCTGCAAAGGCGCTGTGCCTCTACTCCGTTAACATGACTTGTTCTATGTATTTGAATTGCTTTTTTTTCATCCCATAGGATCATGCGTGGTATACATACACACGCATATGGCTGTTCAGTATAAACAAGTATGATACAATCGCATCCAGTAGATCAACAACTGAGCGCAGGAGCCAGGTCTTACCATGCATTATGCCCCATATCATCCATCATGAGCTTCGTGTCTAGATAGGTAGACATCGGGTAAGGTATAGTAGTATACTCGATATAGCGAAATGAAGCGTAGGTCACCTCTTATTTTCACCTTCACCACCACCACTACTACGAAAAGCCCCACTCAACTTATCCCACATCGTCTCCTCGCCCCTCCGCTTCCGCTCCTCCCTATCCATATCCTGCTTCCTCCAGATCCCTTCGACCTGCGAGGCGACCTCGTCCTTCGCCCGCCACTCCGCCCGGATAGCCTCTTCCTCCGCGGCACGGTCTTGTTGGGGCACCTTTTTCAGCCGCTCCATAATAGCCGCCTCCTGCTCCGCCGTCAATTCTTCTTGCCGCTGTTGTTGTAGTTGCGCCAGTTGGTGTGTGCGCGGTATCAGCGGCGGGAATTGGGGTATGGGCCGCCCTTCTTGCTTCGCGGCCGCGATCTCGGCTTCTTGCGAGAGCAGGCGTTGGTACAGCGCGTCGGCGTGCAGTTGGATGTCTTCTTCGGTTTCGGGGGAGTGGTTGTAGGTCGATAGGTAGCCGAGGGCTTTTAGCAGTCGCTGTTGATAGAAATGTATAAGTCAGCCCAGCCCTACTCTGCTAAGTGCTTATACGCAGAGTAAAAGAATAAGACAACGAGGGAGCAGGATAGAAGCAACGCACAGTCTGCATGAAGTAGCACCGCTCAAACTTCTTGATCTGGTCGCGACACATGGTCATGCGCTCGGAGATGGTCGGGTTGTTCATGCACTTGCGCCAGTCGACCTGCTCCAGGGCGCAGTTCTCCAGCGCCGCCTTCCCGATCTGGCCCTTGCGCTCCTTGTAGCCCTCCAGCACGTCCATCAGCTTCTCGTGGTCGCTCTTGGTCTCGGCCTCGATGTCGGCGAGCGGCCGGTACGTCTTCCAGATGTGCGCGTACCGGCCGTCTTGGAACTGGCTCTGCGGCGGGACTACCGGCTTATTACTCTTCTCCCCCGCCTCGTTCTTGTTCTCGTTTTCATTTTTTTGCTGTTTTGGCCTGGCGGCCTGGTCGGCTTCTCGTTGCTGCTGCGCGGCGCTGTATTTCACGGGCGATTCCTTCTCGAGGAATTCCCGGAGCTTGGGGTCGAGAGAGCGCAATGGATCGTCGGTCGTGTTCGACGACCAGAGATTATTCCACCAGCCCATGACTGGTCGACCTGTTCGGAAGAATATCTAGGTATGATTGTCAATTGGCTCCATAGAGCGTCTTCTGGAGGGGACTTGAATGTGCGTATCTATTCCGTCATGCCAAAAAGTTCGTTATCTCTATCCTTATCGGAAATAAGATGCATCTATAGAAGTATATTCAATTATCATGGATGAGAATGCCCCGCTAATCCAACCGCCCCCCCTTATGTCAACGGTACACCCTTCTAGAGTAACACCACGATATCTGTTCATAAACTCATGTTTTGAGGGTGTTCGAAGTACCTACGCACTGTTTTCTTGGCTCTTTTTGGAGCCGTAGGCATTGAAGAAATTGTAAGCAATACTCACGCCACCGCACTTGGCGCGTTTCCCCAATGATATAAATGTATATGCTTTTCAAGGACCCCCTTGATAGTGATCGTTCTGTCTATATCCAAATAAAAACGGCATTAGATATTTTGAAGACCTATTCGATCATAATAGAGACCTTTCCTTTTCCTGGCAAAGATATTTCATGGCCCGCTGGTACCCAAGTCCTCCCCCAGCAGCAGAGTTCACCAAGGCAATGTTACGATGGACTATCTACAGATACCCAAGGTTTAACGCAGCTGTCAGGCCGATATGGGTGTGGCACTACGTTAGGAAATTTTGATGGTGGTTTGGCTTTTGATCTTGGCCAGATGAACGCGGTCAAAGTCGACAAAGCCGTTGGTATCCTATGTAATTGACGGGCTAGGCACTGCCCTTGGAGACGTCACCGGTCCCATAGAAGAGGCCGGGTATGAACTTCGTAAGTTCTTGAAATTCTTTTTTCATTGAATGGCACATTGTGAACTTACTGTGCTGCATTTACTGTATACTGGCATCGCCTGATGCTGATCGTTTGAAGACATCCCTCCCCTCCCTCCACCCGAGCTAGCGATGATATCCCAATATCAGTGGGATATCGGCTTGAGCACCGCAAGTGCTACACTTGATCACGTTCGTCAATTCCCAAGCTGATACCTTACGGAGACACAGACCCTAGCCACGTTCATCTACATCGGTCCTGAAGTAGAAGCAGGCCGAAATATATCACCCTTCTTTGACCTTGGCCCATCAGTCTTACGTGCAAGAAATGTCCCATATATTGAGGTACAACATGCGATATTTCCTCAGCCAACATCCGCAGGTTTGCGAGTGAGACGTGGAAGTCGATGTTTCATAGATTCGATGCTCCATAAAGGCAAATCTAGATGTAAGGACTAGTGGTGCTGTACCCTAAATGTTCTCTAATGAAACCACGATAGCTGTGTTAGATGACGCTACTTCCTACTAATGGCGGGATTCCGAGAGTGACATATACGTCAAAACAATCCATTCTTTGATTTTTCTCTTCCCCCCTTTAAGAGCTAATGCTGGTCATAGCATGTTCCTCGTGGCTTGGACAGAGCCAGGAAATCCTGTAGAGCCAGCAAATGCTTTAGCCCGTGAGCTACGTTAAAGATATTTTCACCAATTCGGGGTATCCTGATATATCGGTATATGTAAACTATGCTCGCAGTTACGGGATACTTGAGCAGAGATATGGAAAAGATAAGCATCCTCAGCTTGCGAGGTTGAAGAATGAATGCGCTCTAGACAATGTGTTTAAATACCACCATGCCTTGCCTAAAAGATATCCGTGAATGGAACGTGACGATGAAGATGACGACGTTGATCTGTCTTACGGGTCGAGCATTTAACAGGCTAAACTCTAATCCCAATAGGTCGGACGTTCAATAGACAGGCTTGAAACACCCAGCTCTCCGTCAGAACAAGCGTCTGGCATAGAGACAAGAAAATAGCAACAGTGAAGCTTTTATATTGTGTTTTCGAGTATCATGCGTTGATGTCAAACTAATTGCTCGTCTACTCATAGTAATTCTAAGATGTGGCCAACATAATTCTAACCGTGGGCTTTAGAACTACGTCCATCTTTCCTAGTTGACTCTCTACGGGGGCGAAGAGTTGGAATCTATCAGGGACGTGCAGGTTTCCGTCTTCATCTAGTGCCCGGGCTCTTTTTACCTGCGATATATACCAACCTTTGATTTCCTATTCTAATCTCACCAAGCTTACTTAACTAGCCTTCCCTATAGTACCTATATAAGCGACGTTTAAGGCCACTCTATGAAGGAATGGTATAAGACTACCTATGAAGATACCTAGTTGGTTACCTGTGACACTAATCAAAACATACCTACTTACATCTGATGCTATTCAATACTAGTATCCAATCATACATAAATGATGATTTGCATAAAGTAACCGTGATAATACTCCTGAAGCGCCAAGAAAGAAACCCGGAGTTATTTTAGTGAGCCCGAGTTTACGTTGAATATGAGAGTACAGATGGATCTTGTAGATAAGGGGTAGTTATAACAAAGACTACGAGGGTGCCTTAGGCGAGGGACCTAGAGGTTGGGAATTTGAATAAACAAAAATATAGTATGGGTATATCCTTGTCTCTTACTTGTAGTTGATGTTGAGGATATGCCAAACGTCCTCTGAAGTTGTGTATTGAAGCAGATCAGAACTTAGGTGTTTGGGGCGTTATGTTGATCCAGATGAAGGCGTCAGTCTGCCACCCCCCTGTTAAATCCGCGAAGCTTGCTCAATCAAACAGCCCTGTTTGGACGGTGCCTGTAAGTTTTGAAGGAGGTAGACAATAGAAAGATCACATCGGAGGCCTGGATGTCAAGCAATTTTGGAGTGCCTTGCCTAATATGCGCGTTCAAACAACCTAGAAACCTAGCATTTCAATGAGCAGGAACCTGAGGTTATCAACTGTTTCATACCCAGCTAGACAGTTGCTCGCCACAAACAAGCCGTTCTGAATCACGCTCACAACTTTGGGAAATAATATAAAATGTGGTATATCCGTTTTTATTTCTCAGAGCTGCCGATGGTGCATCTTTGTGCCCTGGCAGAATGCCTATGAAACACCCGTTCCGAATCTGAGATCATGAAGAACCATGAAGTAACAACGCCATCGATGCCCAGGAAAGATCCCCAACCTAGAACTTGCTGAACTTCTTCACCGCCTTGCCGGTTCGGGGAAGCACACGAAGGACGTTGAACCGAACCTATCGCACGATTCAAATTAGTAATTTATTCCAACCGATTCCATAGTTCTGTTTGCGGCAGCGTATCCCGCGCAAAACAAAACTCATGCGAAGGATAATAATGAACGTACTGTCTTGCTGAGAGGTCGGCATTGGCCAACCGTGACCTGGTCACCCTCCTCAACACGGAAAGCCGGCGAGACATGCGCGGCCAAGTTCTTGTGTCGCTTCTCGTATCGTGCGTACTTGGGGACGAATTTTAGGTACTCGCGTCGGATGATGATAGTTCGGTGCATCTTGGTGGAAACGACGGTTCCGGTCAAGATACGGCCACGGATAGAGACGAGACCGGTGAAAGGGCACTTCTTGTCTGTTATTGTCAAAATTAGCCTCGCATTCGTATCGGGTTGAAAACTCGTAGTTTTAGGTCGCGAGCCTCGTGTAGTCGTAACTAATTTTAGGGGCGACTCGATAATCCAACTAGCAAGTCATAGAACACCTTAATCCTTCCTCTCACGTATTTTCGCGTCTTCACATACCGATGTAGCTTCCCTCAATCGCGGTCTTGGGGGTTCGGAAACCTAGACCGACGTCCTTGTACCATCGGCGGCCACCCTACAGGACGAAATAGTTAGAAAAGGATTCGACCTCTCTGATGAAATGTCAGATTAATAGCGGCGTCGCCTTACCTTGCCAGGTCTCGTGGACTTGGCCTTGACCTTGGAGTTTTGGAAGATATGGGGCTGCTTCTGGAAAGCACGCTCCGACTGAACAGTCAATTCCGTGGCCATGTTTGCGAATTTTTGTCGAGGTCGCAAATGTGGTTGAGGTCGGGAATCGTGGATGTTGTTGTAGTTGCGATTTTGCGAAAAGTTGCCGAAAATTGAAAATGGTAAAAATGTCAAATCTTTAGTTGTGTGGGCTCGCTTGTGGGAAGGCACAGGCTCCACACCGTAATTCAGCCCGGCTGTGGCTATATTGTGGCTTGATAACTGGCAAAATGGAGGGGTTAGCAGCTACCTGTGGCTTGTTAACCATTCTGCCATTTTAGCAGAAATCGAAAGGATGCAACCAGGAGCTTGGACCATGTTGGAACGGTACCTCTGTACATTGTGCACAACGGTAATGCCCCACCTTCAATTGTTTACAAACATGGGTCCCTAATCCAGTCAATTGACGCGATCGCCAACCGACCCAGCTTTTAACATATGGAATTCCATTCCCATTCCGATGTCACCCGTCACTTCCTACCTTTACACCGATTCTGAAGCAGGTGTTGTTTACAATTTCTTTGAAGAAAGCACTTTGCATGCAGACTTTGTGATTATTTTGTCCGGAACAATAACCAAACTCCTATGCGACGACTTTATTTACCTACGTCGCACTCCAACTTAGAAGTTGCGCCTCAGACGATGAGAACCTAATTGCTTCTACGACGCTTTAGAGAAATTCACCTTGTTTTTTTCGTCAACATGTCTAGTCGTACTGGTGCGACTATCCCGTCCACGCGTCGGCCTAGGAAGTCGACCGGACATTCACCTGTGCGCAAAAGGATGGAGAAAGAAAATATTACTGTCGATGTTGCTAGTTCTTTGGCCAGTAATGGAGGCAAGAAGAAGTCACGGAGTAAGAGTATTGGACCTGGAGGACTGGACGCACTGAAGCCTGGAACTGGAAATCGGCGTATTGTATGTGATGTAATTCCAGGTTATCTATGTTAAGAACGCGTTACTAACTAACAATTATCTAGTCTCTAGCAGCAAATACCAAACCTCCGCCAAAATCTATTCTCAAACCAACCATGCCACTACCCGAGATACCCTCCTTCAAATCCAAGCAGCCTGCCCGCAATTCGCCACCATCATTGAACATTCAGGGAACTGACAAGCTAGCAAATCCGTCTCAGAATGATGACACAAATTCCTCCGGCACGAAGATTGCAGTGCGTACTGAAGAGGAACAGCAGGCTGCTGCTCGCGAAAGAGAGGAACGAGAACGGGCCAAATTAGAGAAGGAGATTAATGATCGTAGAGAGGCTCGTCGCAAGTCTCTTGCTAATCGACGAGTGTCATTTGCCGCTGAAGCCACTCTACACACCTTCCACGAGGTTGAGTATATGCAGGATTCTACTACTTCTACCGATTCCACAAGACGTGCATCATCACTTGCCGCCCAATCGCCTGCACAACCGGCAGATCCACATTCTACTCCACCAGATCAAGGGGATGACATTATTCCTAATTCTCCAGATCATCAGGGAGATCTCCAGAAGAAGAGACGAAGAAGCTCAGGTGCGCCCCAGCTCAACTTCAACAACCAGATGGACGATACCTTGGCTTCGAGTGTCTATAGTTCAGACTCCGACGCCGCAGATGGCGTAATGGAAGCACAGGAAGATATTGGTTCAGATTCTGGCAGTGACTCAGATGATGCTGATGGTGTATCGATGGACCTTGATGTTGATGAAGTCACTGGCACCTCAGTCGCTTCTGCTGTTTCTGCCCGTTCAGAATTCACTACAGATTCAACTGATACATTGGAAACTGCTCTTCGACTTGCATCCCGACGTGCTGAAACCCAGCAGTTGGATGAAGAGGAAGAGATCATCCCCTCATTTGGGTGGGCTAAAAAGCCTGCGCCTAAACAAGCTAGTCCTACCCATGACCAGGAAAATACCCAAACCACATCGAAAAATGGCCCAGTTCAGGACGATGAAGATCAAGATGAGACTGGCGGTATGGATATGGATATGGATATGGATATGACAAATGCCGCGGGTGGTATCATCAAATCTAATGGCGGTCCCCTAGAAGACGACGATGCTCAGGAGGAAGAGATGTCGATGGATGTTACTCGAGCACTAGGTGGTATTTTTCCCCAGCGCAACAAGACACAGAGCATTCAATCAGCTAGCCCAGATAAAGCCGGAGATGGTTCAATGGTTGAGGACGCTTCCATGGAGTTCACTACGGCAGTTGGTGGTATTCGAAAGGGACCACAATTAGCAAGCGAGCCCTTTGACCTTGATGATAACGAGGAGAACGAAGATATGTCGATGGAATTCACTACTGCTGTGGGCGGAGTTCTATCGGGGTATAAGCCCAATGCTTCAACTAGAAGGGCTCCTTTGGGTCGTCGCCGTACTATGACGGCTACCAACGATGAAGCAACCATGGACATGACAGTTGGACTGGGTCGTATTCTTCCTGCTAATGAAGTTGAAGACGAGGACGATGCTACTATGGGAATGGATATGACCACGGCTGTGGGCGGAATTATCAACGGCCCGCCTCTCGCTAAAGATCGAACTGAAGCAAGGCACATTATGGAGAAGGAGGTCGATGAGGATGATAGCGTGCCTGCGCTACACTCTTCTGCCAAACAACGTCTGTCCAAAGCCATTTCTGGCACGAGTATCTCGGAAGCCGGGAGCCCTAGTTTATCTGCGTTTCGGGGCCAGGGACTCCGTCGCAGTATTAATTGGCGAACCTCTGCCAGTCCGAAGAGCAGCTCGCCTGTTCGAGACCTTTCGACGCCAAAATCTGCGAATCCTGCTCAGCAAAGCACCCCAAATAAGCAAGGGCCTCGAACCCCACTGAAGGACTCTCCTTCGAGGAAGTCAAAGTCTCCTGCTTCAACAACTCGACAGATCTCAAACCGTTCGACCTCTACGCCCAGATCCGCTTCCAAAAATGGCCAATCAACGTCGATTTTCCAACAAGACCCCTCAACCGGCTTATCCACACCACGAGTGATCTTAACTCCACAATCGAGGCGACTTTCGGGTCTGGGCGCTGACAGACCTGGTCTTGGGTCCCCTAAAGTTGCTGCCATATTTGATAGGCGAGAATCTATTGGAGAGGCAGCGGACAACTTTGTCCCACGTGAAGGTGCTCGAGGTGTCACTTTTGCTGATCCCCGAGTTATGGAATATGAAGTGGACCAAGAGCGCCGAGAAGAAGCGGACAGGGAGAATGGTCGCCGCATACTCGAGAGAGAAGCCGATGGCGAAGATGAAGAGAATACTACAGCGACTCTGAAGGATATGATCTCTAGTATGACGCCGAAGAAAAATCCCCTCAAGGGACGTAAAAGCCTCCACGTAGGCAGTGCCAAAGGTCTTCTCGGTAAACGCCCTGCCGAACTCGACAACGAAGAAGACGAAGAAGAACGCGATGGAATTAAACGGCTTAAGAATCACCAAAGCAGCCCTGTCAAGAATGTGCGATTGCACGCCCCCCCCTCGAAAGCTGAGACAACTGGGCGGATAACTCGCTCCGCTGGTCGAAATGTGGACGATGCAGGTAACAATGCGACCACTTCGACACCTGTACTTTCTCCCAAGAAAGCGCTTACGACAGCACCATCGCCCCAGTCTAAAGGGCGCTTCAAAGGTTTCGACTCCAGTCATCCTACCGATACGTTTAACTTCGACGAATCACATGTGGCTGATTCTGAAATGCACATGGATGATGATGATGGAGAGCGGATTCATCTTCAAGACTTCTTGAACATGACGAATGTTCGCTTCATGGAATTAACCACTACCAAGAGGCGACATACACAAGCTCCCACGAGCGTCAAAGGCGATGCTACGTTAGGAAAAGAAGATGTCTCCCTTGAACGATGCGTCGTGGCAGGTGCTTGTACAGTTCCTATGCTGGAATTGTACCAACATGTAAGGATGTCTACAAATTCTATAAACAGGATAAATGCTAATGATTCATAGTCTTGCCGAGAACTGAAGAAATACATTTCAGAGGGCAGAAGAATTGTCCGGGAGATCGAGACGGAAACTTGGGAAGAGAATCCTCCGCTTTTTAAGGAATACATGTCAGCAACGCCCGAATACAAGCTCTTCTTGGACAACCAATTCAAGAATGTCAAAACACACGCGCGGCTATTGAGCAAGGCCATGTGGTACGAATGGCGCATGAAGCTCCAGGATGGTCTCAAGGAAGGCTTGGTCACGATTGCCGAGGGCATGAAAGCTGACGAGCAGCTGTTGCAAAAGGAACAGAAATTGCTCGATTCCGTATTGCCTAAGCTGATAGAACGATTCAAGTCCTTGGAAGTAGAGCACGACAACCTTGAGTCTGCCGTTCAAGAACTAGCGGACTGTGATCCTGAAGACCTGCAAGCCGCACGGTCTGAACTTACCGAGGTTGACGCAGATATCGAAGCCAAAATGAAACAGATCGAGCAATTGCGTCAACAGCTTGGCGAAACCGAATCCGGTATCAGCGAGTTATCGCAGAAAAAGGAGGAGTGCCTTTCTGATATTAAGGAGGCCGAGAAAGTTCGCGAGGAATGCAGAGGTTGGACATCTAATGAAGTCAGCTCTCTGAAAGGTCAGTACATTTTACCACCTATATGTTGTCACGCTAGAAAACTAATATCATAAAATAGCGAGGGTAGAAGAGCTCGAGAAGCAGCATGGCTGGATGATCACAGGCACTAATGGAACTATGATGTCGATGACATATCGAAAAGAGATCGAGCTCGTTTTTGACGTCGCTGTATTCAAGGGCGTGAAGTCGACAAATTCAAGAATCGACTTGTGGTACATTGCAGCCAATCGGGAACGAGATCCCAAGCCGTCCACGCCGGAAAAGGAATTTTTCATTCAATGCATCCGGGACCATATCAGAGGATTGGACCAATCACAAACTCGAATCAAGGAACTTCTAGACATGGTCAGTGCAGGATGGAAGAAAGCCAATCACGTGTCAGAAAGCATGCGGCTCGTCGACTGCACGTACAGAACCAACGTCACCAAGACTTCAGATACGTCTATTTCGTTCCGCGCAATCTTGCTGGTATCCCCAGTGAAGACGAGAGTGGATATTACACTTAATTTCCACGGCCGGAGCACGCCTAGTGGTGTCGAGGTTACTATCGAGCCCGAGGCACGCGTTGTCTATGGAGAGCAGTTCAAGATAGACAATGTTGTCGAGTTTCTCAAGACTAGAATTGGCACACGGGTTATTACAAAGGAGGAGCAAAGCAATATCGAGTCTTGGAGCGATATCATTGTCGAACTCCAAGAGAGGCTGGTTGCCAAGGCAAAGGCCCAGCAGAAATAAGCTTCGTCGATGAATGGGGAACGCGTTTATTGGCTTCCTGGCCTCTGCCCTGCCGTATTGTAATGACTGACGACTGTTATCCACGGATCTGGAAGATATCCCTGATGAAAAGAAGGCGTTTGGTAGCGTACTGTTAGATTAATGACGAATGTACATAAATTCGTCTTGTAAGGATCACTTTTGATAATGAGGGACTTGCACTCAACCAACGGCGGGAGGAGCAAATTTCCCTCACTTTTAATACACCAGTTACTTTTTACAATCTGGACCTCATGTTTCAATGATTCCCTCTTTAATTCACTTAGGAACATGTTTCAGACAAATGTTTTAAAGGCAATACGAGTAGTTATTTTTATTTTCCCTCCGCTCTTGTTTTATAATGCTGGAATAACACCAACGTAGGCCAACGGCACGATGGTCGAGATTTATTCGCGCATATGCATGGTAGAAATGGTCAACTCTTGAGTATCCTGAAATTCTATATACGTAGATATCTACCTATGGAAGATTATAAACCCCAGCTGGATGAAGTCAAGCCTACCTCCTCGTTAAGATAGGCATGTTGGAAAGAATTACAACACCAACAAAAAGATGAAGATGGCAAGATTAAGATATCATATTTGCACGATGAGGAAAAATTCGAAGGACAGCCACGAGAGGTACGTATCTATCCCAAGCATCACATTTACGATGTACGTACCTTCATTCTTAGGATAATTAATTTTCTGAATTATCATTGGCTGTAAATTCCCCGCGTCAATCGATCTCAATTGGCCGTATCTGGTCTAGTCGAAAAATTAAATAAATATCCGATTGGTACGTACCAAGATCTGATAAAAATAAAATGGGGCGTGGGTTAGGTGATTTTTGAAGATAGTCAGCCTCAGGGACGACAACACATTATCTAGGTACTTAGTATCGGAATAGATACATGTTTCTCTACCTAAAAGAATAGCTGTATATATGTACTAATTATCAAATAGTAAGGATAACGGGTATTTTCATGAATTCACCAAATTAAATATGGACTTGAGAAGTACATAGTGGCAGTCCATATGGGTAAAATATAATACGCATAGCTTCTACTACCGGCACAGGCATATCTATGGTAATGTGATTGTTGATACATACATAGGTACATAAGGTCTCAAAAGATGTCCATAGAGGTTATTGCATACTCTTGCGTATCTACCAAGTACTAAGGTAGTTTACGATGGAAGTATCTTGGATTATATTCCAGTGGTAAAGTAAGGGTCGATTTGGAAATCATGTACATTAAGCTGGGTATATAGATTGGAATATTATCATCTATAGAATCCCTCCTTGTACCTACTTGCATATATTCATGCGTAGGTACATGCCTTATATATACTGAATTACTACTACCACGAAGTTTTCTTTAACTACTTAGATACACACGGCAGAATTAAAGGGGGAGAATACTCAGTCGTAGCCTTTTAATGCCTGATTTAGTTTATTATTGCAAGTAAAATGTACCTTAGCTACCTAGGTACCGATTAAAATAGTTCAGCCACAAAGTTCGTCACTGACCCTACTCCCCAGCGACGGTAACCTTGGTGATGAGAGTGATCAGCCTCCTCTGCAGCCCCAACCGAAACCTATAAAAGCCGGGGTCTCAATCCCCAAACTTTCTTCCTTCCTTTTTCTTTTTTTCCCCAGGTTTACATTCTTTCGCGCCCGACCAGCAACAGTTTCAAGCATACGCTATCAAGCATCCAGCTTACAAGCAATTGCCAACTGTCAGAAAGTCTCGTATCGAACATCTCCTGCGCTTCCTCTCTCTGCGATAATTCACACAAGCCCGTCATACTTGTTGTGTTTTCCCGACCGACACCATGAATTACTTTTACATGGTCAGCGCGATGTTCCTCCCCTTTGCCCCCCTCCTCTCTCTCCTTCCTTTCGCCTTCCCTGACTTCAAGGATTACCTCGGATTGGGTCCCGCCGAAAAGTTCGCCCACCCTATAATAATTGGCTTGTCTTTTCTTTTCTTGAAAAGCCCAATTTTATGGTGCGGTGCACTCAGTCTCGTGTCCCTAGCCGTCCCCCTCCTCCTCGACCGGCATAGTGAGTTCCCCGTCTCGATCTGGTGGGTCATCGGATACCTAATCACACAAACCGCCGCGGGGAGTTACACTCCCTATGGCTGGTACGTGGGTTTAGCAGCAGTCTGCTACATCCGATGGCTCATCCATGGTCCGTGGATTCTTTGCTGGGCTCCTGGAGACATGCTCTGGATGCACTTCCTCGATATGTAAGTATCTATCTCTAGTATTGTCAATAATGGTCATTGTGGCCTATTCCCGCCCGTCACCTACCATCCTATCTTATTCTACCCCTCCACCATCACTATCATCACTGTCACCATAGGCAACCAACATACACAACCTGTATACACCTTAACCCTTCAACACTTCAACACTCTACTACTCTATTGCCTTCACCATCATCGTATACATTGTCCATAACATATATCTTCGATACATTCACACTACGCCTTCTCTAATCTTTGACGATTACTCTGATATTACTTATGGCCTTTTTACTCATTAACCCCTTTACCCCTTTTCCGTGGTTCTTCATTTGCTCTTTATTCCCAAACGTACCTTGTACAACCTTCTCTACACAGACTCAACATCCATTTCTAAGATAACTACACTATCGCATGGCGCTCCTACCTCATCGTTGCCATACATAACAAATATGTATATATAGATGATTCTTACTAACATTGCCTTTACAGGTCCGTGAGCTACTGCAGCACCATGGAGACCAATTTTTCTGAGCGCAGCATTGACTGGTTCCTTGACTGCTGCTCGAAACTTTGGGATCACTTGTGCGACAAAGCCTGGCAGTATCACGAGGAGTACTCCAGAAAAATCGACGTCTTTAGAAAGACGGGGCCTGCTTCCTTCAACGCCCAACATGCTCGCTTCTATGCCAGGTTAACCGGTTACCTGGACCTGGCAGACGAACTCGTTATCAAGGCTATGAAGCCTTTCAAGATTTCTCCTCGTCCTGCCCCGGTTCGTCCCGAAGAACCCGCGGTGGTCGCTCCTGTTGAGGACCCCGCCCCGCAGGAGGACGAGGAGGAAGAACGAGAAGCGGAGCATGTCCGCGAGGCGCGAGTACGCCAGGAACAGGAACGACAGCGTCAAGTCGTGGCGTCTGAGCGCAAGTTACCGCCCGCTCAGTTCACGCCCGTGCGTCTAGTGCATAGATGCCCGCCGCCCGCTGTCGGTTCCGTCCTGTACCCGTACTCAGGATCACGTCGTATGCTTCTTGGTCCCAGCTACCCCCTTTACAGGCCTCGGCCAAGGGGTATGGGAGTCCCTCAGCCCAAGCCCAAGCCTGGGCCACTTCCTCCACTTGTTCCTGTGGAGGTGGTGGCTGCCCAGATGATGGCACAAAGGGCCGTACTGGCCCCTCAGCCTGTGCCGACTTACCAGCCGGTGGCAGGCCCCCAGTACGTTCCGGCACCCCAAGCTGGGTTGGTCCCGGAGTATGCACCTGTTGCTCTTGAGCAGCAGGTGGCTGCTCCCCAACCCGAGTTCCAGGTGCCTCAACAGGGACCAGCTGTCTTCGATTACCATGCTCCTGCCAACCTCTCGCCGCTCCCTCCGGTAACCGTTGCCGTGGACGTCGATGACCTTATGGACATCGACGATCCAATGGACATTGATGGCCCCATGGACATCGGTGACCTTATGGACATCGATGGGCCCATGCAAATCAATGATCCATCGGCAATGGAAATCGATTCTCAATGGGAACCGCAAGAGAAGAAGGCCCCAGGGCTCGTCATCGCTCACGACTACGGTTGTGAGGCGCAAGGCAACGAGTTCTTGGGCTTTAACGAGCCAATGTTAATCGATGGGCCAGAAGACGACGTGAACGAGGATAACTCGATGGACATTGATGTCCCACAGATGGCCATTGATGTCCACATGATGGACGCTAATGTCCCACAGGTGGGCATCGATGTACAGATGATGGACATCGATGTCCCACAGGTGGGCATTAATGTCCCAGAGGAGGAGGATTCGATGCAAATTGATGTTGCACCGAACAAGGCGCTGTCTTCTCTACAGGAAGCTGCAGCGGCTGCCTCAGCTGCATTGACCAAGTCAATGCAGGGCAAAGCACCAGCCCCTGCACCAGCTCCTGTGCAGAAGCAGCCTCCTCCTCTGCTGACCGTCGAGTTCCTCGAGCAGGCCCCGACGACCGAGATCCCGGGCCTAGTACACCAGCAGCCGCAGGCCAACGCTACGTCCTTGTCGCTCCCCTGGAAGATGTTCGGTAGCGGTTCGAACGGCCAGAAGGCGAAGGAGACTAGTTCTCCCAAGTCGGCTGGTCCTCAGAACGCTTCCGGCCTGGGACCTGGTCCCACGCCCACGTCTGTCCAGGGCCAAGGACAAAGCAAGCCCGCCACGGCTCCCCCCAAGAAGAAGAAGAGATTCACCGAGTCGGTGCACTTACCAGCTCCCACCACCGCACCAGCAGAGGCTTCGAGTTCCAAGAAGCCGACCCCAGCATGCCTTCCCGGGCTTGCTGCCTCGGTGCACAGTGGTGGAAAGCTGGAGAGTAATTCCGTTGCGGGTAAGTCGGCAGCATCCGGCGTGGAGACGCATGCTGCCAGGCCCATAACGTACACCGACGAGGCTCAGTATGAGGACGCCGTCATGGATGCCGTTGAGGAATTCATGCAGGAACACGGCGTCGACGAGGAGACCGCTAGGGCGGAAGTCCTTAAGCGGATGGGGCCATTTTCTGGTTGATTGGGTTATTACCCAGTCACCGATTGACCCTCATTGCGTTCCAGGACACCGTCATAGCACCCTCGTCGCCTTCATCATCTCTTCTTCTTCTCGTACAGGCCCTTTGTAGTAGATCTCGGTCAGCACGAGACGTATAAGGCGGGACCCATCCATATATACCCCCAATCCTTGAAGTCTTCTTTTTTCTCTCCCTCCCTCCCTCATATTTTTTCTAGGTAACAAGCACCGAAGCACTGGGCCGGTCGATGCCTCGCGGCGTTCCCACTCTGAATCTCTTTCGAGAGAGACGGATGGGGTCGGCCGGTCGCCATGACTTGCATATATGCAAGTCATTGGCCGCCTACCGTTTTAATAACTCCATGGACCCCCGAGCCCCGTATGGGGGGAGGGGCGAGAGTTTGGCTCCAGGATCCCGAGTACCCGATTATAGGCGAAAGGGGGAGAGTGTTTGGTTCCAAGATCCCGATACACTCCATCCGTGAGTGAAGGGTTAGAACCTGCCCGAAGATCCCGATACACCCCTGGTAGGTGAAAGGGTTAGGGCGACGGTATCGGGATGCGATTCCCTCATATTGAGAGAACGCTATATCCTGTTCGGCGAATGACACGTTCTGAGACTTCCAAGTGGTCCTAGACCAGGCGGATTGCGAGGACGATGTCACAGTGCTGATTGTTACCTCTAGTATTTATCTGAAAAGGGTGAGAGTGGTACGTCCCCGCCCGTATCTATGTAGCGACAATGTCTCTGACACGGTTCTTGTCCGCGCCGTCCGTCGAGCATTACATATACAGATAAAGCCTCGTTGCAGCCATTGGCACCCGCTGTCCTTCGAGCGCACCCCGAGAACGCTTTCCCGGCCCTGTCCTCGCCGGCCCGAAAGCACTCACCTAGTCGACAATTTTCTTCCGCCGCAGTCTGGTTTTCTCGCTGCCGCCCCGAAGAAGATTAAAGGCTCACCCGGCTTTGGTCACGCCGGCCAGTGAGTAGTCGACAATATCTCGCCACAGCCTTGTTCGCGGCTGTCCTACGAGATAGCAGATAGCTAACCGACAACGTCTCGAAACAACCTCGCACGGGAGGTTGCCCTTTGAGCACCCCGTTTTCGCCAACGCCTGCCCCGGTCTTGTTTTTTACTCGCCGGCCTGTAGGCAATTAGCTATCGACAACGTCACCCGATCTCGGCTTTGCTGTTCGATGCTTAGCCAGGTCCAGGGATGGTGAGGCGTGATGCCTCATCTAGACGAAGGCTCGCTGTGGTCTCCTTTTCGCCACCACAGTCACGAGCACCCAGGACAATGGTTCGTTTGCGGGTCAGTTTTCTTCGCCCGCCCTTCGAATCAACCAAGGACAATGTCTCGACCGCAAGTCAGTTTTTCTCGCTTGCCCCGTTCGAGCATTCTTTCCGACAACGCTCGTGGTGGCTTCGTTCACGCCACTCACTCGAGCTTTAGGACAATGTATTTGACCGCGGGTCAGTTTTCACGCCTGCGCCTTCAGATACATCTTTTCGACTCCGCTCGTATGGCCTTTTCCTCGCCATCATTCGAGCATCTCGACAATTACTCGCGTTAGCCTTGTTCGTTGCAGACGCCAGGGAGTATCAGGTTCCGTCGTCCGGTCTTCATTGCCCGGTCGACGAGTTGTCTGACTTTAGTCAAATTTAGTCAGATTGCCTGTTGAGATACACCACAGGAGATTCACATTACGTTCTTCTTGTTTGGAGTCAGTTTCCACCCATGGGGCTTGAGGGAGCTCATGTGGTGCGAAAAACCGAGGATTCACATTACGCTCACCGTGAAGGATCACCATGAGATTCACGTTACGACCACTATGATATCGATACCAAGCGACGAGATTCAGAGTATGCCCGCCAGCCACGACGTCACCAGAGATTCACATGAATCTCATTGAGACGTCGCCAAGAGATTCACAGTATACTCGTCGTTATGTCGCACCGAGAATTCACTATATGCTCATCGCGATGTATCACCGTGGGATTCACAATACTGCCCATCACGATATCAGGCCGTAAGATTCACGATACGACCATTATGCCTGGCCAAAGGTTCACATTACGCTTTTCGAGATACCACCATCAGATTCACGGAATTTTAATGAAGATATCTGGCCACTGGATTCAGAGTAAGCCCATCACGGAGTTACCATCAGATTCATGAGATATCCAAGAGGCATGGTCGCCAGCCAAATGGTTGGAATGAGCGTTCATGCACCTCCAGGTATGAGGGAGTACCTTGGGGAGTGCATATCCATGAAGTATGGATATTGTCGACGGCCCATCCGAGGAAGTACAATTGGAAATCAACAACCACAGCAACCATAACTTCCTCGGATAGGTTATACTAACAACTGCTTCGATGTGTTGTCAAAACTAACAAAGAAAAAGAAAATAAAAAAAATAAAAAATAAAAAATAAAAATAAATCGGAAACAACTAACCCTTCGAGTCAAGCCATGCGGAAATCATTTAGGGGGGCCCCACCAACCCAACAGGGGGCCCCTCTGGACCCCTAACCAAAAAAAGGGGTACTCTACAGCCTGCGGGCGGGCTGTAGGGTAACAACAAAAATAAAAAATAAAAATAAAAATAAAAATCGACAGCGGGGATGTCCAACAGACACGGTTATCCCCAAGATCATGTCAAAAATAATTTGATGGTCGGTCTCCTACCTAAATAGTAGTTGAGACCTCGAAACGACAAAAAATAAATCGACAAAATCAAACCAACAAAAGAACTCGGGGATCTCCTAATCACTTTAGTTGAGAACCCCTAGAGAAATCCATCAGATACATGGGAGCTCTCCCAAGGCTCGGTAGAGAGCTCCCAAGATTTTCCGCATGACTTTGACTCAAGGGTACATCGAAGCAGTGTTAGTGTTGACGGGAATTTTCAGTGGCGATCGTTCAACATCCACGGACTGAGACCAAGCATTCAACTACGACAGTGTACCGCATGAGCAACACAGATTATATGGTCCCGTCCGATTTGATCAACATACAGAACTCGACTGCTGAACGATCGTCATTGAAGTTCCCCTATGGTGGCTAGTGAACATCATTGTTCTTGGTAAGTCTCATCCATGCTATATCACTCTCTCGGCACTCAAACTAACTTAGTCGCTAGTTTTTAACGATAAAGAAAGCCAAAAAAGGCTTTAGCCCTATTCATATCCCAAGGACATCATAAATTGCGGTGACCTTGCAAGGGCTATTCTGAAGGTATCGGATGTGGGGGCATCTGAATACTGGACGACGGATCAGAGGTTGTATCAACAAGAATTCGCAACACAGCCTCATGTCCATTTAGAGTTCGATCGCGCTCCTAAAGACTAATATCCAATATATGCTTTTGTTAGATACGGAGTCTGACGGTGAGAGAGACACCAGATGATAACGTACTAGCTGAAAGCGCAATCTGGAACGCCGATCGAAACAACGACGTGCTCGACACCAACTGCGAGCATTTCAAATATCACACCAAGCTTAAGGATGAAGAGGGCATCCAATAGCTTATGGTTAGCGACAACTTTAAGCCAACATCGCGAGCTAGGGCATTTTGAGCTTGCTAGAGTTTTCGGGAACTCTATAGTTATGAAGGCTATTAACTTTATGCCAAAGGATTGAGGGGATCCAATGGCATTAGCGAGAGACGGCTTCACACTTTCGGCACCACCTTGAACATATTGACATTTGGGACAATATCATCACGGCACAAGCAGGCATTCAATCATATTCAGAACTATGCTATGCTATGATGGTCAATTTCGGTGTGCTGCCCCTTTGGTCCTTGATGAGTCGCTTTGCAACTACAGATATGACAATCACAACGGTAACCGTGTTATGCATAGCGATCAGAAGGACTTAAGGATTGGAGCAGTCTCTTACTATCTTCCGCGGCGTTCGAAACTCAAATCCAACTCAATCATGGATTATATACCAATGCCGCGGAGGACTTCAGGCAACCCTTAGCAGGGTTCGACAAGTCAACCAGCACAGCAGCGTACCAGCCACTACAAACAGCTTTGGAACACATGAAACTTCCAGACTGCGCGCTATAGGATCATCATTGCCAGTCATCAATGCTTATGGGGAGCATAGGAATAGTTTAACCTTTGTGACGACATCAAATCTCAGTATCACAGGTTTATAAGAACTATTGAGAGGCAAGTCAATCACCAAAGGATAATCCAAGTGCTGGTAACTTGTCGTTGCCAGTTTCAGACACAAGAAACCAAATCCACTACGACGACGACTACAACTAAGACGACAAACGCAAGGACGATGAATAGATAAGGAAAAGACGAGAAGAAGACGAGAAAGAAGAGTCGGGTGGGGTCATCAATCTACCCCTACTCGCCCGAGGAGTCACCACCACAAGGGCCAAATTGCAAAGCCTTGTAGTGGTTGCAACACCAGGTCGACGAGTTCCAGAACCACCATCACTACAACAAGATATAATGGGCAAAGACACCCTGCGAAATATTTTCTACGCGGACTTTTGTGCAAAGATAGACATACAAATAGGTCTATACGCCATATACTCCCAAAGGGGTCAGTCATATACCCCTTGCTCTGGCGTTCACCACAGCAACCAGCCACCAGCACAAAGTCTTTACCACAAGATGGAACCGTCTGATATCAGAATCACCAACCTATGGGCTCATAGATAACTGAGCATCCTCAAAATTGATGCACTGGGCCCCAGGTGTTGCGACTCGCAGATGGGCTAAGATTATGCTCACGACCCAAGATGAAATTTCACAAATTTGACGAAAACATATCAACTACGACAGACATAACCATGGGGACCAATCCAAATCCTCACACTCACTGCTCAAAATATACTTTGACGGAATCTTGTCGTTATTCTGGGCGGGGCAATGAACCCCTGAATGCCTGGGACACCGGTCGTTAAAGCATATCGCCTAATCTGCGAGTGACTCCTCGGGAAGCCGGAGACTTCTCTATGCTAAGTAAGTTTACCCCCTATGCATTTTATATGGAAATGTGCTAATAAAAGTTAAGATTTGATGATAAATGCCAAATCACCTACAATTCCAGTTCTCCAATTCAAAGAACGGATTAAAATGGCTATCATCCCCACATTCATAGAGAGGAAAAACTCGGCAGCAAGTCGAACAGTATAGAGAAGTCTCCGTCGCGCCGCTTACTATCTATAAGGGCGTTGAGGGAGTTGGCAAGGTCCTCAACTTGAAAAAAGGACCCCTCTCCCTACAACCACATATTTCTAGGCCACAACTCGATAGGCCCACGGCTGACCCCCTTCCTGCCGCCAATTCAAAAGAGGACCGCTGAAACCTGGTCTCAAGGCGGAATGGGGGTTCGGCCACCACCACATAATCATACCTAGGTCTCCCAGAGGAAAATATCAGTGTCCGCAGCACCAAGAAACACTACTTCTGGGTAACATCTACTATAGAGCCCAAATTCGAGGCGAACCGACTACAGGAGGAGTGCCTAGAAGCACTCTAAGAATCATTTCGGACAAAGCGTTACCCATTCAAACACAGGGTAGACTGCTTGTTTATGCGCGAAAATCAACACATGTGTGCAGAGAAGCTCAAGGCTCATGGGACCGAAGACACCTTTACAATATTAAGGGACCAACCCTTATTTAGCACTGTCCCTCCTGCGGAGACCTAGGTATACATCAAACCATGGAAAAGGCGGCATCGGCACAGAATCAAGGTATGTCCACAGTTTCCTAAATCTTACTGGACTTATGTATACTAACAAATTTAGCACATGTGCGATGCTCTGGTTGCGGCGATCATGTATCGCCAGCCTCCAAATTTTGGCCTTTGCCACCCATACCGGGGGAAACTGGTAAGACACAGACTCCCTTCAAGTTATATTAATGAGGTGCACTTCCTAACGTATGGAATAGATCAGGCAAAAAGCCGACAGTCCCCGACGGGGTGGCTTCACCAAAGGACTACGGACCCAGTCGTTTACCTTACGACGTACAGAACCCTGCCACATGTCAGACGAACCAAGTATTCCAGATGTTCATGGATTGGCTTAATGAGCGAATCATGGAAGAATATCTAGCGGGTTTAGCACTGAGGGCCTTTGGTGGGGCCGTAAGCACCAAGATCAAACAAAGGAAAAAAGCATAAAATGCTCACAAAAAAAAAAAAAAAACCCCGCGCGTACGCGCGCATGGAGGAGAGGAGGTGGTGGTAGGAGGGGTGGAAGGGGAGAGTTGTGGAGGAGTATGGTTGAGGGCGGTTTTGGTCGTTCGAAGATGTTGTTTGGGGGAATAGGAGCTTACCCCTGAACGACACTCACTTCCGGCGAACAGACCGCTCTTCAGGTAAACCCCCTCCCATTAAGTGACCCAATACTAACTCCTCTATAGCCTCTATCCCCAGAGCCTCCTTTTATGTGCCATTCGTATTTACATTGCAGGTTTGTCACCCCCCCACCATTCACTGAATTCGCATACTGACTATCACAAGAGGCATCAATTCCCCCCTTACAGAAGATATCGAGATATAAGAAGTTATGGGAATGCCGCAACCACGACCCCATTAAAGTAAGCAGCTCCTGAGTTTATTCTATCACCTTTTCTCTGTGACTGACCGATTATCTTTAGACCCGAGCCGAGGACATCGAGGTCTCCATTTAGAGACGAGAGACGAAGTCGGAAGGACTTATAATAGAACGTAGGTCCCGATGCCAAAGCCGACTTTATATTGATATCAAGTGCTAACCCACTGTTATAGTAACTATAGCAAATACGATGAACCACAAGACGCGAACGAAGACGAAATTAAGAATTAAGACAAGTCCATTATTTTGAACCCTCCCAAAGAAGAATCAGAAGTGGAGGCCCGAGCGCGGGAAAGATTAGACAAGAAACAAGCGAAGAGATAAAATCGAAGCCGAGCAAAAATCCGAACCGAGGCCACAAGCAAAGGCAGACGAGGCAAATGATAAGGACGAACCGAAGCAAGACGAGGCCATAAGAAAAGGCAACAAGAAGACGACCAAGACTGGAAGGAAACAATGCGAAACCAAAAGAAAATCATGAGACAAGAAGACGGATAAATTGGAGTATCAGGGGGACATCATTCTGGGAAGGAGTGCGAGGAGTATGATAGGGGTAGGGATGGGAGAGGCTTTGGTATAAGGTTTCCGGGAAAGTGCGAGATGAGAATAAGGGTGAACCCGTTGGTACATTATTGGGAAAGGAGGACACTTGGGGCCTGTAGGTTGACTATGAAACTTTCACCAAAGTTTTTTCAATTTCACAGACTACCAACAATTACCGGAGGAAGGTAGAGGTGTAAACGTGCTCATGACCTAAATTGCTCCCTTATAAAAGCTGGGTACTTATATTTCCATTTCCTGTTTCTCTTTTCTTTCTCATCTTCATTCAATTCTTCCTATCTGCCTAGTAGGTATCCAAGATACGACCTGCGACGATAACTTCTTCAATTTCATCACAATCCCTCAACTTCGACTCAAGGAAGCCTCATGATAGGTGTCAACCTCAGAGATGGCGAAAAGTTGCGCCTGCCGGTCCAGATAAAGCAAAGATTGAAGTGCTTGACCCTAGCTGACACCCTGCCGGCGGCAAGCCCACCGGCAAGTAGGCCCTGCTCCAACAGTCCGATGTGAGAACGAAAAGCGGCCGGAGAGACCCTGCTGAACGATGTGGAAGCATGGAAGACCTTGAATGGCGGTGTGTATGCTGGGCGTTGAGTGCCGTATGCGGCGATCTCCACGCCCTGAGTAGCTGCAACACTTGCTGATACTGCGTGGTCATGAATCGGCATTGCAAACCATCATAAATTAACAAAAGAGCCTATTCACGCATCTCGGACCTTGGACTCATTAACTATCACATGTGGCTGAAAGGAAATGGCACGGTGGATAACTGACATAGCCCCTATTACAATTCCTTCAGGAAAACCTTCTCTTACAACAACAAACAACAATAAATTCAAACCACAAGCACAAGGCAAGGAAGCTCCATCGATGCACTGGACGTATACATCATTCTCAAGAACGGCTTTATCGATCCATTAGACCGTCCGAGAGCTCGTGTGCTGTTAAACAAAGTCCAACAATTTCGCTTGGTGGATGACATGTTGCAACACCACTACAGAGGCGTTTGGAGAAGGTGTCTCTGCAAGAATGAAGTATCCGCGGCTCTTGAACTGGCTCATGACAAGTCTGGCCGGCATCCTCGCATTTAGGGGACAGGCGGAGGGTCGAACTAACGCCCAACCTGCAACGAATGGCTACGCTCAGTAGATATGGGTCTAGAGTTAGGACGAAAACGACGATAAGAGACGATCGAGTTTGCCCCGACTCGCAAGCTCAGGCTTCAATAGATGCGGCATGGACGACATCGGATACTTCCATCCAGACTTGGATTCAGCTTGTTACAATCGGAAAGAGACACACTGGCGCTCTGTGTATCTACTGGATGAACAGGTCAGAACACAGAAGACGAACCCGGCCAGGACTGAGCAAATAACTACAAAATTTCCTAAGCCTTGCGCGGCCGATGCTGAGAGCCGGCAACATGAAGAGGGCATGGGTGCGTTAGCTATTATAAGTAGGCAACACCTACTACGCAGTACCGGAGCGGCCTAGCAAGCCGGATCCCGATCGCACGGTTTGCTTGGGAGATTACTACGCCAGGCGAGCAAGACCTACAGTACTTGGCATATGGATGAAATAGTGGCTGAGAAATGCCCTCTCTGAAGATCAGACGACGGGCAATGTTCCAGAACGATGGTTTGACAGTCGCACAATGCCAGCAAAAGGCACCAGCGCAAGGTGCAGCCGCAACCCCATAACCTCGTTTTCCCTACCAACGTATCCTCACACATTATATTATACTGCGCATTTTTTAACATATTGGTTATGTTATGCAGGAGTGGGTGCTAAGTTCCGCAGAGGGAGACGATGCAAATAAGCTCTTGTCCCTGGACTGTTGGATTATAGGGATGACGGTTCGGGGGAATGAGATCGGAAATCGGGATTCACGTGGAAGAGATCTTGGTGTGATTTCGGAATGTTGAAGATATCAGACATGAAAAGTATTATTGGGTAAAGTCTAGCAGGCGGTCCGCGTTAGGTAATTCCACGCATCTTCCAGATTTCCAATAACACTTGGATAAGGGCAATAAATCTAAGGAGCTTGAGATACGAATGTGAATACAGATGTCGAGTTAGAGCGATAGATCAAAATGCATAGAGTTCAATATACATACCTAGGTTCCTATTTACGAGTATGTAGGCCATGTCCTACTACTCTCCCCTAATCTCCTCGCCACCATCACTCGCCCACAAATAAAAGCTTCTTTCGAACACGCCCAGCTAAAGCCAGTCAGAACCAATACAGGGAATCCAAAGTGAATAGACAACGGGTATCTTCTATTCAACACACTCGGTCTAACCTAGTCCCAGTCCCAGTCCTAGTCCTACATAATGTACCCCACTCCAACCTATCCTACCCTACCGTACCTAGGTTCCTATTACACAACCAACCCGAATAATACATCTACCTCGGCTTAATCTTCGTCCACCCACTCGTCCCCCTCTCCCTCTCCCTCTCACCACCCTTCTCGCGATCCCTCCCCGCCACCGCAGCCCCACTCCCATGCGGCGGCACCCTCGAACTCGGAACATGATCGCCACTACTCCCGCTCTTAACCGTATTAACACTCATATAACTCTCGATCCCAAACCTGTGCCCGGGAACGCCGAGCTGGCCACCCCTGGCCCCGGACCCGGCGGGCGCGGCGCCGCCGCCGACGAGCACGCCGTCGTCGAGCGCGTCGTCCGGCGTCCACGCGTCGTCCTCGAGCAGCTCCCACTCGGGCGCCGGCGTCGTCTCGCGGAGCAGGCGCGCGCGCAGGCGGTCCGCCATCTTCATCACGTTCGGCATCTTGAAGCCGCGCGTTAGTTCCGTGCCCGCGGCGCCGCCGAGGTACGTGTGCGCCGTGCCGTGCGAGTACAGGCCCATGCGCGGCCCGGCCTTGCCGAGCTCCGCCGCCGTGCTGCCGTTGCTACCTTCGTCGTCGCCGGCGCTGTTGCCGTTGCTGTTGCTGCCGTGAAGACCGCTACCGCCGCTGCGGCTGTTGTTGCTGTGGCTCGCGGTTTGCGAGGGCGGGGCGTCGGCGATTTGCTGCGGATTGCGCTGTAACGAGGAGTTGATGAGGAGATTATACAGGTTCCGGCCGATCTGCGAGAAGTCCTCGAGCTGGTTGCTGTTGTCGCCGACGGGGACGCCTTGCGTCCGGCAGAGCCAGACGATGTCGTAGGCTAGGAGAATGACCCCCTCGAGGAAGGTGTTGTAGGCGGCAGAGTCCTCTTTGGCGAGGGTAGATAAAGGTTTGTCGAGGAATAGGGGGCGTGGGTGAGGCACGTGGGCGAACTGCCGGTCACGTGGATCGGGAGGTAAGAGGGAGGTTCCCGGGAAGGCGACGTCTCCGTGGTGGTAGGATGATGTGAGTGAGAAGATGGTTGGACGGGGGTAGTCGTTGTGTGGGAGGGTGATTTCTGCTGGAAGGCGGATGGAAAGGTAATGTGAAGTTAGCCAGAGCAGATGTGTGATATGTGCGAGAGACGCAGATATAAGTTCGGGTTGTGCGCCTAAACGGGTTGTTAGACCAGATGGAATAGGAACAGGCTATAAACCAGTGACAAGTTGCTTACTGTTCATGTTACACAAGTCAACAATGTCAATGCCGCCAATCTTGTATTCAAACCGCACGGGATTCCCACGTTTGATACGTTGCAGCCTGTAAAGCTTGGCAACCTCCATACACAACGCAGCCCTGTACTGCGTCATAGCCTCGTATTCTCGGTCCCAAGTATACCTAATCATCTTGGCGGCCTTGATCGGCTCTTCTAACTGTCGTGTTCGTCGTGCGGTAATGCCCTGCGAAGCGGTGGCGAGGTCGGATCTCTTGCGCGCCATGCTCGCTTTACGCTCTTCAATTTCCTTCTTCGCCGCGGCAACCTCGTCGCGGAGCTTGTCTGCCGCTGCTATTATTCTGTCTGTTCTCTCTTTCGCCTGGTATTCTTCCGAGGCACAGTTCTCGATGTAGGTTCGAGACCGGCGGGCTGGAGCGTCCGAGCTTACATCGGCGTCAGACAACAGCTTAGTCATTCGAGACTCGAGCTCCTCGGTTTTCATAAGGATCTCAGCATTCGCTAGTCGTCCATCGTAGAGCTTGTTTCTCGCATCGACTGTACAGAAGAAGGGCAGCCTGTTAGGGTGATGCGCCCTCTGGCAAATGTCGCAATTCATCGTGGGCGACGAGATCGTGATAGAATTGGTGTGAATCTGGCAAGGCTGGGTGCCTGGTAAAGGAACAAAAAGCCGCGTTCCTACGGGTAGAAACCGGGCACTCGAGGGGTTTCTGTTACATTGGCACGGTGAAAAAAGCACATTTCGTTATGGGGACAGGGTTATATAATTGTTAGCAGTATGGAGGCGAAATGTGCAATAAGCAAGGTGATCGGTGAATGTGAAGGAAGAAGATGGGACGAATTGAGACGAAGAGGTCCTTGTGACGTTGAGGAGTACTAGGGTACATACAAGGGTCGTTGAGCTTATCGGTTCTTATCGATTCTTATCGGGTTTATCGTACGTCTCCACTTATATCCGAGTCCGGGTCAAATTACTTAATTGTTCTTGGGCAGCGACGCGTCTCTTAAATGGCATTTCAGGTGCGTAGCATTTGGAGATATCGGCTAATTCTTGTCAATGACAGAAGTAACGCTCTTTTTCCATACACTCATCTCTTGATTTATATAAACCCAAAGAGTGTTGCAGTTTAGAGTCATCAGGTGATCAATCATCCAGCCTCGGTTGCGTCATTCTCTTCGTTTCTAAATCCGTCGCGTCACGCGTCGCATAGTCTCTAAGGGGGCAGACTATTCTAGGCACTAACCGATTGCCCTGCCATTTGTTTGCGCAGGTTGATCGAACCGAAAAGTACACGTGAAGCCTATAAAAGGACAATGTCTACCACACCCAGATCATTGTCGCCGGTGAAGGCACCTTCGCAAAATGGAGTAGCACCGGACCAATCCATGATGGTAGAACTCCCGACTCACTTGGGTGACCAAACTGAGATCGTTGAGCCGCATGAAGAGGATGTGACAGTGAGACTACATTCGCAACCACAGTCACAGCCACAATCACCTCTGCGAGCTCAAGCACCAAAAGCTGAGCAAGGCCAGGAGACCTCCCTGATTAGACACCTAGCCATGCAGCGTCAACGACGGACGCAGACTCCCGATCCGCAAAATCGACGAAGCAATAGGTCCGAGATGCAGAGTCCTGGTCACCTTGCCGCCTTTGATTGGGATGACTTTGAGGACCGCTACGAGAAAGCCTTACAAGAGGCGGACGAGCAAGAAAAGCAGCTCTTGGAGGAATTTGACAGTCTAGTCAAGGTATGCGAGACTATTCCGAGAATCTAGTAGATCTTGAATCATAGCTGACTCTGTGGTCAGTACTTCAATGTATGGGCATCGGCTTCGTCTACACATGACAATGAGAGAGCTGCTAAGAGGTTTGCTCCCCTTTTTCATCGATACTGCTTGATGACAGAGCTAAAAGATAGCAGATTACAAACTCGAGAGAGACATGTGAGGCTTTCTGAGCAAACGCTGTTACAGAAAAAACAGCACTGTAGGTTCCTACCTTCATTATTTATATGTGGAAGGATGATGAACTGATTCGTCTAGTATCCGAGGTTGTCAAAGCCTTCCAGAGCGCTCTGGCGCTTTTGAGCACAACTTGATTGTCAACGTGTTTTAGGCAGTAACCAGCATTTCTACTACTTAAGTCTTGGGTCAGTAAGACAGCATCGGAATCCATGACTTCCTTCTCTCAAAACTGGTCCATGGGAAAGACGAAAGTAGCCAACTCCTAGTTTATAAGCCGGTCAGGGGTCGGGTTTAACAAGCATGGCAATGGCGTTGACGTATTTACTATTCACGATGATTATGACATAACGATTTTGACGACAATTATGAATCATTTCTACCATGGCATTGTATCTATCTAGATACCTAATTACATATCTTACCTTGGCCTCATAATTACTTAGGTTGTATTTGTATTAATGGTTTCTCGTGAAATATCGTAGGTACATAGGTACCTACCTACCTAGGTGCTTCTAAGGTTCTTTTAGTTGCACAGTGCGTCATATTCAGAGCTTGGCGCGTCTGGCTAACCAATTATCGATAGCGACTAGCTGTACGACGTGTACTAAAGCTTGACAATTAAATATTCAAAGTGCCAGCTTCTAACGTTGTCATCTTTCACATTTCACCTTCTACAAATCTGATACCTCCGCCGTAGACAACGGCTGGTCTACACGACCATGTCTGCTGCTATGCAGGTTTCCGGTGGCTTTTCTCAAGTCCCAGAAGTGTCGCAAGTATGTTGTTTCTTTGCCCCAGCATGTGCACCTCCGTTTGGCTAATGCTGACTGTTCAGGCAGGCAGAAATTGAATCATTCCACGACGCGCATTTCTCTAACTCGGCAGTTAAACTATTTGTTTTTCAATTTTTCCGGCCAGAGAATGAACAAAACGAGGATCAATATTATGAGGAATGTGGAGAATACTACGAAGAGGAAGAGGATGATGGCCTCGGCTACTACTCAGATGGTGTCAAACGTACCTTAACCGATGAACAAATCGCCATCTTCCGACATTCAGAACTCGAGTCATTGCGCCGTGTCGAAGCTAAAGCTGCGAAGCTCAGGCAGGAGTCGGCCGCACTGTTGCAGGCAGCGAAGAAGGAAGACGCGTCCGAACTTCACGACGAGTCCTTGCCAACTTTGCCGCCTGTAGTCCAGGGTGGAAACCCCGAGGGCATTGAGGCAGAGAAGGAAGGTGAGGAGCAAGATGGTAGCGAGGACGGGGAAATCGAAGCTGAAGTCCCCACACTTACGAAGGCCGAAGCTAGACGTCTCAAGAAGCAGCGTTCAAAGCGCAAGAAACAACAGGAGCGGAGGTTCAACCCTGAGAAGAAGCCCGACCTACGCAAGAGGACATGGGATGTAGTTGAGGCTGGTATGGACAGCTTAGACTACGACGAACTCGATGCAGGTCGGGATGCTGCTTCTGCTCCCGCGGCTCAGAGACGACGTATTTCGTACGATGATTGATGATGCTTCTTACCTAAGGCAATAGTGGTATGTTCCATGGTCGGATATATGCCCATGAGTACAGGTCTCGGATATAAGTGGTTGCATTGTGCTTAGCCAGGTTAGTGTCGCATTCCTTGTTCCCTTTGTGTTTCGTTTCCGTGATGAGAACCTTTGTATCGTCATCCTTAGTCTAAAATCTGCGGAGACTTCTTGATGCTGGCTTATAGCTGGCGGATAGCTGGTTTCTGAACGGATGCATGTTGAACCCTTAATCTTCTCTCTGAAAGCATCGCCTGTACTTTTTAATGTAATAGCTTCTGTAGGGAGGATCCTTGCTAATCATTGGGATTGCGATATTTAGGCAGTGATGTGCGACAATTTCCACCCATTCGGGTCTTTGTTAAGGCACGACCCGTATACCCAATCTCGACAATTTAGTATCGAGGTCTATCTATGCTCCTCGACGGCGTTGGCCACGAGGATAGCGTTCAACCACTAACGTATAGTTACTCCAACTCCCCTATTCACATGAAGCCGTGGGGATAGTAGGCGTAACGTAATCGTCTAAAATGGCATACAGTTCACGCCTAAATTAGTAGATACTGTGCTTGGGGAATTGGGGTCTTGAGTTGCGAGGCTTTCAAATAAAGCTCCTGTTTGCTAAGGTTCTTACTACAGGCGCCTAGAAGGATTAATTATGCAACCTCAAATCTGAAAGAACAATGGGATTCGCTGGATGCTATATGAATGACAATTGCCCTTTCTGCTTGCCAAACGAATACAAAGGTTCCTCCTGCCTGCCCAAGTAGTTGGTATGTAATAAATGCGTATTGTATTCGACACTTCCATACCTAGTGCAACTTCCAGATGTCTAGGTACCTAAATACAATCAGAAAACAATAAGCCCAATAACCTTGAACCTTGAAGCAACCTTATGCACTGTTCCGATATCGTAAGTTTGTACTGTCGTATCGTAATCGGCTGCCGTAGTTAGGCCGGGGTAATTCCCCACTTCAAAGCCTCTCAGGTGCAAGCCATTCTAGACCGGGTTCTGTCGACATCCCACTCCCAAATATAAATCCCGTCCCACTACAACCACCGCCGACGGATTTGGGAATATCGTCACTACACGCGCATCGCGTGCCGCGTCCCCTTCCTGCCGCCAGAGTCAAATCATTATTTGGCTCTTGTCAAGTAACCATCAGCACAATTCTGGCCAAACTGCCTTTTCGTGCCTCCGACGCGGACGTGGGCTGCCCATCATGGCGCGGGTCTATGCAGATGTCAACCAGAACATGCCCAGAAGTTATTGGGACTATGACAGTGTCAATATCAGTAAGTCACCTTATATATAGGTGATCTAAATCATGTCGCACGTTGTCGTTGTCTCGCCTGGATCCCTGTCGTCCCTACCCTAAATTTTCTTGTCTTGCGGACATTGTCTAGCAGTCATCTATTTGCAAGCATTAACCGCTAACAATCATGCGTTTCCTAGGCTGGGGTGTTCTCGAGAACTACGAGGTTGTCCGTAAGATCGGTATGTTGCGACACGCTCTAGGCTTCCCGAAACAAAGTTACTGATCTCGCATCGTCTCGATTAGGCCGCGGAAAGTATTCGGAGGTATTCGAGGGCATCAACGTGATTAACTATCAGAAATGCGTCATTAAGGTTCTGAAACCGGTCAAGAAGAAGAAGATTAAGCGTGAAATCAAGATCCTTCAGAACCTTTCTGGCGGTCCCAACATTGTCGCCCTCCTCGATGTCGTCCGAGACAATCAGGTAAGCGACCGCTCTTCTACAACCAATATCCACGTCGGAGGCACACAAGACTATCGCTATATATTTCACTATTATTGTAACTAGACATAAAACTTAATACTAATCATTATATAGAGCAAGACGCCATCGTTAATCTTCGAGTACGTCAACAACACCGACTTCCGAAGCCTCTACCCCAAGTTCAACGACATCGATGTACGATACTACATCTACGAACTTCTGAAGGCGCTCGACTACTGCCACAGCAAGGGAATCATGCACCGAGACGTAAAACCTCATAACGTTATGATCGATCATGAGAACAGAAAGGTATTTGTTCCGAATCCCAGAGAAGGCCGCTGTTGCTCACGTGCTCATTAGTTACGTCTCATCGATTGGGGTCTGGCCGAATTCTACCACCCTGGAACTGAGTACAATGTGCGCGTAAGTGCTCCATCGATCTATGACACTTCCTCCCTTTTCACGGTCAGGATGCGGGCATCATTATCTTCGAACATGAAGTGATTTCCGGGGTCGTGAAATCGAATTAGCGGAATGAGTATAACGAGCAAAATTACTGACGGCGTTCTCAGGTCGCATCCCGCTATTTCAAGGGTCCCGAGCTACTTGTTGATTTCCAGGAGTACGACTACAGCTTAGACATGTGGTCCCTTGGCGCTATGTTCGCATCTATGATCTTTCGCAAGGAGCCTTTCTTCCATGGGAACAGCAATTCAGACCAGCTAGTGAAGATTGCTAAGGTCCTCGGCACTGATGATCTTTTCGACTATTTGGACAAGTACGAAATAGAGCTTGACCCTCAGTATGACGATATCCTTGGCCGTTTCGCCAAGAAACCTTGGCACAGTTTCGTAAACAGCGAGAACCAGCGATTCGTAAGCAATGAAGCTATTGACTTCCTTGACAAGCTGCTCCGTTACGACCACCAGGTTTGTAACATTATTAACCCTTTTATTGAAATTTGCTAACGAATAATTAGGAACGGCTTACGGCCAAGGAGGCGATGGCTCACCCTTACTTCGCCCCTATCCGAGACGAAGCTACTCTCACGGAATACCTGAACGGTGCAACCGTGAGCTCTGAGTCCTAATTCTTCCGCAGCCACTACCCACACAAATTCTCCGAGATACCCGATAACAAACTGCTCGCCACTGGACGTTTTCACTTCCCTTCTGGCGGCAGCTAAACTCTTTCCCCTCACCTTTCCAGCATTCTCGCTACATGCACTACCGACATAATACGTCCTTGGCATCGACGCCAGCAAACTCGTTGTAGTACCTTAGATAGGCCTCGTGTCCATACGTTGTATTGACGGAGGCAGGATGAATGCAAAAAAATTGTAATAAACTACGGCTCCGTGAAATTTGCCCCAGTCTAGTGTGTCACGATCGCGTCCAGAGGTCTATGGAGCAACGGTCAGGGTCTAGGGTCAACGGAATGGAAACGTGAAGTTTTAAGGTGACTTGGCTGGGCTATGACTGGCGTTCCCGGGCTTACTTACTGATTAAGGGGCATGAGGTGGAATATGCTTTTCTACGGGGCATTGCATATGGGATATTGACTTTTTATTATCTTTCATGTCATGATTTAATTCTCTTCACGCTCTTCTCGTTCTTATCCTTTTCGACGACGGAGTGGCGAACTAGGTACTACTAGGTACTAGGTACGGGATAATCGGAGGACAGGGACTGCCTTTCATGCAGCGCTAGACAGACAGGTCGGGAGAATAAGTATCGAGTATGGTCTAGGTAGCATGTAGGGCAGACGAGCTAATGATCAGCCTTATGTTCTTCAGCTGTGTGTCCATCGTCCTAATTTTTTCTTCGTGGCAATGTTATATATTGAAGCAAGGGAGGATGCTGGCTACGTCGACTCTAGTTGTGCTAATGCTGATGCTGGAGAGGGTGACATTTTGATAATGTATAATTTGATAATCTCAGGGGTTTGAATAGAGGCATAGTGTTACACGAGAACCCCTTTTTCTTGGGTTTGCTTACTTCGCTGGAAGATGTATACGTACTATCCACCTTGGCATACTTCAAAATATTTCCAATTTGATTCGTCTTCAGACACTCAACTTCAAGGTAGCAGCACGTATATAGTTAGAAAGTCACAAGACCACGAGCATCAGACGATGTTAATAGTATGATATATACAGCAGTATATTAATATAATATATTAACCTTAGAGTTCTTGCAATCGGTATTTACGGAGCTTTGAAGCAGAAGCTTCTCTTACTCGTTAGCTCTATGCATATATACAGCTCCTAGCTCTAGTTTATGTAGCTCTCTCAGCCTCTCTTCGCTTCTCTTCTCTCCTCGTCCCTTTCTTCACCCTTGTGCCTTTCTAGCTCTGCCTCTCTCTGCTCTGCCCACTCACCCACTTACTCACTCACTCACTCGCCACCAAATCCCCCACAGATAACCGTCTCCGCCCTGCCCCCTAGCAAGATATATAATCCATAACTAGGTCACCACCTTACTTACAGCAAGTAAAGCAGAAATCCCGCTCACACACAAACCCATCCTCGCCGCACCTTCTCGCCGTGCCGCCAGGCGTGCGTACGGGACTACTCCCCAACTCCACGCTCCCCGCTTCGTCCTGATCCCTATCTCTATCCCTATTCCTCCCCCTCCTCGACGGCGAAGCCGCAAGCGAGTCCCGGTGCTTCAAGCTCCTCATCACCGTGCGCGCCAGCGGCGAGCTCTGCACGCCGGATCCCGAGCCGTACCCCGGCTTCGGACCGCGCGAGGCGCGGGAATCGGTTGCCGGGGGCGCGCCGCGCTTGCTGATACGATGCGGGGTGCGGAGCGCGGAGCGCGAGGTGGGGGTAAAAGTAGACGCAGAACCCATGAGGAAACCGTGTCGACGGCCTGTTTTACGGGGTGTGGCGGCTAGGGAGGAAGAGTGGGCGGTGAATCGCGGGGGGGGGTTAGAGGAAGAGTAGGAGTGGGAGTGGGAGTTGGAATAAGAGGAGAGGAAGGGGCTGGGCGCGACGCTCGATGCGAGGACGCTTAGCTCGTCATCGTCTTCGTCCGGGTCGTCTGGGACGAGGGAGGTTAGGGCGTATTTCTTCCTTGCGGAGGCGGTTACGTGGTTCATTTCCGTCTGCGAATCCCGTCGTTTTTTCTTTGGCGTAGTGGGGACTGGGATGGTGGTGCTTGGTTTGGCGGGGAGGGAAGGGCGGTGTTTTGAGGGACTTGGAGATTTTGATGGGGAAACGCTTTTTCTTTGCACGATCTTCGTACGAGGGTCTCTCGGACGTACTTGTGGCCGTAGAGCTAGCTCGGCCTTCTCGAAGAGTCCGGGAATCCTGGATTGGTGTGATATTGGGAGTCGAGCTGGTGGGAGCGTGGGCTCATCCTCGTCCGGCAAGCTTAGGGGGTCGGAGTCTTCTGTAAGGCTGGGCCGACTTGGGGTGCTTTTGGGAGGCATTTCCAGCTCTGCGACTTCCGACTCTGCGATTTCTGACTCTGCGATCTCGGCTTCGTGTGATAAGTCCTTTTCTTGAACGGTGTCGGGCAATTGAGCAGCTTCCTCTAACTGTATTTGTGTAGTTGGACTCTGGGGTGTTTCTCGATGATCATCTGATATAAGGTTTGGCTCAAGCATCTCTTCTATGGCGGCGACTGGGAGCCCTTTGTCCACGAGGCTAGGCGATGTAGTTTCCACATCAATTCCAACAGTTGTATCCTCTGTAGCAAGGCCTTCAAGCTTGGGTTCTTCGATATCTAGCTGAGCAGAATTTGTATCCTGGGCGATATCCTCCGATGAATGGACCGGGATGTCTTCATTCAAGAGGCCGTTATGTTTTCCAGGCTTGTCGGAAGAACGCATCTCTTTGTTTCCCGGGGAGGCTCCCATCTCATTTATAGACGCACCAATTGAGAACAAAGGGTCTGGCTGCTCTGAGTTCTCAGCAATTGGTTGAGGGTTAATCGCAGTACTTTGTAGTACTTCATCCCCATCTAGATTACCTATATTGACAGGCAGCCCTCCATCGTGGTGTTCTTGACTTGGGACAGTAACATCGGTCCCATTGACACAATCTTTGTTACTGACCTCTTCAGGCTGCGTGTTCAGGTCAGGCCCCATGGTTTCTTCACACGGAGCGTCCTCAGACCTCACAGGCTCAAGAGAATCATTCATTTCTGGCGGCAGTAAATCAGTAGGTTCATCAACGAAATCTTCCGTGACATCTTGTGTATCAGTCACATCTGGGTTTGCTCTACGTGATTTCGTCCAGGTGATTTGACCATAGAATTCCGTCTGTTTGCGACCGCGTGAAGACCTCCTACGTTGGGAACCGAGAGATTGAATGTCCCCCTCAGTTGGCGCTTCAGTTAATACCGCGGTTGACGTCTCAGTCTCGGTTATCTCGGTGCCAACTATTTCCTTTACAGGTCCTTCAGATGATGAAGACGGTGGTATTGGTGTAATTGTTGGGTTGTTTGTAGGCTCCGTCGGATTCAGTATCCCAATGCTAGGGGCGGCCTCTATAGTTCTCCCGTGTTCTCCATTTGCTTCGTCATTGGATTCTGGTGGTTTTGCAGGTACGACTGCTTTCTTTGGTCGACCTCGACGTGGCTTTTCGGAACCCTTCTCTTTCCCAGCAGTGGGGATAGATTTGACATCCTTCGGGGCCACTTGTTTTGTTTTCTCAGTCACTACAGTTGGTGGCAAAGACTTCATGCTTTTTATAGACACACTCTTAACAACCTCTTCCGTATTGCTACCCAACAGAAGATCATCCTCTTCAGAGTTGTCTGCATCTGATGCTACGCGAGGTAAAAGTTGCCGAGCCGGAGTCTTCGCAGGAAGTTTCTTCGGTGCTTGTGGATGAAAGAAATCACCGAACGACCCATGGCCAAAGCCTCCTCCCGGAGCTAGCATTGGGCCATATCCGTAGCCAAAGGAAGGCGGATAGCCCATGGATTGGCCTATAAAGCCAAACCTATCCTGATATAGGGGCATAGGTAAGTCCGGAGCTTGCCAGAGCGGGTCAGCCGGCCCGTGACCCATGAACGGGTCCATAAACCCGTATGGGTTTGGAGGTATCCCAGGTGACGAAAACTGAGGATGAGCCATAAGTTGTTGACTTGGTCCTGCATGAAATCCTAGAGGATGATGCGCGGATGGGGTGGCCTGTATCGAGGGCTTGATATGCGAGACTTGAAGTGAGTTGGTCTCCTTTCCTCTCATGATCCTTTCTTCTTCTTCACTTGAGATAGAACCCTCCCTATTGCGATCCTTCTCATCCTCTAGAGACAGGAGATGTCCATTGTTTACTATCACCTCACCGGTCTCAAGATCAATCTCATCGCCGATGTCAGTAAAGTCCCTTTCATACTTTTCGAATATACGTTCAAAGGCTGATTTCAGTCTCGAGGCAGCCTTAGCCCTTCCTTTATCGAGTTCATAAAGAGGATCCTGCCTAGCATCAAATTGTGTCGGGTCCATAGACAATTCGTCCAGATTTGCTTCATCGTCATCATTGTCGTCGTAAGGGGCTTGCCCAAGCCTCATTCTCTTTGCGGGGGGTTCCATGGTTCCGGTCGGCTTTCCATTATTTCAATCCAATCGACAACAGTTAAGGTGCGCTCAATTGCTTGAGATGTAACAGTTCTATGAATTTTTATTCCGAAGTGAATGAGACAAATATGAGAAAGACCTTGTTGTCATTTGATGTCCATTGCTTTGATATTGTTAACGCGTCAATAAAGATCAATAAACGCGACGTTATCTTATCGGGACAATTAACCTTTCGTGGTTCGATACCTGAGCCAGTGCTCCGTATGAAGTACCCCTTCCGCTTATCTGTGAGATAAAGTACATGCTAGAAGGATACAGAAGTAGTACCGGGGATATTCCCGCTATACCCTTGTCTCGCTAAACAGCCTGGGATCAGCTGATGACGTACTGAACACATGCATAATTCGACGTCGGAACCTTTGCGAACTGCTTTTAGCTTCAACTATTTAATCAACATCATCACTATGGAACCAACCACTGTACTACTACCACCAAAGTCACCATGTATTGCCAGAAGTGTCGTGCACCGCTTAAGCTAGATAACTCACTAGCGGATCTCAATCCAGCCGCGTTTGAACTACTCGTTGGTCGGTAACCTGTGAGCGTCAAATCGTCGCATCTAGCTAATTGTTTCCAGCTTCGTCCTCTCAAAAACAGCCTAAGCGACAGCTGTCTTCACGTCTAACCTACCCAAATGACTCCGAGCGAAGAGCCCTCTATGATAGGGTATCGAAAGATACCGGGTCTGCTACGTTTAAGAGAAATAGCAGCGCCTTACGCAGCGACGGCCAACCTCGTGACAGTTCAGCCATGTCTTTCGTCCTCCTGACCGAGTCTCAAGTAGCTCCACCGAGGCTTACGCCTCCAATAGAGTCACCAAATCCAAGACAACAACGTCGAATATCCATGTCGAATGGGCAGCGTAATGATGGAAAACCAGCGCAACCTCACGAAGCCGAGCGCATTAATAAGCTCTTCGAAATATTATCTGCGCGATCCGATATTGATCATCCTATCTGTGTTGAGTGTACAGAAATGCTAGTGGACGGGCTTCAGAAGAAACTAGAATCTACGGCACGGGAACGAGATGCATATGCGGCATTCTTGAAGCAGGTCCAAGCCGATGTGCCTAATGAAGAGGATATCGCCGAATCAGAACAGGCTCTAGCAAAAGCACGCAAAGCAGAGGAAGAATCGATGAAACAACTAGCAGCCTTAGAGAAGGAAAAGGCAGCCTTAGACTTAGAGATCGCAGCTCTCGAGGAGGAATCAGCAGCACTAGATACCGAAGAGGAACAGTTTTGGAGAGAACGCAACGCGTTTACAACAAAACTCACAGAATTCCAGAACGAAAGAGACAGTATAAACTCCAGATTCGACCACGACTCTCAACTCTTGACTAAGCTGCAGCGAGCGAATGTTTATAACGACACATTCTCGATACATCATGACGGTCACTTCGCAACAATCAACGGTCTCAGATTAGGTAGACTGTCGGCGAAACCTGTGGACTGGCCAGAAATTAACGCCGCTTGGGGCCAGGCATTATTGTTAGTTGTCACCGTCGCTGATAAACTGGGGTACAAATTTGATAGCTATGAACCACTACCTATGGGTTCGACATCGAAGATCGTTCGGTATGATTACCAGTCCCCGTCGTCTAGCCGACTAGGTGGTCATCGAAGTGGGCCCCCGCCAGCACCCAAGAAGACCGTCCTAGAACTATTCTGTTCCGGCGACCTTCCACTACAAATGTTGTTCAACCGGAAATTCGACCAGGGAATGGTCGCCTTCTTGGAGCTAGTAAGACAACTGGGAGCCTTCGTCCACCAGCAGACGAAAAACAGTGAACAGGGAGGATACACAGCGAATCCACTGGCACTCCCTTACAAAATTGAGGGAGACAAGATCGGGGATGACAGGATAGGCCATTTCAGCATCAAGCTAGGGATGAACACGGACGAAAGCTGGACAAAAGCATGCAAGTTTGCGCTCACGTGCTGTAAGTTTCTAATAGCACATGCAAGTAACGTTAGCCATGTTACGAACGGTCGTTGAGCTGCATCGGCATTTGGTTGTCAGTACTCGGGATGGTGTTAGGCGTTTCTAGAGGTCGGCAGGACATATTATACCACTGGCTAATTTGCTATACAACTTCGAAGTGCGGGATTATCAATTATCAGAGGAACATCTAGATGAAGCGGGAGATTCTTTACTGCTCCAAGCCTTTAAGGCGTGGGGATCGGTTCTCTGCTGTGGGACAACATATTTGCCTGCTGGCTTTACATACGAGACACAATAGATCACTGGGAAGACCAAGATTCGGATAGAGAATACATAAGTCTATTCACCAACACAAATCAAGCTTATTCCTCCCTCCACGTTCCCGGTTATATAGCAAGATTGTGATTCGAAGTTTTATCCTACCAAAAGGAGAACCCATGTTAGGCCAAAATGGAAAATTCCAATAGCTTCGATGATATCTCATAATTTTGACACGTACTCCCTTGTTTTTCCTTGTATTGATGTCAATGGAACGCCACAACGCCCTACATGGACCGGTGAACATGCACGTACCCGAATCTTGATCTCATTCTCGGTGACTCATTCTCCGAGGGCTGGGAGACTATCAAGTGTTGGGTTCCTCAGCAAACTCATACCGAAATAATGTGAGCTACCTAATCCTTTCCAATACCGTCACTAGCCAGCGGCTCTCCCTCGAGCAGCCAAATGAAAAATACAAAAATAAAGATACAATACAACTATCTAACACCGCCTAGTTCACTCGATCTTCGTCCTGTAATAATGTAGTGGTTAGGGACCTCCTGTCCCATTAATACCATTGACCAAAGCTTTATTAAACCCGGCTTCGAATCTCAGCACCTTAGCATCAGTTGACTACCCAGGTATCCAAGAATTATATGAGCGAAAGCTCCGCCAAACGCTGTATCGATTGCTTCTGAATTACAAGTTTGTTATTCTCTCTATCCACAGCCCAAGAGAAGAAGTCGCATTGCCCACAACTGCAAACGAAGTGTAACATTCCCGTCACTTTCGTGTTCTGTCCAGTGACTTGCAGCCTACTTGGCCATCCGCAATCGCAGTGTGGATTATCTGGACGGATTCCACGTGCATCAGCGAACGTCAGAAATTTGTTGCAAAAGTCGCATCTGAAATACGGCCGTCCCGCGTTGCCATTTGGATTCGATTGCATGCAATGCTTCAGTGAGGCATAGTTGTTGCAAGTACGACACTGCAGTAGGGAATGTCTGATCGGTTCCTGGGACGTAAGATCTGAAAGCATGTTCTACATATGTCAGAAGATATAGTATGATTCGAATATTCCATGTTACTTACTTTGGTTTTCTAGTTGACAATTTTCCACACGGTTCAAAATCTCTCGACGCTGGGGCACCCCTGAATGATGCGCTTGAGAGAAGTTGTTCGTTGCAAGGATAAATCGGAAACAGTCGGTTCAATCCGAGAGAATAGATGTGAGTGTTTTTCAGAACGAGATGTTTCATAAGCCATGAGCGCTTGACGTCGTGGCTCAAGATTGTTGGGTCCCCCACAAACTCCCCGATTGCCTGAGCCTTGGGGTCTTCGGTTGTAAACGCAATGCCTTTCAGGCGTCAACGATGCTGTGAAACGTCAAAATGATACGTGCCGTCTTACATCGACAGAAAATTGAGTCGGCATCCAATGGATATGCACATACCCGACGCAGCCAATATAAACTGCAGTCATTACCACCTTCTCCGAGACACCAACTCCAGAAAGGGGGTGCAAAACGGAGCGCGGCATTTTAGAGCTCCCTGAAGCCACATACGCAGTCACCACTTGCAATGAATACTCCCGTTCAGATTTGTTAACTCAATTATATTGTGGCATACTATGACCTCCCGGCTCTTATTGCTCCATTCTCATTGGCCTCAAACAAACCTAGAGGTCGAACTAGGCAGCTATCATTAAAGTGTTGAAATCGGGTTCCTCGACATCTTCTTCATCCCATTGCCAGAAACTACACCTCCCAAGCCTGCAATTGAAAAAACCTCTGCCGGGTTGTGACGAGGCCCACCCAGCCACTCCTCTCTTGCTTGAAGTTCCGCAACGGCAGTCTGGGTTCGTAGGGTCGTTACCCTCATTATCAGCGAACACGATAAACGTATTGCAGGGATCACAGAAGTAATATGGACGTCCCTGGTTTCCGTTCATGTTCGAGTACCCAGTGATGGCCAGAGACGCCGGTGCGTTGCAGTAATGGCACTGTGGTGGGCCTTTTGAGAAGTCCTGGGAGATGTTCTGTAAGGTATGTTAGAAACTAGCAAAGGAAGGCTCTGGTCGAATGTTACTTACTGCCATAGTCGTCGTTTTATCGAGATATCAGCAAGATTTTCTCGATTTTGATTACAAGTACCTAGTAGGTAGGTTAGTTTATCTTGATCAACCATACCAGAGCAGGATGGGTCACTCTTATTTATAATACTTCGGTGCCTGTTTTCGAAGGCAACTCTTTTGTCCGTGCGAACGTTCTTATGCATATCTGCTTCCTTGAAGCAGCCACAGCTTTCTTCGCATACCCCTAAGCACATCAAACACTGAATACGTCACATTTCCCCTTTTTTCCTGCTTCCGCAGCTATGGCTTTGTGTAACCAGTCTTTTGACTGGCGCCTGTTCTTATAGAAAGGATATGGTAAAGATACCTATTTTGCTTAAACACATAAGTTGATAACATCTCATCGTCGCCCATAAGAGGTAGTTAAAGGTTGGTTAAGTAAGAATTCCTTGAAGTCAGGTGAACCTGGAAACAGGTGAGAATCAAGGAAATGCAAGGACAAGGCCCCCCTGTTCAGCCCTGTCAGCCCGGTAAAGTGGTTAGATGTGGGGGTAAGACGGATCAAAAGGCAGGCATAGGCGGCTTCGTTCTCCGGGCGCGACGCCGCCTCGTGGAAAAGCAAATGCTTACATTGAGATACTCCGGTAGTCAAGTTAAACCCCGGGAATTATATAGGTATTTGGCCAATGATAATACTCCTGATAGTTCAGTTAGTCAACCAGAAAAGGTCAGCTGCACCTAAGGAGTAGGTACTTGAGTCACAATGTGATACCCATCTTCTTGGAACACAACTAAAGCACGTCCATATCTTTTCTATAGATATATTCGGTGACTCTAATTCTCTTTTTCTGAGTCGGACCGTACTTCATTTCCCTTCGATTCCCCTCCAAATGAATCGGCAAATGTTCTGGATACTGGAACCTTATTTCTATCGGACTGATCACTAGATTCGTTACTAAGGATTCAACTTGTTCATTTTCTGAGGCCTATGTGTCTGCCAACGAAAAATCCTTCTGACAACAATCTTGTTTCAAGAATAATCACGTGAAACCAAATATTGAAGATATCTCCAAGACCCAGACCAGACAGATTCAACACACAGACCACCTGACCTTGGACCTGGAAATGATATCTGACAATCTTGAGGATGATAAGAGCCGTGATGCGGCATAGCACTCAGAGGGTTGTATGAAAGCATGATGTTGACAAGGATGAAGAGATATATCTCTTCGTTGTTCTTGATTAGCCTCGAAACGTTTTAAATAGGTATCACGGTAATAGACAGAATAGGTCAATTAGCATTAGAACACCGCCCCATAGGGCTGACAAAAACTAGGTAAACATGAGGCAGTTCTCAAATATATCTCATTTACTACCTATTTCAATTTCTAATTACTAAAGCGCAGTAACGCGGACACAGAGAGGCGCAACGACGCAGCGCCAACAGTTATGAATAACCCTCATCACCTAAGCGCATCTAATTAGATATGCACTCTTAAGACTTTTGAAATTTCACTCCCCATGTACACTACTCCCGGGTTAATTTTGCGTTGCTAGTTACGCGAATATATTGCTCAAATGCTCTTCGTGGTTTAGCTTCTCGGAGAGCACTTGGCTTGGACCGCTTGTACTGAACAAAATCTTGAACCTTCGGCCCGTGCTGAGAGCACGCAATCTATTCAGAAGCATATAAAGGTAGGGTCGAGTCTTGTTGTTCTCTAACCTTTCTAGGCCGTCGATGACACAGACAAGAAATGGTGGTATGTATTCCAGGAGGGTAGTAAGCATGTCCAGCGCCGGTTCAACGCTTGCGAGGGTCCCATCGAGCTTGTCAAAGTACGGCGTGTTCAACGTTCCCGGGCGTTCGAATCTCCGAGGGATATATGTGATGAGCTGTCGGATCAAGGTGTAAACGAGATCAGCCACAGGAGATGGAGGTTCGGAAACGGAAGATCTAGACCCCAGGTCAGGACGGCCATACATGGAGAAAATAGCCATCGGTAGTCCCGCTTCATAAGCAAGGCCGCAAAGTCGGATTCCCATTCTCGGGAGCGTCATGAGTTGGACGTCATTACTTGTCCGACCTTCAGCCCACATGAAGTGAGAACCATTGGATGTGATCCATAACCTGATATTCCCGTCGGTGTTAAAGGAAAAATGTAGAGGCTCAGGCTTGAGAGCGAGTAGTCGGAGATAAGAAGGAAGAAAATGAATCAAATTTTGAAGACGAAGCGCTAGCTGTCTAACTTCCTTTCTTGTCTGGTATTGGGTTCGTTCGTCTATAACAAAAATACCTATTTATTCAGTTCGCTACGCATGGACTAGATGTATAGGATGTTATGGGAACTCTTACCTGGAGGTGGCCCAAAAAGATCCCTAAGGAAGTCGGCAGGGTTCCGGTGCGCGGCCCACCCGTCGTAAATATGCCAGAACGCCTGTTCGGCTCGTTCCGCCGTCATTGGCTCATGATCTCTCATTTTTTTCTGCTACACTACCAGTTTCTTTTTTGCGGGATCGTAACTTAATGTAAGATGACTCTGTTATTGTGTAGGGTGATAATAGCTGAGCATCGGGAAGCTGGCAAAACTCATATTTATATACAGAAATCTCACAGGCATGAGGGAAAACTTCAGTGTTAATTCCACTATTTTGACAGCAAATACCTTAAGATGCCATAAAGATATGACTCTTCACGGCAGAACCCAAATTCCAGAATACCAGTCATAGCAACTCACAGCATTAAAGAGGGTATATCTGGAGAGGTGAAACTAGCAGCCCCTGACTGCTTGATAACACTGTGTATAAAAGAAGCATCACTAGATTCATCATTCACGCTCTAAACAGAGGTAAAATTTCCCAACGTCATATCTACATAGGCAATATTATTGTATATCTCAGTATCAGGCAGTTGCCTTACAATTAAATCAAATTCACTGAAAGTGAACATAATAAGATGCGGCGTCGTCATAATAGATAAACTATCGACTCGTGATGATGCAAGGACATTTTCGCTATCATCCTGTAGTTGAGAACATGTGAATCAATACTGCATCATGAGAAGACGCATGGAGCAGTTTATTGCTTCTATAATACATATATTTATCGCTGTAGGGATGTCTTCTTCTACAAGCTTTTAGTCCATCAACTACTCGGCCAGGAAAGCAACAGCAGCGCCATGGAAAAGAGGTCAAATATTCGCCGATATGCCCAGACAGTCAGGGACTACTACGACGATGGAGAACGCGAGGGCCGGGTAACGATATACGTCGAGCCGAGACAGATATATGATGCCACTACTGCTTTGGTGGACGCCCGGAGAGACAAGGTCCTGTTTATCCAACTACCTTTTAATTCACCTCGATTACTGAACCTCTCCCACGAGCTCTTGCATTCTATACGCGATGTCAGCCATGTTCCCTGTACCTGGTTCTTCGGTAGCAACCGAGCCTTCCAGGGGCGCTATCCCACACCTCAAGGCAAGATGTTGTCGCTTCTGAGCAGCATGATAGTGCAGCTGATCAAACTCTTGCCGAAAAGATTCAACGACCCGGACATGGCGCTCTCACAGCAAGTATTCAATAGCCTGCACCTACCCCAACCGGACCACATGGGGATGGCCATATCAATCCCCGTGGCTATCAATATCATCAAAGCCCTCCTCAAAGTGATTCCCCACGGGATACTATTCTTCTTCGAAGGATGCGATGACCTAGCACAAGCATATGAGAGACCTCTTGACGAAATTTGTGGACACTTTGCGTATTTACTTCGTTGCTTAGCACGACACGAATCGGGAAGGCCTCGAAAGATACTATGGATCCAGTCCGGAGCGTCTGCCTCCTTCGAAACAACGATATCAGGGGCGGTGAGAGCCGAAAACTACAACAGGGTTGAGTATCCCCGAGATTGGAATGATGGGAGAAGGAGAGGAACTAGAAGTATTCTAACTACACGACCATCATATGAACAAAGAGAAAGATGATCCATTGCTACGACTCAAGGGACAATCTTTCAGTCACCTTTCTGGGTTACTTAACCGCGAAAAGTTATTAAAGAAAAGGGGGGCCTGGATTTCCTTTCCGGAACATATGAATCAATGTATACGCCACAGGGTTAGAGGGTGGATGAAGATCGGGGAATCAATGCAAAGCTTTTTTTCTATTTATTTATGGAAATCATCGTTGGTAACTCCTCTTCGTGTCTCTAGAGCTAATTCCACAGCGAGAGAACGATCTAATTTGGCAACATATTAGTACCGTATTAAATTGAACAGAAACGTTGGGGAACTTACTCCCTGTGTCTATGCATTAAATTTTATTGACGATATAATCCATATTTTTGGACTTTCGTTGGGTTTGTTAATTTGGTAAGGTCTTAGTCCTTCACATCTCACCACATTGAGCAATGACGACGTCCATGTCTGGGACGTCTCGTCCACGGCGACCAGTCTTGGTCTTCTCAATCTTCTCAACTACGTCAAGACCATCGACGACTTTGCCGAAGACAACGTGCTTCCCGTCAAGATGAGGGGTAGGCACGGTAGTGATGAAGAATTGAGAACCGTTGGTGTTGGGGCCAGAGTTCTAAGATGGGATTAGCATAGCTAGGGAATTGTGAACCCGAGTAACTCACGGCCATAGAAAGCAGGCCCTTCTGAGTGTGCTTGAGAGAGAAGTTCTCATCCTCGAAAGACTTAGTTCCGTAGATGCACTTAAAAAAAGGGGTTAGTATCCATTTTGACTCCCCTCTCCTGAATGACTTACGGTGCTTCCAGTACCGTCGCCGTTGATGAAGTCTCCACCCTGAATCATGAAGTTGTTGATCTGAGATCCATTAGCACGACGTAACCCTAGACAGCTAGACAGTCCAAGGGAACATACGATTCGGTGGAATTTGCTTCCCTTGAAGCCCTGGCTCTGGCCTCGGCTGTTCTTGAACTCGCCGGTGCAGAATTGGCGGAAGTTCTCCGCAGTGCGGGGCACGACATCTTTGAAGAGCTCAAAGGTAACGCGGCCGAGAGGCTCACCTAATGCTAGTTAGAGCTGGGGTTACAACTTGGAACCGGTATTTTCAACATGTAAGTCGAAGACATATGTAAGTCAAATAGATCACGTGATCTCCTTCCAAATCAATCGACCCATTGTAGGATTCTGAAGGAGAGACCCAGACGGGAATAGGATTGCAACCGCTTACCTCCGAGCGTAATGTCAAAGAAGACCCTGTCGATTCCATCCAGTTAGCACGGAAGCCCCGGAAGAATGTTGGTGCTGATAGCTGACAGCTGCTGAGCCACCATCTCGCGTAAAAGGCTTTCACTTACAAAGGGTTTCCGGAAGCCGGAAGCTGTGTGGGCGCCATCTCGGCAATGTGGATAGGTATTTGAATGGCGTGATGGTGTGTTCCGGGGATGGGATGGTATTGCCGAAATCGGTAGTAGACGCGAAGAATTTGAGAAAGCTGTTTCGGCCTCGGTTACGGTGGTCTGGGTGGTGAAGTTTCGGAAAGCGGGAGGAATTTCAGAGTGATCAACTTCTAAATCTGCTAATCCGGAGGTGCGAAATAAGTACGTAACTTCCCCATCTTTACCGGATCATGGAAAGATCGACTATGCGCCGCGGGGCTTGTGGGACTAGTGGGGTTTCAAGGTTTGATGCCAAATACGTATGTTCCAGAAAACAGGAAGCAACCACTCTTGCTTACAGTTTGGGTTTTTTACTACATCGTAATTGAGGAAATGACTAACAGTAACAATCTTTTTGACAATCTTTTGAAGCAAATCGCAATAATTCCATCGTTGGCCATAGACCTCATAGGATCGACGTCTATCATCCATTGGCCATACCCAACCTAGCATATGATCTCGTTGACGACCGCTATGGCCACACCAACTAATGTGATTGTCGTATTGAACTCACCGTCCCACCTTCAATGATACATACCTACCTACACACATGCATACATGTCAAACGACTATAACTTACGACAATCGTCTATAGTGATTGTAATAGTCAGGTTAAAAATCAATTACGGACTTGTCAAGATGTTTGACAAACGTTTGACAAGCTAACTAACGTTCACGAGCTCTAAAAGAGCCTAACCAACGCAGAGACAGGGCTGACTTCGACTTACGAATTCTCGTATCCGCTTCTAAGGCTGTATGGCATTTCTATTATATGGTGCGCTCGGCACTCTTGTTAGCCTCGCACTCTTTGGTTTCAGCTTCGCGTGCTATTGGTCTAGTCGTTGACAAATCCTGGAGGCCGTACTTGGCACGAATCGCCGACTGTCACAGTTCTAGGCACTAGTAAAGCACTACTAAACCGAGCCATTCGTCTAGCTTCGCAAATTGCCTATACAGGAAAGAGGTATAGGAAACGAGGACCGGGCGTCAAAATGGGTTGTCGACGTGAAGATTCTTTGAGTGTTTCTGACTCACTCTTTTCCAGCTCGGTTCGCCTGGGATTTAACTGATGGGGTTTGGATTACGAAGACGGCAGTGGGCTCAACGAGGACAGCGAGGACAAAAGCTCACCAACGTTAAAGGCTGAAGTTTAGGAGTTTAATACAGATCATTAGCTTGGCGCATGTGGCACGGATGACTTAATCTGGACAGGTAAGAGATCCTCTTTGATACTGTACGAGTATTACTCCGATGATTCGTGGAATACTAACAAGGGTCGCATAGACATACTGCCGGCGCAATAAAGATGGCCGAGACTTACTAGAACAACATAGCCGCATTCTTACTGACATGTGGGAATCATCCAACTAAATTTAAGCTACGGTTGTCGCTAATTCCAAATTATGACAGAGCAAACATTTTGAACCTGACATAACGTTAATTTGTGTTATTTTAGACCTGAGCGGCACACCATAGTGTCGCTCATAGTCGTTGAACTTTGAATGAAGTCAGGGGCTACAATTGCATACCTGTATGGATAAATTTCGCGACAAGCTAATGCTGGCAGTTTCACTTGTATCATAAGTACCTAACCACCATGCTGTCGCGTCTTACTGTACTACCTATCTACGGGTTTTGTATCATGCTCGAATAAGCGTATGGAACTCATGCCCTGCTACGCTTACGTAGTACTACTATACCGACAGTCGTTATTACCTAGATCTCTAATTCCTTAATTAGCTCCCGATGTCCACTAAGCAGCGGGAGCTTCGGGATCTTGAGCATTGATGCATATATGCAGCCTTGGGTATTACAACTCACGATACACTAGAAGAAAACAACGAATTGGTGTTGAACTTGACCTGCTACAGTCGTAAAATCATCCTATATGCTATGTTATCTGGGAATATAACATGCTCGCATGGAACAGTTATGTACATGTGCTCCTACAAGATGGCCTGACGAGAACGCATAATCGTAACACAGGTCATTTATACTGGCAACACGATATGATATTCTAGCAAATACAATCTCTTTTTATTTGTTTCCATTTCATTCTGGTAATCTTGGAAGCTTGCGATGTGTTCGACAGCGACACGGAGACAATGGCGGCATCTACGCTAATAATGCTTCAGGGGTACGCTAGCCTGTATCTAAGCGCCCATCCAGCTATCTGGTCACTTACTATAGATCTGAAATTAGTATCTGCGCAACCAACAACAATACTTTTCAGGTTGCGATATGCATACGCACGTATAAGGAGATTTAATCCTTATTTATTTTCATTGTTACCATTGCCGAAACTACGGAACGGGTTTCGTTAAGCCTCATAAGAACTGAAAATAGTATATTTGTACCTACTTAGCAACGTGATGTCCCGAAACTACATGTTCTCAGTTATAGAACGTCAAATACGTATGTATTTAGCATTTAATATTTCAGCCGTTAGAAGGTTTACAACTCGAAATTTAGCATAACGTTGATGACCGTTTTGGCCCTGCCCGTCTCGAAACTCAAATTCAATAGATTGGAACCAATAGAAAAGCCATCAACCCACTATCTGCAAGTCACATTGCCGATCTCTTTCCTTGCTCCCACCTATATTACTACATGCATGATCAATTCATGATGTAATCAGCCAACTCACCTAAGCATTAGGTACGTACGGTGAATTTACTGTATGGAACGTTATTAAGGTGTACTTGTTTTTGTTTGCTACTATCGCCAATACTGGTATGTATCCACGCAATTGACAAACTCTACCAACTGCACCGGATTCAGTGTATTTGATATTTGGTATCTCCTGTTTATTTATCATGGCCTAAAACCACGACCCGAAACGGGGTTGACGGGGGTTGACTACCTGCACATACCTAAATACCTAGTCAGTTCTAGTAGGTACATAGATGCACGTATGCATCTCCATTTCCTTGTTCGGTTTAGACATGCCATGGTCCTTCACCTAGGCGCTGGGGCCACCGTTTTATTGGTTGATTGAAGGACCCACCGCCACCTATCATTCAAGCCGAAAGGCCAAAACCGCCCCAGCCGTCCCCAGCCCCGATCCAACCGTCTGGCCAGTTCCGTCTTTGAACTTGGCTGCACTTGGCTGTTCTGGTTGTTCTGGCTGTGCTTGCGCACTCTCTGGCACTGCATCACAGGACCGTCACCCCCCAAATCCTTCCTTTTCCCTCCATTAGTCCCCCTTGTTCTTTGCGGTCGCACCTTTCTCTTTCTCCACCCGTCCCCTTGGCTAAAGACCGAACTAACGCCTCTAACTTTCAAGACATTATTGTTCCTTCCAACTCGCCTATACTTGGCGCTATCGCTGCCGCTACTGGAACGGTCGGCTACATTTGTCATTTTGTCGTTTTTGCCATCTTTTCTCCTCAAACCTTGGCTTTTGCATCTTGGAACTCAACTAACAAACAAAGACGACGAATATCGTGCACACTTTGCTAGTTGCCGATATCTCCCATCGCTGACTCGATACAATCTCTATTCGGGCGATTCTAGTAGTAAATGGCATCGCAGTTCGGGGTACGACCGTGTTGATAGGATCATCAGTCCATTTCCGGCCATCAAGTCGAGGCTTTTTGCCAATGACCTCCTCGCTTGGATTTTGAATCGGCTGCCTCCGAAATCTAATTTCCAATAGGCATTTCCAGTTGCGAAGATGGTCGCTCTCAATCAAGTCGTGGCCGATGGCGCCCATTTGGTCGCAAGGGCCGTCGAATATCAAATTCGGCAGGCCACTTCGACAGTATTGAGTTCAAGCGGCTCTGCGACGCCGTCTCCGTCTCCCACATCCGGCTCTTCCATTTCGTCGACAACTTCGCCGACCGCATCCCCAGACCCTTCCGCTGGCAACAGCAACAATAACGATCAGAACAATGGTGGACAGTCGTCGACTAGCTCTCCTTTGCTATTCTTTGTTGCGTTGGGGTTTGGCGTTGTCTTCACGAACCTATGGTGAGCCAATATTGATGATATAATCTATAGCCGTATCCTCTCGTTTTGTTCTAATTCCGTGGAATAGGATTATTGTCGGCGTTAAGTATTGTTTCAGATATAATGCTCGAAATCGACAGCTGCGAGGATTGGATGAAAATGGCGAGCCCATCAACCTTGAGAATATGCCTGCCCGGCCGCATAGAAGACGTCGTGAGAAGAAGTTGATGACTATGGACGAAGTCAATGAAAAATTCCCTATGATGAAATACAAGGCTTGGGTGTCAGCACGTGCGAGAGAAGGATTGCCAACTGCCGGCGGCGTATCTGCACCAGCGAGTCGCGCTAATAGCGTAATGAGCGTCGAAGGTGTCGTGCCAGAAATACCATCTAAGGAACCATCTCATACTGAAGAGCACCCTGACTCTGCCGCTATTCCGGAACCTGTAGGTCACGAAAAGCCGAACACCAGCCCGGGGATCCAGGACAACGCATCGGACGATAACGTTGCTGCTGAAAACACTCTTACCCAATCAAAAACCGCCGAGAGTACTATTACGAAAGATCATGATCGCCGTGCAAGCGTCGATGAAGACGACGAGGACGAGCACATAGATGCCGCCCTGCCTCCCGAGCTTGTTGGTACACAGGGCGACACGTGCGCTATCTGTATCGACACGCTCGAGGACGATGACGATATCCGTGGCTTGACCTGTGGTCACGCTTTCCACGCAGTTTGCATCGATCCCTGGTTAACCAACCGGAGGGCTTCCTGTCCTCTCTGCAAGGCCGACTACTATACACCTAAACCCCGCCCGCCTCCTGCAGACGGGGACCCGACTAGTCCTACATCCCCTAACGTTGATCCGACTCGAAACAATGGCCGTATGAGCTTGCCGAGGACTCCGCAACGTACGTTTACTTCGTGGAGTAATTTCCGGGGAGGCCCGCGTGGTATGATTCCGGGTCGCTTCGGGGGTGTGGGTACGGAATCGTCCAATTATAGTCGACCTCCTCGAATATGGGAGAGAAATCGCGCAGACCGCCGACGCCACCCCGAACCGCAGCCGGCCGCATCGGATAACGCAGGTCTTTTCACAAGAGTTCGCAGTCGACTCCCACCATTCAGGTTGAATGAGCTGATGCGAAGGGAACGCAACGGGCAGACAGCGGAAGCTGATGATGTCACTGCTTCCGGTGCTAACGGCGCCGCAAATACCACGCCCTCGCAGTTGGAAGCAGGTGTACGGCCGTCGGGAACTACGGCGAATTAAGAATTCCTAATCTCCATAGAACGTCGGCTTAATCAACGGAATATATAAATGTTACATTGTTTACTGGTGGCTTTTTCGATTATATCATGTACACGACATCGCGAAATGAGCTCGCATATCATACCCTTATTGTGTGCTCTGAATTTCTCTTTTCATCTTCACTTTTCCTACGGCTGTTGATATTCTGCTAATACCTACCTGTCCGATGCGAAGGATTGAGTAGGCCGAGCAAGAAGGCGGGAGCACAATGTGAGGGTTGTGAGGAGTTAACCTTCGGTTATGATATATTGGCGATGTCTAGAAGGAAACCTGAGACACTTCGTCATTGTCATAACTTAGGTTTCAGGGTTTCGGTCTAGACCCCACGCCTGTGAAAAAAAGGGGGCTGAGCTGAGCCGAGCCTGGTTTGTTGGGAGGCGTCACATGCATTTTGTAGGAGTAGGCGGTGTTTTCGCGTTCGAGGCTACAAGCGGGCGGGCTGTTTGGCAAAGGTTATTGTTCTAAAGAGTTGTTGAAATAGCTTGCATGGAAGAGTAAGCGGGAGGCTGTTCGAACTTTTTGAATTATGGAGTCACCTACCCGCTCTAACGAAGGGTTGGTGGTTGTTGGCCACCGGAAGTGGCAATGTATCTCATGCAGAGGAATAGCGGACAGCAGAACGCGAGAATAATAATTTATTATTCGACATGACATTGGCTTGGTATGTGAGTGACTACGATGCATGGGAATTACTTGGTTATCTCAAGCATCGATACGTTTCGTAAAATGAATCTATCGTTGTTTTTGCAGTCTAGCACTACCTAGCAGCACATAAACGGTGAATAGGGTATCTTGAGTCGACATTCAAATCTAGTCCCTTCCCCTCTCCTCATCGTCATACGTAGACATATACGTATCTTTTCATCTGTCTAACCTACATCCTCCCGCCTATTTGTAGGCCCCTCCCTTCCTCACATCACACCACATCACATTCACATCCAACATCACATCACAGATATTTCCCCTTCGCAAACCGGCCCCCGAAGTCCGCAGCGCGGCTCATCAGCTCGCGCCGCTGGCCGGCGCTGATGCGGCCGCCGGACCGCACGTCCTTCTCGCGGTCGAAGGCGCGCTTGCTCGGGTCGTCTTCCTCTTCGTCGGGGGCCAGCTGGCGCCCCTTGCGCGACGCCTGGTGCTCCTCGTACAGCGACTTGCCGCGCGTCGCCTCCGTGTACCCGCGGATGCGCGCCGCTTGCTCCGCGTCTAGGTCTGTCTTCTTTCCTTGGTTCGTGCTGTTCCCGGTGGTGGCTGTGGAGGTGGAGGAAGAGGTGTCCCGCCCGAGCACGGCGTTCTCGAGACGCTTGCGTTTTTGTTCCGGGGTTTCGGTCCATATGCTGGCTATCTCGCCGCCGCTAGAGCCCCGGCTGGGGTCCGTGTTGGCGCGTGGTCCCGAGGCGAAGCGTCGGCTTTTGAGTTTTGTTGGGTCCGGCGCTCGTGACCCGGATGAGGTGGGGAGCGCGAGCATCCATTCGTCGCGTTGTGGTTTTGCGGCGCCTTCTTCGGCGGCGCGGGCCGCGGATGCTGCGAGAGCGGCGGTTTGGCGCGCTTGGTGCGAGGATGAGGTTGGGAGGGCTGGGCCGTAGCCGTCGTCGGAATCGGAGTCCGAATCTGAGGCTGGGTCCGGAGGACGCTCGGAGAGGGCGGCTGGTGGTGGGGCGGGACCTTGTACGCGTTTCGTGGGCGCTGAGGCGGGTTTTGGTGCTGGTCCCATTTCAGAGTCTGAGGAGTCTGCGGTTTCTGATGGGATTTCGTCGCGGTTTGTGGATGGGAGTGTAGGGCCTATAGAAGGTTTTGTTTGGGGTTTTGCTGTGGGAGGCGGTGGAGGAGCTGATGGGCCGATGGCGTCGTCGTCGCTGTCCTCTAATTCGACCTCATCTGTGTTTAGAGGTGGTAGGGAAGGCCCTATAGGTCCTTTGGTCGGAGGCGCAGGTGCAGGTGCGGATGGGCCGTAGTCGTCCTCATCGTCGCTGTCGAGATCTACTTCGTCTTGGTTGCGGTCTGTAGCTCGTTGTTTTGCTGCTGGCGATTCTGGAGATTCGTCGTCAGGAGTACGCTTGCGTTTCGAAAGGTGCGGTGGCAGTTGCGGTCCTATGGACGACATTGTAGTGGATATCGAGGTTGTAAGTGTCGGCAATGGCGGAAATAGAAAGCTTAATGTTGCGATTTGAATCTTGAAATCTAGAAAGACACTGAAAGTTTACTTTGTAGGTGCAGGGATTTGGGCGAATAAACAGGGGTCTCGATTGAAATTGGGGTGGTTAGTTGCATCACGTTGGCTCGTGCGTCGCTTATCCCTCAGCGCTTCTTAGCTGATAACGACCGCTGATTGGCAGTGGTATGTTTGCTAATAATAAGGCTGAGCTAGCTTGGCTCGGTGCCTATGAGGTACGTAAGGCAGTGAATGGATTCAGAGAAGCTGCGATAGCCATATCAAATGCTAAACTTATTTGTGCCACTCCTTTCTTGTACATACCTCAAACCTAATTCAACAAAAAACGATCCGCGTTCCGCGAAAAATAGAATCCAGCGATTCCATTACGATATTCACGATCTGAATCTTGGCTTTTGATAGAGCTACGAAGTTGATAATTGAGCTATTAGCTTACTACGCAATTTTCAAGAACCGACTGCTCCGGCAACGATAATACAACGGTAATACAACGACTTAGTTTAATAAGATTTACGACGCGACGAAATACCACAATCGATAGTTATTGAAGTCATGCGACCGATGCTGATATCTCGATGAGCTTGCCTTCCTCGGACAGAGATGGGCTGTCAACATGGACGATGATCATCTAGATCTATCTCCAAATGGAGAAAACGGAGAAAACGGTGACGCGGCCTCGAGCGATGAGGAGACAATCAAGGGAGAACAGGGACATGAAGAGGTAGCTGATGTTGAGGGAGAGGATGACCAAGAGAGCATCATATCCACCCAACCTACCGGCAATGGAGCTATCGCAAATCGGTATCATCAACTGCTGAAGGATCGCGATGATGCGTCGGAAGCGGGATCAGCTGAGGGTATACCCCGAAGAGTTGGGAGTCCAATAGACTCTCTACTCTCCGTGCCGGATGACTCACCTTCTCTTCAGGTACGCGATACTATAGTATCGTCAGGAAAGACTTGAACTAACCCCTTTTCTAGGGTTCTATGATATCTTCCCCTGGAAGTAGTAGGGTCCCATCTCTAGCCTCGCGCCCTGGGCTAAATAGTCCGACACCTTCGTTTAGGCCCTTCGACCGACGATTCCAATCGCGTATATCCTCCCCATCATCCGTGCTCTCTCCACGACCAGGCTCGCCTGCATTTCTCTCCGGGCATAGTAGACAGGCGTCATTGAGCAGTCAATTTTTCTTAGAAGTGGGCGACGCGGAAACTCCTACGCCTCCGTGGGAGGTTGTGCGATGGACGAAACTCAAGAAATTGAACGGACAGGCTTTCTCTGAATCCGGAAAGCGGAGCTTGGGTTCCCCTACGTGTATAGCCGTGTCTGCCTCGATCGTGTTGGGAACCTCCAAAGGCATAATCTTAATGTTTGATTATAACCAAAATTTGAAAATGATTATCGGCCCAGGCACTAAAGGTCGGTCGCCATTTATGAACTTTCTATATCATAGTGTTGACAAATCACAGCTGTCGAATCCGGGCCGATTACCGCCATTGCTATATCCGCTGACTATACGACGATAGCTGGCGGTCATGCAAGCGGAAACATATTCACGTGGGATACTAGCAGGGCCTCTCGACCATTCCTACATATACCGCCCCTTGATGACTCTCAAGTGCAACACCGGACAACGGATGGCCATATGCCGCACGTATCTATAACACATTTAGGCTTCCTAGGCACTAGGCATACTGCCCTAGTCTCCGCCGACGATCGCGGCATGGCGTTTTCTCACCTGGCGACTCGGGGTACTGGCGCCCTTGGACGAACGGTCAAGACTTTCAGGATTTTGGGTCGATATCCCGATGCGCCACCTCCTGCATCGGGTAAACCCCTTAAGCCTAGTACCGTACTGGGCTTTTCTTCACTGCCACTTGGGAATGTGGAGCGAGCGACAGATACGATGGGACTTACTGCTATGCTCACCCCTTATCTACTTGTCATAGTCTCTACCACACCCATTGCGCAAACTCAGCACAAATCAGCCAGACCAAAAGATGTAGCACCACACAGTGCCATGACCGGTTGTTTGGCGTGGTTTCCAGCTGTCAAACTAAAAGTACCAGATCCCAACACGGGTAGTACGATGTCTAAGGTGAAGCTGGTATACTGCTGGTCTAACGTACTCACTGTATTGGACGTAGATGAAATACCATCGGACGATAAGGACAAACCGCCGCTATTGAAGTTCAAAGCACGTTCTAGGTGGAAGTGCGAGGAAGCAATTGTAGCGGTCCAATGGCTCAGCCGTTCTGTCTTGACCGTTCTGACCATTACCCAGAGGCTCATTGTCCTTGAAGATCGGTCGATGAGGATGACGGAAGCTTTTGATCTTATCCACAAATACATATATCACGCTGATCTCTTCTCCAGTCAACTGCACAATCTAGTTGAGCAGCTTGATGAAGATGATACCTCCATGCATGGCGTTGTTGCCGATGCCTTCTACATGAGTTTCAAAGCATATAAGGGACGTATCTTCCTGTTGGGATTTAATGACGTATCAATTGGGGCCTTGTCCAACTGGGCGGATCGACTGATAGCTTTGATGGAGAATGGCGACTATATCGGAGCAATTCAACTAGCGACCTCGTACTACACAGGCGATGCTAACAAGTTGACGGTGGGCCTCCCCGAAGATGCTACTTTAAGGCATCGAATGGTTCGTGACAAGGTAATGGAGATAATGAGAGCGTCTCTTAAATATGTATTTGGACAGCGGAAAAAGAACAAATCCTCGGTAGATGATCAACAGCTGCGACATCTTACGGAAACCTGCTTTATTGCTTGCCAAAGCGTCGGGGACCTCGACTTCCTCTTTGACGAGATGTACGAATGGTACGAAGATGGCGATGCCGAAGGCATATTTCTAGAGGTTCTGGAGCCATATATCCTTGAAAAAACGATATCGACTGTGCCACCAACTGCGGTTAAAGCGATGGTCACTCACTTTGTTAGCAGGGGTTGGGAAAGCCGGCTAGAAGAGGTGATTTGTCACATGGAAACGACCACGCTCGATATCGATCAGATTACTTCGCTTTGTAAGAAGCATGGCCTCTACGATGCTCTTATTTACGTCTGGAACCAAGCGTTATTTGATTATATAACACCCCTCATCGATCTACTTACTCTTTTGATACCCCTAATGCAGAATACCCCGGAGAATTTCATGGAGCATGAGCACCATGGGGTTAACGCTGTTAAGATGTTCCCTTACCTTTCTTATACCTTAACTGGGAGGGTATATCCTACGGGTGAGAGGATGCAAGATGGAGTAGCTTCACAGGCCAAAGCCGAGCTATACTGGTTTCTCTTTTCCGGGAAGAGTATAGTCTGGCCTAAAGGCAACAACACGATATTTCGCACCCAACCGACGCAGACGGAAGAGCCATCATTTCCATATCTAAGGATGATACTACAGTATGATGCCCCGAGCTTCCTAAGCGCGCTAAACGAAGCGTTCGAAGATCCGTTCCTGAATGATTCCCAGGAGAAACAGCTGAACGGCGGAACCGGAAAAGACTTACCAGAAGAGCAAATATTCGGCTTGACGGTTGATCGTCAATATGTCGTGTCAATCCTGCTCGAGATTATGAATCCGAACGATTTTGACCCTGCAGATACCATATATCTGGACATGTTTATTGCCCGAAATCTACCCAAGTTCCCTCAATATCTTCTCATCCCCGGTTCTACTCTAGATAAGGTCTTAATTGGGTTATGCCGCTATCCCGGAATAGATCTGGCGGAGGATGCCCAGCTAAGCGCAGAATATCTACTCTCCGTGTACCAACCACCAGACATATCACCAATGATCCCTCTGTTTAAGAAAGCTTGTTTCTATCGTATTCTAAAACGGATATATAGGAATGATAAGCAATATGCGAAGTTGTTGCAGACCTACTTCGAAGACCCAGAAGATCAGACAGAAGTCTTCGAATGCATTGCGGAATGCTTGCAGCCTCATCCTAGCCTCCCTAAGAGATATGTTCATGAGGTACAAGATGTTATCAAACAACATTCACGGGAACTTGTTGAACTCGATCCAATCCGAGCTGCTCAAACTTTAGCTGCATATGCGCCTAATTTACACAGATTCGTCTTAGACTCACTTGAAAAAGGCTCGGAATTACAATACGATTACCTCAAAGCTCTCCTTGAGCCTGACTATGAAACTTCAGAGCAGACGACTACAGCATTGGATCGGGATTTCATCGAACAATACGTGCAGCTCATGTGTCGATATAACTCTTCCCACGTGTCCGATTATGTTGGTATCGTGCAAGCCACAAACCTTAGGCTTGACAAGTTACTACCCACCATGGAAGACACTGGGGTCATCGATGCTGTGGTTATCCTTATGGCTCGAGAAGGACAAGTGCAAGATGCTATGGGCCGTTTGACGAGACATTTAGAAACATTGGAATCGGCTCTTCAGGGTTTGGTGGCAAATGCCGATGACCATACCGACGGTATTGACGTCAAAGAAGCTGCCGAGGAATTACTCAGGGGGTTACAAAATTATACACATGTCGGTATATGGCTGTGCCAAGGCCAGATGAAGACGTCCAAGAAACTTAACGCAATTGGTCGACGAAGCTCGCCGTCGCCTAGCGATCTTTTACCCGATGAAGTGTTGTGGCTTGACTTAATAGATACCACCGTCCAGATTACGAGGCGTCTGTCATCTGTTGTTTCCCCCTCTCAACCAATCAAAGTCTCGAGCACAGCTTCACCAACGCCAGTTCTTGATAGCGACAAACTGGTGGCACTCTTGCGCTCACTTGTACAACACACATTCACGGCACTTATGACCGCAACGTCCACTGAAAGCGCGGGCCTATCTACCAACCGTCTTGTTGCAAAATCTGGAGGCAGCCTCACGTTTCTTCGAATTCTTCGAGCCTTTCTCACTCGTGCAGCTGCCAGCTCTCCTAACCTTGCAGACTTACGAGCCGTGTTGACATCAATATTCTCCGCCTATGCATACGAAGAATCAATACTGCGACTTTCCAACAGACTCCTGGAGCAACAGCTATTCGTCAATGTCAAACAAGCTGTGGAGCTCCGACAGCGTGGGTGGCGACCTAGAGGTTCTACTTGTGAAGCTTGCGGGAAGCGGGTTTGGGGCCCAGGGGTAGCTGGTAACGTCTTTGAAGCTTGGGAGGAGAAACAAGCTATCGAAAATAGGAAACGGGAGGAAAGGAAAGCCGTGGTCGCCAACTCGGCTATCGCGCGTGGGAAAGGCAAGGCCGAATCTCCAATAGAGGAGGGCGAGACATATAAGGGAAAAGGAAAGGACAAGAGCACTGATAGCGGTAACGGTCCCAGCTCATCAGAGGAGCAGGTGGCAAACGGCACACAGGACGTCCGGGGCCAAGCTATCGAGACGAACGGAGAAGTTTACGCAAAGAGGAGAGATCAGCCCCTTGGCCCGCTCGTCGTTCTGGCTTGCAGACACATATATCACAAGGATTGCTTGGATGCACTACAGGCGAAGCAGGGAGCGAACGGCGTCCATAGGGAGGTGGATGAGTTTGGCCGCGAAGCGGAGTATAGGTGTCCTATCGACGGCTAGGGTAGGAAAAGGGGAAGGGGTTGGGCTGGATAGCCGTTGTATTTCTGTGTACAGTACGGTAGGGAGGTACTTATACGTCGTCTCTCGATTTTTTAGGGTCGAGCGCTAGAATTAAGACGTTACGGAGACTTGAATGATAGGTTATTTCTGGGGTTGTAAATGATGAAAGTACTCCTTTATGTTTCTCAAGATACCTATAGTTAAGTGACCCGAATTCTTGTAACACGATATCATTCCACCGGAGAACGTAGATATGTAGTTGGAAATATTTATACACCGCGTCACAAATTTATTTATAAGAAATGAAACGTCCCTAGGCCTTAACTATTGAAGCCATCCTATGCAGCCGGGTTCCATCTCATCCCGTCCCTTCCACCTATGGTATCTCTTCTCTTATCTGTACACTCAAACATACGTCCAATTTCGTATCCCGACATCGTAGTAATCATCCCGAATATTAAATTCCACATAACAAGATATCGTACATCGATCCGCCTATCTAACCTAGTAACCCCGCGGTTAGAACCCCGCCTAAGCCGCCGAAGACGACGACGGCGCCGGCGTAACCTTGGAGCACGGCGTGCGAGCCGACACGGAAACCAAACTCGTCGGCGTCGCGACCTCCTTGGCACCCCCCTCCTCGTCCTCCGCCACCGACGCCGACGCCGACGCAGTAACGTACGCGGACCCGGTGATAAGCGAGCTCTGCGGCGTCACGACCGACGCCGCGACGCTCAACGAGTTCGTCACGGGCGCGCTCAGACTCGTAAGAGTTAGGTACTGCGCCGTCGCCGTCGCCGTCGCGTTAACGAATGGCGCGTCGGCGAGGGAAGCAGCGGCGGAGGAAGCAGCAGTGGATACGGGGCACGAGGAACTGGTCTGGGTGAGGGTGTCCGTGACGACGATGACTTGCGTCAGGCTGTTCGGACAGTTGACCACGGCGGCGGCGCAGGACGTCACCGTGTACGTGCTCGTCGTGGTCGCGGTGGAAGTTACGAGCGGCGAGGGGCATGCTAGCGTCGATGTCGCGGATGCAACTGCACCAGGTCCCGTTCCGGTGATAAGCGGCGTGGACGTGGTCTGGCCCGCGGTGATAAAGCACGTGCTCGTCGCGGCGTCGAAGAACGTCGTGCTGACGGTCGGGTCGTAGTCGCCGAGCGTCACGTCGGCGATCTCGACGCCGATGTCGACGAAGGCGCCCGCGTTGATGTTGATCTCCGCGCTCACCGGCAGGATGCAGTCGCTGCCGTTCGCGGGAGGCAGGCTGAATTGCTCACCGAGGATCACCTCGGGGATGTTGATGTACGCGCCTGCGATGGCCTTAGCTTCGAGCAGAGGTACGGAGGGCAGCTCGATCCCGCCTTGGACTGCTACGCGCAGGGCTACGGTTACGGTGGCGGGCGCGTCGACGGAGAGGGGGAGGAGGGTTGCGGAGGCGCCGGTGCTGGGTGGGGGGTTAGATGGGTTTCTTATATATATAAATATATCTATAGGAAAGAGAGGAATGACTTACAACTTGCCGACGTTTCCAACCTTCTCGTCTAGGTTGATGGTAAATGACGATCCGTCGGGGATGGTGACCTCGAAGCCACCTTCCGTCTCGATCTCGGCTGTGATGCCGATGATGAGGTCTACGCCGAAGGAGATGCCAGCTTGGAATCCCGGGCCCTAGGGTTGTCTCTATTAGTAAATTGTATTCTTGACCTCAGACGATGCCCCCTTTCCCGATCCCTTTTGAAACCAGGATTCTTAAAATAAGAGCAGTATAACTCACGGTGATGCCAAGAGGAGACTCGGTCTTGTACAACGGTATAGTGAAATGACCAGTTCCTGTGGTCGTGACGCTGAGGTCCACGAGAGCACCGACTCCCTGGAAACCGACTGTAAGGCTGGCATCGTTGAACGGGTTGAAGTCCTTCAGGTCCTTCAGCAGCTCTTCGAGGTTGTCCGGGAACTCCATGAACGCGTTAAGCTCGCCAAAGGTCTTGCACTCGACACAGGAAAGATCGAGGGAGAGACTCGTGCCTGTGGGCCCTGGCCATGAACTGTTTCTTGCATTAGCATAGGGATACGGCTGTATGGGGGAGATGGGTCTCAGGTATTTACCCAGAGAACAACGTCACGTCATTGGCTTCAAAGCCCAAGTCAAAGGTCTTATTAGCATCACGCCTAACCATCACACCCCTTGTGTGAGGACCGTATCGCGGCAGGAGTTCTACATCGCGTTCGGTGATACCTTGAAACGCCGATACATCAGCGATAGGTTTCGCTATCGCCAACGAGGAGCAGGCCAGAACGAGAGAGAGGAGGTTGTACATGGTGACGGGTTTTCCGTATCCCCTATTAAACGAATGTAAAAGAATGTAAATGAACGAATGTCGACTCGGCTTGAATACCGACCGGAAGATGCCAGAGTCGTGGAGTAAAAGAGTGAAGTAAAAGAGTGAATATGTATAAGGAACGTATATGTCCTCCACGAAGAAACTCTCAACGGCGCACAAGGCTCATGATGTAAGTGCCCAAATAGCCGGGCCATCGTGAGTGTATATACTTCAGACAGCTCCTCCGGTCCCTTCACCTCCCCACTCAGTATTATCTATCGGCGCCATCATCTGATCTAATCTCGTCTCCTTCGAACTAGAATCGGCTTGTGCCGTATGTACGTCCCTAGTCCTGGGCAGTGTGGTAAGGTAGCATTTCTTTCGACGGGGCGATAGCAGGATTCTGGACAGGGGGTTGAGAGCTGCTTGTTCAGATTTCAACCTTGCCAACCCGGCTATGAAACCGAAATAAGCATCCGCCAAGCCGTAAACGGTCGTTGGTGCTTGAAGAACTAATCAATCAACATCGGACCGCTTTGCTCACATTAATTATTAGCCCATCCCGCATTACGCACTATACACGAGGCACGTAGGCGAACATTATCTATTTTCTGTCGTATACGCGTCACTTTGGTCACTTTGGTTTATGGAACAGCAAACATCGTGACGGTTGACGGTACTCCTGGATATGAACAATCAGCGATATTCTCGAATAATATAACTTAACCAAGCGAAATCGGAAGCCCCTTCATATCGCCTACCTTCCCTTGCTTCTTGTTTTTCTTCAATCCGTAAATACCGTTTTCCCATCTCAAAGTGTATCGTCCGAACTTCTGCAGACTCAGCAGCCACTCCTGCATGTCTTACCTAACGTAACAAACGCAGCAAGTAACAGGTAACAAGCCCTGCCGCACCGTTCGAAGGGGAACGGCTCCGTTCAGCTGCAACATCGAATCGGGTAGGTATGTACCTGGGTAACACAATAATATCTCCTCATCCTATCCAGTCTAAGACAAGATCCATCTCGCCCTCCTTCCGTAAACGGAAACCGGGATTTTTATTTAAGCTCAGATCACTCTATGTAACGTAGGCGGCTCCGGTCCAAGACCACCAGGAGAGCATAGCTTTGCATGCATGCATGGGAGGACAAACAGCCCGTCCTCATAGCCTTGCTGGGCAGATCCCTAACGATGTGTTAGGTATGTAACTCTCCCTAATTCTTAAAATCGCAGCCCTCGCGAAAACGATTGATTGGTTGGACGGCCGCCGTTGCGCTACGCCACCTCCCCATCCCCCTTAACAACGGTTCCCAGGTAGCACATAATTCTGCCGACCCCTAGGGGAACAGCCCTGTTTCGCAAGCGGCAGGGGTTCCCGCATAGAAGCCAGCGCCAGCATTTCCACCTTTTTCTCCCGGTCCCCTAATAGCCCCCTGGGTGGATTAAGCAGTTAGGCTGAGGCTGAGAACAGCCATTTTCCCCTTTCCAAAGAACCCTCCACTTCTTCCTTCGTACCCTTAACAAAGCTGACGAGCAAAAACCCTTTGAATACTACATTAAGCAGCCCTCGTCATCAATGTCATGCGCAACCCGCATACATAAGATATAAAAATACACCATTCCTGCATCCTACACCGACCGCCGGGTCCCTATCCCCACAGGCACGAGCGACCGCATCGGGGATAGAGGTCCTAACTAAGAGGTAGTGGTAGAAGCTTGGCGTTCCCCGACAGGGCCTCTATGTGAGATAAACCAAGATTGATAATACTTAGCCACCTAGCTAGCACGCTCTACGATGCTACTTATAATAGACATGGGCCAAATTCCAATATTGAATATAACCACAATTCCGCACTTAACAACTTTCCAAGCCCGTACGCCGTCACATTCACAACCTAAGAATTGTGCCGACGTGCAACTCTGCCATTCCCTAACCAGCAGTGTTTCCCTAACCTCGACATGATCTCGGAATGGGCTGTATTGCCGTAGATTCGGTCCATTTGCCGATATTCACATGTCACATGTCATCCCCCCAAAGAGCCGTCAAAAGCCCACGTGTATCGACTGACTCGACACCACGACATCGGAGCATATAAAAAAAAACCTCTCTCCAACTAACGCACCATTTCACACGAGTCACTTCATCAACAAAGCCAACAAGAAAAGAGGAGCCAAAAATCCCCGCGCGCACACAAAAAAAAAAGTCAAGGCATAGTCTATTTCCGCCGTTCCTAATTCAATTCCACTGTGCTAAGGGACAAGAGATGATGGTGATGGATGTCTTTTCTATGATAAGAGCCCAGTTATAAACCCGCCCCCTTCCCCCTACCTATTCCCGCCCATTCCCGCTTCCAATAAGAATAAGGCAAAGGGAATTTGTAATGTTGTAAACCGCTACTCCCCCCATCCGACAAACACCCCTCTTAATCGCTTTGTGATACACTGGCAATCTAGGCCTCGTGTTGCCAATTGGGAATAATACATGGCTGTTACATGTAGGTAAGTTAAGTTTTTTTTTCTTTAAACAAAAGAGAAGCGATGCGGTAAATAGTTGGTGATGTGATGTTTGTGTTCGTTCCGTACACCTTGGTTTTTTTTTTGCTAGCCGCTCCTCTAGCTTAGTCTCGTAGGTACTTGTGATAGGCTTAGTCGGCGAGCGAATTTAGCTCTCGTTTTTCTTCGCCTCTTCGACCTTCTTCTCTTCCTGTTGTGAGTCCTTGGCCTGGAGCTGGTCGGCCTCGGCGTCGACAGCCTCGCCCACCACCTCCTTTTCGAGGCCCTGCTCCGCGGCGGCTAAAGCAGCCCGGTCATCCTTCTCATCAATGTCGTCCACATCCTTAGGTGTGGCGAGACCGGTGTCCTGGTTCTCCTGGTTCTGCTCGTTCTCTTCCTCGATCAGATCCTGCTGTTCCTTCAGAACCTCGAGTCGCTGCTTGTTGGTCGCCGCACCCTCGGCGTTGTGCACCTCAAGTTCGATCTCGTGGTAGAGCTCTTCAGGAATAGACGACAGCACACCGGTCAAAGCCTCGATCTGGCTGTGGAACCCGCCCTCAGTCTTTTGGCCGTACATGTAAGCGTTGCTTAGCACGAGCAGCGTTGAAGGAACGCCATGCTTCAACCGTAGGTCCAACCAGGATTGGAGGTCCTCCCGTAGCCTAGCAGGAGATACTGTGTGCGTCTTGATACCTCGGCTAGCACATGCTGTCTGCAGCTCAGAGACGTTAAGGCTGTCAACGCCCTCGAAGCTAATCGCCTTGTCATCCCTCTTGATTTGTCGCATTCTGTGACGGATCTGATACCGGAGCATGATATCCGTGCCGAACGTGTTCAGATTCATATAACGGCACATAGACACCAACTGTGGTCTCGACAAATTGTCGAGAGTCAAGTCATCCCTAAAAGCCTTGCAGACTTTGATGACGTCGTCCGTGCTTGGCTGCTCTCCAGTAGCGCGCAATTTTCGGAAGAACGTAGCGAACTCCTCCTTCTGTGTCGTACTAGGCGACAGAGGCAGCCCGGTCTCTTTCATAGTGTCGCGAAGGAAGGAACTGACCTCCTTACGGGTTGCTCGCAATGTCGCGGCTTTCTTGTCTTTGGATTGTTGAGCTTCGTACGTGCTTGGAAGCATGTTAGGGAATAGCTTTAGGGCGATAGGCAGAAGGGCCTCAGCAAAAGGAACGATGACGAAGACCGAGAATGGCACCAGACGGCCAAGGTCCTGAACTGTCCGCTGAAGTTGTCGGTTCTCTCGTCGGGTGAGTTCGTAGCCGGCGGCCATTTTCAGCGCCAGTTTGCTGCTGATCTTCACTTCAGTGGCCAGAAGCTTCGTGCCATCCCAGTAATGCTGGAGTTCATGCTTGATCTTTTGTCCCAGAGTCAGCTTTTTCTCCTGCTTCTCCTCTTGTTTTTCAACCTCCGCATTCTTCTTCGCTGCCAACTCGGTCAAGGTCTTAGCCTCAGTAGCAGAAGGTTGTGTCGTCTTTGCTGCGCCGACGTCCTTGACGGGCTCTGTCTTCGCGTCGGAGGCTTTCTTCGTCGACGTCTCTGTTTTTGGGAGCGGTTTCTTAGCTAGCTCTGCGTTGAATCCAGGAGGTGGGCCATTATGCGGGCCAACTGAATGCCGTTCGGTTGATATGCTTCGAATGGGGATTAGAAGGGCTCGCGCCATAAGATCTGAGGGTAATTGACGGTTTTGGCGTCCGAGATAAGCTGATGGAAGAGAAAGGCCGGGCCGAGCCGCCGTCCTCCCGGCAAAAGGGTTTATGATCACTGCCCTCTGGGCAGCTTTAGAGGATGCGCTCATTTCGAACTGGGGATAACGATAGACTCTAGATACCTATGTAGGTATAAGGTGGAAGGAAGGGCGATCCGGTGGAAAGGGAATGGTGGTATTTGTTTGTGTACGCGTAGACGTGAGTAAGCGTTAAGAAGGATCGGAATGAAGTTGAACGGTTGAAAGGGCTGCTTTTCATTTCCATGAGCAGGTTAATTAGGTACCGTAGCCCGATAAGTCCGTCGGGCATGTGAATCACGTGCTGATAGTAAGGATCTGGCCCGTTCTTTTTCTTCTTTTCTCCTTCTTTTACTCAACAGATCTCCGTCCATTGCCCCGGCTCGGACATGATTAGATAATTAGAGACCCACCCGATCCACCAATGACATCAGAACACGCCCAGTTGGAACCACCTGGCTTTCGGCATTACCTTACATAATACAATTAATTTACTATACGAATCAGACATCTACGCTACCAGCGCTACCTACCAGATAGTACACTTTTAACACAAAATAGAATAATTATTATGCCAATGATGAAACGAATATATAATCTATTGCACCGGCCGGGTATCTAGAAATACATGTATTTCGTAAGTGAGGATGATCAACTCGCCAGACTCCGAATGCTCGCTTTGCCAAATGCTATGCTTGCCCTTGCCCCTTTTTTCCTAAACCATAATAGATTTAATCAAAAAAGAAATAACAATCTCCGAGAAAATATGTAACAGTTAGAAGGACTAAAGAAAAGAAGAGAAACCGATGATCATCTCTTCTGCTGTGTTTTTGACTTTGACCTTGACTCGGGTTTTGGTTCCGGTCGTGGTCTCGTAATATTCGGACCCGTCCCAATGCCCGTCAGCGTCCGCACAGCCCAATGTAACCAGCTCTCCGTCTCAAGCTGCATCTTCAGCTCGTCAGCTCTCCGCTCCACGTCGTTCACTTGTATCTCGAACTGCGCTACACCGTCTTCAACATCCTGGACACGGGAGACGAGAGCATTAATCTCATACTCCAGCTTAGCCGCCTGCACTCCCACCTCCCCAAGTGCTTCTGTGATGCGTGCTCGCTGCTCCGCCACCGCCTCCTGCGAGTTGTCCTTAGCACGCCGGTATGCATCGGTTCGCTTCTCGTAGATTTCCTGCAACTCATCTTGCTGCTGCGCATAATGGTCATCGATGTCCTCAACCTCCCTAATCTTCGCATCGACCCAAGGCTCAACACTCTGTTTAACATCAAGAATATCCACATATAGACTCCTAGCGAGTTCTGTGAGGTATGCGTGTTTCTCCGATGCTGTCATATTATCCACTTCTTCGTCCAATTCAAGGTCGGCTATTTCCTCCCACCGTAGAACGGCTTCTTCAGCATCCCCAAAGGATAGTCTCCGAGCCCATCGGGCTTCATTCGGGGCGCGGCGGTCTGGAGGCCGTGAGACACCGATGCTATGCCGTCTGTACAGCCTAGACAAACCGTCGCTGAACTTTTGTTCCGCCTCCATTAATGGCCCTTGCAAGTCACCCTCAGCGACAACAGAGCCGGCTACCGAGGATTCGACAGCCGCAGTAACTCCATTCCGTATATCCATAGCATGCAATACTCGCTTAACGTCGCCGTTCATCGGTTTCTGGGCCTCGCCATTCACATGAAGGCTTGATCGGGGTTCTTTAGGTAATGTATCCTCAGTTCCTAGGAGGGCCACTGATGCTGGTGCGGATTCAACTTCCCTTTCTTTCTTGACGCCATTCAGATACTCCTCCGGTTTATTCTTCCAGGTAAACGCTCTACCGACTTGGCCTGGACCTGGACTTGCACTTGCTAATATCCCTGCCGAAGAGTCCGTCAATATGGAGGATCGTGGCCCGGAGATGGTGGTTTCCGAGGACTCGTCTTTTGACGGCCGGCTATTGTGGCTTCGTAAGCCACCGCCACTATAGACGGCATCCTTTATCCGTCCAAGACCCGAACGGGCATCCCGAGCGACACTCTTGAACCCACGCCGAAGTGCGTCCTTCTCCCCAGGGCTGTCTACTATACTAACCGCAGAACCAGACGCAGGGGTAGTGGAATAAACACCTGGAATTTCGTCTCGGCGACGAGCTTCTTCATCCTCCAGAGGCGCCGAATGTACCCTTTTCGCCTGGCCAGAAAGATCATCTTTGCCAAATAGGATATTGCTCATGTCAGGTATCGGTCTTTCGTGGTTATCCGGATTCGAACGCTTAGGCTTGCCGTGCCATAACCATTTCGCACGTTCTCCAGAGGCTAGGCTGATAAACCTGTCAAGGTCTAGGCCCTCAATGTCCCCGATACCTCCTTTATCTCGACCGCCGACCATACCAAGAACGATCTCGCCTCGCTTCCCTCCTATTTCGGTCATTGTCGACTTAACTGCCTTCTGCACACCCCAGCCCTCGCCTGCGGCCGCTTTTGCCGTCGCCGAGTGAAGCTTATGCATAGTTTGTCGATCCAGTCGGCGACTTCTCTCCAGCTTCTGATATTTCTGAAAATGAGAAATACCTTTCTCCATCGAGTCTATGTCGAAGACGTCCTTTGGGACGGGAGCTCCAAAGTAGCTTAGTCTGTTACGCGCACCCACCAATAATCCAAGCAGCGCAGCGACGGTTGTGGGCCCCAGGATACCATCAGCCGGCTCTATATTGTAGTATTCCGCTCCAAATTCGGTCCACCAATTCCCGATAGCAGTTTCGGTAATATCGCATAGTAATCCGTCGATATAAACTTGGTCTAGCTTTCCAAATAACAATAATGCCACTTGACACATCTTGACTAGTTCGACTACAGCATCAGGGAATGGTATTTTGTCAGTGGTCTTATACAACTGATAGAACTTGGTCTTAGCTGCTCCGGTAGGTTCGGATAAGGTCATGCCAGACCGACCGGAACAGCCCAATCTTTTAAGGTCTTCGTTGACGATAAATTCCTTTCGATGTGTCTTTATGTCTCCGTCGGGAACAGATATAACGGTCAAAGCAGAAGGAAAACTGCTTAGGTTCGTGACCATCAACTCTCCTAGGTTCGTATCCTTGGGCCGCGCATGGTATTGTTGGATGGCCTTGAAGTAGAGGCGCAACCTTGACGACCAAGCCTTCTCGTCGGCCGGGACACTCAACACCCCGACCACAACCGAATGCTTTTCATCTCCGGTATATGTAACGATGACAAGCGTTGGTGACTGACGGGAACAAGCCCATTGCTCGACAAGGTATAGCTCGTAACCCTTGAGTTCCTGCCTTCGCTCGACGACAGTAACGCAGGGGTCTTCTTCTAAGTATCTATGAGAGGCGACATTAGCAACGCTACAACTATTCAGCTATCACACATAACTGCCGTGACATACCTAAAAGCTACAGGGTCTGGAATAATAACACGGCGACGAGATGCTGAGGGCAAAGGGGTGGGAGCAGGAGTGGTTTGGCGAGAGTCGAGAGAAGATAATGAGCTGTCCAGTTGGCCTGGGGCCAAATTCCTTTGCGACGATGCTCTCATCAATGCGGATTCGTCGTCTCGGTGAACCCTAGGTTCACTCGAGGATACAAGCGGTCGCGCCGACATGGCTGCACTACTGTCCCTCGATTCCGTGGTGTTTTTATATGCATTATGTGATGGACCGCAAGACCGAGGACATAGTGATCGGTCGTCGGTAGTCTGGCAAAGTTCCGGAAGACTATCGTATGGTAAGGTATGAATATAGAAGTTGGAAAGTTGGCATGTGACGGTGATCTCGGATGTTACCTTGGAAAAGTAGGTAGCTGAATTGGCTGGAATAGCTGGATTAGATTGGCGGATAGCTATATGTACAGTACCTAAACTCACGGCAAGGGAGGCAGCTGGACCCCTGAAACAGCCGGCCGCATTCTAACTAACGTAGTCCCAGGGGAATGCTAAAATGTTGCCCCATTGTGGGGTTTATGCGTCATTGTTGAATGGACGGAGCAGGCAAGACCCATCTATCGGGAAAAAAAGACAGTCAATTTCCGAGCTAAATGATAGATCCACACCTGCAACTTCAAGCAATATTCACACAAGTGTAAAACTGTATCTTTAGCATAATTCCAAGTTCGGGTAATCACCTTATCCTTATCGGTATCGCAACGCCATGGCCCTGGGGAATGCAGCTCGCCATTCTTAGCAACTTCGAACCTTCAACTTCAAACTTACGATATTATCCCGATAACGACATCCTTAACTTTGGCGGCTGTAAATTCAACTATTCGACACTCATAATCAACAGATCGACGACAAACACATATTCTGCCCTACGATTGATACCTTACCCGACAGTCAAACAAGGTACCCGGATACCTAAGTCAACGTTGAAAGCAGCTTTGACTAAACTATTAACGCCACCCTTAATATCGAGTATTCAGACAACAGATGGCCGTCCTGCAACTGCAGAAGGACTTGGATAAGCTGAGCAAATCAGCTAAGCTAGCCGACGCCGTCGAAGATGTAGACAAGATTATAGATCTTTTAACCGCCGCGAGGGAGAGGGTAGCAGCAGGTAAAGCTCCCTTTATCTCCCTTCACTCGACTCTTGGTTAATGCTAATTATTTCGTCTCTTAGCGAACGATCCTCATACAACATGTCTAACCCTCACGAAGCTGCAGAACCCGATAAAGGAGGAGTTGGATGGGTTAAATCGTGACTTGAATCAAGTGTACAAGGCATGGAACGAATTCAACAAGTCTCTCAAAACGGCGTTTTCTAAGGACACTCTGCCGACCGAGCACGATCCTATGGAGCCCCATTCAGCTCTTATAAATCGAGCTATAGCTATGCACCTTCTACGCGAGGGGCAGTTTGATGTGGCTTCGACCTTCATAAACGAAATACAACCATCTTCCGAGACCCCGTCAGATTTTCAATCACGAACCCAGACGCCTGCCTCTATATCTACATTACATCCAGCGTCATCTCAATCTCAACAACCCACAGATATCGCTATAACAGACGCCGATATCCCCTCTGACCTAACAACTTTCCACTCCCGGGCGTTACAATTGTCCTTCGCCGACATGTATTCGATCCTTTCCGCCCTCAAAGCCCATGACCTGATACCGGCCATTTGCTGGGCAAGAGAAAACCACGTAGAGCTCGAAAATCGAGGATCAAATCTAGAGTTTGAACTCTGCAAATTACAATTTATATGGTTATTTAAGGGTCCCGCCGTCAATGGATTGCCCGATTCCCCGGAGAATGGTGTGCTAGGCGCATTGAAATATGCTAGGTCAACATTCAATCGTTTCCAGCAGCGCCATTTACATGAAATCCAGCAACTCGCTTGCGCATTAGTCTACTCGCCAAACCTAGCCGATTCTCCCTACGGGCCTGTGTTCGATATCTCAGCGGCCTTCGAGGATGTCGCAGCATCGTTCACGCGCGAGTTCTGCTCCCTATTAGGATTATCGGCCGAGTCACCTCTGTACGTAGCCGCCACAGCCGGAGCTCTCGCCCTGCCCGTACTGGCCAAATACACGTCCCTAGCGAAAGCGAAGGGCACCGAATGGACGACGACGGACGAGCTCGCCTTCGAGACGCCGCTTCCCAAGAGCATGATGTACCACTCCATCTTCGTCTGCCCGGTCAGCAGGGGCCAGACAACGGAATCGAACCCGCCGGTGATCCTGCCGTGCGGCCACGTGCTAGCAAGGGAGAGCTTGCAGAAGCTGGCTAAGGGCAGTCGGTACAAGTGTCCCTACTGTCCCAGCGAGGGCATCGTCAAGGACGCCAAGGAGATCATATTGTAGGACAGACGGCAGTGTCCGACCCCCGACGTGTATTTTAAACTGCGGTGCGGGTACCTCAGGCGTAACATGAGACTCGGGTTGGATTGCGATTCCGGCGTATGGCGACGAGTGGGACGAGTTTGTCAACAGCGGTGGGGCTATGGAGTTTAGTGACTGGCAGGTTCAAAGGCGTTTTTATTTTTTAGTGCTGAGACGCTCCTTTTTTGCTGTAGATATACATTATCGATGCGTGAGAGGTAAATACAATTTTATGACGCTGTTATTCATATAATATGCTCGAAACTCTGCCTCACTTGACCTGTTTTGTTGAAAATGCTTTACTGTAACGCGGTGGCACGAAAGAGTGTTAGGAACCTCTGGACTTAGGTCAGCGGTCAATAATCTCAATTACGTGGTGCTACGTTGGTATTCGGCGTGTTCGACATTCCCTGTCCTCTCCTTGATTGTATATTCCTGGTGTCACGCGAATTGTTCAAGTGCCCTATGATTGATTCAAAGGGGGAGGTTACTCAGCGCTAACTAAGGGATACAAGTCATGTCCTGGTCACGACATCCCGTTTCCCAACCCTTACTACCTCCAGATCTGACCTGTTTTCTTTTCACTACGAACTTCCTCTAGCGCTAGATTTTGATAGTAACAGTGTCTGGATTGACCATGAGTCCTAATACGAGGCCGTTCTGTAGGGAAAAAAGGCTAGGACTGAGTGTTTTTAATGTTATTACATGTTTACTCAGGTAATTCTAACTGGGAGATTTCTATAGAGATGTAGTATCACTACACAAGGGGAACGGCTGGAATTATATCTTTTTAATCCCATAAATAGGAAAGGAGAGACAAGGCGTACGTATGTATATGATACGAACATCGTCTTTAACATAGCCTACGTCTCTAGGCATAGGACGTCATAATATTTACTATCGACACATGTAAGTAGTCGACGAGTATAAATCCGATAAGTCCTATCCTTACTTTACATCCTCGTCAACATGTTTTATTCCCCCAAGAAACATTAGCCAATCCTCAGGTCTTTCCCGCTCAAAGTTTTTAGGATCCCGCGGATCAGTTATCAATATATCGCCGTCTTCAGGATCGAGGAGATTCAAAGATGGTTCTACGATGAAAATAACCAGATGGGCTAATCAAAAGAGCTCGAGCTCCATCGGCAAATCCCCTTTATATAACCCAAGGCATCTTACTAAGGACATTGCTCCTAGGATTATAACTATGAAACCGTGGGAAGCTCGCCTAATTATCGAGCTTGGAAGACCTTGATATCACACCAGTTACTAATAATATTTCAGGTACTCATAGAAACAAATCCCAAAAGAATAGAACGATCTAAAGCATCTACTAGAATCCCGTATATACCACTCAAAGTATCCTAGCAAACGTAACACCGAACTACCTACTTTTCACCTCACGAACTCACCCACCGTAAACTCAAGCCGTCCCTCACCCCCCACCACCGTAAGTCGGCCGAGACAGCCGTACGTTACCTAGAAAACCGCCCTCCGTCCGCCGTAGGCCCCGGCATGTTCTATTCGTAATAGGTAGTTGTTGGCGTCTTCCTCGGGAGACCCACCGTGACGCGGACGTTTGCGCGGAACTTCGGCATAAAAAAACCTTGACTTCGCACGCTAGCTCCAAGATTCTAGTAGCCAGACCCTTGGGGGGAGGGGGTGTGCTATAATCCGGTTATCCGTTGCCGAGATGCAAGATGAGCTGGATACGATCCTGGAAAAAAAGGGGTCCTCTCCCTGATAAGGTACGTATTGCTTTTTAGGATAGGTTTGTGTAGATCAAAGGGACAATTGTTGAAGCTCGTTTAACCACAAGGCGAAATATACCCCTCATCTCTAGATATCACTTTGTCGGACGTATATAGAGGGTATAGAGAGGGTTTGAACATAGTCAATCTGAAGCTAACCCCTTACTTGATATCTCCGAGCTTCGGTTCCGTGTTCAAACTCCGGACAACTCACGATGTCAGGAGCAAGTGCCAAATCACATAGCAACATTAGATTAAACTCTCGATACCATTTGCAGAATTTCAATTTTCATTCCGCGGACTAACTACATGACGCGTCCTTAAAGTCCGATTTCCGTCATCTCTAATTACGGAAACCTCGAACTACTATGCAACCGTTGACCCAGGGTATCGAACTGGGAGTATTCCATTTGGTATTTCCCCTTACTACGTTAGTGGTATAGCGTTGCCTCTCCCAGCTGGGCGTATGCTATCCAGATCGACCGAATTCGTAAGACGGTTTAAGGATTTCGGGGAAAAAGTAGAAATATGTCCTATAACTCCTTCGAGGACTGAACCTAGATTGGATTACCGAACGCCGAAAAAGAATTGTGTCCATGAAAACCGTGCCCCTTCTCATTCTAGGAGAAGGGGCCACACTCGATTGGATATCTGGAAGATGCTATAAAAAGGAAATATCGTTTAATCGTATCGCTCTGTACATCTATATGCCACCTATGCGCCCCTTAGTCGATCGTCATTCTACTTGGTAGTTGCGGCTGCTTGACATCGTGCATCGAGTAGCTGGCTTGGTCCTTGTCGATTTCTTGTCGGGGGGTGTTTAGGTGGTGCTTCAGACCGGCGCCGAAGTTGAGCATACAGACGAGACCGTTTATAATGGTGAGGATAATGAGAATGATGGTGAGGACCGCAAATGCCGTCAGCGACTTGCGGACAGGCATGTAGAACTGGGCTTCTTTCGGGTCGTAGATTCGTGCTAGCTTATAGATGAAGTATGTGAGACCACCGAGATAGAGTATCATGACGACTACCATGCCGAGCTTCCATTCGCGTCGAGTAAACCATGCGGCACAGAGAAGGATGATAATGGTAACGGGAATGGCGATAGCTGTTAATATGAATTCGGTAGTGGTCTTGCCACCAACGACGACTAGGAATTGAATCGTGAAGCCGACAAAGAAGAAGAAATCGAATTTCAAGAGTGCGATGTAGACCTGTTGGAGTCATTAGCTTTGAAAACGAGGACTAGAGTAATATAGACAAACCTGGTAGTGCAAGTATCGCTTCTTCATCCTGTAGTCAGCTCCTATATGCTTCAGGATATCCCAAGCGAATTCTTGGTACAGCTTCCAGGCAATAAAACTGAGAAGAACACTAACGAGCGAGATGATGCACGGAATAGCGATCAGCTCGCCTTGAACCTCGGACCAAATGTCAAGGTTGTTGAAAGCGTTGTAGCTTATCAGTCTGGTGATGGCGACGTGGATCTGGTCTATTTGTAGGGCGCTGTAGACGAGGAAAGCCAGATTCGCGATACACAGACCAATAATCTGAATTGTATTCTTCATGCGAAGCGCATCCCAAACCAGCACGATGTCGTAAATGAAGGCAAGCATCAACAAGCCCAAGAAAGTGGGAATAGTCTTGGTTTGAGCTTGGCCATCTTCCTTGTTCGCACCCCAATCTGCGTCGGTCATATCCTTTAGACCAGTTTGGAACTGAGAGAAAGTATATCTGAAATCATTTGTTATTAGTATCTCGCTTTAAGGTATACTGAGCGGTTGTAACTTACGACTCAAATGCGATGCAAATGATGGCCTGCAAGGCAGCGACGATGAAGAATAGACGCGGCCATTTCCTAGTGAATATCTCGCCAGTAGATTTCGCTACGCTGCTTGCCCGTTTACTTTTGGACGCCATGTTTGTGTCTTCGTAGTGAGAATGAAACTCAGCCTGCGGGTACTGAGCGTATTCTTGCTGCGGCTGATGGAAGGATTGATTAGAGGGGATCTGCCGGAAACCCGCCGAGTCCCCAGCCAGGAATGATTGAGAATCTCGATTGAACGCCAGATTGATGGTGCTGGACTCCTCACTTAAGGAGGAGTCGAATCGAATGTCGAGCGCGAATAGAAATAGTCGAAATTTAGTACTGGCAAATGCTGTTGTCACACTGCGGTTGGATACCCCAATTTCTTGTCTCGGCGATCTGTACTATTCTTTCCACCTGCCTTAAATAATAGGTACGGAGCGTAGTCGGCGGGGTGCGAAGATAGAGAGATGGTGCGCAAGGAGACAAAGAAGGCGGATTGGTGTTTTGCGGACGAAGGTATTACTCTAAGACTGGTAGAAGTGGTCAGCGTCAAAATACGATGACATTGTACTGTATTTCGTATGGCACAAACAAGAGGTTGATGAACGGTTTGTTGATGAGAATGGAGTGAATGGTTGTTAGATTGTTAATTGCTGCTGACCAGGTCGATTGGGGATTTCAACGTGCTGGGCTGGCTGAAACAGACCGATGGGTTTGATCCGTGACGAGGATGAACCAGGGGGTGTGACTCGGGTCTGGCCGGCCTAGACTGCTAGGCTGAGTTACTTGGGCTGCCTTTCACGTCTTGAATCTGCGCTCGAAAAAGAAATCTCTTGGGAATTGTTTGAGTTCCCTTGTGGCGCATGCAGATTTGATGCGAGATGTGTGGTGATATGTGGTGGTATAGTGTTGTAGCGAGCGGCAAAAAAAGGGTAATCAGGTTGTCAAGATGCCTCGTATAGCGAATCGACGGCGCAGTTAGGGGAAGTACCAGTGGTCTGCTTCTGCAGGCCAAGCAATGCGGGACGTTAGACTATGTTGACTTACACAAGAAAATAACCAGATCGGTGAATAGAGTGAGAGGACTATTCGTGAAAAGAAGGAAGACGCGTTTGTTTAGTTGAAGTTGTTTTTGCTCAAATGAAATGGAGAATTGAGTTTGTCCTAGGTAATTTTTTTTCCTTTCTCTTTTCCACCTTCCGAAGTTTGGTTCGAAATGTTCAAAATGGAAATCTGCTGACGGGGAAGTTGAAGGGACCAGGATGAAGGAAGGTGCATTCAATGGGTCTTTTACTTGATGGGCAGGATGGGCAGTGCTGACATGCGAACTGGGGTTTTCGCGTGGATCAGGACTTCCACTGGGACGGTAGGACTCAACGGTAGCGTTTGTTAGTGTACAAGCTAAAACCTTAGCGTGAGGCTATCGGACTCTACTTCTAAGTTGGCTCCGAATTTCTTTCCTTTAGGCCTGGAGGGTCCCTGGAAGGTACATCGTAACATGAAGTACAGCCACCACCGCCTGCACCGCTCCAAAGCACCCCATTCTGCCCATCATCTGGCGTTCGTCATCTCTCATCTTACCTCAATACGAATTATGGGACGCCCAGGGCCGCTCTGGGCACTTTCTCAATATACGGAAACAATTCAGCCATTTCAATTAGAGGCCGCCCTCGGAGCCTCGGACATGTTAATTCTGCATATCTTATCTTGTAATTGATGACCTCGGACTTCTGCAGATTTTATCGTCAGCAGCCTCGAGTATGTACGCCAACATATTTTCAGCTTGCTTAGCGACGAGACTTTAATAGTGGTATGTAACTGCTAAATACCCCGTAATGCGGCTGATCTTGACCGGGTTAGAAGTCGATTCAACCTGCAGACATGCAGAAAGTCTCCATAACTTCCAACTGCCCAGGAGCCAACTTAGCATACTACGTAGTATGTATTGTACCTAGTCGGCCTCCGCTGTTTCTATATTTAAAACAGTTCTTTTGACAGCGTCAATCTTTCCGCCTTGGGCACTGTTCCTGTTACTAGATGTTCTACTTTACGGTTTTCAAATCCGATACTTTTTCCATAATGTCTGAGCGAGCGAAAGGGAAGTTCTTATTCGACTGAATTGTGTTGCATATCCCCGTTTATTACACCCCCTGGGGACATTATGTAACGAGTCACAATACCCGTAGGCTAGGTATTCGAGACGCAGAAGGGTCTTTTCAGCCCACCAAGATCCCCACCCTGCGGAAGAATCCATGACCAGGCAAGGCAGACAGGGCAGAGCCCATGCTACTCATGCCAAGGTTTTGCTCAGCCACTTAGATGCTTTACAACGGTCGTCATGTCGACGTCTAATGCTCTCGAATTTCTGGATTTTACAGTAGACCGAGACTTACTATTATGTCATTCGCCTTGGAGCTTACTTAGATATATGAGCCAAGTTATCTGGACGTCTATATGCTGTCTCGTTATTCAGTATCTAAGAGAATTAGGGCGAATGCAACTACAAACCTGAAACATCCCTGACTCGAGGGCTTTGAAACCAGATTCCAGAAGGGGATATCTGAGGCAAGATATTCGATCTGTCAACTTGGCCAGCACTATGCTAAGGTCGCTCTTATCGTCTTCCCGTCGCATTTTCTTATCGCAATAATAGGGCATAAACTTGGTTCGCAAACCTCTACCAGAATAGGTAGCTCTCTCCATTTAAGTAAGTGGTTCTGTTTATAGCACGTGGTAAACTCATAATGGAAGCTGGTTGTCCGCGGCCTAATCCGACTTGCAGTCGTGAAACACAAACAAATGCCAGTCGAGATACTGCATAAGAGCTAGATCTATAGATCTGACAATAATCGAGAAAGTTATTGGATAGTATTATAATCTCATAACATTGCCTATTAAACTAAAAAGGACTGGAAAGTCATCAGCTAAATTATTATGTAATAAAACTGAAACTGGTGGGACGAGATCCCAACTTTGTCCAATATGCACCGCCACAAGTTACCCAGCACCTGGCAGTCCAGTGCCGGACCGAGGAAGGTACCAAGGTACTGGCAATTAAGCTGTTAAGGTAATCAATTGTGGAACCCACGCCGAACCGTGCAAACGCGCTTAGGCGCAACAACTACGTCAAAAAAAAGAAGCTCCAGCGAAAACGCGATTGCGGCATCACCACACGGTAATAATTTATACGACGCAGCTCTTAAACCGCCCAACATGATGGAGATTGAGGAGGAAGATATCTTGCGTAATATCGCGAATGGCGGACAGATCGACTAGTAAGAATACCAATCGCTGCTATTCCAATTCCGCTGTTGCTGACATGACTGTTATCTTAGTTCTGTCTGGCCGGCTCTACTACCACGAATAATCTCACGAATAGAAAGGGTTAGTGAGGAGTATATCCAAGAGATCTAATCTACTATCAATCCGATGTTAACAGACAATGGGAAATAGGTCGCGCGTCATGAATTCCCAATACCTAACCTGCCGCCTCCGGCAGCCACTATCATACCATCATCCATACCACCGCCTCAGACGCAAACAGATTCGGAATCGACAGAGAACTTCCTGTCGCCGCTCCCGTCATCGCCCCTAGAACCCACCAGCTCCAACTCCTCCCAAGATAACAAAGAAAACACCCCCATAGCCCCACGCGTTCAACCGCCTCCTACATCCGCCCCGGCCCCGGCCCAAGCTGCATCTGCACCGGCAGCAGCAGCAGCCGCTCCCCCGCCGCCTGGCACGCTGCCCCAGCAAATAACCTCCATGCTCACCGAGATAACCTCGACCCTGCAAACCACGTTCCCGAAGTACCCGCCGCACACGCTGCAGCGGCTGTCCGAGCTCGTCATCGCGCCGAAGCACCACTACCGCTCGCTGCCGACGTACCTGCACGCCCTCGACCGCGTCGTCCACGTGACGTCCGGTTTGAACATCTACCCCCTACCCCCAGCCATCCCGGACATGAAAAGCGGCTCGCTCCTCTCCAACGGACTCACCGACGCGCTCGCCGCGCCGTCCCCCTGGGCCACGCCAGGTAGCGACGAGGCGCTCGGCGGCGCCTTGCTAACACCGATTCCCTGGCTGCAGCCGAACCACCACGGCATCGGGGGCCCGTCATCCGCACTCAACACGCCCGGGCAACGCAGTCCCAATTCCGCAGGAGGCGGCGGCGGCGGGGCAGGAAGTGGAGGAGGAGGACAAGGCAACGCGGGCGCGGGCGGTTCTTCCTCGATGGGCGGCGCGGGAGGAGCGATGGGAGGAGGCAACGACCTGGAAGGCGAGGTACGGACGGAGAGCACGGAGACGATCGACGGCCCCAACGGCGTGGGCTCGATCGAGACGGTCAGCGTCAGCGTCAACGGGATCCCGTCCATGGGCGCGCGCGGCGTCGGCGTCACACAGGGCGAGCTGCTTAGGCAGGAGCAGCGCGCCGGCGTCGTGCCCGTCAGCCAGCTCGTGCCTAGCCACCACGTGCACAGCGCTAACCCGCATGCGCAGGTCCACAGGCGCGCTTCTGCTTCTCCGACTAGCGAGGCGGTGCCTTCGGGTTCTGCGGCGGGCGGTGGGGCGCAAGTGCAAGGGGGACAAGCAGGGCAAGCGCAAGGGCAGGGTGCTGAGGCGGATCGGAAGTCGGTTTCGCCTCCTACGGCTGCTGAGGTCGAAAATGCTGCTTCTTCTGCGTCGTCCGCGAACGTTGGTAATGGTAATGGTAACGGTAACGGTAGCGGTGCGGCTGGAGCTGGAGCTGGAACTACCGCAATTTCCCAACCTAACCCTAATCCCGTCGACGCCGATGCCCCCGTCGGCTCCATCGCCGGATCCGAGGAAGAAAAGCCGCACGCCCGCGGACCGGAAGAGATCGGCCCCGAGGACATGGGTCCGCAGCACGGCAGCAGCAGCAGCACCTCGTCGACGGTTGGCGGGCCCGGCGGCGTCGAGATGCAAGGCATCGACATCGAGGCCGCGGTGGGCCGCAAGCGCGGCGCTAGCAAGAGCCCCCCGACGACGAAGCCAGACGAGGATAAGATGGATGTCGAGGTCTCGCAAGCGCAGGGACAGGGACAGGGACAAGGAGGGGAAACGAGCGCGAGGAAGAGCCGGAGCAGGAGCTCGACGCCTAAACGCGAAGCGGAGGATGAGTTGGACGCGGGTGGTGTGAAGAGGGTTAAGGAAGGGGGAGGAGCTGTGGAGGGAAAGGGGAAGGCGGCTGCTGAGGATACGGCGATGGATACTTCTACCGACGGCAAGGAGGCCGCCGAGGGCCAGGCTGAGAAGGGAGGGGGTTAGCGACCTACTCTCCTTTTTCGCGTACGAGAGGGGAAGAAAGAGTAGGGTTACTTGAGATAGTAAGGGTTTTTTCAAGATCCTAGCTTGAATGATCGAGGATGGGGAGTCGGGATTGTCGGCGTATGTTTTTTTTTTTCTTCCGTCGGCTGCTTCGGAAGCGGAACTGAAACTCTGTATGTGTAGTGATAAGTGATACCAAGCATGGAGACAAGACGAGAAAGACAAGACGGGTGGGGAAGGGGGAAGACAGATATTATTAACTCGAGTCCCGTGCTATAGGATAGTTGGTATGAATGAATGCTGCATTATGATATACTTACCTCCTAACCTCTATGTAACTCTTGATGTTTGTTCGCGGTGTTAAACATGGACTTCAGCGTTATTATCAGTATGGGACATTTACAATTACAGGTAATCAATAAGACTGTCAATGTTGCGTATATCGTCATATTACGTCTTATGAATGCGTACGTATCTACCTAAAATAGGGGTACACACTAAGACAGGATAGAGTCCAAGAAGATTAGGCCTCTACCGAATACCAAGACAGTTCATCAAAATCAACCGTAACATAGTAGGTGGATGTATCTTTTCATCCGCTCATTCCCAGATTCCCTAGCTGTTTTGCACTCGGATAGCGCCTGCAGAGAGTTCCTCGAATCGCAAGAGCGAGGAAGTAAAACGCCATACTACGCGTCTAGCCAAGGAGACAGCACTCTGAAATTAAGGGAAAAGCCATATTTCATAACCATTCATCATGAGCTATCCCCGACAATCCCAGTTTCCTATCCTCTCCGTTTTTTAGACGACCGTGGAGATATTCTCGCGCTCGATCATGCTGTTTTGCTTGTCGTCGCGCTTGACGCGGTAGAAGTAGTCGCAGAAGTCCGAGCACCGCATGTGCCGCAGGAACTCCTCGTCGTGGGTGATGACGATGAGCTGAAAGTTGGCCTGGGCCTTACGAGCTTGGATGATGGCGTGTAGGCTCTCGGCGAGACTGCGGATGTTGTCCCGGTCGAGATTTGTGGTGGGCTCGTCGAGAGCAATGAGCCCGCAGCCGATGCCGAACGATTCGGCTAGGGCTAGTCGGATAATGATGCTCGCCAGCACCTTTTGGCCAGCTGAGCATCTTCCTCGCATGTCCATCTCCGTGTCCTGCTTGACCATGCACACGCGGTAGTTGTATGAGCTACGGCCCGTCGTAACCTCGCTATCCGACTTGATTAGAATCGTGTCTATGTCGGTGCCTTGGTACGTGCTCTGCCATAGCTCGCCCGCAATTCGATTCACCTCCTCCATCTTCAGCGCATGGTATCGCATGATGGCGTTGCCGAGCGCCGTGCCGTACTTGCCTACATCCTCGATCGCCGCCTTAGTCGCCTCTACCTTGATATGAATTTCGCGGTACTGCAGGGCCGCGTTTTTGTAGTAGAGCTCCCATTCTTCGAGCAATCGTGCTAGCTCACCGTCTTTGCTCATCATCTGCCCTTTAAGGGAACCAATCTCTGCGTTCAATAAATGGCTTCGCGACTCCCAATTTCTGGCTTCTTGGTCAAGCCGTTCGTAGTCTTCGTTTGCGTTACGAGACTCGAGCTCTTCAATATTCCGCCTGAATTTCTCGATATCCCGGAGAGTCTTACGATAGGAAAGATTGTCGACGATATTCTTTCTTCTACTTTCGCTGTTGCTAATTTCCTCCTTGATTTTGTTGGTTCGTGCTGTTAGGTCATTCATATCCTTCTCGATATGTTTAATGCTATTGTCGAGGGTTTGTATTGCCCGCTCCGTCGCAGCAAGGAGCGATGGTCCGCCACGAGCAAGATAATCTTCAATATCGCCATTGACTAGCTTGAGCTCACTCACCGAGGCTGCAAGTCCATCTCGCTCATCGGCAATTTTCTTCTCTTTGGCACGTCCCCTCTGTTGAGTGTCATCTCGGATGGTTTTCGCTTTAGAGATCTCGGGTTCAATTAACCCTAATTCCTTATCTGCTTCCTGGATGGCCTCTTTTTGTTTGCTTATATCCTCCTTCTGAGCCTGAATCTGATCTTGGAAGCCTTTCTTTTTCTCAAGCTGCCGGGCTGCGTCGTTGATTCTGTTGCTTAATCGACTCCGCTCAAGCTCAAGTGAGTTTATTAGGTCCCGTACGCGCTGTTTATCAATAGACATTTTAGAAATATCATTCTTCATTGCCCTCATCTGCTCAGCACATCTGTCCTGCAGTTCGTGAATTTCGTGAGTGCTTCGAACAGCGCCGCTCGATTGTTGTTGAGACATGATTCTCTCCACTTGAGCTTCGGCTTCCTCGATTTCGTTGTATGTCTGGGAGATGTTGTGTACTGTCTTGCTCATTGACTCTAGGTCTTGCTTTTCCTCTAATCTCCCTCGGACAAGTTCATCCATCTCCTCAACACGTTGCACCATGCTTTCTTCTCTCTCCTTGGCCACTCGGATCTCTCTGTCAGACTCCTCCTTCTCCGACATGAGTCGAAGATATGATTCCCTTTTTGGACGAACCGTTCGGAGGTTCCCCAATAGTTGCTCAAACTCGGCCAAGTCAGATTGTAGATCCTCCTTTTTATCGTCCTGGAGAGCTTCCTTGATTTTCCTAACTAATCGTGACTTGTCGTTTGCATCGACGAAGGCACGATCACATAATTTGCATCGGTTTTGTCTGTTCAGTACTTTTTCACATTCCTGATAGTAACTCTTCAAATGGTCGAACAGAGCAATATCTGTTTCCAACGTGAGGATCTCGCCCTCGAGACGTTCCATTTCTTTAGGTAATTTATCTACTGTTGGCTCGGTGGTAGGGTCTGCCTTTTTAAGCGCATCAAGAACTGCAGATTTGCATCGGTCTATCTCTTCATTGCGCTTCTTAGCCTTCTCTTGGGAATTCGATAATGTGTATTGTATTTGTTTGAGTTGCTGAGCAATATCGTCGCGGTTTCGGGCTGCCTCTTCATAAGCTTGTGTCTTTAGCTGTAACGTTTTTTGAAACTCGCGGTCGATGGTAGAGGGTTGCCATGAGCTTCCAATCATGCCAGACATCTTGTCGTTCCATGTGTTAGTAAGCGTGTCTAACTTTCGCTTCTTCTCAATCAACTCTGTCTTGCGGACATCGAGTTGGGCTCGATCAGCAAGGAGTCTCGTGGACTCCACAAGCTCGCGACCAAGTCTACTGTTCTCCGCCTCAAGTTGCTGTAGCTTGGTTTCCTCCTGCTGAAGTTTGGCATCGAAGTCTGAATTCTGCAAATCTTGGGTGGCTTCTCCAAGCCGCTTCTCCACATCTTTGAACGAAGAGTCGAGTAGAGCCTTACTACCTTCGTCAACTTGTACTGAGTTGAGGTCTTTTTGTAGGGCTGCAATTCGCCTCTCTATCTTGTTGATTTCTTGCCTTGCAATAACACGGCTCTGGCCATGGCGATTCTTCTGGCTTTCCAAGTTGACGATTGCGGCTCTTTTGTTGTCCAGCTCCTCGGCATTTTCCGACTGTAAGCTTTCAAGTTCGCGCTTCTTGTCCGCCAACAGCTTTTGAATCCGTTCCTGGAAGGCCCGAACTTTACGGTCATCCAAATCTCCATCGAAACCACGAATACTATGTGATTGAGCTGCTTGGTGGATTTGGTCGACGCGCGAGGTGAGCTGACGTTCGTATTTTGCTTGGTCGGATTGGCGCATGCCTCGTTCTGCTAATTTCTCATCCATATCTCGACGGGATTTCGACAGATCCTTTTGGTACTGGCCATATTGCTTGATATTTTCCTCGAGATCACGTTCATGTCTAGCCACTCGGTCATCGTACTGCGCTAGAGTATCTTGAAGCCAATCGTCGGATTCATGCATCTCGTCCATTCTGGATCTTGTCTCTTCCAACTTTTGCTGGAGATAACCAAGTTCGCGCCTGTTACTCTCCAATTCGTTGACGATGTTGAGAAAACTGTTCGCCTGTTGGTGCATCTCAAGAGCGTTCTGATCAGCTACTTTCTTCTCTTCTTTGGTTTCCTTAAATTTGTCCCGTAGTACTGCTATCTCCGCCTCTAATTCTCGCGCATGCTTCTCACTTTTCTCCGCCTTATCCTTGTTAACTTTCTCTTGACTCTCTCGGATCTTCAATTTCTGCAAATCTTCTCCTTGCTTCTTCTTCAGCATTTTGAGGTTATCAATTGCCTTAGTGTACTTCATGGCCTCGAATATCTCATCGAATCGTTTCTTCAGAGCCGACGGCTCGCTCATAGGCCACAATGATTCGTCTTGGTGGCAGAAGATAACAGAGTCGAGGATAGCGGGAGCAACTCCTAGGGCCATAGGAACAGCTTTGTCGAGATCGATAACTCGGGAAGATGCCGAGCCTTTCTCTCCCGCATGGTTAGTAAGAAGAGTCCCATCAAGCGTCTTTTGGGATCTCGCAGTCTTCTTTACGGTGAGCTGTAGGTTACGGGTGACAACGTAGGTAGTCTCGGGTGGGACGTTGAACTTGAGCTTGACCTGTGCTAAGACTTCACGCTCTCCACATAGCTTAGGGTCGTGGATAAAAGCTCCTCCCTTGCTGTTGGGGGGAAGATCACCAGTGGTGGCATATTTAAGGCACTCGATTATAGTGGTTTTACCAGAACCATTGTATCCGACGATCAGAGTCAGAGGAGTATGGAACTGTATGGTCTGTCTGTCGTTCGGGCTGAAGGACCGAACGCCCAAGATGGATAGCTTGTCAATCTTAGACATGGTGACGAATCAGAGTCCTGGTAGTATTGGACTGAGATGCAATCGTCCCATAATATGAGGTTGATACAATTCACGTTGTGGTGGAATAGTCGTAATTAAGTAGAGACGGTTCTGTATTCAGGTAGTAGGTTTGCGGTGGGGGTTGCCCTGTTGATTCGTTTGCAAGGTGAAAGTTGCCTCTCGGCTTTGTTAATTGAATGTTGTAAATCGTAAAAGTAAAATGGAACGCGTCTTGATCGCAACTTTTGGAGGGGAAAACGCGCCCGCAAACCTGTACCCAGGTACCTATGGCAACTAGTACCTGCAGGGTGCAGCTGCCTAAACTTAGCTGCTAATGTTAGGCCACCACCACCGGGGAAAACTCCTACATCCGCCCTCTTGGTAACTGTAGGTGCACTTGCTGGCCCACGGTTACTTGAGCGAACTGGAGGTATTGCCTTCCCAGATAATTGCATACCATCATAAACATAATAAAATGTCATAATATGGGACTGTGACTAAGTTTTATACTAAATACATAAGTATCGGTACTTGCTATAGTCCGGTATCTTAAGTCTCATGGATCTAAACCCATATCGAGAAATTCCCCATTCGTGGGATATATGTAAGAGAGCAAAAGAGGAAAGGTATCGGATGGTATCGTGCAAATAAGAGCCGTTCCAACGAAGCGATCGCCCAGCATGCTGCCATTCTTCCAGATCGACTTGGCCCTTGGGCGTATCGAGGTACTGCAAGTGGGTAAGTACGATGGATGTACGTAAGGAAGGCGAAAACTTGGGCGAATTCACCTTCCTTGAATGTACAAGTACAAGTTAGGTCATACGGTAATCCATTTTGTTAATCGAGAAAGTGAAATCCCATCCCCGAGTCCGTTTTCTTCGATATTGCCCTTGCCCCTTTATCAATTTACATATCAATTCCTTCATATTACATCCCACCTTCAAACCTTGGACCTTTCAGCTCCTCATATCAACTACCTAGGTATAATAACTACCTGTATCAACACCATAATCGTCATCGGCTTGATGAAGCTTCCACTATCTTCCCTCTCTCCTCTCTCCCTTCCATCATTTTCATTTTTCGTTTTTCGTTTCAAGCTGATTGGGAAAACTTTTTAATTAATTTGATTGCCCCTCATCTGGCTCGGCTAGACCAGATGCTCTCTCTGCAGAGGCCGGAGCTCCATCCATTCGAGGTCTTAAGCAAGTCTCATCTGAACTCCCGCTACGTCGCATTTGATTCTAGATCAGCTCCAAGCTTGCGCCGTCGTCGCCGCCGCGACCCACCACCGCCATCATGGACCACGGACAACGGAATCCCAATAACATCTTCGACTTTACTGCGCCGGCTACAATGAATCCGGTGAGTGATAGTATGCACTCAACACTCATCCACCTTAAGCACCTCAAGCATCTCGAGTCCTGGACATGTCACTAGCTCTTGGCTTTGTATTTCATTCCCCACGTCCACGTCGGACTAATCACGAGCTTTGCATCAGATGACAACCGCCGATCAGAACGACATGATGGCGCTCTATGATGGTTCCATGTTCACAAACTTCGATACCATGCAAATGAATCTCGATGGTCTTAACGATATGACAGCTGCTCCGCCGCAGCAATTCCCACCCATCCCGGCCACTGCAAATTCTCAGGCCGTGCTCATCCCAAATGACGCTGCACAATTTGCACCTAACGCAGGCGACAGTCCGGTTCCGCCGCCACCGACGGGACTGACGCCGAGCTTCCCTGCTCCCGCACAGCCTACAACTACTGTACAGGGAGGTAGCACTTTGACCGAGTTTACCAAGAGGAGGAATTGGCCTGCAAAGGTTGTCGAGGAGCTCAAAGACTTTTTGCAGATTTTAGATGCGCATGGAAGAATTAAATATGCATCGCCCAGTGTTACGTCCTTGACTGGTTATGAATCTGATGAGCTCATCGACCGATTTGTCAAGGATCTAATCCATCCTGATGATGTTGGGACATTTACTTCTGATATGAACGAATCTATAGCTACCGGGAATCCACTACGTATGTTCTATCGCCTGAAAAAGAAAGACAGTACCTACGCCATATTCGAATCTGTTGGACATGCCCATATCGCCGCAGCCAAGTTCGCGCCGAACCCAGAGAACCAATCTCCGTTCTGTCAAGCAGTTTTTATGATGTCGCGACCGTATCCAACCAAGAATGCATCGTTGCTGGATTCGTTTCTCGAACACAAGATAGAAAATGAGCGGTTAAGACGCCGAATCGCGGAGCTTCGGAGAGAAGAAGAAGAGGAGGAAGCCTCTCAGCAAAGCTGGCTTGCGAGTCAAGAGGGCCGATCAGACATCGCCGCATCAGAGGATACTATGTTGACGTCCTCTCAGAGTCCTGCAGTGTTCAACCAACCTATAGACTCTCAAGCTATGCCGCCTCCCGAAAGACCGACCCCGCTCAATGTGGCATTGACAAGGGAAAATCTCGAAGGTGTTACTGCAGGTAACCGACCCGACTCTATTCGCGATAAGATGGCGAGATACGAGGGTGCCTCACACACCGACACGATCGAAATGTTGACCGGTCTGAGATATGTCGAGGGAGAGCGTAGCCGGGGCATCACCACCGGAAATTCTAGCCCAACTCTAATTAAGGGTGATGTTGGCATTGCGATCCCGATCGACAGAGACCCCAGGACAGGAGAGAAGAAGAAAAAGCTGAAAGTGGCAGAGGAATATGTCTGCACTGACTGCGGTGCGTATAGCAAATTACGTATGCCCCGCAGGTTATCTTGCTCACACTTGGTACAGGCACATTGGATTCTCCCGAATGGAGAAAAGGGCCATCAGGTCCTAAAACTCTTTGCAACGCTTGCGGTCTTCGCTGGGCCAAGAAAGAAAAGAAGAAGAATGCCAGCGGAGGTCACGCGAGCAATGCAGGTCCACCACATATGGTAGTGGATCAACACTGAATTTCCCTACAGTTCGAGCGGTTGTCATACCAAGTATAACCGGTGTATAGACAGACCTTGGTGGGTGTAAGGCGTATAGGAATTTTCCTGAGGTAGACGATGTGCTTTATGCTATGAAATATTACAAATCTATCGGGCTAGGCATGGTGTTAGGACTAAAATACGGTGCGTCGGGTTCTACGGGTGGGCTAATACACATGGCCTACTTTTACATCTTCCTTCGATTCCTCGAGATACCTGGGAAAGGAATACGGCTTGGCTGGGCTTTTCACGGGAATATCTCACAGGCAACAAAATGGGTGTGGCTCGGGTTTATTAGATGAATGTATACGATATATCATGAGGAAGGCAACAAGAATGATAATGAGGTGTTTTTTTCTTTTTCTTTTCGGCTGACTCGTCCGGCTGAAGAGGGTGTTGACAAGAGGATGCGATTTCCTTACGTACTACACTTAATTAGCCATTACCTAATGTTTGCTGCTACTATAACGAATGCTTCAACTATTACATCGGTTTCTGGCCTATTGCGCCTTGAGATGATATACATCTCGAAATAAGGCTTCATCAGTATGGGCATCAACGCTTATATAAGCCTAGGTGGACAATTCCCGTACCAACTCATCATCTTGGGCCTACGAATGTTAGACCACGCCGAAATTACCCCTTTTTCGGCATCTCATCTAATCTCGCTACCCCGGTTCATACTCCGTGGCGTAGCAACGGTAACACCGAGTAGCGGCAGATGCGCGACGACACGGAATTATACCCGGTTTCCTAGCTCATCTTTTTGCGAACTCTCGGTTGGTCGGGCGTAGATTGCGGAGGCGATTCATTCGCCGGCCTAGGCCTTGTTCTCGGCGGAATTCGTGCGAGGTGGGAGCGGCCCGCGTTACACGATCTCGATGATTTGACTCTTACCGAGTTGGATATTCACGCATGAGATATTGACAGGAATAGGGACAAAGACAGCAGTAACTTCACTTTGGGAGTTCCAAGAGAGGTTAATTTGTGAAATATTTTTGTTGGATTTTATAGGGGGCCTAGCCGGCTAGGTTTAGGGAGCTACCTAGTGTGCTTCTCCCATAATCTCATAGCGGTACACATTCTTCTGCAAAATTCCACCTAATCCCGTCGTTCGACCTAACACGATCGCGTTTTGGAAAAGTTGAGAGGTTTAGGCGATTTGATTAGAGGAACTTGGACGCCAGGCCGAGAAGACCGGAGCTTGACGACGAACCGCCGCTGCCGTTGCTCTTTAGGTACATTTTGAGAGCCATCTCGCCGGCCTTCATGACGGCGGATTCCTTGCTGCTGTCGCTCGAGACCTTGCCTTGAGAGGCCTTCTGATCGAAGAGCTGCGGGTAGTTGTTTAGAATTGTTTCATCAGTAGACTAAGTGAAATGTAATATGTCTTGCACATACCTTGCTAGCCTCAGCCATAGCAAGTCCTACAAACGCGCTCTGGCTGTTGCTCTCCTGGAGATCAGTTAGCTTCTAGTCTCATAAAACAGCCCTGCTACATCGTGATTTCATACGTGCGAACTGCCGCTCTGCCCGCCGCTAAACATCTTTAACGCCTGCATGGCGGCCGCGGATCCCATAGACTTATCGTCGGCCTCGTCACCATCGTCGTCGTCGCCGCGCCCGAAAAATCTCTTGTGCTGCTTCACCGCGTCGTCCTCGTCCACTTCCTCGGAAGCTAGCGAGTGCTTCTTCTGCGTCAGGCTGCCCAGGAGGCTGGAGAATAGGTCGCTCGACCCCGAGGACCCGGCGTGCCGGCTCGCGTGCTCCGAGGCCCCGCGAAGGTCGTCGTCGTCGTCGCGCGGGTACCCGCCGCCTGCGGGGTAGGCGCCGCCGTGGGTGACTACAGGTGGGGACCCAGGGTTAGAAAAGAGCTTAGGTACCCGTTTAGGTAGTTGGGTAAGGTAGATAGGTGTGAAGAGGGGTGATGATAAGCTATAGGCTAATCATCGTTGATGTAATGAGGGATGCTCACCGTTGCCGCCGAAGTCTATCGTTGCATTGCGAAGCGGTTAGCTATCTATCTGCTGATCTGCGCCGAGGGGATCGGTGGTAGGGTGCGGGGCGGTACCGCCAAGCTTACCTTGCTGTCTCTCGTAGCTCATGATGATGATATGGATTTCAAGGGAACTAATTGATTGCGGCGTTCAAGAGTTGAAGGAAAAAAGCAATAATCTGGAATGTCTTTGCTAAGGAGGTAGAAACGTGGAATTAGAGGCTTATGTAGACACGAGAGACAAAACGTTTATCTAGTCTCAGAGCCGAGACGCCTGCGTCACAGCTCTAGCAAGCCCAGCTGAGCGCTAACAGGTCTATTGGACGATGACGTGTGCGGGGTGTTTGGGGCCTCCCAAAGATCGCCAGACGTTAACGGGTAGTATGTGCAATCGGGGCTTAAATAACCCCTTAGTCACTAACTTGCCTCTCTTGTTTTTAGGTTTATTTCTCATAATTGCATGAAAGTTAGTCCTTTGTATTAATAGTAAGTAAGAAGCAGGGATATTGGCAGGTGAAACTTCCAAGAGGAGCGTCTTGGTGGAGGTGTGATAACCTGTTTTATGATCTTGGTAACACAATTACATACTATGTAGGTCACGGTATGTATTGATTACCTAATTCAAATTTACAAATATTAAATCGCGAGCAATTTCTAGGGAGTAACATTTGATCCCTGACGCTTCTCAATATTGGAGGTAATAAGATCCAGTGTATCCTCATTGCGGGAGCATACCTACTAGTGCCGCTACAGTCAAGTGTTGCATACCTGGGTTAAGTGACTCCAGGGGTGGGATAAGTGCCACCATGACTGCTCTACCTAGGTCCTACTTTACCCTTCCTATACCGATTAGAAGCTTACCGCATGCAGCGAACTCCAGACGACCTTAATCGCAGGCCAATCGCCAACTTTACCATGGGCAAGCATGCGACCTTTAATAAGGTAGAAGGCTTTGCTGATTCCGCGGCTGACTGGAAATACTGACTCTGATGATCGTCAGAAAGACCCCTATTCCCGAATCACCATGTCATGCGTTTGATCCGGGACAGTGGAACTCGAAAGATAATGATATGTGACGTATCATTACTATCTTCCCAATCTTCCTAAATCGGGTAGATCCTGGGTTGTATCTTGTCCTATCTTGTCGTATCTGGCCCGGTTCTCTACGCCAATATCTTGGATTGGGGGAATAAGGCTTCGGTCTGCTTCAAGATGTTTGTTTGGGAACTTCCTTTTAAATATCTCCCTCTTATCGATATTTGCCTACTTGGGGGTATCGACAAAAGATGGTTTAAAGGAGATTATATCCCCCCAGTCATCAGACTGGTAGGTTACTTCGTCCAACACACTGATTTATCAACTGCTACCATCCCCCACGTTTTCCTCTCATCTACGTCGTATAATACATAAGGTTATAGCAACGCCACACATCTAGTTACCATGGAAGAAAACGTTGATGTGTTGATTGTCGGAGCCGGCCCGGTAGGCCTTATCACGGCCTTGCAGCTTGCTCTTTTCGGCAATGTCTCGGTTCGTGTCATCGAGAAACACGCCAAATCGATGCAAGATTCATATGGCCGCGCCATCACTCTTTTCCCTCGAACCATCGAGATGCTCGACCAGCTACGTCTTGCCGATGCGCTGCTGCAGAGTTGTTTTGCTTGCCGAGAAACGGTAACCTACAATGCTAAAGGTGAAGAAGTCCCTGGTCGAGGATGGAGTTTCATGAATAAGATATATGACACGACGTTTGATTTCACGCTTGTGCTTAGGCAAAAGTTCCAGGAAGAGATTTTTCGAAATGCGATGGCGGAACACGGCGTGCAAGTGGAAGCGCCGGTCGAGTTGACAGCTGCTTCGGTTGACCAAAGCATTCCTCCAACAGGCCATCGGGTATCAGCAGTTCTTCGTGACTGCAGCAACGAGACGCATAAGACAGTTAAATGCAAATATCTAATAGGTTGCGATGGAGGACGCTCGTCTATCCGGCGAATATTCAATATTCCTTTCGAGGGTTCCGCTAGTGAAGACAAATGGGTGAGAATAGACGGCCAGATCAAAACCGACATGCCTAAGTCTCGTTCATACTGTTCAATTGAATCACCAACTCACGGAAATGTGCTCTGGGTGGCCCTAGACCATGGCGCAACGAGAATCGGATATGCATTCACCGACGATCGAGCCAACGCATACCCTAGATTCGATGAGGACGCTGCTGTCAAGGAGGCCATTGCTGCAGTTAAACCTTTCAATATTGAATTCGAACGAGTTGATTGGTGGACGATTTATACAGTAGGGCAACGCATAGCTAAGGACTTCTTCGTTCACGACTGTGTCCTACTTGCTGGAGATGCTTGTCATACTCATTCATCGGGAGCGGCCCAGGGGATGAACACCGGAATCCACGATGCGGTAAATCTCGCTTGGAAGTTGAGTCTAACACTGCGCGGATTGGCCAACCGAAATCTCCTCAAGACCTATCAGGCAGAGCGACTTCCGAATGTACAGAAACTTATCCAGTACGACAAGGATGTCAGCCGACTCATGACGAATCGTCTCCCGGAGAATTGGCAGGGCGACCCAGATGCAGATGTCAACATGGTGTTGGGGCAAGTTTTCGAAGAATCTGGCACTTTCAATACCGGGCTTGGCATCTTCTATGAGATCCACGAAGACAACCCCTTAAACGTGGAAGGCTCATTTACTAGCTCACAAACTCTAATAAAAGCAGGAAGAAGAGGTCCTGACGTCGCCCTCCTACGCCCGGGGACATTTGAGCATACGAGGCTAATTCGTGAGCTGCGAAGCTATGCGACGTTTCATGTTCTTGTCTTTGCGAGCGAGCATAAGCCTCCCATTCCAGGAGCGGTATATGAGAATGTGGCAGGTTCGTCGACGTTACAATGTCTCATCGATCGAAGTATATATCCCAGATTATACCTCATTGAGAGAAGCAGCCAAGGCTAACTCATAGATAGAATATCTGGATTTCATGACTATTATTCCTAGGTCAAAGGTACCTTCTCCATACGAATTTCTTGGGCATGATCCCTTAGGACGTGTCTTTCTCGAGCATGAGGATAGGTCGGCTCACCTGCAATATGGAGTCGGGACGCAGGGCGCCATCGTCGTGTTAAGGCCAGACGGCTGGATTGGAACGATGATTAAGTTGGAGACGGAAGCTACTTTGGAACTTGAGCGTTATCTCCTTGGTATATTTTCAGAAATATGGGTTTGAGATAACGGGGCTCCTCCGATAGGTCACCTATGCCGATTTGCTTAATATTCGGTCAAGTAATAGAAGAGGGAATTCATATTATGGTGCCGATCTCATGTCTTTGACAGTTCTTTACGTTGATCGTTCGACAGATCTTGCAGATGAGATGCTATCGTACTCGGTAATTCTTGGCGATATCTCTGAGACACCCCGCGGAGAAACTAAGCCGTTACGACGGTCTCACTCACGGATACGACATATCCCCTCGGAACCAAAATACCAGAACCATATCCATTGAATAAACAGACGCCAAGGCCCCCGTGAACTTGTGTCGGCTTCTCGCGGAGACAAAGAGCCGGGCGGTTACATTGTTTACTGCTTTCACGTGAGCTTCGTTGAACCCTACTCGCTGATATCGCCTTTCAATAAATTCTACAATGCTAAACTGGAACATAGGTATATGTGCTGCCTTCAACTCGCCGATTTGAGTAGATTATGCTCTTTGGAAAGTCGTAAGCTCATAGAAAGTGGTTGATCCGGATGTCTCGAAGTAGCGAGCTTTCGAGCTCAGAAAAAGCCAGATTATGGGCGAAGCTGCTTTTCGTTGGTAGGATACTCCATGTATAATTCTTGGTTATCATTAGATCGTGGCTGACTTATCCTCAGGCTTTCCAAGTATTCTCCTTCTGCTCGTGCGGAATGGCTTCATTGCTTACAAGCGACGAATTACTCCATTCTTTCCTTGGCTAATAGCAGCACTGTCTCGCACGTTTATAAACCTCTTCACAGGCCGCGAGCTACAATTTCTCTGCCCGCATCCGTTGTCGATCTACTCGTCGTGGATTAAGGCTACGCGGAAGCAGGCAAGGGACGACAAGGACATATTCCTATCATCTCGAATCAAGGCCGAAGTTGACAGTCTCTTTGACGTGCAAGACCCGACCGAAGGCGTCAGTTTGTTCTGGGTTGGCGATCGTCGCAAAGCTCAGAATGTTGTCCTATATCTTCCTGGAGGCGGTTATATAGCGCCTATTATTCGAGGTCATTTCTTCGCTGCTGTGAACGCGTTCCTGGTTCCTGGGAATGAAGTCGGGGTTGAAGTTGCCGTTGCAATACTTTCGTATTCACTGGCTCCCGCAAAAACGTTCCCAGCTCAATTGCGCCAAGCAGTCCTCGCACTCAAGTGTATTCTGGATTATGGTTTTCAGCCTAACAATATTATTCTAGCAGGAGACTCAGCAGGCGGTGGTCTTGCGGCAAATCTTTTGTTTCACTTGGGCAAGCCGAATCCATCTGTCCCATCTGTTAAACTTTCACAGCCCATAACTGCTGCGATCCTCATCGGCCCGTGGTTGAGCGATAGGATTGATGATATGAGCTTCCGAGAAAATCAAGATTTTGACGAAATCTCACCAGCGACGATCAATCGCTGTATGGGCGAATGGTTACTTAGGTCCCCGGAATACGCTGAAACACCCGCATTGCAGAAACCATACGCTCTACCGATGAGCAGCGATAAGAATCTCAATCTGCAATTACCCTTTGGGTCATTGGCTCAAACAACTAAAAGTCTGACGGTCCTTGTAGGAAAACATGAGTCGCTAAAAGACCAGGGGGTAGAGTTTGTAGATATCGCGAAGAATCGCAATTCTGGAATGAAGACCAAGTTGGAAATTGCTGAGAATGAGGGGCACGTATTTTTTATCATGGAGGCAGAACGGGGAGTAGTAGGGGAGGCTTTGCGGAGAGTCCGTGATCTATTTGTGGAAGCTCTTCAGTCATGAGTGTCGCTTGGAAGTAGCACTTGCAATTTTCCATCTCATCCTTCCCAAGTCGCCTCGAGAATAGCTAGGTTAGAACCCTGCGGTCGCTGTACTCCTTTGAAGGCGAACCTCCGATCCGCCTGTTCAAACAAAGACTTCCATTCGTCAAGATCGCGTTCTTTAGCATTGCCAACCTCGAGCATCGTGAGGTCCATAGCTCTGGGATTTATTAGCGCATCAGATTCAAATTATAGCAGCCGATTGCGGATGCTTACCGTAACTTTCGCTCGGCGCTATTTGGGAGCACACAGGGAGGTGGCATCACGAAGTCCATGATCAGAACCCGGGAGCCCTTCTTTAGAGCCGGCGTTAAAGCCTTGAGGATCTTGACACAGTACTTATCTGGCCAGTTGTGGAATATCCAACGATATAAATAGACCTCGGCGCCCCTGATCGGCTGTTCCTCAAATAAATTATGGGTCATAAATTTGACGTCCAGGCCGGGTTCTTCTTTGGAGTTTGCAACCACCTCGGGCAATTCTTGTACAACTAAGTGGAGCTTAGGGTACTTTCGAGCCAGGGCAAATGCCGTATCACCATGAGAGCCACCCAGATCGACGACAGTGCCATTCTCAAGTGAATCCCAGGAGTAATTGTCGGTCAAATGACTCAAAGAATATCCGGCGCTGGTCGTAAAGCAGCTCATCGAACCACCGCAACGCCGTGCGCGTTCTGGATCGTCGAAGAGTTTATTATAGAAGTTTTTAGACGTCCCATTGGCCAGCGAAAAACCCTATGTACTATTAAACAGCGATCACGAACTAAGATGCCTTTACCTACAGTCTCATTGGGCTCGTCGGCCATAGGCCATTTGACCAACGCATCCACGACCTTTTCCGCCGACGGCCACATATCATCTACGTTACTCCCGACCCAGTCAGCCATACGCGGATCCTCCGCGATCTGCTTCGAGGGCGCGGAATGCACAATGACTCCCGGGCGAGGCTCCCTGAAGACGCGAGACGCGATGCCGAAGCGTAAGACACGACGGAGCGCCGCGCAATCAACGCCGGCGGAAGCTGCTAGGTCCTCGTAAGTGATCTCACCATCCAGGGGCACTTCGTGGGCGAGCCAAAGCGCGAGATTAGCTTCAGATAGAGTAGCTGGTTGTGCTGCTACCACATCAGCTACCGTAGGTTGCTCTATCACTGGACCGGACCACACATACCTCGTGGTTGGAAAGTAGGTTTCTCGGCCCCTGGAGAAGGTCGTTGAGCTCCTGGCTTGCTTCGAGGACCGCTCTACGGGATTGCTCGATTTCGGGCGGCAGGTTAAGATCGCTTGGCCCGTCGGCTCCGAAGGACGGGTACGGCAGTCCCTTCTTGGAGAGGTAACTGTCTATCCGATTCGTATGTGTTGCAACGGTAGCCGCCAGTTCGGCTATCCTGCTCTGGGTTGATGACATTGCGTGTTAAATCAAACGTAGTTACTTCAAATTAGACTTGCGGGAGCGGGTTTTGACGGAAAGGAGAAAGCAAATTCAACAGGTAAAAAATACACTCCGTAGATACCTACCTATCTGTGTATGAGGCACTACAGGTAGTACTACGTAATAGACGACACGATGGATTGGGACCTCCTCAGGGCGGGGTAGAGTCGCTTATTTCTTACATCATTCACACGCTGTCGTAAAAACCCCCAATCCTATCTTAATGCCTGCCCAGTTCATACGGGATATTGTGCCGCGGTGCGGCCTCATCCTTTGATGATCCACCATATATGGTTAATTCAACTGTCCAAATAGCTTCAAATAAAGAACCAATTGAGTTAACGCGTTTGATCACTTGTCCTTGCGTACCATGTATTCAAATCAAGAATCTAATTGGGTGCACGCTATTACCTAATCATTGGGACTGCCCCTCCAGCCCCTCTTAATGCTGGCTTAGTCACCAAGATTCAGGGGCTACGAATTGATTCATTAAGTAAATTGATTAAATAAGCACCTTAGGTAATCTCTTCTGCTTAGCGTTGGTCCTCAAGCTGACCTCCTAGGGTATAGATCAATTCGACGGCAGCTTAAACAATGGAATCTTCGTATTTATTATCCCCACACTTTAGAAACGCATTTTACTTATAAATTCTATTGTGTTTAGACTTCCTCATATACCTATTCACCTCTAAATTGTGTTGTTGGTTGCCGGGTATTACGTAGACTCCACACCCCTTTTTAATTACCTAGGTACACGGTAGGGGCTTCTCTATTCTACCACATCCATATAACAAACCCGAGCTCAATTTGGGCGAAAACAGGTAGTCTTGTAACACATAGGAATCTGGCAGGCCTCTTTGTCCTACCGGGGTGTTCAGCCCATAAAAGGGCACCCGTTGATGATTTCAGCAGAGCTTCCTCCAAGTTACCACAGCTACTGTGAATCTTCGAACATTCCCCCCAATCCCTCTGCATTTTTCAATATACAATCTCTCTAATATGACCCCAAAAGGCTCTGTTTTGATCACCGGTTGTAGTGATGGAGGTGCCGGCTCTGCTATGGTGACAGCCTTCCAAAGCCAAGGTTACCGAGTCTTTGCGACCTCTCGCAACTTGAAGACCATGTCGAAAGTCGAAAACTTACCGAATGTCAAGTTACTTCAGCTCGACGTAACTAAATTGGCAGATATTCAGGCTGCGACAGACGCTGTGAAAGAAGAAACTGGTGGGACATTGACATTTCTCATCAACTGTGCTGCGCGGAACCACTTCATGCCGTTACTAGACGAAGATATTGAGGCTGCTAAAGCTCTGCACGACACCAACGTCTGGGGTCCGCTCGCGGTGACCCAGTCTTTCGCGCCGTTGTTGATTAAAGCCAAGGGTACTGTTGTATTTATTACGTCCCTATCCGGATACCTCAATGTTCCTTATCAAGGTGAGTCAACTTTAATGATATTGAAAGATTGGCTGATGATAGCGACATATGGATTACTTGATGTATCGTTAGCAACTCTAGCTGGGCTAATTCTTTTCCAAGGTACATTTGCTGCTTCAAAGAGGTCCGAGGAGATCATGGCGGAAACGTTGCGACTAGAACTCGCGCCGTTCCACGTCAATGTACTGTCTGTGGTGACTGGTGCTCTCAAAACAAAGGGCCAGAGTCACTTTGATGATTGGAAACTGCCAGAGGGATCCCTGTACATGCCGGTAGAATCTACGATCCGCGACAGAGCCCGCGGACAAGAAGGAGCGCCTAGAATGGAGGCCACAGATTATGCTAATCGCGTTGTGTCTGAGATTATAAAGGGCACAACCGGCAAGTTCTGGTACGGCGCTAGTGCCGGGGCGGTCAAATTTGGCGCGACATGGCTTCCTACATCACTTATGGTACGTTGGAACTTGTCCTGATACCTACCTATGTATCTATGGCGCTTCTGTGGGGATTCTAGCTGACTCTGCATTAGGACAGCGGCGTGAAGATAAAAACAGGCTTGGACGTGTTGGCTGAGCAGAACAAATAGGTGATATGCGATAGGACGCATGGACAATACTCCAACTTGATATATGGTACCAATAAAAGCGCCTATCTGCAAGACATGGTAGGTAGGCAATGTTGATAAAATTACCTACAAGCGTTTGCTTCTGAGCTAATGGAAGTAAGGGATTGAATGATATGCAAGGAGGTGTGTATTCCCTAGACCATAGTATATACTGTTGGTTATTGCTTACCTAAGTTGTTAGAGTACTAAGGATTATGTACGAGGTGTAAATGCAGGCGAATACAGCTTGAAAGACTAAAGGGGGTCTGTACGATTACCTAAGCATCTAATCCAGGATCCACAAGCCGTCAAGCCCCCATACCCGGCAGTTTGAAACCTCCTGGAACCCCCTTCTGGAAAATGCCTTCCGGGTCATACTTCTTGCTAGTTTCCTTGAGCTTGTGAACACTCTCTTCTCCATACCCCATGATAGGATCGTCCATCTGATAGGCGTAGTTCATGAAGATATAGCGGTGCAGCAGCTCTTTATCAGTCGCAAGCTTTCTCAAATCCGCCACGAAATTGCCGACGATAGTATACACTTTACTATCATCTTCTGGTAAATCCCAGCCCGGATTGACTAAAACTATGAATAGCGGTCCATCCGACGGGGGGATGGCTATCGCGTTGCCCTCTGCTCTAGCCGAACTGTCTAGCATCGCCTTCGTCAAGGGGTGAAATCCGAACGAAAATGTAAGCCCATTGACATCCTTGATTTCGGTGATCATGTCTTGCCACTTCCGGTGGAAAGCTTCCATCAGGAAGATATCTGGTTTGATGGTGAAGGAAGCCCAATATTGACTACATAGAAGTCAGCTTAAGCGTCATTGAAGTAATGTAATTGAGAGGCACAAACCGCTTCCCATCACTAGAGTGTTTAGACAGTTCTTCAGTGAAGCCAAGATGCGTCGATTTTCGCAAGGTGCACATTTCCTTGACCTGGTTCTCCAAGCTTGTGAAGCGCTGTAGTGAAGGTGGATTCTCCTTGCTTTGCGTGTGATACATGACACACGTTACGGCCTGATGCCCAAAGCCGTATCCGATGCTAAACATGGCATGAGCGTCCAGATCTTCCTCGTTATTTACGAAATCGTAAGCATTATGGATCAGCTTGGAGAAGGTGTCGATCATGTCACTGGACATGTAAAATGTGATCCCTCCCCATATATCCGTAGATTTGAAGGCTCTCATTTTGAAAGATGTCAGGATGCCGAAGTTATTCAGCCCCCCCTTAAGGGAGACCCAGAGGTCAGAATTCTCTGTTGCATTGGCATGAACTAACTCGCCCGATGCGAGAACCACCTCAAACTCGACCACCGAGTCGCATGAGAACCCGACCCGTGGTGAAAACATGGACAATCCCCCTTTTACCCTGTCAGAAAAACTAGTAGACTGTTAATTGAGTTTATTTTGAACGTACCTCCTAAAATAAACCCTGCGACGCCGATGCGTCCGGTGCGTGCGCCGGCTACGGTAAGACCATGTTTCTCCAGTTCGGCATACACCGTGGCCCATGTCTCTCCGACGCCAATCTCTACCACGGATTTGTCTTCGCTCAGATTGATGCCCTTGAGGGCCCTCATATCAATCGTGACGCCGTCTTGAATATTAGCGCTGCCCGCGAACGGAGTGTGGCCACCACCCCGGATTGCAATTTGGCAATCCCCTGAAAGTATATGAGGACGGAGGGCCCGGATGAGACCTTGGACCTCGTTGGCATTGCTTGGTTTTACGATATAAGAGGGTTGGACCCCGTTCTCGAATGCGCTGAAATATGAGCCATTGTCCGCCTCGTATTCTTTGCTCCCAGGTTGCAAGATGGAACCTTTGACAACGCTAGCCAAGGCGTCATAAATTTGGAGATTGCTAGGATCTGGCATGATGGTGTTTTCAAGACACAGGTTGAAGTCAGTTAAATCATATCCTTTATAAGGTACCTACCTAGGTTTAAATATGAAAGAAGGTCGGACCTCAGTTGTAGTCTTGGTATCGGGCACTCAGGACCTCTCACAAAGGTCACGGTTACACACTCCTACATCTATGAAAGCCATATATACATAAGGGTTGTAACTGTTAATTTCAAATCAATTGGACCAAAATACTTAGCCTTCGAGGTAAGGGATCTCGCAATATACCTAGGTAGATATCTGAGTCTGTTGGTGTACGGTGACGAGTGTTCAAGTATAGGAATACAACTCGGACTTGCCCCACCCCCCTTTACCTACATTTAATTTAATATAATCATTTCAATGTAAACCTCTTGAGCCAACAGTGTCCTAGGTTACTGGTACATGTCTAGGCATGTACCTGCCTACCTATTCAATAAATTTTAAAGGAGCCGAGAATACCTGCTGAAGGGGGTGGTTTCTGGCTAACACAAGACTCTACTACTGTATGGAGTGTCTATATCTAGTACAAATCTTGGTGGGGTCTTGATAGTTGCACTCGTGAAATCTACTCGTCGTTTTCATTGAGAGGGCCACAGCAATGATGATGTCCCACTTTTAATCACTTAACAGGCACACCAAAAAAACGTACCACGATATACCTTCTTTTAGATCAGCCATATCAAATCGAATTCTAGATCAATTGGAGATAAAAATAATTATAAAATACTAGAGCTTTTGAAATTCAATACCTGCTATACCATCCCCTGTCCTAAGGTTTTGCTGCGATGCAGCAGCGCATCAAAGCTATGACCTTAAGATCAGGGTTAGGGTTAGGAGGTTTAAGAATAGGGCGTCCCCACTGTTCTGGTAGGTCACCGAAGATGTTCTATTTCCACGTGTTCTAGGTTACGTCTTATCTAAGGTCATATCACAACAATGATATTCCCAAGATAATCTGTTCACTAGACTGCAAAGGTGCCGACTCAACCGTTACTGCAATAGCCTCCTTTGCTCTTTTTTTTCTTTATGTTTTAGTGTTCTCGTAGTTTGGCCTAGCTGGCTGAAATGATATTACTTTGAGAGCGCTATAAATTTACTCCGAGTACTTGGGCAGAAGGTAGCAGTAGTCACATCTACTGTTATTTCCATCTCGTTAGCATATCTGAACATCCCAATATGACCAGATTGAATCACCCTCTGACTATTAGCTAGATACACGGTATTAGCCTTTGCCCAATCTAAGGCTCTGCCGGCGAGATATCGTAAGCCTCTCCCCACTGGGACTATTGTTAATAGCGGAGAGAGGGTCGTCGACGATGCCACAAAGAGCTTCGAGCTCCACTCCCTCGAGGGCTTCTTCTTCGAGCAATTCTGGCGCGATGATTGCGGCCAAGGCAGTCAGTCCTCCGGCAATTGCTGCGCAGACGAATCTATCCCCAGTCTTGTCAAGGGTCACGCCGATGTTTAGGTGACCCGCATAAGGGTTGTCCTTGGTACCGGCGATCACCGTGATCGAATCTGGCGCATTGCACATGCGCGCTGTGTAATGGCAGACCATGGGTTGCCCGCAGTTATCTAGGCAGCGCTCGTCTAACGCACGCTTCTCCTCCTGGACCAGTCCATCGCGCTCCCAGAGGACGGTCCTGTCATCCCGGCGCACCTTGCGGCGGATGCGCCGAGTCGGGATGGGCCCTTGGCCACACCCCGAGCCCGTCTCGTCAGCATCAGCTTCATACTCGACCTTGTGGCACAGATTCAGGCCAGTGTTATTGAGCGCGGAGATCCAAGACCCGAGCCCGACCGAGAGCATCTGTTTGAACGTGTCCAGGTTCGTATACTGGAAGGCATCGATGTACATCGCCGGCTTCAGGGGCTCCTCGCCGTCGGCAATGCCAGCTTCGACATTGTCCATCTCTTGGTGGTCGCCCTTGCAGCCGTTGCTGTCGCACATCTTCGATAGCTTGCCGAACATTTCGGTCGCGAGCTTCTGGTTGCCGTCGATGCCGTCGTCCGCGTCGCCGATGTCTATCGTTCCTACATTGGCTACCCAGGAAATGATGGTAGGCTTCGCTGGCGGCGCCGTTGGCGTACAGCTAGCTACGGTGGTGCAAGCCTCCTGGCTGCCGCCGGCGTGGAGGCGTTGCAATTAGAGGTCCAGGTCGTCGTATCGGTCTTGACGTTCGCAGTGGATGGCCGGCGGAGGGGTGATCATGCTCGACCCCTCTGTCGTGATGGTAATTGTCGATGCCACATCCACGGTGTCGGGCATGGCCGATGTCGAACCAGAACATTCTCCCGCATCACGCTTCGCTTTGCTGCAGGGCGGAACCACGGGGTCCTTGAACCGGTTGCCCGCGGAGCCGGTGAAGCACTGGCGAGATGTCCAGAAGACCTCGAGTGCCAGCCAGGCGTAGCTATCTGCGTTGTAGATGCATTGGTCGGGTGTGTTTATCAGCATTTGACGCGTGTTATATGGACCTGTCATCGTATGTCAGCCTTTACGACTCTCGCCTCCATGCCATGCAGAATATAATCCCACCAAGACGCTAGGCTTTTATGAGCGAGCCAGCTGTTATAACGGATCAATGGGCACATGCAAGTTGGAGTTGTTGCACAGCTTGTGTGGCATGTGTGGCACGTGTGGCACTGCCGTGGCGAAACTCACATGGCTGAAAGTTTGAAGTTGGTATTGATAAGCGTATCTTAGGTTACCTAAACGGTCGCGTTGCTCTTACATTTTCTCATTTTTCACCTTTGCCTTACACTTCCATTAACTTGCAATGAATACTCGCTCTTCAATCTAATTGAGAAAGCCTTCGTTGTCCCAACTCACGCTAGCTATGTCTTCTAACCCACATGTGGTGGCAGAGATACACCTGCCGACTACTCTTTCGTTTACATCTGGACCTGATCCTGAACTCAAGTTGACACTCACCCTGGTTGGCTCCCAGCATCCTGTGACTGTCTCGAAGAATAATTATCACATATTTACACCGACCAACGCCTTTACGATTACTGAGGTGGCCAGCGGTCGGGTAATCCAAACAATTTTCGTCGACATATACCGTAAGTACGGGACGCCTCTGCGACTTGACTCGGAGCACCTCGACCGGTTCTTAACTTTAGAGCCGGGCGTCCCGTGCGAAGCTTTTAAAACTAATTTTCGCCCGCTCGGCCAGGAGAGAAAAGGCGTTCAGGGAACAGCAACGCCGACAGTGTCCAGCGACGACCCGCGCCAGAAATACAAATTTCTAGAATCGGGCATGCACTGGCTAGAGCCTGGGAAGCAGTATCTGATACGTGCGCGTGAAGGCGCCAGATTTGCTACGTGGCGCTGGGGGAGAAAAGAAGAGCTCAAGCCCTGCTATTGGCACGAATCGGACGGAGAAGATTTGGAAATAATTCCCGGTGAAGGCGTCGAGGTCCAAGTTGAGGAATAAAACCCCTATATTTGACAAAATATCCCCTCGTAAACTCAGCGTGAACCGTAACCCCTAACCCTCGTCGGACTCAAGGAAATGATCGCCTTCCAACGCCTTATTGAAAATGCTTCCACTATCCTACTTCACCCAAACCTCGCAGATGCGTCCGTTAAAGCTTCAAGCTGTCGAGCCTTAGGATACGGCGCATCATCCTTCAGCACGACCAAACTGCCCCCGTAAAACGTATTCTGGAAGTGCTGCTTCGCCTTGGCGTACCGCCGCTGGCGCAGCCGGCAATACTCCTCGTACGCCTCCTCGCCGACCGTCGCGAACACGAACACGGGATGCACGCCCAGCGCCTGCGCGCCCTTCTGCCCGAACCCGAAGCTCGTCACGCTGAACGCCTTCACCTCGCCGGCGCCGACGTTCACAGCGCGGTTCGGGAAAACCAGGTTCTCCCAGGGCGCGAGCGCGGCGTCCGCGTCGTCCAGGTTCCGGTTCCCCGGCACGCGGCCCGTGTCCAGGATCTGGCAGCACCCGTTCAGCATCCAGGCCGCCGCCGCGCCCTTCGGGTGCCCCGTCAGGTACTTCTGGCACACGGCCAGCGCGGCGTTGCCTGGCGTGCGCCCGAGATGCGAGAGCTGCCGGTGCAGCACTTCCACTTCGTTCTTTTCGTTTAGTTCCGTCGACGTGCCGTGCAGCGAGACGACGCCGATGTCGTCGGCTGTCAGGCCCCAAACCGCGAGCGCGCCTCGGAGCGGCGAGATGCGCGTGTCGTGCGTGTAGAACGCGTTGCCGAAGCGGCGCCTGGCTTCTCTTTCTTCGCGCTGCGCGGCTAGTTTGGTTTCGTTGAGGAGGTCGTCGTTGGGGTTTGACGATGACGATGGATTGAAGAGGTCTTGGCGCTCGCGTATTGATTTTAGCGAGTGCTCGAGGAGCCGCCGTCGGTAGTCGATGTCGAGAAGTGGGGACGAGCCAAGACTCGCGCTTTCGCGCACGTTGACCATGATGCCCTTCCCGGGCGCGGGGACCGATCTGCCGGTGCCGTCGCTCGCGGTCTGCACGTGTGCGACGATGGAGCGGATGGGTAGACCTAGCTCTAAGGCTAGCTTGGCGCTGGTAAGAAGTTGCATGCCGCAGCCTTCCGACTCGACAAACCCTTTCCTGGAGGAAGCACACGGGCGAGAGGTCTCGTGCGGCGCGCGGCCGCGTTCGAGGTCAGCCATGCTGTTGTTCGTAGCTTTCATGTTGGCGAACTCGGCCGACGTGTCTTGGGTCATGTCGTCGAAGCCGCCGACCAGACAGACCTTCGCGGCGCCGCTGGTGATGAGGTCGTAGCCTTGGTTGAGAGACTCGAGCGCCGTGGCGCAGGCGCCAACGGGAGTCCTCGTCGGGCCGGCTGAGGACATGAGGAGCATATTTAGCCACGCCCCCGTTGTGTTAATGAAAACCTCCGCTAGGATGTCGCTTTGCACCGGCCGATCGAGGAATCGCTGGCGATACAGCTTTTGCAGAGATTGGCCACCGCCCATACCTGAGCCTACGCAGTTGGCGAGTTCTGAGATGTGGATCGTCTTGTATAATTCGTATATGTCTGTTATACCGGCAGATAGGAAGGTCTCGGCGGCGCATACTAGAGCCATCTGCGTACAGCGGTCCACGCTTTCACAGAGATCTTGCGGCAGCCCGTGTACCGTAGGATCCCAGCCCGTCGGCAGTTGGCCGCCTACGACCCTATCGAAAACTCTAGCTTTGGGGATCATTAGGGTGGCTCCTTTTCTGATCCGTACGGAGAATTGGTCGCTTTTTGTTATTTGCTTGATCTCCGCCTTGTCTCCGTGTTCCCGTACGAAATCCATGGCCGTATCGAAAGATGCGGTAAAGGGCTCAAGATCATGCTGAACGATGACTTCTTGGAGGAACTGCTTGTTGTCCCGGTTGGGGTGGTCTAAGGGGCTTGGCTCGATGAGCCGCAGTCCTGCGTGCTCTAAGATCTGCTTCTCATATTTGGCCTTTACCTCGTGGTCATGAACGGGCGCGCCGGTGGTCGTATCGATCCATGCAGCTGGGGCTCCGTCGGTTGAAGGGGTTGGCTTTGGATTATGTTTTATGAGCCCGGTCATCCAAGCTAATTCGATGCAGCCTTGAATTGAGAGTTCCCCTTTGAGTTCCATCTCCCATCTTGTTCGGGAGTTACCCCAAGGTCCAATTTCAGCGAAGCCGACCACTACCACAACCGATTCCAGATCAGCCATACCGTCGAGCTTGGAGTTCAAGGGCTTTATCTTGGTGTCGTAATCTGGCAGTGTGGGGAAGCCGAGTTCGAGATCAACTAAGGGAGGAGCTTGTAGCGCTGAGTTTGATTGAGGTGCTGTAAGGGGCTTGCCTCGGATAGCACTCTCGTCAAGTGCTTGTTCATCAGCGAGTGCACGCCTTATTTCTTCCTCTTGGCGCATAGAATTCCTTATTTCGGCGATGAATGCTGCTAGCTCGGGATCGCTTCCCATACCTCCGCTCAAGTCCGCCAGGAGACATTCAGTCTGGCAGATTGACACCACAGGATCAGACATGAGTCCTATTATGAGTCTGCCCATCTCTTCAGTTGAGAACGTGGTCACGCCACGCTTTGCAATTTCTTCTGCGATCGCGTCGTTGGCTGCCATTAGACCTGTACCTCGAGTCCAGCCGATAATGACACCACAGAGGCAAAGATAATCGCTCCAGCTCTCCGAGGACCACTTATTCAATAATGTCATGAGGCCTATCTTAGACTCGGAATATAGGCCATCATTGCCAAAGGTACCATGGTTTGGAGAAAGGGGTAATAAGACTTGTGCCGGCCTTGTCCGAGAGCCGCGCGATTCCTTGGCAACCTTGACGGCGCCCATGATCCTTAGAACATTCGTCAACATGGCTCTATGCGCCAGCTCAGACTTGGAATCGATGTTATCAATCTCGCGACCTTTCTCGGCTAGTGCCGCAAACGGGATGATGAAGTCAAGATCCCATCCTAGGCCGTTTACCGGGTCGTATATATGGGTGATCAGGTTCTCTATATCCTGCTTGCTTCCCTGGTTGCAAGGAAGAACGACGAGCCTGGATCCGTTGGCACCGTGACGCGCGAATATGTTCTGATATATTGGACCCGCTTCTGGCATGGCTCGAGTGGTCGTCACGAGAACTCTAGCTCCACCTTGGAGAAGAGATTGAAGAAGCACGATGCCAATCGAATTTGGCCCTGCGCCGGTGAGGAGGACATCTTTACCGGCGAACATATTTTGTGCGACGGGGCCGTTCTGATTTAGGAGTGTCGTTAGTTGTTGGTTAGGGTTCCACGAAGCTCCTTTCCTTCGGAGTATATGAGGGGATTTGACTGTTTTAAGCTCTTCTTCTGGCTGTTGGCTAGGATTTGAAGAAGGGAAGTCGAGCGGTACGCTTTGCAATTTGTTGTCGACGGGATTTGTAGCATCAGGGCTGAGCTTCTCAAGCATGCTCTTAATTCCCTCAACTCCCCCATGCTCTGATGAACGACTCTTGTTAAGGAGATATTGCCTGGCCCTTTCAAGCCTGCTGCTAGCTCTATTCCTGAGACCATTGATGGCTGATTCGAGGTCGCGCTCACTTGCACTACTCTCTTGAAGCTTGTAGTATTCGTCAAGAAGGTCGACATGGCTCCAATTCCAGACAGAGTCATACGACCGCTGGTGATCAGCCTTGAAAATTGGCTTGATGCCATTACAGAAATCTTCGCCTAATTCCTTCTCGTATGTGTCGAGTTTGTCCTGAATTTCTGCTGAATCACCGATTGTAGATGAAGATGTTGAAGATTCTTCTTCATCAGAAAGAAGTGCTGCTATCTTTCTTCTCAATTGAGAATGTTCCTTACGAAGCTGTTGCACTACCTTGGAGTCAAGCATCGTCTGTTGAGGATTCGCAGCAGTAGTGCTTCTTTGCCTGGATAGCCCAGCATCGTCTAGATATCTCTGAGCGATGTTGTCAAAGAATGACTCGGCATCTTCGTTTTTCTTTAACCTAGCTGATGGTTGCTGACCGAGCGCGATCAAGAGGATTGCGTCTTGTCTTCCAGAAGCCAGGCCCCATTTGTCGCTTAAATAGGATCTAGCAGATATGAGATCGAAAGAACCAGGCATTTTAGACCCAATCATCTTTTCTATCCTGGTGCGCAAGCACTTTTTCAGTTTCCCGTCGTATGTGCCCTGGATTGTCGAGGCGAGCTCTTTCAGGGGTATATTCTCGACGTCATCTGCCAATGGTCCGAATTCTTCTAGCATATCTCCTATTATTTCATTTTGAACTATCGACCTGCCTCCCGAAACGGCCTTTATGCTATCATCGAGCTTGATGTCTGAGGCCGATTTCTTTAGGCTACTGGCAATGAGTGCCTTGACTGATTCCAATGCAGTTATTGAAATATCTGGTATTGGAGAATCTGATTTCGCAAGTGGTGCTGCCTGAACTGTAGGCGTGTCCAAAGCGGGTTGGTTTACCTTGGAGACCGGTGCTGGACTGCTCTCCGGCTTTTGTCTTTCCGTTGTCTCTGGTTCCGCGGATGGGGGGACATCGTAACGGAGATCGTCATAGTTAGCACTAGTTGAGAGAAGAGACCGCTTGATGCCGTTGACTGCATCCGATTCGAGATTGAATTGGCCTAGAGTCTTCTTTGCCATGTTCAAAAGAGTAGGGGATGGGCCGAATTCAACCAATTTCTCAACATTGGCTTCGTCGAAGAGTATGCTTTGGGTTTCTGACCACCGCACCGGCATGGCGAATTGATACCTATTATCTTATGTTATAACTCATCGTCCTTGAAATAAGCACGAACGGAAACTTACGCCAGCAACTCCGTGAGGAGTACATGAGCGAGCTCTCGCTCATGATCTTGGAGTCCCATCATAAAGACTTTACTAGATTCTGAGCGTATGTATGGAAGATGTTCTGAGATGTCAAGCATACACACTGCACCTTACGCAAATGAATAGGGGTTATAATTCTACTTTCCGTTCGACAACAAGAATCGCGACAGGAAAATTCAAAGCAACTTCTTACGATGAGAAATAGATGAAAACTCTATGGAAGATGGCAGTTATTCTATTTTTCACCAAATTCCTCTGAAGTTCCTCTTGGCCTAATGTTGTGGCATCCCCGATTCCCTGAATCCCCGAATCCTGCAATCCCTTATTCCGGTGACACGGGGTTGGCAAACACTCAAACCTCAGCATTTTAGTGATACAATCGTCCTGTAATCCCACAATCCAGTCATTCACAGGCCTAGCCTTTATATGCTTCTTATTGCTCTTGGTAGAGTCATACCAAGCTGAAACCCATTTCTAAGGCCTTGTATCCCCCTTTGTTAGGTTTGGTGCTATATGCGCTCTTCTACAACGACATAGACATTTTATCTCATCAGTCACTCTCCGGTTAACTTAACAAACGCGAAATCCCGTTTGCCTTGTTTCCTTTCTATCATACAATTTCTGGGGTGATGCACACTCAGCTGGCGATTTTAAGCATTCCATTAGCGATTACCATAATATCATTACCTCCTAGCACTTCAAGAGTCACAGCCAGCAAATAGACATCATCACTTGGGGCGGTAGTCATCATGATAGACTTAGATGGATCGGACTCAGGTCCAGAGATCTTCACTCCAGAACCTGAGACGGGATCTCAATCTCAACCACTCACCCTTATCAACAAAACACTCGAATATACCTTCATAATACCGACATTTCTATACGCCAACGCAATCCAACTGCGAGACAGATTTCTAAAATCTATCACCAATTCAAAGGGAATGGATTATGAGACAGGAAGTCCATCATCTGTCATTGAACTCGTCTCAGAATTTCTCGGCTTTATTACCAAGGAAATAGAGACGGATGTCGATCCTAGTTTCGATAGGGAGGTACTGAACTTCGTCCTTCAATCGTTTGAACGGGAGTTGCTGCACGGGGAAGAAGTTCATGCATTCGCCGCGATACTTCCGGAAGACATCGACAGGCTTAGTATAATACGATCATATTACCTTGCTGTCGGTGCAGTTAGACGAACTGGGGGAGTACCAGATTCAGCTCTCATGCGCGCAGCTTTGAAAGGTACCGCTCGCGTGTATGCTGTATTCGGCGGTCAAGGCAACACGAAAACTTATCTAGACGAGCTACGAGATGTTTATGACACATACCCATCTCTCACGAGGCGATTCCTCATCCCGGCAGCACGATACCTTGGACGCCTCTCGCGCGATGCAAGGGCCTCCCAGGCCTTTGCTCATGGCCTGGACATCATGCGCTGGCTGGAACAACCCGAATCGCAGCCGGACCTCGACTACCTCGTTTCTGCGCCAGTGAGCTTTCCTCTTATTGGCTTGCTTCAGATTCTCCATTACATCGTCACAACTTCATCGCTTGGGACACATCCCGGAGGTATGAGAAATCGCCTGTCAGGTACAACAGGTCACTCTCAAGGCATAATTCTCGCAGCTATAATTTCAGCATCAGCGGACTGGCACAGTTTCGAAACACAGGGCAAAAAAGCTCTTGCTATACTCTTCTGGATTGGCGTTCGCAGCCAAGAAGCCTATGCACTTCCCTCAATTGCGCCAAGCGCTTTGACTGACTCAATAGCACATGGTGAGGGTGAGCCTACTGCAGCGCTCTCCATAAGGGGCGTGAGTCAGCAAGCACTCGAAAAACACATCGCCAGCGTCAACAGAGCACTCCCGGAAGACCGGCAGATCGTCGTAGCTTTAGTGAATGGCGCCAAGAATTTTGTGGTTGCTGGTCCGCCAATGGCGTTATACGGGCTCAACGTACAGCTTCGCAAAGTGAAAGCAGCCGAGAATGTTGATGAGTCTCGCATACCATTCAGCCAAAGAAAGCTGCATGTCATTAACAAGTTCCTTCCCATAACAGCCCCCTTTCATAGCCCCTATCTACGATCGGCTATCGAGTCCCTTCGAGAAGACCTTAAGGATACGAAAATATCCCCCAGCGATCTTGCCATTCCCGTCTATTCAACATTCAGCGGGAATGATATCAGGAGTGAACTACAGAAGAATGATGACATCGTTCCTTCTCTAGTCAAGATGATTTGCCAAGATCCTGTACACTGGGACAAGGTCATCGCGATGCCTGATGCAACACACATACTCGACTTTGGTCCTGGGCGTACTGCAGGTGTTGCTGGTCTTACGAGTCGCATCAAGGACGGCACTGGGGCTCGTGTCATTCTCGCGACCAACATAACGAATCCGACGCATCCTGAAATCGGTTGTAAACACGAGATTTTTGCGCGGAAGACATCCGATCTGGCGTACGGTGCTAACTGGGCAAAGCAATACGGGCCGAGGCTGATCAAGACGTCTGCGGGTCAAACATTCGTAGATACCAAGATGAGCAGGCTGCTAGGTCTTCCACCCATCATGGTCGCTGGAATGACCCCTACTACGGTACATTGGGACTTCGTCGTTGCAGCGACAAAAGCCGGGTATGAAGTCGAGTTGGCGTGCGGTGGCTACTACGATGGAAGTAGTCTAACCGAAGCAATCACGAAGATCTCAAAGGAGATACCCCCAGGTCGCGGAATTGTCCTAAATGTCATTTACGCAAGTCCCAAAGCGATTGCCTGGCAAATTCCACTTGTACGTGACTTATGCGCTAAAGGGCTGCCTATTAAGGGGTTAACTATTGGCGCCGGTGTCCCCTCCCTCGATGTCGCGAACGAATATATCCGCACTCTTGGCATCAGGCAGATTGGGTTCAAGCCTGGGTCCATTCAAGCCATCCAACAAGTCATCAAGATCGCCCAGGCTAATCCCGCATTTCCTATAATAATGCAATGGACCGGCGGTCGCGGCGGAGGACATCACTCCTGCGAGGATTTTCACGAGCCTATCTTAGAAATGTTTAGCAAGATACGTCGCTGCGCCAATATCGTTCTTGTGGCCGGGTCCGGCTTTGGTGGTGCGGATGATACTTACCCCTATTTGAGTGGGTCCTGGGCCATCCGGTTTGGTAGCCCGCCCATGCCATTCGATGGAGTCCTTTTCGGAAGCCGGTGTATGGTAGCTAAGGAAGCTCACACATCCAAAGGCGCAAAACAGGCAATTGTCGATGCTCAGGGAGTCGATGACCAGGATTGGGAGAAGACGTATCTGAAGCCTGCCGGCGGAGGTGGCGTCATTACTGTCAAGTCCGAAATGGGGGAGCCGATACACAAACTTGCCACCCGCGGCGTCATATTCTGGGCTGAGATGGATCAGAAGATTTTCAGTCTGCCAAAGGAGAAGCGTCTCTTAGAGCTCAAGAAAAAGGATACTCGCGATCACATTATCCGAAGGCTAAACGCCGATTTTCAGAAGCCATGGTTCGGCCGTACTACGTCAGGTAGAGCCGTTGAACTTGAAGATATGACCTACTCAGAGGTTGTCTTCAGGATGATCGAGCTTATGTTCATTGAGCATCAGAAGAGGTGGATTGACAAATCCCTTGCTCGATTGACTGGAGACTTTATCCGTTACGTGGAACAGCGTCTAGCCACACACTCTCGACTAAGTACTACCTCGCTGGTAGGAGCCTACAGCGAGCTCGACAATCCGATACCAATCGTCAAAAATCTCGTCGCAATATACCCATTAGCTGCTACACAGTTCATGAACTCTCAAGACTGTTTGCATTTCTTAAGTCTTTGCAAGCGCCCCGGCCAAAAGCCTGTACCATTTGTCCCACGCCTCGATGAAGACTTCGAAGTCTGGTTTAAAAAAGATTCACTATGGCAGTCTGAGGATCTCGATGCTGTTGTTGATCAGGATGTTGGGAGAGTTTGCATCTTGCATGGACCAGTTGCAGCGAAATATTCGAATACTACCGAAGAATCTATCAAGGATATCCTTGATCGCGTTCACGAGGGCCACATCAAAATGCTAAAGCATGATCTCTACGGTGGCGACGATGACAAGATACCTACAGTTGAGTATTTTGGCGACAAGATGGCGAACGCCACCTTAAGTGCTCGCGCGGTTCTAGAAGGAGTCGCCATTTCCGAAACTAGCAACGAGACAAGGCTATTCATACCAGGAACGACTCTCCCAATTGCAAACGAGTGGATGCAATTACTCGCCGGCGACCAAGCAACTTGGCGACGCGCCTTGATCACCGCAGACATATTCGTCAAGGGGCACCGCTTCGAACAGAATCCTCTACGCCGTCCTCTTTCACCTTCTCGCGGGTTGATCGTAGATATTGCATACCCAGAAAATCCCAACAAGACCGTTATCACTGTTGAGGAAAGCATCAGTGGCAAGCAATTACCAACGGTGAAAATCGGTCCCATATCGAATAATGTCATCCCCGTGTATCTCATCGAACATCGCACCGCTACGGGTAGACCAGTCTCGCTCCCGCTGCTCTTCACTTACCATCCAGAAGCCGGTTACGCGCCTATCCGCGAAGAAATAGCCTTGAGAGACGAGCGCATCAAGGACTTCTATTATAAGCTTTGGTTTGGCAACGATAGACCTACAGTTCCTATAGACGCAGCAACACCTCATACTAAACGCTGGAATGGTGGCACCACTACGATCTCCAGTGCCGCAATCCGTCAGTTCGCGCGCGCGGTCGGTAACACCGCAGAAGCTTACATTGAGCGGCCTGGCCGAGACCATCTCGCACCTATGGACTTCGCTATCCTCGTCGGCTGGAAGGCCCTCATGGAACCCCTATTCGACGCCGTCGACGGCGACTTACTGAAGCTGGTTCATCTTTCGAACCGCTTCCGCATGGTCCCTGGGGCAACCCCGTTTATGAAAGGAGATGTCCTGAGCGCCACGTCTGAGATCACCGCCATTGTTAACCAGGACTCTGGCCAGATGGTTGAGATTTGTGGCACGATCGCGCGTGGCGGTGGCAAGCCGGTGATGCAGGTCACTTCACAGTTTTTCTACCGCGGCATCTTTGCTGATTTTGAGAAGACGTTCCAGAGGAAGACTGAAACGCCGGTCAGGGTGCTGCTCAAGAGCCCTAAGGATGTCGCTGTGCTCAAGGCTAAGAAGTGGTTCAGGCCTGAGGGAGCGCAAGATCTTCTTCTGGGCCATAGCGTGATCTTCAAACTACAAACCTCGACACGATTCAGTGATAAGGTCACATTTTCTTCCGTCGAAACTACCGGTACTATCGAGATTGAAATACCAACAAGCAAGGAATTGATTCGTGTGGGCACGGTGGAATACACTTCAGATGGGCCTTCGCGCGGCAACCCTGTTCTCGAGTATCTGGCTCGAAATGGTTCCAAGTTGGACCAGCCCGTGTACCTCAAGCATCCAATTCCGATACAGAATAATCACAACAAGGCTCCGTTAGAGATCGAGGCACCTGTCTCCAACGAGAACTACGCTCGCGTATCCGGGGACTTCAATCCAGTTCACGTTTCGCGCGTCTTTTCCCAATACGTCAACTTGCCTGGTACCATAACCCATGGCATGTATACTAGCGGTGCCGTCAGGAGCATTGTGGAGACATGGGCGACGGAGAATCATGCCAATAGAATGCGTGACTACCAAGTTAAGTTCACCGGGATGGTGTTGCCCGGCGATCGCCTCGAGGTCCAGCTACACCACATTGGTATGGTGTCGGGCTGCATGATCATCCAAATAGAGGTAGTCAAGAGTGATGAGACAAGAGAAAAGGTCTTAGTCGGTGAAGCAATAATCGAGCAACCTACGTCTGCGTATATTTTTACGGGTCAGGGTTCTCAGGAGAAAGGGATGGGCATGGAGCTCTACGAGAAGAGTTCAGTCGCGAGAGATGTCTGGGATCGCGCTGATAGACATTTCCTCAACACTTTCGGTGAGTCTTTTATTTTGACTAACAGTTACCGTTGATATCCCTATACTAACTTAGACTCATAGGCTTCTCGATTCTCGAGATTGTCCGACATGATCCCAAAGAGCTTACCGTCTACTTTGGCGGGGCCCGGGGCAAGGCCATAAGGAAGAACTACATGGACATGACTTGTCAGAGCCTCGAGATAGCTTCAGATGGCAGTCCTAAGCTGGAGAAGGTCTTCAAAACTATTACGGAGTGCACCACATCCTACACGTTCCGTTCTCCAGCCGGCCTGCTCTCTGCTACGCAGTTTACACAACCGGCACTTACACTGATGCAAATGGCCGTGTTCGAAGATCTACGGGCTCAGGGGGTCATTCAGAAAGATAGCCTTTTTGCCGGACACTCGCTCGGTGAATATAGCGCCCTTGCCTCTATCGCCAAAGTGATGCCCGTCGAGACTCTTGTATCGGTCGTGTTTTATCGTGGCCTGTGCATGCAAATCGCCGTGGAGCGCGACGAAGCCGGGCGTTCCGATTACTCGATGTCCGCTGTCGATCCCTCGCGGGTTAGTCCTCGATTCAGCGAGCAGGCGCTAAAACACGTTGTCAAGATGATTGCTGACGTTACTGGTTCGTTTTTGGAGATCGTCAACTATAACGTCCGGAACATGCAATACGTCTGTGCGGGCGACCTACGCGGTCTTGATGTGCTAGGCGGCGCTCTAGACGGCATCAAGGCGCGCAACGTGGACGTGCGGCACCTCGAGGCAGAGGAAAACCACAAGCTGTTGGTTAGCGTGATCGAGGAGGCAAGCCGTCAATCCCGAGCTAAACCCTCGCCTCTCGAGTTATCGCGCGGCAAGGCGACAGTGCCGCTCCGGGGCATCGATGTCCCGTTCCACAGCTCGTATCTACGTTCCGGAGTACAGTCCTTCCGCTCGTTCCTGCTCAAGAACCTCGAGGAGAAGAATGTCGACCCGGAACAGCTCGTCCGCAAGTACATCCCTAACCTTACGGCCAGGCCGTTCGAGCTCACGAGGGATTACTTCGAGTACGTACACGAGATGACGCAGTCCCCTCGCATCGGTAAGGTTCTAGAAGGCTGGAACTAGGTGGTGGTGGTGTCGCAGCAGATGACAGAGATGGTATATACTTCGGGAGGCTGGCGTTACGGTGTGCGTCTCCTCGGTTCTTATAGGTGCGTTTGTTGGGGGCCGTTAAGGTATATTCTACATACATACAATATAATTCCGAACTTATGTCATAGTATAATTACTTAGAAGACCCTCTCGTACTCGAGTTCGCGGGCCTCGCTTCTCGTAGTCCGAACCCGAACTTAGGATGAAAAACCTTTGGGACGTGCTCGTTGCTACCTCTGTGTGCTGTGTGTATGCGTGCAATTTCAGCTGCATGTAGTTCCGCATGACTTTGATGCCGTAGAAGCCGACCTAATGTTCAAGAGATGAATGTGAGTCTTCGGCCGCAGAATGGTCGCTCGTCACGGTTACGAAACCATGGTTGTGGTTCTCTTGGTATTTGTATTTACATTGTAGAAATCGATCCAATCAACATCGCCCCCCACGGTGTACAACTCGATCTCGACAAGTCTTACGTGCGCTTTCACAACAGGCCCCCAGGTGGGATTATAGCCTTAATAATTCTATGGTACACCGATGATATAAAGGTAAGCGTGTATATCTAGTACTAATTAAGAGAATATTGCTTCTATAAATAATCCATGCGTAAGTTTGTGTCATCCTATAGATATATCGTTATTTTCCAGATATATTCTTTGCATATATTGTGGTGTTATTTGTCTCCGGCCAGCTCCATGCACGCTCCTCTTGAGACCATATAATAAGCGCTTTGGATGCGTCAACGGGTTATATTACCTTATACGGAATATAAAAGCTTGGCTTTATTGTATGATTATGTCAACCATGAGAAAGCTGCCCTGTTGAGAATTATACGGACCGCTCCGTTAAAATTCCAACGTATTGTGCGTCAGTCCAATCCACGATAGACACAAGGATGACTTTAACCGGCGGGCCTGCAGTGAAGTCACGTTACCAAATACCGCCAACAAACGTAGTACCGCAGCTGGACCGATATTCCTGAACCGTCTTAAATGGACCGAGCTCTGGGGATGATAAATGCGAGATAGCCATCCTTTATGGAGCGGCGTGGGTCTAGATCTGGTGCGAGTGCAGGTGTAAGTCGAATCCCAGAGTCTGACCTACAGAGGCTGTTCGGGGTCTTCTAGACCTACCACTCCCTTGGGAAGCTCTCTTATCTTACTAGGCACTTGCAATGATGGGGGCGACCTCGAGCTGTAAAAAAAGGACCGACATGGCATGCCAATTGTTACGTGCGTTCTAGACCAGCTTTTCGACTTCTCGAATCACTGCATAGTCCTCGTGGCTCGGGTATCTGCTGTACTCTGTCAGGGGCCGCAGAGGTTCGCTGGAACCTAAGTCAGACCAGAAAGACGTTCGATTCTGATTTAGTTCCGTCTTTGTCCCTCGGCAGGTGGTCAGCGTCTCGTTGATTGGGAATTTGTAGCTCTTGTCTAAATCCCATAGACTAGGCACATATTAGCGATTCCCGTGATAAGGCACATTCTGCTCGGCTACAAGAGGACTCCAGCCGGGCAGATGGTTAATGATATTTAATATCTCAGAAGTATTTAATATCCGGACTGGCGGGTAAGGCATATACGCACACACTCAAGCGCTTTGAATAAACCCTTTCCACTACCTATAACCAATTATCAGAAACAACGACTGTGGCAGGACCCCTATGACATTTTCCGCAGTCGTCTCATATTTTCTAGAACTTGCAATAGTCTTCCACGACGTCAAGATGATACGACAGAAGCGTACACACAGCTCCAAGAGTAGGAAAACTCACAGCCACAGCCACATCGAGCCGCTAGACTACCATGATTCAACTAGCGCAACGTCAGCGGATTTTGCGGGATTTGTAGATCCCATACTAGACGGTTCGGCCATTTTCAACGAATTGTCTCAGAAAAGGCAAGCATGCCCTACATGATACACCTCGAACTACCTAGCTAACGTATATATAAAACAGCCTCTTCTGGATGGACGATACTGACACTACCCGGAATCGTATCAATGGAGACGAAGCGCCAATGGCATCAATACAGCACATATCAGGAAATCTAGCTTCAGTAGATCCGTATCCAAATGCTCTGGATAAGTTGAGTACCGGAGTGTCGGATTTCCTAAGCAACCCGAGTAGTGAGGACCAGTCAATGGACCGAAATGGAAAACATCGCTGTTGGGATCACGGATGCAACGGGCGTGAGTTTTCGTCCAAGAGCAACTTCGTGAGACATGTCAAGGAGAGATCGGGGGCTAGCACGAAGGGCGTATGCCCCCTATGCGGGGCGATTTTCACCCGCAACTCCGCCAGAGATACGCACCTGGCCAAGCAGAGCTGCAATAGAATTCGCCGATATTCCAATGGACGGCCGCGACCCAGCCGGCTCGCCGTCTTGGGAAATCCCCGGCTTGCAGCTGCAGCTGTGGCCGCATCGCAAGACGTCCATTGGCAACCGGTCGACTGGGGCGTCGGATCCATGGGCGATTCGAGTGTGGGCGGAATATCGCCGCCGAGCTGATGCCAATGCTCACCAACATACAACACAAGGCGCTAGAGGCGAAGGTACTGTATTTGGTAATTAGACGGGAACTCGCAAGCGCGGATAATTTTCGAATTTAGTTAGGAGAGGAGAGAAAGTAGCGGCTATACCCCCCAGTCGTCGAAGATCATGTTTTTGACTTCGGGATTGATGATGATGGTACACATACCAAGATACACACACTATGAGAACAATCGACGATTAACGCGGCGCTACGTCTTTGGTTACGGTAGCAGGCGCCGATCCCGATCACATCAAGATCATAAGAATAATTCTATCGATCACTGCAACCACATGCGTATGCGAGGCGGTAAAGATCGGTGCCCAATCCTTCAGAGCAAAAAGTCCCTTTTTTCTGGGTGGGTTGTTGAATACCACGTCAGGTGTATGGGCGCATATGTGTAGCCAAGAGAACCCCTTGAGAGTATGGGTGTGGTGTTCGTTTATGGATGTTTTATTTAAAAAAGGGGTAAAAAAGGGAAAATTGATGTACGAGGGTACACGTTGTCCGGCCGGCATAATGGTGTGGCTCCTGCTCTTATTGCCTATACTATTCTTGGGCCAATCAGAATCAACTATAGTATTCCTGTTCTTAACAGCACCCCACACCGTCAATGAAACAACAAAGTAACTTTTAGCACATAGGGCAAGTCCCCAACTTACCTAACGACGCATATACGTACAATGGCACATAAGAGAGATATTCTCCCCCACTCGGCCAGAAAAAAGTTCCATAGCAATGTTACATACGGGCGATGAACTAGACGTTGGAGTATCTCTGCCGAAGCCACTTAGAGTTTGGACTAGTGTTAGTACCCACTTACCCTATTAGGAAACACAGTCTACTTTATATGGGTTGCCTCCCCCCTATTTCTCCAAATATTTTTCACGTTATAAGTGGTGTAACAAGATGCATCACAATTTCAGCCCGTAACGTCATTCGACTCAGGGTATGATTTATCGTATCTGAGTCGTGACGTACGCATGGATACTATTTAAGCTTTCAGAATTCTTATATAATTGAGCTGCGATGCCAAGACTCTCACTCCACACACACATCCCCAGACCACCACCACAATAAACAATCACAAACCCGGAGGAGATTAAGTTACTAATTCTCAGGTTTTGAAGAGAGCACTACAGGACTTGGCTGGAAGCACGTAACGACCTTTGACTAACATTCGTCGGAAGTTAACTCCTCTATGCATCGTCCACGCGCGGCATGGGCTGATGATTAATACAGGACTTCGTCCTTTTAAGTCGGCGACAATCCAGGCCCTCAAATTTCGTATGTTACCTGCAAACTAACAACCAGTAACCAATGAATACCTTACCGCCAAGCAAATCGGCAGCGATTTCCACTTTCAGCTTGCGTCCTCCAAAATGTCATCTCTCTAGCGAAAAAGCTTGTTGGCGCTGCGCTTACTACTTTCTCTCATGCATGGCACTGAACAGGAGCCCGGAACCCGACAGGAAGAAAGCCGGAATCACGCGCCTAACTCCCTCCGACGTCTGGGGCCTTCCGTTTATGTATGAAACACAACTGCCGAGACAACAACACTGCGAAGCTACCTCGGCGCTGTCAAACACGCGCTTGGGGATTTTCGTGCCTTAAACTTGGGGTTGGAGTCGCCGTTCATACCTGTTCACATAATCTCTATGGAGCCGGGACGGCCCGAGCCTACCACCTATGTAAGGTAGTATACCATAACGCCATAGTTACTATGGTTACTACGGAACAGGTCGAGGTTATTTCGACGGAGGTAACAAAGGATAAAAGAAATTGCTTGTACTACCTAAAAGATCACATCGGTACATCCGGACAAAGTAGAAAATGTACGAGAAGGCTCAAAGGCTAGATTCGAAGTCGCGGGTCAGCAATGACTCTGCATTGCCGGCCTCCATCCCTTGTCTGCGGGCTGCGGACCACCTAAGACCTTTACGAACGAAGACGGGGACTATCTGTGGGCTCTAGTACTACATAGAGGCCTAAGCCAAGACAGTATGACAACTGCAGGCGGAGGCCGTGTATCTGCGTGATGAGTTGGTGTGGTGTGTGGCTAGTGGACCGCAGAGCGCGGCGCTCAAACACCTTACGGATGATATGATGAAGCCGACAGGAAAGCAAGACAGAAGACAGGATAATTGAGGACAAGAAGATGAATCGGCCATACTCGGACAATTACACCCTACGAGCCTACATTTCACTATTGCCGGAAGAAAAGGCTGTGCAATTTTCCATGTCACCACTCCCTCATCCGCAGCCGAGTCCAGGATTGAAAGTGTAGATAGTGGCAACGGCAGTCAAAGACAATACCGGCCATGATCGACAACACGGCCCCGTCTCACCGCGCCGTTCAATATACGATCCGGCTGATTAACTTTGTAATCGCAACAGCTCCACCAAAAAACCGGTTTTTGAATCAGACATACAGTCGCCAGTTTATCCTCGAGGCCCCCCTCAAGAGTTCTGCCTAAAGATCCCCTTATCTCATCCCATCGAGCTTATTATTTCTTCCTTACAACCTCCTCGCATTTTCTCTTTCGCATATATTACAGATATTTGGAATTTGTATTAACTATTCTACTTCTTAATTCTTTTTAAACTACCAGAGGGACACTAGCACGACTGATGTAGCAATGATGGGCCTTCTCTGCAGGAATTGAACGCCACCACATTTCGATCGACGCGGTATTACTCCCTTTTCGCCACAGCCGAAGCTAAGGTCAAAGATCCCTCAATCCTTCAATCGAAGAAAACCCAGCAACGAACCTCGATGGATCGTCGCGTGGGCGCGTCATCCGGGCTAGCATCATCCCAGAATGCGCCGTGCGGGCAGACCTTGGTCACGTCTGAGTCGAACGAGGAGAAGATTAGGGCTTCGTCCAGATCGAGCTTGCTAACGTAGTGGTACTTATAACTGTTTCGACGGCGTTTTAGCAACCGTATTCTATACGAATGAAAAGCCAGAACGGTGGGAATTTTACAACTGGGATTCTACGAATTATACATACCCCGGGTCGTACTTAACAACGCTGTCGTGCTTCTTCTCGCCTCGAATGGCTATTCTCGGGTCATTGGTTGGATATACGCGCGCCAGGTGAGTATCGTAGCCCCAGCCGCTCACGCCGCTGTGGTTGATGAAGCAGAGCGGCCACTTCTGGATGGGCTGGTCGATCGTACGCCAGACGTTGACCTGAGCGTAGCGCTTGCCCTTCTTGATCAGCTCATCCGCGACATCGCCAAGGATTTCGCGAACGCCGTCCTCGCCTGTGATCGCGTCGCGGTCGACGTGTGCGACGGGCAGAGCCGCGTGCGAGAGCTTGTTAGCGGCGAATTCGCCGGCCTTCATGCTGTTCTGGCGGATCCGGAATACGTAGGGGACTACGATGTCGGAGCCGGTGACTTGCTTGACTAACTCGGCGACCTCCTTGAAGTAGACATCCTCGATGTACTTCTTCCCTGAAATCATAGGATTTGTTAGCGGAAAGGGGCTAAAATCACTAAAATGTCCAACGACCGAGAAATGGAAAGGTAAGTACGTACCCTCAGCATCATTACCAGCCAGAAACTGCTCAGGTGTCAAAGACGATTTATGCTTAGCAACGCCGTATCCGTTGTTTCCATATTCTGGTTGAGGGTTCAACGTCCGGATGTCTTCAGCCTCGATTTTGACTTCTAGGGGGTTGTGCACGTTCGTTGAACCGCTAGCCCAGTCGATGTATCCATCCTCCTTACCATCTTTCGTACCGTTCCACATGCCCATAAGGCCAGTGGTAGATGCAACAGCAGCAGCAGCCATAATGTCGGATGAGTTTCACAAGTAATTTTCAGTACTACAATGAGCGATGGTGACCCACGATATCATGGAGTAAAAGTAGGGCAGCAGTAGATTGAAGCCATAACGAAATATATATATCTTCTCCAAGTCCCCATTTACACAACCATAATAACAGTGATCCTAAAAAGTATGTTCCACGGTGAGAATATCGTGCCACCGATGATGAGACGGGATTTGTGGATTTCAGGATCTGGGGATCTGGGGAACAGTGGATTAAGGGATTGCGGGATTCACGGATCCCAACATACAGCCATGTGCCCGTTTTACGTGCGAGAACATGTCCAACGCAAACACAAAAAGGATCTCCTTTAATAGTTTGTGTAATAAACATTTTGAACGTGTCCCGTTCTGAATGTTCATCGTATGTTGGGTCGATTCCTCTTACAACTGCCCCTTACCCCTTATTCTCTCTTGACATAACCAATTCCTTCAGAAGTTTCGGCGTCCGAGCGGGAAGATAATGGATCACCACCTTCAAGTCACAGATTCCCGTACGGGAAAGTCCTACAAGATTCCGATTGAAGGAGATTATATACGAGCCGCAGATATTGGCCGCATTGGCGCTCCAGAGAACAAGGCTGATGTGGCTTCACTGATAGCCGCTCGCCCACTTCACATTCTTGACAATGGCTTCCAATATACCGCATGTATGGAGTCAAGCATCACCCATATGTCAGTCTTTCTAACGTAAAATGCTTTACACTTCTCTATCATTTGTCTAACTCACAGTCCCTGTGCAGTGACGGTCTGCGTGGCACCATCCAGTATAGAGAATTTCCCATCGAGGGCATATTTCGGCAATACGTTTACGAAGATGTAATGCACCTCATAATCTGGGGTAGTATACCCACACAACAACAAAAAGATCATGTTCGAGAGACGATGGGCCAAGCGATGAACCCGCCTCAGAGCGTTAAAGACGTAATCTCATCGTTCCCGTATGTCCCCCTTTTTCGAATAAATCAATGTACCGAAAGAAGTTTATTTTCTCTAACTACCTACGAACCCTAGTCGTGACGCCGAGACCTTCCCCATGATTCTCGCCGGAATGAGCGCATTCGCCTCCACCGACAGCGTGATCTGCAAGACCCGGCACCAGCAAAGCGCCATGTTCCACGGGCACCTGGACGTCGCGGACGAAGCGCTCGCGCGGACAATCGCGTACCTCGCGACGACCATATCGCTAATCTACTGCCACAAGAACAGCAAGCCGTGGACGGCCCCCTCGCCGGACCGCTCGCTCCTCGGGAACCTGCTGCGCATGATGGGGATCACGGACCCGCGCGTCGAGAAATGCCTCGCGAAGCTGTGGATCCTGTACGCGGACCACGAGATGACGAACTCGACGGCGGCGGTGCTGCACGCGGGCTCGACGCTGATCGACCCCGTGTCCGCCGTCACGGCGGGCATCATATGCGGCTACGGCCCCCTGCACGGCGGCGCCATCGACCTCGCGTACGAGGCGTTCCGGCACATCGGCGCCCCCGAGCGCGTGCCGCCTTTCATCGAGCGGATTAAGGCGAAGGGCGGCCGCCTCTTCGGCTACGGACACCGCGTCTATAAGACGCGCGACCCGCGCGTCGCGCTCATCGAGGAGCTGCTCGAGGAGCACCGCGACGCTGTCGAGGCGAACCCGCTGCTGCGTGTTGCGATGGCGATCGATCGCTACGCGAACCAGGATCCGTATTTCGTGGAGCGCGGGCTCAAGGCGAATGCGGATCTCATGGGTTGCTTTCTGTATACGGCTATGTGAGTACCTATCTGCTTGTTTGCCTGTCGAGTGCCGAGTGCCTAGTTGGAGAGAGAGTGAAGTGCGACTTTGAGTTGACTACGAGGCGACTCTGTGGTGCGACGGCAGGATTCGATTTTATATATCCTTGTGCTAACCTTCCCGATTAGGGGCTTCGACACGGACATGATCATCGCGATTACCATCCTCTCCCGGACTCCGGGCGCGTTGGCGCACTGGAGAGAAAGCCTGAGTAAGTTTTACCCACCTGTCATTCCCCGCTGCATACTCGCCCGTTTACTACCTTTCCTTTCCCCCATACCCCCATGTCCCGAAGTCTTGGAGCTGACGTTAGCTGGATGGGTAGCGCAACCGGTGAAGCTTTGGCGGCCGCAGCAGAAGTATGTGGCGCCGCTGGCAAACTAGGTACCTAGATGGTACAGATAAGGGAGATTCAACTCAGCGTAGCGTAATGATCGATTATATCATAATTTAATCAAGTCGGCTATTTACTATAATAGAGTCGGTGGTTGAGTAGGGTTAGCTAGCAGCTCAAACCCAAAGTCTTGGGTCAATGGTAATGTAAAAATAGGTAGATGACTTGGCAATAAAACGGTGTTATCAAAACTACGTAAATATCGGTCATGATACCAAGTTCATCGTAATTCTTCAGTTACCATGGTATTCTGCTGCCATGAATTGGAGACGTACACGTAGGTTACCTAGGTGGCATCCCAGTAAGTCTTCAAGGCAACTCAGCTCAGGGGTCAAGTCCCAGAGCGACGATGAGGCGAGCGACTCAGCAACTTGCCGTTATCTCAATTCGGCCCTAACTTAGAGAGGCTCAATATCGCCAGCTATGATATATAAGCCGAGGCTGGACCCTGAAAAGATCGGCGTGAGGCTGTCGCTGATCATGGCCGACCTGAAGGAAGAATCTCATCTCACCCACTCCGTTCCTCCCAACCCCCATCAGATCGTCCCGATGAACCTACTTTGGAGTACCCCGTCCCCCCAAGGCCTCGTCAGCTTGTTGCATTCGCCGCAAATCTCCCCAGAATGGCTCTCAATCGGTCTGTATGTCTTAACGGAGCCACAAAGTCCAAGCTATGGTTCAAAATCCAATAAATCCAGGGGTAGGGGGGCGTGAAAGGGGCGTGTGCCTTCTTAAGGCGTCCAACCAGACCGCGTCGGTAATCTATGTATGAGATGTCATTGGAAGCGAGTTACTGCCGATGTCATGGTTGTTTATTTATCCTGATTTATACGTTATCATAGCGCAGTTGGTGGGATTGCAGGATCGGTATGAATGTGACATCGTCCCGTTCAGCCGGTGTAGCGTCGTGGATGAAGATTGGGGGTGGCCCGGTATTCCACCCCCAGGTCTGCTTTCTTTATTCCGGATTGCATACGTGGTAGTATTTGCGTGCTTCATACTCGGGGGTGTAGAGTTAATAAGTAGCTCCTTAACGGATGTATATGACTCGTACTATGTAAGTCAGTTACGAGGGTAGATCCGCGTGCGGGCAGATTTCCGATTCGATACGATACCCTGAATCAATGTCGCATTACCGGCTGGCACTGTTTAGGTCGAGATTGTATGTGTGCGTTGACCATGCATATTTGACAAAGGCACATCCATGCGCCCCAACCCAGTTGCCTCTAGAGTGTGAGCGCCCAGAGTTGCTATACTCTAATTTGATTACATCCTTGCATAGTCTTCTGCAGCGCTTCGAGCCGTCTCGCCTCCTCTGGGTACTTCCTCTCCCCAGTCCCCAGTCCCCCATTCCCGTATTCCTGCAATCCACAATTCCGTTATCCACGGTCTCGGTCACCTGCAATTAGAATTCTTCTTCGACTGTAGAAGGAAATAATCTCATGATATCTCGGTTGTGCGGCAAAGGATAGAGTCGGTTGCCAGACTGCAAATCCTACCTTCCTTCAGACTGGATGATCATTGATGACTATTTACTCAATGCCCAGTAATCTACTGCCAAGGTATGTATACGATCCCGCGTTATACCCGGGGAATGGGGTAGTCAGTTAGAGCTGAGACTTGCGACTTCGAAGAACAGTTCAGGGGACTTCCCTAAGTAGGAGGCGGAACCAAGTTTAAATCCTAGAAGATGAAGTAAGCAAGAGATCCGTAGAACGTTGTAATGTAATGACAGGTAATGACCTAGGTAGTAGTTGCACAAAGATAAGGTCGGTCAATGAACTGACTGTGTCTCTTTTCGGGGGAATATGTAGGGCTGGAGGGCCAGTACGTATTTGTACGATGACACGGACATATAGGAGATGCAGTGGGTCATCATGGGACGACATGAATCCGAGATCGTTACGAAAGTAGATTGCCTGCCGAAGCTGCTACTAACAAGACGTGCTGTTCCTAGCTATCCTCTCTAAGCCCCTGTAGGCGATGAGAGTTAAGGCCTAGACTCGTCTTATCTGGTCAGCATGAGTTCTAGGCATGGCCTCATGAGTGTTAGCTGTCAACCCCATCAGCGCATGTCAGAGGTGCCAAGAGATCCGGAGGCGAACTGGAGGTAAAGGACCTTCCCATGAGGCACAATCTAGAAATTGTGTCGATCCATCCGAAGGGCCGACAAGAAGCCAGCTGCGCGTGGCTACAATGGCGTGAGAAAAATACCGAAACCCGTTCCTCACCTAGGGGGCTGATATCACTATGTATAGATTACACCATGACGTACAGAGCATGATTAGACTATGTTCTTAAAAGATATTAGCTGGATCTCTGCAGATGAGATATTTCCAGTTGTCACCGCTGTTCAACTTCCGACGTGATTTCCACGTGAGTTTCGGGCCCGGACCGCCTAAAATCGGAACAACAACAAATTAGGTATGGAGGACAAAAAGGAAGCTGTCATTATCGAGAAGGATATTTCGGTGGAAGTGCCGCTTGATTCACCGGATGAGCCGAAGATGCCCAGTGAAATAAGCGCGCAGACAATCGTCGCCGTTGTTAGCGATACCGAGGATAAGGGATCGTCGGACTCGGCACCAGTCGAGGACATTCCACCCCGATTCACGGTGTATAAGCCATGGCAAAAGCGATTGATCGTTTTGAGCTCTGCATTTAGCGCTCTCTTCGCGTCATGGACGGCCCAGATATACCTTCCCGCGCTCAACATCGCAGCCGATGACCTGCACGTTTCCATTACCAGGATCAACTTGACCGTCACCAGCTACATGATATTGCAGGGAGTCACACCAATCTTCATCGGAGGTTTCGCCGATACCGCCGGACGACGGCCGGCCTACCTAGCGTGCTTTGTTCTCTACATCATCGCCAACGTCGGTCTCGCCAAGTCGGATAGTTACGGAAGTCTTCTCGGTCTCCGCTGCTTCCAGTCGGCAACCATATCAGCCACACAAGCCCTTTGCCAGGGTGTCGTAGCGGATATCGCAACGAGCGCCGAACGGGGTCAGTACACGGCCTTCATCGCCGTTCCGATCACGCTAGGGCCGAGCTTGGGCCCCGTCATCGGCGGCGCCATCGCGCAATACCTAGGCTGGCGGAGCATCTTCTGGTTCCTGGCCGCGTGCGCCGGCGTCAACCTCCTATTCCTCCTATTCTTCTTCCCGGAAACGTGTCGTAAGGTCGTAGGCGACGGTTCCATCTTACCTCGGAGACGCAACCAGACCGTGCTACAGCTGCTAAGAAACCGGCGCCCAAAAAAGGTCGCGTCGGACTCCGAAAGCACGACACCTTCTCCCACCGAGAATCTCGAGGCCCCCAAGATCAACTTCGCCTGGTCGAAATTCGTCACGTCTCTCGTCCTGCTCTGCGAGAAAGAGCTTTGCCTGCTTTTCATGTACGGCGGGTTCGTGTACGCCGGGGTATACGCCGTCGCGACCGCAGTTCCCACGCTCTTCTCCGATATCTACGGCTTCGACGGCTTCAAAGTCGGCCTGATCTACCTCCCCATGGCCGTCGGGTCCATCTTCTCCGTCGCCCTCGTCGGCAAGGGCATGAACTGGAACTACCGGCGGCACGCGCGCAAGCTCGGGCTAGAAGTGGATCGGGATCGGCAAATGGATCTTTCGGAGTTCCCGATCGAGCGCGCGCGGATCGAGGTCGCCGTCCCTCCGCTCGTGCTCAGCATGGTCATCATCACGGCGTGGGGGTGGGCGCTGGAGAACGAGGTCTCGATCGCGATCATATGCGTGCTCGTATTCCTGCTGGGCCTGGGCCTCGTGAGCACGACCAGCGTCTTCAGCGCGCTGATCGCGGACGTGCGTCCCGGGAAGACGGGCGCCGCGAGCGCCGCCAATAACATCATCAAGTTCCTGCTCGGGGCCGCCATGGCCGCCGCCATCGACCCGCTCATCCAGGCCGTCGGGCCGGGCAAGGCGTACTCCATCATCGCGGTGCTGTACGTCGCGTTCTCGCCGTGCCTATACTTCGTCGTGAAAAGGGGGATGCGGTGGCGCAGAGAGCTTCGGGAGAAGGAGGGCTCGGGCGAAGGTACGGGGTAAAAATGAGAGATATTCATATTTGCGCATACCTAGATACAGACCTAGGTATATAGTCCAAATAGACTAAGGTTACATGCACATTTTGACGGTATTTCGTTAATCGAGCTTTCGATCGTACGACCATCATGCCACCCGCGCGTCGTCGACCAATCTGTTCTGACTATTACTAACGAAATCGCTAGGCTGTCGCCTATGTACGTGCATGGTGCATATATCAAGTATTTCGATGGAAAACAACACAAAATCAGGGAAGGCGGTCCGTTTTCTACGGTTCGTGGGCCTCGCTGCTGCGTCGAGTGCGTGCGGCGACGCCACCTACGTAGGTAGGCTACCATGTTTCCCCAACCCCCTTCGCTGAGGCGAGCGTGCCGAGTTCCGGGTATGCGTAGTCGACATGTCAGACGTCGGTATATCTAGATCTCTCTTTCCCCCCTGCAGGGCATTGCACAGACAAAACAAACAAAACAATTGCAATTTATTTGACTGCCTCAAACAAACATAAATAATTCGAGAGTCCTGTTTGTTCGCCA